GTAGGCGGAGTATGGCGATCGCTGCATCAAACGAAGCTTCTCGCCAAAGCAAAAGGAGCACAGCTGTGTCTGAGGCATGTCCTCAAGCTTCTCTACCGCCGGGAAAGCTTCGATTTTGGCTGAAAGGGCAACCGTATTAGCGGCGTGATCCCATTGAGAGTCAGAGGAGACAAGTCCTACCATTGCAGTACTCCCCGTCGGTATCCTTCAAACACGTCTCGTTCCACCCAGACACGACTGAGTCGATCACGGCGATGACCGGATATCCAGGAAACAGATTGGGCGTTGCGGCGCACGCGGTTGTGATCCGTCTCCGTGCGACGCCCAAGGCCGTCGAACATGTCGCTGAGCAGACCGTGTCCGTGAAAGCCTTGTCTCCGGGCGACCCATGGTAAGCTTTGCTTCCCAGCGTCTTGACGTAGGGGTCGCAGCTGATGGGCTGATAGAGCACCAACTCACACGCAGAGCTGAGGCCAAAGCCCGCCAGCGTGTCCTGTGCGGTGAGCTGGAAGGTGGTGGCGGTCTGCCTTGAAGAGAGCGGATCGGGCAAAGCAACCGGCAGCGCTCTGCCGGAAAATGCTGCTGCTTCAACCACGCACCAGTCGAGGCATGATGCAAGGACCGTCGCCGAGAAGAGGCTGAAGGGGTTTGGCAAAGGCATCTTGCTCCACGATTAGAAGAGTGCGGGGACGCAACGGACGGCGACGACAGGACGGAGAGGTTGCGAAAAATCAATGACCCGACAAGGAATGAGGGCCGCGAGCACCTTCGCAACGGGAGTCCTTTGTCGCGATCAGCTTGTGACTCGGATTTGGTCTCTGCCTGGTACTTCATTTCAACCTGAAGACCAGTACGGTGTTGGATGGGGGGAAGTCTTTGAGGCAGCATGGAACTACTGTACTAACCGAAATTACCCCCAAGACCGGCATCCTTCCTCATACCCGTTCCTCATCCTCGTCCAATATTGGCACGCTCATTGTCCTCGATGGCACGTTGCTCGGAGTCGACGTTGACTCGCAAGAAGCGCCTCGTCACATGCTTGCGCTGTGCCGCAGGTACCGTTGTCACGTCGGTCGGTCGGGTCAGGTCAAAATTTGAAAATACCCTGATTTGTACCAGTACATCTGGCGTCTAAAGTTGCATCGGTTACCGTCTCCACGACCGAGCCCAAGCCGCATGGCTGCTAAATGCTGCAACGTGAACTAAGCTAGTAAAGGCGGTTGGTGACGTCGGTCGTTCTGTGCATTGAATAAGTGGAGAAGTGGAGACGGTCCGTATTTACCCGGCACAGAATCTCTTGGCGAACCCCCGTCTCCACATTGATACAGCCTTATCGGGCTTGTGTGCGGACACCGGAAGGGCGGATACGAAACCCGCAAGACGGGACCCTTGGACCCCTTCCTTCCCCAACACCCGCTACCTCTCGGTCATGATGCTTGACTCCACTGCAGGCAGCCGAGAGGGGGTTGGGGCGATGGTACCTACCTACTTCGACGACATGAGCTGTCCGTTCTCACCTCAGTCAGGGGCATGGCATCCACGGAGAGGTAATGGGATTTCAACAACCTAATACTAATAATAAGTTGCCAGGTGAGTTCTCGTCCTTCTCCCCCGTTCGGTCCCTTCCCTATCCTCGCCGCCCTCTCGCCCCGGGAAGAGGTGGTTCGAGCATCTTCCATTGTCCTCACTACATTCGCTCGCTTTGGATTGTCCCTCTCTCGAGCCATGGCCAGATTATTGCTCTTCTTCTTTGCCTTAGTCGCTCACTTCCAGCTGTCTATTCAGCAGGAATGCAGTGTGTCGAAACCATGCGAGCTCGGGTGCTGCTCTCGAAGCGGTTTCTGTGGTTTCGGCCCTGACCACTGCGGGTAAGTAATACATCACCTACCTTGGTATCTCTAGAATACCCTACCTTCATCTGTCAAGCCGATTTGACTGACTCGATGGCGCGCGCCCTTCTGTAGCGACGGCTGCCTGAGCGGGTGTGACCGCAAGGCCGACTGCAACCCAAGCACTTGGAACAGCACGAAGTGGAGCAAGTGGGAGAAGTGCCCGCTCAACGTGTGCTGCAGCAAATCTGGCTTCTGCGGCACGACCGAAGAGTTCTGCGCGGGCAAGCCCGTAAAGGTTGGTCGGAGCTTGTCGTGGCCGTGGAGCGACCTGCACGGGACCCGCCTGAGGAACAACTGCTGATCTTCGTTGTCTCTGGATCCAGCGGCCATCATGCAACATCAACAACACGCCCGTGGAGCGGGTCATTGGCTACTATGAGGCCTGGTCGACCTCCAAGCGGCGCTGCTACAGCATGCTGCCCGAGTCGATCCCCTACGGGTACTACACCGACATCATCTTCTCTTTCGCCACCATCGACCCCCAGACCTTCGAGATAGAGGCCGGCGACCACAAGACGGAAGAGTACATGCGCCGTATCAGCACCATCAAGCTTGTTCAGCCGGACATCCGCATCTGGATCGCCGTGGGCGGCTGGTCCTTCAACGATCCTGGGCCGACGCGGACCACCTTCAGCGACATTGCCGGCTCGGCCGCCAACAGGCAAAAGTTTCTCAACTCGCTCGTCTTGTTCATGAACAAGTATGGCTTTGACGGCATCGACATTGATTGGTCAGTATTATCCTTTTCCCCCATGCAAGGCGATCAGTCGTGATCCGGTAGAAGGGCCTGACGCGTGCTTGGCCGAAAGGGAATACCCAGTCGCCGAGGACCGCGGTGGCAGGGGCGTCGATTACGAAAACTTCGTGAGCTTCATGAGGGCGCTGAACCTTAGGATGAAGTGGTTCCGCCGCCGTTTCGTGTCGCTCACGCTCCCGGCCAGCTACTGGTACCTCCAGCATTTTGACATTGTCGGCCTCGAGCCCTTGGTCGACTGGTTCAACATAATGACCTACGACATGCATGGCTCGTGGGACCTGACCAACAAGTGGACCGGACCCTTCGCCAACTCGCACACCAACATGACCGAGATACAGGACGCGCTCGATCTGCTCTGGCGCAACGACATCTCTCCGAGAAAGGTGACGTTCGGGATGGCCTTCTACAGCCGCAGCTTTACGCTCCAGGACCCGGCGTGCAACGAGCCGGGCTGTCGCGTGAGCTCCGGAGGCAACGCCGGGCGCTGCTCGGGTACGACGGGTGTGCTGCTGCACCCCGAGATCGCAGACGAGATCCGCACACGGGGCCTCATGCCCACGCTGTATCGTGGGGCCGCCGTCAAGACGGTGAGCTGGGGCGACCAGTGGGTTTCGTTTGACGATGTCGTGACGTGGCGGCTCAAAGTCAACATCATCCGCAGTCAGTGCATCCCCGGCGTCATGGTGTGGGCCATGAGCCAGGACGACGAGGAGGGCACCAACATCAAGGCGCTCACTGCGGCCCTGGACCGCAAACAGATGCCTGAGCCCAACTTCAGCAAGCCCAACAACACCCAGCCCGTCGCCGATCTTGCGCCCCCTAGGCTGTGTCGGTGGTCGGGCTGCTACGCTGACTGCCCGCCCGGCTTCAAGACGGTGCAGCGCTTTGGCCATGAGGAGGTGATGCTCACCGAGGAGAACTGCATGGATCAAGGCATGTCCAGGTTGTGCTGCCCGGCGGATCAGCCGCTGCCTTCGTGCGGGTGGAACGGCCACAGCAATTCGGGCAAGTGCACCCCTGGATGCGCGCCCGGCGAGGTCGAGGTGGGCACCCTGACCTACGGCTGCAGCTCGGGCTATCAGTCGGCATGCTGCACCAACACCACCTCCACGGCGGCGTACGGTGTGTGCAAGTGGACGGGGTGCGGCGAGTCCTGCCCCAGCGCACTGCCACACAAAGTCGTATCTGCGTGGATGGGCTCCGGGGGAATGCCGCACTGCGATGTAGACAAGTTGCGCTCCTTCTGCTGCCCGGACCCCCCGCCGGCCGATTTCACCGACTGCTCGTGGGTCAGCGTCAACGGAAGCCATTACAACTCAAAGTATTACTGCGAGGACACGTGCCCCAGCGACCAGGTCAAAATCGCAACGGAAACAGCTGGTGGCTTCACCGGCTTCGGTAACGGCTGCTTTGTCGGCGCCCGGGGTTACTGCTGCAAGCAACCGCCTCCGCCTGTCGTGCCGCGCGACGACGACAACGAGGACCCGTTCGGCGGAAAGCAGAACAAGGAGTTCCAGGGGCTCTTGGAGGAGTACATGGAAAATCCCACCTGCCCTGCCACGATCCTGGTTCCGGAACGGAGCAGCTGGTTCAGGGACTCGAAGCGCCGCTCCCTCTCGGCGGAGACTGCAGAGCTCGGCATCCTCCAGAGCCGGGCGACGGAGTGCAAAGAGGACCACTTCACACGTTTGGGTACGTATGGTGTCAACCGCAACCCTGGGAGAGACCAGAGGAGGCGTGGATTACCCCAAGAAGCCTGGACCTTGACTAATCTTGACCGTCAGTGGCCTTCGGAGCCGCCATGCTCACCATGTCAACCAGCATGCTGGAGCCGCTGCGGGTTGTTTACGACGAGCTGTTCGCAGACCACTTTGACTCCGAATTGAGAGCGGACAGTCTCAGGTCATACTATGAGAGCATCCTCAACCTCGATCCGAACGGGCTGATGCAGTACGTCTTTTTGAACCCGGTCCAAGCTGGTAGGGGCATCTGGCGAGACCGGCAGACCACCTCCGCCTTCTGCCAGGTCGAATCCACCTCCACGACGAGGAAGCGTCAGGGGTTGGACGCGTCGGGACAGTCTTCGGCTCTCCTCGCGCCGCGCATTGTGGAGTGGTTGCCCAGCAGTGCCGGAGTACCCGACTTTGGGACCGTCGTTCAGGGCATACTGAACGGAGAATTGAGCCTGCACTATGCCCGATGGGTGTACCTGAGAAACCAGGGCGGCCCAATGCTCGAGCTGGCCTATTGGATAGGGCCTGTCCCGGGCCAGCCGGGGGGCAGCGACAGGTACCGGGACAACACTAGACCGACCAACGGCAGGCCAGATCGCTGGGTCGTGGTGCACCTACACATCAATGAGCGGACAAATTGGCTGAGGAGCTTCAACGGCCGCACGTACGTCGGCATCCAGTCTGTCCAGATATTCCACGGCCAAGAAACCAACGAAATCGAGGGACAGGGCGCGTGGCGCGTCGACAACACCGGTAGCCGGTCAACGCGCCGCGGCTACAGGTGCCCGGAGAACACGCTCTGGTACGTAGATTTGCGCTCCTCCCCCGTTCCCCCCCGGGCACCCGCCCGCCCGTCCGCTCGGGAGTCTCGAGAGTCATTGTGAACCCAAAGCAGCGCATGAAACGACTGACATTGTTGGACAAGGTATTTTGGCGCCCCCGTGGCGATACCGGGCTCGAGCCCCGCGGACGAGGCGATGCGGCAGTACTGGCAGAACCTGCGTGACTGGGCGCTGCGGCTCTTCAACAGCGGCTACGTGGCCAGCCCTGGCCTCAGTCTCATCCTGCGCAATCCTGTGAGGTTGATCAATGGAGACTACGACCCCAGCAGCCGCACACTATTGGGGCAGGGCGAGAACCATCCTGACTACCATCAGAATATGTGGTTGATCAACTGGATCATTACAGGTCTAAACCCGTTGTTCTTTGACTTCGGGCCCGCAGATCCAGATGCCTAGCTGTAGCGGCGGGCAGGCCGGGAGGGCCGCAGTTTCGGGCACCTGGGTGTTGCGGGAGCGACAGAGTGGCCAAAGCCCGGCGTCCGCGGTGGCTTATGGTCCTGATGTAGGCATAGTAACACCTCCGACGGCGTTGATAGTTATGTAGTTGACCTTGGATAGAGTCTTGTATTGTATTGTACATACAATCCAGCCCTGTTTTGTTGATTTACGTGGAAGATACTTGGGGTCCGAGCGGGTTTTTGCCGATGGCCCCCCCCATAGAGGGAGTGCAAAAATTCGGAGATATACACTAACGTTAAGCCTTATAATAAGAGCAACTAAGGGACTACTATAAGCTCGGCAATAGCACGCTTAAGCGCTAAATCTAAGGTTGTGACGAAACCAGGCAGTCCTGCCTCTGAAAGGGTTCGCCGGTCGAAGGTAGTCTGGTCGGGCTGTAGGTCTCGGTGAAGCCAAAAGGTTGACAACAATGCTTGCCGCAATGTCTGCACAGTAGATGAGGACTACTGATTGAATTGCTCACTGAGGAAGCTAGCTATCTGAATGAGTGACAGAATGGTGGAACTATATACAGCTTCCTCCATGGTGACTATTGGTGTGCTCCTGATGCTCCCGGTGCTCCCTGGGAGCGATGGGATCAACGGGAGTAGATGGTGATCCCGTCCCGGGAGCGCTCCACTCGGGAGCACCCAAGGTCTCCACCCAATGCTTCCGTAACGATTGGTCCGGGGCGCCCCGCGCTCTCGTGCCGCATGCATGGCTGGCCCCTGTTGGCTCAGTTCGTGACAGTTTGGAAGCTCTCCTGCGCCTATAGCATCAATCAGACACATGCATCATATGCGTATAATTGACTGCATTCGCCCTGCATTGCTACGTTCTATACCATTCGGACGGCTCTATCCTACAGGAACGCCGTAACCTGCATTTGAACGCGCTTAGCCCATTTCAATCGTGGTGTCGTGGCTGTTGGTAATTCCAACAGATTTCGTCCTCTATGGACCCCTGATTCGCACCCCTCTCTGGCTACCTGGCGATCCACCCAATATCACCGAATGCCGCCCCCGGTATTCGTACTGGTTATTTTAGCCATCTTGGTGTGGGGCTCTCTGCCCGGCTATTTCTACTGCCCCAGGCCAGCCTTCTTGGCCTGATGGAATCAACCAACTTCACCCTCGTTTTTCAGATTCTGAGATTAGGTCAAAGGTTCCAAACTCGCCTCTCGGCTTCCGTACGTATCGGCCGCGTGCGTGCCGCGCAATTCATCACTCGCTGGCCCACCTCTAGTTATCTGTATAAATGGTCGTTTGACGGCCAGCGCGTCGAGTTTCAACTGGCCCTCCTCACTCGCCCCTGTCATCAGCCACATACTGTGTACACACTCGCAGGGCGAGACGCACCTCTGCATCGATAGGAAACCATGGAACCCAACTTCAACAGTTTGGTACACACATACCTCAAGCACGGCAACAGAGAACATCTCGCGGGGCTTCTGCCACTATGGAGTCCCGCCATTGACGAGGACCATGCCTCGATCGGCCTTGCATTGCACCACGCCATCTGCATAGGAGACGAGACCGCTGTCCGCATGATGCTGGATGCCGGGGTGCGCCCTACGGTGGTGGACGGACACGAACCGAATTACACTCCCATCCTGACGGCTTCCCAGTACGGCCGGCGCGAGATGGCTCGTCTGTTTTGGCGACTCGTCGGGCCCGACGGCCGCTTCTACCCCTCGCTGCGCAGGAGAAGCGAGCTCACGTGCCTCGTCGTGGCTGCACAATATGGTCAGGCAGACCTGGTGGCTGACTTTCTCGACATGTGGGATGGCTGGTCAGTGGACGAGAAGCGGCGGGCGCTCCTTGATGCCGCGGCGGAATGGAACGACAACGTGGTCACAGTTTTACTCGCCAAGGTCGGGTACGAGGTCGACGACATCCAGGAGGCATTGGGCCAGTGCGTCGACTCCGGCCCAGGGTCTACCCACTATATAGGAGCGGATGACGGCGACACACCCGAGTACAACGCCCGAGCGCACCGCCTCGTGTGTCGGCTTGTCGATGCCGGCGGGAATGCAGACGCAACCTACCTGGAACGGCCCCTACTCTGCATCGCAGCCCCGTTGGCGGATCGGATCGGCGCCCTCAAGGCGCTGCTCGAGAAGGGAGCGAATCCCAACATCCAGAACGTCGAAGGCCGCACGCCACTCCACGCAACGTTCAGCTTCTCATCATCTTCTATAGACGCCCTCCGCCTCCTCCTGGACCACGGCGCCTCGCCCGAGATCCCAGATCAGGACGGCGCGACGCCGCTCCATGCCGCCGCCTACGGCAGCTCCCTCGACAAGCTCCAGCTGTGCCTCGCCCGCTGCGCGGATGCCGACGCCGCCCTCCGCCTACAGACACGACACCGAGAATCGCTCCTGCACTACGCCGCAGCCGGCGGGAAGCAGGACATTGCCGAGTTCCTGCTCGACCGCGGCGTTCCCGTCGACGCGGCCAACACCAACGGCTGGACGCCCCTGCTCTGCGCCTTGATGCCCACCCCACCAAAGGCCCTTGCCAAAGCGTGCAGCCTGGCCAGCCTCCTGCTGCAACGAGGCGCCAGGGCGGATGTAGCGACAGACGAGGGTTGGACGGCACTGCATGCGCTGGCATCGCATCGCCCGCGTTTGTATTGGGAACCCGCCGCCGACGCGCAAGATGACCGTTCCAAGTGGGCGCCCGCCGTCCCGCTGGTCCGGGAGCTCGTTGCGCGCGGCGCGCCGCTGTACACGCCGTCGAGCGTAATCCGCAGCCCGGCTGTCACCGCCGAGACCGTGTCTGGCGCGTGGGGGGTTCGGATGCAGCGGCTGCTTGCTAATGAAGCGACGACGACGGCCTCGGCTAACACCGAGACGACCCGGCCGGGAACGGTGCAGCCAGGCGCGGAGGCGGAAGAGGAGGAGGAGGGCACGACGCCGCTTGTGTGGGCGTGTCGGACCGGCGCAATGGTCGCCTTCGATGCTGTTATTGCGGAGGATGGGGAGCCGAACAACTGTCCTCAGAGCGACCAGTTCTAGACCCTTTTTAAGCAGACAGGGAAAATTTATGGGCAAAAGGCTCACCGGCAAACCGCCTGCGCTGGATCGAAGGGATCATGGCCGGCTACGAAAACCCCAGCAGTGGGGACTTTACTCCGGAATCAAACCAACGCCCTCTCAATGTGTACACATTGCGGCAGGAGAGAGCTCCTGCCTACTGCCTTCCCCCAAATACCGCTCGGCCAAATGGGCCAGCAACTTTACCAAGCACTCGGGGGAAGGCAGTGATTGTTCGGAGTGCGGAACTTCTATATATACTCCTGGCTAGAGCTCACGTTGTTGTCCTCCAAACCCGAACCCATCTCATACCATCTGCCTCCTTCAGGTTCGTCGTTCCGTATGATTGAATAGCTCTTCGCTATCCGTTCCTCGAAACCGCCCTTGACCCCGGCTATTATTGAACGCAGAGCAGGGTCAGCAATCAAATTCGCCATGCATAGGGGCAAGGGGCGGGAAACTGGAACAAGAAGGCGATGACTTACAGATATTGTAGTAAACGAATTTGACGATCGTTGGTGCCCAGATTCCAACGGCAATGACCTGGCCGAAACTCCAGCTGCTGGTACCGCTGATGGTAACGAATTGCGAAACCTGAACAAGCACAACGAGCTCATATACGACCAACAGAGGGAGAAACAACTCGAGACAAAACCAATATATCGTAGTTACGAACCTCTATGTGACGGTATGATGCAGTTTACAGGGTCAAGCCAGCTGTTCGTGGCATACAATTCCATGAAACTAAGCCTAAAGGGAAAAGAGGGAAAAGGTTCTGGGCGGTCGGTAGTTAGGGCAACCCAAAACAGCAGCACGGAGAAATTACCCCAATTTTATGTTGGCTCCATCGGCAGAAGGAGGGGCAACGCTAAGCCTCAGAGCCAAATATGGCAATTACCACTGTATGTTCGCACCTGCATCCTACAGGGGGAAGGACAGGTGGACTTTTGATAGTGGTCCAGTCGCCCGCCAAACAACAACCTGGGAAGTCTCGCGGATCGTCCGATTCCCTGTCTTCTCCAATCTGAGTACCGATTGACAGGCAACACTAACAAGGCACAACCAGACGCTTCAATGGCTCCTCCTCTGTTTCTGCACGGCCATAGGGAGTCCGGCTGCTTTGCTGTCCTTGCCGATCGGAAATACTACCGCCGTGGAAACCTGTTCATCAAGCGAACCCTGCGGAAGCACGAGTGGACGGAGCTCAGCAGTGACACGGTCGCGGAGCCTTCTGCTGCCCTGCCCCAGCGATTTCGAACCGACGTGGCCGTCCAGCAGTATCTGCGTGAACGGACCAACATACCTTTGCCCGCATTTGCGTCGACCTTTGAGGACGATGGCGCAATGTATCTGGTGATGGAGTTTTGTGGAAGTGGAAGGCGTGGGCATGAACGAGCTACCGGAAGAGGATCGAAGGGTCATTGAGAAGGAGCTGCAGCAGCACATGGGGACACTCAAGTCCCTGCGATCCGACACCCTCGGCGTGCCAGGTGAGCAGCTCAGGGTCGCGCCACAACGCGTCTGTGATATGAGTTGGATTTATTACACTTGCTGGCGACCACGCAGCAACGTGAAGGGAGACTTTGTCTTCTGCCACAACGACCTGGGTCAACACAACGTACTCGTCGACCCCAAAACTCTCAAGATCACTGCCATTATCGACTGGGAGTTTGGTGGCTTCTGGCCCGAGTGGTTCGAGCGACCTTTCTGGATGCGGCCGGGTCAAAGCTATGCGCACTCGAGGGGGAGGAAGACGACACAGAGCGTTGCCGCGAGTGGCTGACGGCCAACTTCGAGGCGGTTGAGCAGCAACACCTGCCCACCCTTCAGGACAAGCTCGATTCGATGCCTTGGACCCCTAAAGTCTTGGACGACGAGCTACCAAGCCAGAAGGTGGCTGAACCGACCAAGCAGACAAAGGACGAGCCAGAGGTTGCTATTGCCTCCCCTATTCACACGACATGATGATGATGTTGAAACGCACTGCTGCGCCTCGGAGCGATGACTTGCACCCAGCCTTCGTTTTCACAATCGTCCCAGGGACCCGCCACCATGACATGTCCATTACTCCGGAATCCGGTGCTCACTTGCCGACACCCCTGCGCGCCACTGATAGGAAGAGGCAACGTGTTCGTCCAACGGGTACTTCTGACCTTTTTTCCCGTAGAGGTTCTCGCGGTATGTCCCGCCAGGAACGGCATAGTCGTGCCAGAATAGACCACGTCTCCGAAGCTCGGGTAGGAGCAGCGTGGCGACGTCTTGGAAGGATTGCGGGAAGAGGGCATAGGCCTGCGTTACTGCGTTTGAGTCCACTGTGTGTTGCACCAATGGGGGAGACGGAAGTCTTACAAAATTGAAGCCATCCACGTCAGCTTCGTCAACCCAGCTTTCCAGGGCATCTGCCACTTGGGCCGGCGTGCCGACAAGGACGGGCCCGTTGCCGCCGATGCTGATGTGCTCTGCCACAGTGTGCTTGGTCCACTTCGAGTTCGCTGGGGAGAAGCGGGCATAAGCCTCGACGGTGGATCTATCGGACCGTGAGTACCTTTTCCCAGCCCGTAATACTCATTGTTCCCTCCCCGGGGGGCGAAGAGAAGAGGCTTTCTCACCTAACCGCGTTACTCTCAACGTGCCTCAACTCTTCCTCGTCACCGTACTTGTCCAGATCAATTCCGGTCCATCCACCAAAGAGCGCCAGTGCACCCTCCGTTGACGCGTACTGTCGAAAGTCCTGGAGCTTAGCCTGCGCCTCCTCCTCAGTCCGCCCTAGGATCGGCAGCACCAGCGCGAGGACCTTGATGTTGCTTGGGTCGCGACCAAACCGCTCCCTGGCCAGCTGGCGAACCTCGGCAATGTTCTTGGCGACGACGGTGGCCGAGTGGGCCGACACAAAGATGGCCTCGGCGTGCTGGGCGGCGAACACCTTCCCAGCCTTGGAGGTGCCCGCCTGTAGAAGCAGGGGCGTCCGCTGGGGGCTGGGCGCCGTGATGGCCGGGCCCGGCACCTGGAAGAACCGGCCGCGGTGGTTGATTTTGCGGACGAGGGACGGGTCTGTGTAGACGCCCGTCTCGCGGTTGAGCTGGACGGCGTCGTCCCGCCACGATGACTGGAAGAGCTTGTACATGACTTTGATGTACTCTTCTGCTTGGGCATACCGGTCATCGTGCTATAGTAGGTATTGGTCAGGCTGTGCTTCAAAGAGTGTTACGGAACCGGCCGTGCTTTTGGGACTTACGGGAAGTTGTTCAGTTCGGCCGAGGTTCCTGGCGGCTGAGTCTAGATAACTGGTCACGATCTAGTTCATAGATAGTTAGCCTCGGCTCGGTCCTCAAGCGCCCCTCCTTAAACGTACGTTCCAGCCAAGTCTTTCAGAGTTCATCATCAGTTAGCTCATCTCGATCGTATAGCCGACACATCGTCCGTGGATCGGACATACCTTCCCTTGGTGAGATGGTCGACCGTGGCCAGTCTCCTCGCAAGATGGTACGGCTGCTCGTACGTCGTGGATACGGTAACACCAAAGCCGATGTTCTTTGTCGCAGCCGCCATGGCAGGAACGACGGCAAGGGCCTCGTTGACGGGCCATTGCGCACCCGTCTGGATGGCAGGGTCGAGTGACTGCTTGTAAACGTCGTACCCGCCTGCATGACGGTGTCAAAACCTCTCTGCTGCCTCCAAAAAATGGGGGAGACGTCACACAGGTAAAATACAATACTGACCAAGAACATCGGCGATGAAAATGCCATGGAACTTGGCCTCCTCCAGTGTCTTGGCCAGGTTCACCCAATGTTCAACGTCCCCAAATTTCCAGGACTCGTCATCCGGATGCCGCCAAAGGCCCGGAGACTGGTGGCCGCTGCCTGCGGTAGCTTAGTACGAGATAGCTGAAAGCGGGCGCCGGGAGCATATCGTACACATCATCACGAACGCATTAACAATCAGTTGCTTTCTGGGCTTAGCATCGACATCCTGGGTAGCCATTGTGTGAATATCTCGCGTGTGTGTTGTATGTTTCCGAAGCGTATGCAGGAAGTAGGTAACGTAGACAGACTGTAACGGAGGTGGCAGCTACCCGATCGGGTCTCCTAGATGGCAATGCGGGACACGTAGATAATGAATATATTCGCAGATGAATATCTCCCGGATCAGATTCCGTAATGGCACGGCGCGCTTATCGATACCCGGCAACCCAGTTCCGATGCGATGGAGCGTCTCCTAGTGTCGGTGGCACTCGGCGATGGTGTGATTGAGGAGTTGTTGGTGCTCATAGGACCGATCATCGGCCGATGAGTTTCTCCATCCTTATCGAGGGAGCAAGGCCACCTTGTTGGATCCTGGAGGGATGACGAGCAACGGCCCTAACAGGCGCAGGCTGGTAGACTAAGTGGGAATTCCTTTGCCTAAAGTCAACATAGACAAATGGGAGATCATGAGTTGGTATGCCTCGCGATGGCGCAATCGGCCGCCTAGATTTGTGAATCAAGGCCGAGCATGCCAACCCGGAATCCGCAGTCATGCACAATCCTATTGTGAAATTGAGCTGATTGAAAGGGCATTAAAAACTCAGAGTATGCCATTAAATCATCATACCCGAGTTACATGCATCTTGGGTATTACGGCCGATGATACCGAATACGAATCATGCCTTCTCTGTCATTCTTTCGGCGAATGTCGCTCCCTAGCGTGGGCAAGCCATCCTCCAAGTCAAGCGCCAACGAACAAAATGCGGAAGAACGAGTCTCAATCCCCGAGACACAGACGGTTCTCCTGCTACATGCCCCCCGCCAACCATATCAGTTAACAACCTCCTATCCCGTCCCCCAAGTGAAAGGAATTCGCGAGGTGCTTGTCAGGACACGCGCAATTGGGCTCAATCCCATTGACTGGAAGGCACCGTGAGTTACTCTGTTATCCATTTGCTCCCTGCAAGGAGACGCTGTTCTAACTCTAAGGTGCAAGGGATTTCAACTTCGGCATACCCGAACTTCCATATATCTCAGGTAGGGAGCTGGCCGGTGAGATTGTGCAAACCTCAGACCGCTCATCCCGTCTCAAGCTGGGTGACAGAGTATGTCATTCTGTTGTGCACGCCCGCGGGTACTGGTATGAACTAAGTGGATGATAGGTCCTCGTCATCTCAACCGACTACCGGGACCTCCGGAAGGCTGCGTACCAGGAATATGTGGTCGCACTGGATTACAACACCGTCCGAATTCCTCCCGCCCTGTCGCTGGAAAAGGCTTCCACGCTGGGCGTAGCGTTTGTGGCGGCAGCATTAGCGCTCGGCGTCTGCATGGGCGTTGACTTCTCTGGTGAGCTAGGCGGCCCAGACCTCCACCGCCTGGTCAGGGAGGTTGCATCCGAAGGTTTGGCCAGCGATATTCGGAAGGAGTGCCTCGATGGCATCAGAGAGCATGAGCGGGCGGTTCGCGGGGATTGGCTGGCTGTCTGGGGTGGTAAGTCACACATAGCATCGCCTAATCACTCTTCGGGACATAACGCTCATACCGGCCAGGCTCTTCCACCTCGGCCCACCTGACCATCCAGCTAGCCAAGTTGGTGGGCCTGAAGACGGTTGCGATCGTAGACAAGGCAAAGCACGGGGTGCGGCTCACCAACCACCAGGCCATTCACACGGACCTACTAGTGGATAGCCACGACCCTCAACGAGCGGTGGACATTATTCGCAGCAACCTCCAGGGGAAACTACGGTTTGGCATTGATACACGAGGCGCGGAGTCAGCAACGAGTCTCCTTCAGGCCTTATCTCCAGGGACTTCAGCACGTCAGTCTCGACCGCTGGTGGGAGCCCCACGGAATGCATCGCCACCGTCACCACCAGCCACCCCTGACGACTCGATGCTGTTGTCGGCGCACTTGATCGGCCTGACGGGACTGCCGAAGCATCCCGCCCCGGAAGGCACAGTGTATCACACGATTCCGATCAAGCTGTTTCACGAGATGCCGGCTATCGGGGAGGCGCTGTCGAGCTGGCTCGAGCGGTTGTTGGCAGAGGGGCGTATATGCGCGCCCGAGGTCCTCGACGTCGAGCAGGGGTTAGGGAGTGTGAACAAGGGCCTGGACCGGATGAGAAGAGGAGAGATCAGCGGGGGGAAGTTGGTCGTCAAGGTTGCGTAGACTAGTACTAGTTAGTGGTGATGGGAATGATCATGTTTTGGGAAGTTTTGGAAACCTCTCTACGTTGCTCGTGGTTCTGCTTTCCTCGGTTGTATCATTCTTTGTTCTGCCCCTTTTCTTCCATTTGCCATTATTGGTTACTACCCCTAATTTCCAGAGCTGAACGGAACGGGCCAATCTGATTTGACTCATACTCCTTCTAACTACCACCTGCCTGCATCCCCTCCCCCTGCGTTTCTGAGTAGTCTCGGCCCTAACTTTCAACACTTAGCTACCCTTGACATCCGTATCCCTAGTTGGCTCCTGTTGGCTCATGCTATCTGTACCCGTATCCTCGTCCCCATTTTTCACGGAGCCAAAATGGCGCAGAACAAGCCAGGCCGGGAGGATAGCAATCCCCCACAAGCCAAAATTCATATACACGCCGCCAACCTCGGCAAACACCGTTAACGACTCCAGGCCGTAACTCAGAGCCTGCCAGGCGGACTCGGTGCCACGCAACAGCGCGGCGTAGCGGATCAGCTCGGCCTCGCTCTCTGCCAGGTTGTGGATGACGAAATAGAGAAAGAGGTAGTTGAGCTGGAAGCCGAGTGTCAGAAACACGAAGACGGCAAAGGCGGCGCCGAAGCCGGGCATGGCCCAGTCATAGGTCGGCTTGGTCTGACGGAAGCGCGTGACTAATACGGTCGCCCAGATCCACCAGGCGCCTTGAAGCGTGACAACGACCCAGAAGGCGCCACGAGCACGGGTCTTTAGCGGGATTTGCGTCCTGTCGAGCCAGAGCTGGTTGACGGTCAGTACCGCAAGAACTAGAAATTTGGGCTACTTGTAGTTAGTGGGATTATGGACTTACGCCAAGTAGGTTGCCAGATATGACGGCCACTATGCCGGAAACAAATGAGCCGAGAGCTCTGGCTCGCACCGAGAACCACACTAGCATATTGTTAATAACAATCACCTCCATATGGCAATAAAGTAGGTTAGGAGCGATAGTATTAAGAGAGGGACTTACTCGCAAGATAGGTGAAGAAGACAGCCTCAGCGAACACGGCCTGGCCGATGAACACCACGATAAGCAGGAATCTCCTGCTAAAGAACAGCCTCGCAGTCTCCCTCATCTCAAACCACGGATTCTGCGTGATGCTCAGGTCCACTCGCTTCCCGTCTCGGCGCTCCACCCTGGACGGGCGGGTGAGCAGCAGGCCAACGAGAGGACCGACGGCCTGCAGCGCGATGAAGACAAGGAAGACGGTGTACGACACCTTGCCGGCCTCGTTGCGGTCGGCATTCAGGCCCAGGTTAATGGCGCCGCCCAGGATCTGGCCCGAGAGCCGGTAGGTCAGCCAGTAGCCGAGCGCCTTGCCGCGGTTCCAGGGCTCCGGGTAGGCCATGGCAATGGCCGCCTCGGCCATCCAGAAGACGCCGGCCGAGATGCCGCAGAGAGCAGCACCCAGGAGAACCAGCCATTCATTGCCGAAGCGGTTATTTGTGTACAGCCCTGCCGCATATGGGGCGTATCCAATGCTAAAGGAAATCTTGCTTATTAGTACCGGTCCAGCATGGTATTGAGAGTTCCCCCGGCTCAGTTTTTTGCGAGCACGCGGAATCGCACTCACGTCCCAAAGATCAGGGCCCCCTTGATGCCGATGTAGTGCACCAGCGCGCTGGAGAAGTAGCACGACACCACCATGAGACAGAAGGTCAGCGCGTTGGCGGCGTTGATCAGGTTCGGCTTCGCAGCGCCGCCTGCGCCAAGCGAATTCATCGCGCCCCAGATGCCGGGAGCGGCAAGGTTGCACAGACCGAGGATGGTCATGTTGTAGAAGGTTGAGCGGTACCATCGCACTGGGCCTCGTTTTCAACCACGTTAGTAGAGGGCTGCGCATGTGGCGGCACGTTGTTTATTTGGTGCTAACTCACCTGCATGGTATTGCTGGTCGTTGGGGGGGCTCGCTCTGCTCTCGTAGTCCTGAGGTGACTGCTCTTGAGAGGGCATTTTGATCTGTCCTGACTCCATTGTAGATCTGTTTCCCATCTTTTGTTTCCCCCTTTCCGACTATCCTTCGGAACAAAGTAGGTTTAAGAGCGGTTCACACCGGGTCGGCGGGCTCGGTACTGGAAAAGGGGTGGATCAGCGTTGTGTAAATGCTCGCCCAATAAGTACTAGCTAAGCAATCAAGAACTGCTTGCCAACACTACCCCGGGAAGCACGCCATAGTCTTGTGCCTGGTTATTGGGAAGAAGCAAGACATAGCGATACGAGCCATGAGGGGATGCGGGGATTCTTGTTCTACCTAGCGTGATAATGGTTCCTGGAGCGTGCGGACTGCGTAGCACAAATGTGGGATGGTTGGGAATGGTGAGGAGCTTGAGGATTGCTTCCGATCTCCTAAAATGGCGAGCGGGACGGATCTCTAGGTGATAGATGGCTGGTACCTGACAATCTCCTATCCCCTCGGTGGCCATCAGTTTTATTTGCGTCAATTGTATAGTCTTCATAGCATCCGGAGCAGTACGACTGATACTTGGTACTACTTGATACCCTCTCTGCACTCAGAAGCAAAGGTGCCAAACAAACTACAACGATACGCACTAATCCAACGTCCCGCGTATTAGGCAGATGGAACATGTAGTCTCTACACTAAGCCGAATTCACCGTCCGTTCATGAAGACCAGTCCCCCGGCAAATCCCACCAGCGTTCGTGGATATCCTTCAGGTCCACCTCGCCCGGCAGCCGCAGGTAGTTTGTCATGTCCGAGTCCGGATCCGCTTCCTTGCTTGTCCACCCATTGCCAAAGTACCAGGCAAACCGATTCCCCGAGTCGCCGAGATACGTGTACTCCCAGTCCTCCCAGCGCGGCTCCCTCCTCACCGCCGTCACATGGCCCGCGCTACCGGGCCACACGCCGTGGATGCGCCCACCGGGTCTGCCGCCGTTGTACCACGAGCTGCAGTTGTCCGACAGCACGGTCGACGCGAAGAAGGCGTCGGCATACTCCTGAAACTCGTCTGTGGCGCGTTGGGAAGGGGCCATGGTCTTGATGCCCTCGCGCGACGCCTTGCGGAGAAACTTGGCATACATGCTCAGTTGCACCTCGACGCTGTGTGGCACCGTGCCCGACGGCCCCGCGCCGTGCGGGCCATGCACGAAAAACAGGTTCGGGAAGCCCGGGGTGGCCTGGCCGAGGTACGTGTAGGGAAACCCGTAATGCCGCCCGTCGTCGTCCTTGTCGGCGGTAGCAGCAGCAGCAGCAGCCGCGGCGGGAGCCCACAAGTCCCGCAGGTCGCGGCCGTGGGCGCGGATGGGGAACGGGGTGACCATGTCGACGTTGGCGCCCGTGGCGCAGAAGACGGCGTCGACCTGTCTCTCCACGCCGTCGGTCGTCACGATGCCGGTCTCGGTGAAGCGGGCGATGGGCGTGCGGATGTACTCGACGTTGTCCTCGCTGATGGCCTCGAGGTATCCCGGCCCGGGCGTCAGCCGGCGGCAGTTGGGCGAGAAATCCGGGACGATGTGCTCGAAGAGCTCCGGCTTCTTGGCCAGCCGCTGCCGCATGATCTGCACGAATCGGTCGCGGAGCTCGGCGTTCTCCCGCGATCCGCGGAAGAAGGCGGCGAAGCGGCGCCAGTACTTGTCCTCGAGCGCCTTGCGGAAGGCGAGATAGGCCTGCGGGTCCGCCGCAAAGCCGCTCTTCAGCTCCTCGCTGTACGGCTGCGGTTCGAGCGTGCGCTCGTCGCCCGCCCACGACGCGGCGATCCACGTCCGGTTGCGCGCGTAGTGGTCGAGACGGCCCACCACCTTCTGCAGGTTCGCCACGAGCTGGATCCCGCTGGCGCCGTTGCCGATGACGGCCACCTTCTTGCCCGACGGGTCAAAGTCCGGGCTCCAATGCGACGCGTGACGTAGGAGGCCCTTATAGTCCCCGATGCCGGGGTAGTCGGGCAGCTTCCAGGCGTTGAAGCGGCCGATGGCAGTTAGCACGAAGTCGGCCACCTCGGTCTTGGTGGTGCCCGTCGCGGCGTCGTGCACTGTCAGACGCCACACCGCCTCAGTCTCGTCCCAGACGAGGCCGTCAACGCGGTGCCGGAAGCGGGCATGCCGATAGATGTCGTGCTTGCGGGCCACGGCTTGCCAGTAGTCTCGGATCTCGGCGCCGGGCGCGAACTGGTCGCTCCAGTCCGTCTTGGGCTCGAAGGTCGCCTGGTACACATGCGACGGGATGTCGCACCGCACCCCGGGATACACGTTCTCCAGCCACGTGCCGCCGAAGTCCTCGTTCTTCTCGTAGATGGTGAGTTGGATCTTGGGCACCTTGGCCGGAAGCAAAATGCCAGCCAGGGTGCCCGAGAGACCGCCGCCTATCACGGCGACTCGGAGAGGCCGCGGCTCGTCGATGAACCGGTCGACCAGAGTAAGGTTAGACTTGGGGTAGGATACTGCCGGGTTAGAGGCACTGACTGCACCCCTTGTGGCTCGCTCTTCTTCATCAGTGGTGTTTGTTGCTAATGTTGTTGTTGTTGGGCTGGCGGCATTCTCTCGAGGTGCATGCCGCGACCTCGGATTGGTAGCATGGCTGACCACAGCTGGCGTGTCTGGGACAATGTCGGATACGGACTTGGCCGTTGCAGTCCAAGCATCCACTGTGACAGCGTGGTTGGCAATGACTCCGATGGTCATTTTGTGTGTGAAATGTGGAAATCAGGGGCTTTGTGTACAATGCCAGCGAGTCAGCAACTGAGAGAAAATTGGACCTGACATAGAGCAAGAGCATCAGCGGATAAGATAGGAACCACAACCAAAACCGAACACCGAACTCATTAGAGCGCGCATTTTGTATGACCCCAACGTCGCTGGCGATATCGCGTCCGCCGAGAGATGGCGTGCCGACGGCTTGGTGGTGCCGGACTATTATGGGTCCCAACAAGCACGTCAAGGCCCCGACCCATAGCACCATCCGCGGGGTCGGCGTTCATCAACAACCGCACCCTATCCTGTTATCTTGCCCTCCGACTACCGGGGCAGTTGGAGCTTGGTGATACCCTCTATTTCTTGTAGACCAGTGGGTCCCGGGTGGTGCGAATCACCATCCTAAATCACGTCATAGGATGTTGAGTGTTGCGCCAGTGCATGGAGCCAAGTCGAAGTAGTATCACATGTCTTAGCGACGGGCTAGTGGAAAGACGTGATAGTTACTAGTGGACATTGTTTCAGTGGCACAGATAGGGAACCATTGGCGAACAGTGGAACAACCCCCAAGCCTAGAAGAAAAACGCGCGATCCAAAGAGATCTGTTCCGCCAGTATCAGATCAACTATCTACTAGGAGAGAGAACTGTTCCAAAAGTAGACACCGCGACGCGTCGTCCTTGGCGGTGTCCTCGCTTCCAAAACCCCGGGTGCACAGGCGCATCCAAGGTACTGGTATGTAGTGCATATGCGAATCCCACCGCACATAAAGGTTCCCTGGGACCCTGGCTCACACCAACACCGTGGTATCTCGCTTCAGCACTTCGGCCACGAGGCAACAATAACTCCGACGTTCCTCCCAAACCCCCTAGCGCACCGACGACCGCAAGTAATCAACATGGAGCTCATCAAGGGGCACGGTGGCAGGCGCTGGTACCAGATCCGATGGTACCAGGAGCAAGACACACCGAGAGAGCGCCGGCTCATCAACAAGCTTGACCTGCTCATTGTGCCGTATGCCTTCCTCGCATACTGGGTGAAATACATTGATCAGTCCAATCTCAGTGAGAACGCGCGCACCCTCCATCTCCAGACAGTATTGCCCTCAAGTTCTTACTAACCCTGGACAATTTGCACAGATAACGCTTACGTGGCTGGCATGAAGGAAGACCTGAGCTTCAAGGGCAACGAGCTGGTGCAACTTCAGACCATGTACATTGTCGGCGCCGTGGTCGGCCAGATCCCCTTCCTGTTCCTGTTCACCTACCTGCCCATGCACTGGATCATCCCCTTCCTCGACGTGGCGTGGGGCATCTTCACGCTGCTGCAGTACCGCGTCACCAGCTTCGCCGAGCTGGCCGCCTACCGCTTCCTGGTGGGCTGGTTCGAGGCGGCCTTCTTCCCGGCCATGCACTACATCTTCGGCGCGTGGTACCGCGGGGACGAGATCGGGCGCCGCGGGGGCGTCTTCTATGTCGGCCTGACGCTGGGCACCCTCACCGCGGGGCTGATTCAAGCCGGCGCCTCCTCGCGCCTGGACGGAGTGAGCGGCCTCGCCGGGTGGAGATGGATGTACATCATCTGCGCCCTGCTCACCATTCCGATCGGCATCCTCGGCTACTTCATCATCCCCGGCACGCCGGACAGGCCGAACCGCTGGTTCCTCAGCGACGACGACATCCGCGTGGCGCAGGATCGGCTGCGGCGGAACGGCCACGCGACCGGCGAGCGGTTCCGCTGGGCCACGCTGCGGCGGCTGGCTTCGCGGTGGCACTTCTGGGCCATCATCCTGTTCGACATCTTCTTCTGGAACGGCAGCATCAACACGTCGACGGGCGGCTACCTGCTCTGGCTCAAGAGCCTGGGCCGCTACTCGCAGGCGCGCGTCAACGAGCTGGGCGCCGTCGCGCCCGCGCTGGGCATCCTGTACACGCTGGCCATCTGCTTCGCCTCGGACCTCGTGCTAGGTCCGGCGTGGGCCATCACGGTCGCGCACGCGTGGAACATGGTCGGCCTCGTCATCCAGATCGTGTGGTTCGTGCCCGAGCCGGCGCTGTGGTTCTCCTTCATGACCACGTACAGCGCCGTCGCCATGTCGAGCGTGCTCTACGGCTGGGTCAACAGCCAGCTGCGCGCCTCCCCGGCCGAGCGGTCCTTCACCCTGGTCCTCATCAACGCCGTCGCCCAGAGCACCACCGCCTGGACGCCGCTGCTGGTCTTCAAGACGGTCGAGGCACCCCGCTTTCCCAAGGGCTATTCGTTTGTGCTGGGCAACGCCGTGTGTCTCGTTGCGACGGCCCATCTGCTTAGGATTTACCTGGCCCGCAAGGAGTGAGTGTAGTACCCTGGTTTGACCTTCGGGCAAAAAGACTTCTTGCTGACACGGCGTGCCTTGCAGATCCAAGATTACTGACAGTGAGGTGGCGTCGACCCCTGAGGAGAACCGTTCGATCGGGGAGGCAAGTGACGGCAAAGTAAACAAAGAGGCAGAAATGCAAGCTACAAAAGCTTGAGGCTGTGTGGTTCCTGCTGAGCTAGGGGCGAGACTATTCCGCCCCAGGTAGCAAATCCTGGAAATACCGGTACATTGGATTAAAGTGGGAAAGACAACGTCCTCTGTATACATAAATCAACACAGCTTCCCGGGGGCTCTGTCAGTTCCTGTGAGGCAAGCACTCAAGCTGTGCGACTCCCGTGATCCACCAGCTCCAATAGATCCATGTACCTGTTATGAGTCCCTGCTTGTCTCGAAGGAGGCTGTCTTCATCTGAATGTCATCCATCGCAGACCGTGCGTCTTGGATCCATAATCCTAACAGATATTACTAGATTCTTCATAGTAGTTACTAATAAAGCGGTAGTACTTTGAGAGAATGGAGGCTCTTTTCCCTTGATCGAAGTCAGTGCCAAGCTTCATAGGATGGATTTATTGCGTACTAGTAGCCTCTATGCATCACATCATCCTCCTGGTCATGACAACATTGCGGCACGCCGACATTCGGCTGTTAAGCCGGTTACCACGCTGCATGATGCAAAATGATGCAAGCGCCAGGAATACGTATTGTATCGTGCAAACCTTGGGAAGCATACATTGAACTTAAAAGCGCTTCTTGCCACATATCTCTCCTCCTCTGAATAGGCAATCTGTTTCGTGTAGATATCACTTATTATCCGTGTCCAAAACATACCATTCCAAAGATGGCAGGTGTGCAGGTTGCTCCGACCAAGACAGATGGCTCTAGCGGCGACGTGCAAGACAGGCTTGGAAACGGCAAGACGCGCATCCTCATCAATGCCTTTGATATGTGCACAGTCGGCCATCTTTCCCCTGGTCAATGGAAGGTGAGACTCGAGAGCCATCTGCTTGTCGAGGGACGCCACCAAGCACCCAGACTGACACAGAGCTAGAACCCAAAAGATAGGTCAGCGACCAAACGCAAGCTCGAGTACTGGGTACAGCTTGCCAAGCTGCTGGAGCGAGGCGGCGTCAACGCGCTGTTCCTCGCCGACACATACGGTGGATACGACACGTACGAGGGCAGTGTGGACGAGTGCATCCGTCGCGCCGCCCAGTGGCCGATAACCGATCCAACGATAGTAAGTACTACTAGTACGATTTATGAATGGGATTAGAACTAACCTTCTGGTAGCCCATCTCGGCGATGGCAGCGGTGACCAAGAACCTCGCCTTTGCCATCACGGCCTCAACGTCGTTTGAGCCGCCCTATCTGCTGGCCAAGCGCTTCTCCACGCTCGACCACCTCACAGATGGCCGCATCGGGTGGAACATCGTGACCTCGTGGAAGAAGTCTGCCTTCAAGGCGATTGGCCTGGACAGCCCCATCGAGCACGACGAGCGCTACCGGCAGGCGGATGAATACCTGCGCGTAGTATACAAGTAAACCGCTCCCCACCCCTTTGCTCGGTTTGTGTACCGCACTCTAACCAGCCCCGCCAACAGACTCTGGGAAGGCTCGTGGGCCGACGACGCCCTCTCGCCGGACCCTGCCAACGACAGCTACGTCGACCCGGCCCGCGTACGCACCATCCACCACCAGGGCAAGTACTTCTCGCTCGCAGCCAAGCACATCGTCGACCCCTCACCGCAACGCACACCCTTCCTCTTCCAAGCGGGCACCTCAGCGGCGGGATCCGCCTTTGCCGCGACGCACGCCGAGGCCATTTTCGTGTCGGCCCACTCGCCGTCGGTGCTGCGGCCCAAGATCGACAACATCCGCCGCCTCGCGGCCGAGCAGGGGCGCGACCCGCGCTCGGTCAAGGTGTTCGCCACCATCACGCCCATCGTGGGCCGCACCGACGACGAGGCCCGCGCCAAGCACGCCGAGCTGCTGCGCTATGCCTCGGTCGTCGGGGGGCTGGTGCTCTTCAGCGGCTGGACGGGCATCGACATCTCGCGCCTGCCGCTAGACAAGGAGCTGACCGAGGCCGACTCGCAGGAGGCGCACAAGGTGCGGAGCATTCTGGATTCGTTCACCACGCCGAGCGACGAGGTGCCCAAGTGGACGCCGCGTGTGGTCGCTCATCATGCCGCCATTGGCGGGCTGGGTCCGGTTCCCGTGGGCAGCCCCGAGACGGTGGCCGACGAGCTGGAGCGCTGGGCGCGCGAGGCGGATGTCGATGGGTTCAACATTGGGTATGTGACCACGCCGGGGAGCTTTGAGGATCTGGTCGACTTGTTGATCCCGGAGTTGAGGAGGCGCGGTGTGTACCCGCCGCTTCCCGGGGATGGGGAGGAGCCCCTGACCGCAAGGGAGACATTTTACGGTAGGGGGCAGAAGGGGTTGAGGGCAGATCACATCGGAAGCAGGTATAAGTATGATGTCTATACGGAAGACCCCCCCTATTCCGGGGGTGCGGAGGAGGGTGACCAGCATACCGTCGATGCTCCATAAGGTCATAAGGTTGTGCTGAGCAATTCCAGTGGAAGTAGTACTAGTACTAAGAATGAAAACCGCCTGCCCTTTTAGCAGAGTCCCAAACCATCCGACATCTAGACCACCAGCCCCCAGAAGAGCCTGACACGTTCATCGAATAAACGCGCACTTAGTCTCTCTTGTTATCGACCTTTGGCAAGAACAGCCACAGCCCGAGCATCACTACCAGCAAGGCCAGAATAATCGGCTGAAGGACCATGACGCCGGCCGCTTGTGCCAACACACCGACTGCGAACGGAAGCAGCGCCGCACCGCATCCGCCGAATGCCGAGGCAAAGCCAATAACTGTGACGTGCAAGTGCTTCGGGAGGAGCTTGCTTGCTACGACGACGACGCCGGGGAAGAGGGGCCCGAGAAAGAATCCTTGCAGCGCGACGGCAACGGCCGAAACATAGAACTGCGGGACGAACCAAAAGAGGAACTCGAGGCCGATGGTCAGGGCGAGATAAACCTGAGTATGCAGAGAAGTAATCAGCACATTGAATTCCGCCCGGAGAGTAGAAGAAGGCAGTTCCCAGAAGACGGCTTACCGCTATAGCCAGGTTGACTCCCACCCGTGGCGTAACAAAGCCGAGGATGATTCGTCCAAGCGTGATGCCTAACCAGAAGCCTGTAGCCGTCATACCACTGGCAAATTCACCTCCCTGTCGCACCTGAATCATGAAGGTGACAATCCATCCTCCCAGCGAAACTTCCACGCCGATGTATGCCAGCAAGAAGATCGCACATATCCACGAGACTCGAGCGCCCGATGAGTGCCAGAGTGCCTCCACCAGCCCGGCCTTCTGGCCAGTCTCGGCGATGCGGTGTTTCTGTCGGTAGGCCTTGCCGGTCGCGCTCCAGAACGACCATGTCAGAGAGACCAGCTCAATAGCCGCGGCTCCGATCTGCTCGGGCGGTCAGTTGCCGTGTTTCTCGGCAGCGGGGGGAAGTTGTGGCTGCTGACCATGAAATAGTAGAACGTGTACCACCCCAGGTGATACTTCTCGACGATGAGAGTCGCTACCAGAGGACTAAGCGTGCCGCCCACTCCGTAGCAAGCATGCATAAAGCCCAGCAGCTCGTTCGAGTTGGCCAGGCTTCCGATCCATGCGTTCCACGCCGAGTCCCCAACGCCATTTCCGAAACCAGCGATGATAAACGCGATGACCAATACCACGTACGGCGGATGAGCCGCCATAATAATGTAGGCTGCCATGTGGCAGGCTGCAGAGACCATCGCGATGCCGCGCTGCCCTATCTTTTGGTGGAGGACATTGTTGGACATCGCCGAGACAACATACCCGGCGAACGGGGACAGGAACACCAAGGAGATGACCACGAAGTCCAGCCCGTAGTATGATTCGAGCTGTTTGCGCTGTCAGGGGTTATCCGTGAGTGACTTTCCTTGCAGTGTCAACATACAGATGGCAAAAGGGCCTATGTATGATACATCGTTAGAATCAGCATGACCCGAAGCGACACCGGGGGTTGTTTCTTCTAAGTCAACTCACTCCATATGCAGCATCATTGGCCCCAATCAGAAAGAAGCACCAAAAGGTCGAGAAGACACGTGCAATGTGCGTCCAAGATTGGTTCCATCGCTGCGTCACCTCGGTCCCGGCAGTGTCGTCTGGTTCTTCGATGCCACCTTCGGCTGGCGGTCGGCTCGTCCGTCGAAAGAAAGGTTCGTGGGCCGCTTCCAGCGCCGGACCGTGCTCTCCTACAAGCGTGCAAGCATTGCCTGAAAAGGCGGGGGCCGGGGATACCAGCTCGATCGTGACGCTTTGGGACATGGCGAGTGAGATGGTCGATGGCAGACCCTCAATCACAGGGCCTCGGATGCCTTTTGGGATACTAGGAGGAAGGAAGTTGGAATCACGAGAATAAACAACGGGGTTGAGAGGTGAAGTTGAGTCACCCGGGGGCTTTCGCCAAATACGGATCTTGGACCAACTTGTTGATATGTAGGATACATTACGTAAATGTCACATGCAGTGGAGCCGCGGAAAGCGGTATGGGAATAATGGGGGGGCATGATATGAATGACCTCTATGTGTAAGTGGATTCCTCCTGTATCGTGGTATGTATGTTCTCCATATATTCACACCCGCTTAATGGTGAGGACGGGTTGAGGACGGCAATAGGTACTTTACTACGGATAACGCTGAACTTCCCTACGACGCTTACAGGAAGGCCGGCTACTATAGCCATATCAATGCTATGAAGACATCATTCTCATCTTCCTGGCGCGGGATCTCTTCTTCCAGGATCTGATGAATAGCCCTTGCCGATCGCGTTGAAGGCCATCTTGCGGTTGTTCGGTGAACATCGGTCGTAGCTATGCCGTCCATTGATCCGAAGCGGGGCTCGCCGGTTCGGTTCGGTCTTGGACTCTTGGCTGGTCGCAATCTCACCCACTCGAAGGGCGCCGAAGTCTGCTTGGCGGCGTGGGTTGGCTGTCATCTTCGACCAAGCCAAGTCCTCGGCAAGCATACCTGGTAGTAGTTATACGAAGACGGAAGTTGCCGTAGCAGCAGGGGTAAGATTGACATCATCACGATCGGGAGCTGAACTAGGTTCTGACGAGACTTCTTGGACCAACATACAATTATTGTCCACCTCACAGCACTCTCAGAGCTTACAAGCGCTGGCCACAACCTTGCCGATCTTGCCAAGCCCCTCGGCAACCCCTTTGCCGAGTTTGGCCACGTCCTCACCCCTCATCGCGCGCCGGGCGTTGGCGGCGCGTCGTAGCTCGTCAGCCTCGCGGAACACCCCGTCGGATAGGATAAAGCCAAAGATGGCAAATGGGGCCGTTGAAGGGTCCTCCACCACATGTAGAGATCCATCGCCGCGAGGCCGGCCTCTCCTGCCAGCGCAATGAACTTGCCGACGTTGGAGAGGCTGGCAATGGCGCCAATGGCCTCGCCGCTGATGGGGACCAGGAAGAGGAAGGCCGAGATCAACATCCAGATGAGTGCCTTGCGCTTCTCCTCGTCCACCTTGTCTGCGATCTGCATCACGCTAGCCATGTTCTCGACCGCGGCGTGGACCATGAGCACGGGGAGCGCAAAGGCATCCACGTAGTCGTTGGCCGATGTGATGGCGGAGTTCATCTTGACAGCCTCGGCAGCGCTTGACAGCCCCCCGGGCAGGTTCGGAGTCGCTGGAGGAACGACACGATGGTGTCCTTGGGGTTGGCCACGTCGCTGGCATTGTAACCGCTGACAATCTTGGGCACGCCAAAGTCCCAGCCGTTGTTGTAGCACCGAGGGTACTCGTAGCACCCGGTTGGGACGTGGTTGACTGCGCCCCAGCCGACGTTCTCCTTCGCAATGCCCGTATCCGCTTCCAGGTCGGCGTAGAACTGGTCCGCCTGGTCCGGGCGCAGTGTCCAGTAGATGGTATCGCTTTGTCTCTGCACCTCGTTCTGGCTGGCGCGCAACGAGAATTCCGGCGGACACGGCTCCGAGACGTTGAGATAGGCATATCCCATGCCCTGGCAGAGGCTGCCGCTGCAGTACCGGCACTGGCCGTGCCCGGGCAGGTCGCCGTACCGGTCGCTGCACTGGGAACAGCACAGCTGCCCCTCGGCGACGACGCAGGAGAAGTACTTGGTACCGTTATGCATGTAGAAGTCCCGGATGGTGTTGGGTGCCGACTGCACGACAGCATCGGCGTAGGTCTTGAACTTGCCGTCGTAGCCGTTCGCCAATATGTGGGTGTAGTTCTTGAGGTCGGCGTCGAGCATGCTGCCGAGTGCTTGTAGAACATAAACAGCGCCACAGGTCGGAGACAGGTTCTCCGGGATGTCATCGAGATTGCTGTGCTGCCCCTTGCACCACTCGTCAGCCTCGTCGAGGCCATCCGTGTCCTCCTGCGCATCCGCCGGCCGAGACACGGCGTGATACTCGGCAAAGTCCACGGCCCAATCGGACACGCCGCCAAGGTTCAAGGCCTATCAAGATTCATCACCCAGATCAGAACGCGCCATTGCCGACGGCCGAAAGCAGCCGAGTTGGTTTTTTTTTTTTTTTTTTTTTTTTTTTTTTTTTTTTTTTTTTTTTTTTTTTTTTTTTTTTTTTTTTTTTTTTTTTTTTTGGTGACGTACCTTGTATTTGTTGGCCCTCGATTCTTTTAGCGAGCTTGACATGTACGCCACCCATTCCGTGCCTGCGGCTCAGCATTAGCGACGGGATGCGTCGGAAAGCAAAGCGTGAAGTTATAATGCCGACGAACCGCTGTACACCAGATAATCCGAGTCAGTCTTTTCGTCAGACCAGGTCTTGATTCTACACGGTTCTTCCAGGAGGATGTCGTTGATCTCGGCGTTTGCGATGTACCCATTTGTACCCGTGCACATGCCTGGGGCCGCCCGGGACTCGGGGCCTTCGAAGGTACAGAGCTCTGTTCTGCAGCCGGAGTCCGTCATCTTGTAAGACCGGCCGTAGCTGGCTATGCCCACCATGATCTTCCTTGCCGGCACGCCAGCCTTGGTGATCATAGAGAGCGCATTCATCGTTTCCATCAGGTTCACTAGGCTGCCATCGGGGAAGCTGGTTAGTAATAGGACAAAATCTAGTAGTCTAAGCCAGACCTATTCTCCAGCATTAGGGCGCTTACCATGAGACCGGAGGCAGTTGCCCGCTAGGCAACCCGGGCTTGACCATCGATTTACGTAGTCCCATTGACCTATTTATAGCAAGTGAATAGAAGATATATCCGTAAAGGATAAAATACAAAATAAAAATAAAACTAAGAAAATAGTAAATATAAGTTGAACAAGGAAGGTAGGAAGGATTAGATAAAGGAGAAAAGGTTATACTAACTATAGTTAACGTATCTTATAAGCGAGCGAGACACTCTCCACCACTCTATAACAACTATCCTCAATTGCAACGCAACAACACTAGGAACCAACTACAATTACATCAGAGACAGCTGAATCAGACCCTTCTGCAACCTCCTGGCACGTACGGGCATTATGGCCAGGCTTGCCGCACACACTACAGCACCGAACCTTCGTACGACCCCCCCCTGCACCACCACTATCCTGCTCCTTTTCTTGCGCCACCTCCCCAACTACGGCCTTCTGGTCCAGTTGATCCTTTGCATCTTGTACTGCAAGCGATCCTCCAAGCTGTACGCGTATTCTTTTGGCTCTCCGGCGCTTGCTTAGCGCCTCGTTAGCCTTACGGAGCGAAGACACCTCTGCCTGAAGGAGGGCCACCTGGTGCATTATAGCCATCGTACCCTTGGTAAGCTGGTCCACAGCAGCCAACATCGAAGTTGGGGAGCTATTTTGATGGTTGGCAATACGAGTCTTGATGAGCGTTGACTGCGAGTTGGCTTCTCGAGGGTTGTGTGGCGTCTGGAATACCTAAGGTTGTAGTATGCGCGCGCATCAAGTGCTCAACCTGGCGACCGTACGCCTGCTTCAGTGGCCCAAAGCAGCCAACATCGAGTGGCTAGAGGAGGTGCGAGGAATGCGGAGGCATACAAAGCGTGATAATGTTGTTCTGCTGGCAATAGAGCTCGAATTCGGTCGAGTGGTGGCTGTCGTGGCCGTCGAGGATCAACAGCCGGTACTTGCCCTTTGCCCGGGGCGCCGTATGGTAGTCGAAGTGCTTGATCCAATCCAGGCCTACGGCATTAGTCGTCCAGCCGTTGTCGGTAGTTGCGATACGCCAGTCGGCTGGGAGGTTGCACTCGGTGTACCAGTTAGCGAGGTGGTACTGTGCGGCCAAGATGATGAACGGAGGGATGGCCCAGCCAAGAGCATTGACTCCCTGGATCACCGTTGCCCACTTGCGGTTGCCAGGCTGGGCCAGCTTTGCCTTGCCACAGCTCAATTACATACTGAACTATAGCCCTCTCTTCTAGATCGGTGAGCTTCCGCGAGTTGGCTGGAAGATCGTGTCGTACAGCTCGGCCGGTACGTCGGTGGCCGAGGGTTGAAACTGGTACGTTATAGAGCTTGGCCGCGGCTCCGAGGCTCAGTTTCGTGTCATTTTGAAGAGCTTGAAGGGCCAAGATTACCCTAGCTTCCTTTGAAGCGGAAGACATTCTTGGTTATAGGAAGAACGCGCTGTTGGGGGTGGTTGAAGAAGGACGCGTCGTGCCAAGAACTTAGTGTCTCGCTCGCTTATATGTCTCGCTCGCTTATAAGATACGTTAGAGATTATAGATTATATAGACGATATAACGTGATTTATAAGCGAGTCGTGGGTATAAGCGGGCCGTGGCTTTCCAAACGCGACATATTACATTTCCACTTAACATCAATTTTCTCTATAACCCGATATGCCCTCCCCCTCAAAAGAAGCCAGGGTAGTCTTAGCCCTCGAAGCTCTTCGGAGCGACAAACAGCGACGGCTTAAAGCCGTAGCTAGGCTCTACAACGTACCAGCTTCAACCCTCAGGGACCGACGCGCTGGCAAGCCTATACGACGCGACTGTACGGCCAATTCGAAGAAGCTTACGGAATCCGAGGAGCAGGCTATTGTTCAATATATCATTGACCTAGTTGCACGTGTATTTCCACCTAGACTCGCTCGTGTAGAAGATATGGCTAACCAACTACTACGTGTACGCGACGCGCCCCCTATCGGCAAGCCCTGGGCCTATAACTTCGTCAGGCGTAAGCCAGAGCTTAAGATGCGTTGGGTACGTCGGTACGACTACCATAGGGCCAAGTGCAAGGACCTAAGGTTATTCGCGAGTGGTTTGCACTTGTTCAAAATACCAAGGCCAAGTTCGGGATCTTAGACGACGATATCTATAACTTTGACAAGACTAGGTTTATAATAGATATTATCTGTACGGGTATAGTCGTTATAACCTCTAACGGCTATAGTAGGGCAAAGTTAGCCCAGCCCGGCAATTGTAAATGGACAACGGTAATCTAGGGAGTCAATGCTCTTGGCTAGGCTATCCCTCCGTTTATTATCTTAGCCGGGCAGTACCATCTCGGCAACTGGTATACCAAGGCCAATCTTCTACTTATCTAGCATATCGCGACTACCAATAACGGCTAGACTACTAATAAAGTAGGCCTCGATTGGATCAAGCACTTCGACTACTATACAAAGTCCTATACAAAGGGTATATACCAGATGTTGATCCTCGACGGCCTGTGACGAAACCGCAGGCAGTCCTGCCTCTGAAAGGGTTCGCCGGTCGAAGGTATCCTTCCTTCTCGCTCTGGTTGTGGCTGGGGGTCCCCGAGGTGCTTACGAACGGCTGTTTCTTTGATATGCCTACCGAGCTCAAGTTGAATATCTGCTGCTCAACGGCGACACCAAGCTCAATGGGCTGACGATCTGTCCCCTTGAATACGGAAGTGGCCCATACGGAACTCTTACATTCAACGAATGCATGGAGGTCGCCAATAGGGAACCTGGTGCCAAGAAGGGTTCTGTGCCGTTCATAATCAATGAGCGCGATTTGTGATCAGATGTGCACAAGGTCGCCGAAAAAGCTCGTCAACAACGAACACGTGCCGACTCCGTGGCCGAACCCGGCCGGCGTCTTCCCAGGCGCAAGGGGCTATTCCTCGATGATGCTAGGCTTTGCGTCGGCGGTGGGGGATGCTACCAAACCTGGCCCCAGCAACAAGGATCTTCGCGCAGCCGCTTTGAATGCCATCAAGGCCCTTGAGATGGTCACCATACTGCGCAAAGTCGACTACGAGTCCTTTCGTATGCCTGCCATGGAAAGCGCCGACGAGTTCACGGGCGACCGGAAGGTCAACTTCAAGACCTGGGAGCTGGTTTTCTTCCAGGCGCGCCAAAGGCGAGAGAGCTCGATCTCGAGGCAACCATCCAGGAGAACCCGTCGCAGGCCAACATTGCGGTGAGAATCGCGCGGTAGGAGGAGGACGTCTACTTGGCCGACAACACTCCGAACGAGGACGGAATCACGGAAGGCGGTCGGCTCTTCACTAAGGGCGAGATTCGATCTTATCACAAGGCAGCCATCAGAACGGCGGAAAGGGCTGAGCGACTCGCAAAGAACCTGTCGTGCTGATGCGCAAACCGGGGGTGGCGTCGGCAGCGGAGTAACAGTGAGGGTCTCTGAGTAAGGATTTCTGTATACAGTACATGAGCTGCAACCGAAGAGTCGTTGAATCATTGAATGTGTCGCCGTGGGCCAGCATCCGAGAAAGGAGTCAAAATCAGTTGTGCCTGTCTTGGAGCAGCTAGCAACACGAAGCCCGAGCCATCATTTCCAGTCTTGTTCTTATCGCCCAAGACTGTGACCTTCCCAACCTGAAATCCGAGCCGAAGTAACACGCGCGGTTGCCTCGATTTCGTTTGCGCCGCCTCCGCTCCTTGAACAAACGGCACAACGGCAAGGTACCGAGGTTATGCGGAAGAGGTGACTCTCTACTTGTTTGTTGGTGGCTAGTCCCTGCGACGGACTACGGTGTTCTCCAAGCCTGAGCGGTTATGAGGAACTTTGTTGTTTGTTCCACCTCGTTACTACCTACCAAGTTCCGTATAGGTGGATTCCATGACTTGTGATGCAACCGCAAGCGTGTCTCAAGGTTTTCGCCCCTGTCCCTAGCGGCGGCTAAAACTGGGCTACCCCGCTAATTAAATGCATGCCAAGGCGGGAGCCAAGCGGACCAGTCAGCATCCGACGGGAAGTGGGGCAATATCCACCCAAATCGACTCGGATCGCAAATCGACGGACAGGGGTGGAAATGACTAGTGTAAGGTACACACTTTGCAGACGGTATGCTCCACGCCACATAAACCACGAATAGGGTTCACAATTCTTGTCTTCGATCTGCCGTCGAAAGCTCTCTGTACATAGTAACCGAGGTCGACCAATCTTATCGTGTGTGGATGATGCGGCTATTGCAAGTCTTCATGCTTCAGGCATTGCGACCGGACTACATGCAGCTATGGTATCCACTGGGATGTCATTCCATTTCCTAGTGGAACTCCATCTAGTCTTGGGAGTGGGTTTAACGCTAAGGAGAATGTCTAGAGTAGCTAATGCAGTATAGGCTTTCCAATCAAAGCTACTTCGCTGCATGTTGCCGCTGCCCGATGCCCCACGCTATACGATCTCGGATTCTAAGACCCCTTGTGTTCAGGCTTGCACCAGAATAGGTAGGTACCTAGCCAAAGAGTAGTGGGTCTGTCGAGGACAGGGTAGACTAGTGGAGAGTAGAAGCCACGTACCATCTTCGGTCGATGTTTACAATGCAGCCGGGGTGCGGCGGCATGCGGCAGGACAGACCTTTTCGTTGTTTCTCAAAGGTACCATGGTATAACGGACTAGATAGATACCAGGTTGCGGTCTATAGCGGAGCGAATTTTTAATCCAGTCCGGACGGGTGTCTCTGCTAAAGCAGCTCCGGGTCGTTTCCGAGACCCATCTCGTATTAGACGACCTCGGAGCATCTATAGTAGCAACTTTCCATCAGTTCCATCAGCAGTTAGAAAGTGAGTTCACGGCAACACGGCTGCCGCGCGGGGCGTCAGGGGCGCAGCGAAACCTTTGTCTAGATCCCGAAGGTGTAGCGCGGCGAGTTCATGTGTGGACATAACGCCTAGAGGACAACTGAGCATGGAACGCGCAGAGCAGGGTGGCATTCCTTGTGGTATCGATGTTCGGCGTATCTAACTTGAAGGTATTAATTCACTGGGGAGATTCATGAGAGAGCACCTCGCCACATATAGGCACCTGCACTTCTTCGCCTTCAAGTTCACGGCAAAAAATGCGTCCCTTCACCTTCGCCTCATTGTTTCTAGTTCCTGGGCCGATTTTCGGTGTCTACTCGACCGCACTCAAAACGGTTCGAGGCAAAACGCCAGCTTATCCACATGATCCTAATACCACCAAGTACTGTGCTTATTGGTGGGACAATGAGGGGAGCATCCCTTGCACGCTGATGCCTGACACCTGGAGCATCTTACTGGGAGACTTCTTGAGATGGGTGAGAGTCCCTGCAAACCGCCCAAGAACCCAACGACCTGATGCCAAGCTCATCCTGGTTCAGAATCCCTCCATCACACCTACTTGCGAGAATTTTGTCACGGGAAAGAGTTACTGTGTTGAAGCTTCTGGCGAGGTCACCATAACCTTAGCCTCTCCGCCCTCGATCGGGACCACGACAAGTCCGGCGACCGTCACCACCAACACCGCCGGTCCCAACAACAGCGTGACGACGCCGGTCTCGACATAGACTGGCATGGCCACAAACTGCAACAGGTTTCACTTCGTCCAAAAGGACCAGACGTGTACAGACATTGCGGCTCTCTATTCCATCACGACGGCGCAGTTCATCCAATACAACCCTGCCGTGAGGGCCGAGTACACTGGTCTCTGGGCTTCCATAGTAAGTAGTGCCATTGCGTCAAGAAGCCTCTTTCTGCACGTCAGTGACAATCACCAATCTCTTCTATCTACTGTCTAGTATGCCCGCGTTGGGCTCATCGGAAGCAGTCCCGCGCCCACAAAGACAGCGCCCGGCAATGGGATCACCACCCCAACTCCGACGTAGCCCGGAATGGTCGACTACTGCAACAAGTTCTACTATGTCAAGCCTGGCGACACTTGCGACAGCATCGCCTTCTGGAACGGTGTCCCAGGAACCCAGTGGGTCAAGCTCTGGAACAACCTGGCTAAAGACTGCCGATCGTTGCAAGCGGATACCTACGCTTGCATCGGCGTCATTGGAGGCACACCGACCCCAACAACTACCACGCGGGGCAATGGCATCGTCACACCGACGCCGACACAGTCTGGGATGGTAAATAACTGCAAGAGATTCACCTATGTCAGAGCCGGTGATACATGCGACAGCATCGCCTCCGGGAACGGTGTTTCCACTGCGAACTTCATCCTGTAGAACTCGTGTGTTGGGGGGCAAGCGTGCCGTAATCTGCAGGCGAACACGTATGTCTGTGTGGGCATCTAACATCAGCCATGTGATGACGAGAAGCTGGCTGTCAAGTGGAGAAGTATCATTCCTGGGACTTTTGTAACCGCCTACTACTAGTATTCATAGTGTTGTCAATCTTGTTTCCGTCACAGCCATTGTTGTGTAACTTGTGTTCCGGGGGGAAGCACTATGGAATAGTAAGGATTCATTATTGCGAAGCACTGCTACTAGTAGCAATGCCCTCATAAGAAAACTGAAAGGTACCAAGGGGAATTCGGAAGGTTTGACAGTTTGCGGGGGCAACAGATGATGATACTCACTTCGGCCGCCGGCATCATGAGACCAAGCATGTTCGAAATCCCGCATTACTCAGCGGTCCGGTCCGGGCTTCAGAAAACTCCGGAAAGACCAGCAAAACCCCTTCTAGATTCCCGAGTATCTTAGATAAGCGGAATTGTTGAGATGAATTGGGTGCCTAACGTTTTTGATAAGCCAACGGGCCGGAGAAAAGGCCGCAACATCGTCCGACCCTCTGTTGGCTTGGCTTCATGTGCTTAGATTACACATTCGTCTTATACATGGAGAATTACATACCTGCCTTACCTTACTCTCTATAATGGATGCAGTACTACTATGTATGAACTATACACTTGTATTGTACAAATATTGATGTAATTGTGGGTTGTATTATATGTACTACCTGGCTATGTACCAACCTAACGCATTAAGCATGCAAGTACATTAACTATCGCTGGTTTGGAAACATGTGACAGCACCCTCTGCAGAATACGACCGATTTCCAGTTGAAAACCATCGCTTCTACCACCAACGATTGGACCCAAAATCAATCACCCTTTTCCCTCTCTTCTTTGCACCTGGCTCACATCTCCCAGAGACTCACTCGCAAGAGTTGCAGCAGCACATACATGACTCTCGATTCCGCCCTTTCCTCGATCATACCCCTTTGACCGGTTCAGGTTCAGATACGCAGCTGCTCAAACTGCGCCACGTCGACAATCCAGGTGGCGGTCGGCAGCCTAGAGGCGGATGCCGTTCAGAACGAGGCAGCTATGCGCGGCCAGGCAGTACCTGATACGTCTTCAGCTGTTTCCGAGATGACGCACTGGTGCCTCATCCACGGTATCAGACGGCATGAAGGATTTGCAACCGAACTGCACGGGAATCCCGAACTTCCCGCCGTCACGCGGGGCGCTCAATGCGCGCGCGATCATGAGCGATCTCGACCTGCTCCCTGACGTGGCCATCGCGGAGGAGGCGCGGGACAACACGGTCAATGGCCAAGCCATCTACGAGCTCATAGTGCAACAACCCACCCGGTACGCCGTGATGGACGACTACAACCGGCTCGTTCGCGACACACCCATCCCCGGCGCAAGTCTCAACGGAGATACATGTGTTCGCTCGATGCTCGACAAGCCCCAGCCCGCGGGAGACCTGGTCAATGCAGACACGGTTGCCAAGCTCTATTTCGACATCACCGAGGACCGCAACATCTCGGTCACCGGCATCCTCCCGACCGAACGGCCCGTCTCCCCGGAAACCGTCCGGCTCCTCTTCACCCCTCTGCCAAGGGATCTCCCTGCTGTCGACAAGGACATCCTGATTCTCATCTCGGCCTGGTCTGGCGACATTGACCGCTACGCCCGCCTGCGGCGGCCCGTACCCGTGCCGGGCGAGCTGCAGTGCGTCGTCCGGGGCATCTACCACAACACTTTCTTCGCCAAGTGGTGGTCCACCCTACCCCATGTCCAGCATGAGCGTCTCCTGGGCAGCGAGGGTCGCAACCTCGAGCACATCCATGCACGGCTGGTCATGAACAACGACCTATCGTGGCTGACGGATTCCACGCCCGAGAGCGAGCTGCCCCGGCTGATCCGGCACCCGCACTTTGCCAACCGGGTCACCTACGAGGAGCTTGTGCGCCGCCGGCCATCCATGAAGAAGACCTGCGTCATAGCCTGCATGCACTACAATGACAAAGAGGCCTTCACTCGCTTCGGGGAGGTCATTCCCGACGATGATCTCTTGGACGCCGCCTCGGATCATGATCATCATGGTTGGCACTGCAAATGGATTGAGACCAGGGCCAAGGAGCTAGACATCGACCTGTTCCCGTATATGACGGATCGCCAAAGGGAGGAGTGGCAGGAACGCAGGTGGAAAGAACTGTGGCCGATGGCGATGGTGCACTGCAAGCTTTGGAGGAGTGTGTATAGGACGTCCATGCTGTATCGGGAGATCACGACGGGGCATCTCGGCTTCCACAATGAAACGCCCGCGATGCCTGGGTGGAAAGCCGCGATGAATGATTGCGGCAGGTACGCCGGGATTGACATGATCGAACTGCATGTGTCGGCTCTCGAGAATGTGAGCAGGCTGGTGCCGGAGGGGTACGAGCTGCGCGACCTGGTCGTGGCTTACAGAGACTGGGAGTGGGTGGAGGAGAGACACATCAAAATGCTGGGCCTCTACCCGGACCCGGCACAACCGGGAGGTGGCGCGTATCGAGGGCGGGGCCGCGGGAGGGGTGGTCGGGTGTTGCCCCCCTTTAGGCGCACAAGCCGTTCGACGATGCCGTCACCGGGGTCGTCACCATAATGTCGCATAACTATTCGTTCCAATTATACTCCATTGTCTCTGGGCTACTTCCATCTAATGTCAACGAATGCCTCGAGACATTTTCTGCTCCAGCTCTGCATCGGTCTTCGGATCCCGCAGCATCTCTAGCTGCTCGCTAACCCTGTCGAGGTCATCCCAGACCTGGATAAAGTTGTTGGGCGTGAGTTTGCCCAGGCTTGCAAAGGCGCCCTTTATCTCGCAGAACTCGACCATGCGGGGCGTCCCGAACCGCACAGGGGCATGCATCAAAGGAGCTGCTTGCCGCCTGTTCCGGATCTCAGAAGGTTGAATCCGGCATCCGAATACTCCTCGACAGATTTGCTCCTATAGAATCCCAAGGCGCCGCCAGAAGAAAGCACTCCCGCCCACAACCGCCGACACCCCCGTGTAGACAATCAGGCTCCCGTAGCCGCTTCCATACCCTGCCACGGCCTGGCCCAGCCACGGACGAGAGTGGATGAGCAAGTTGCTCAGCGGCCCAGACACCACATTCCCGATCCCCCTGCCGGCACACAGCCATCCAAACACCAAGGACGGATCGACATACACATGCGTGTTCTCCTCCGACTCCCTCGGGTTTGCAATTTCGCGCATGATCCCCGGCCAGATCGATGTGTAGCAACCCGCAAACAGGCCATACGCGATGCAAAATGCGTACACGCCAGCCAATGTCGAGGTCAGCCCCCACAGCAGCAGCACGGCGAGGCTGGCTCCGATGCCCGACAGGACAAGACATGTCGTGACCGGCAGCTTGTCCGTCATCCAGCCCATGACGACCGATCCCATGGTCGCGGCGATGTTGACAAGTATCACGGTCAAGGCCGACAGCATCGTGGACACCCCAAACGTGGCGTGCGCATAGGAAGGCAGATAGACGCCCGGCAGGAAATAGCCCGTCGCTTGCACGACATTGGCGAGTTGGTGCAGCAGAAACCTCCGCGATAGGACATAGCGCATGTTGAAGTGGGACCTGCTGACAGCCGTGGCGGCCGACAAGGGAAGCCTGGGCTTGACGACCCACGACAGCGGCAGCGCGAGGAGGAACAGCACGACGGCCCAGACGCGGAGGGCCGTGCGGAAGCCGTAGCTCGTCAGCAGGAACTCGAGCAGCAGCGGCAGCACGACGCCGCCGAATCCGGCCGCGCTCCACATGATGCCGTAGGCCATGCCCTTGCGCCGCGCGAACCATTCGTCGATGTACAGGATGCTCGGGCAGTAGGCGAAGCAGCCGCCGATGCCGAACAGCACGCCCTGCGTGGCGATCAGCTGGTCGACGCTGGTGCAGAACGAGCTGGCCGCCATGCTGAGCGAGGCCGCGACGAGCCCCGCCAGCGTGGACCACCGTGCCCACCGCGGACGCAGTCGGCAGAGGGCGATCACGAAGGGGGTGGCGATGTACATGACGCCCTTGTTTCTCAGCCGGTTAGTTGAAGGAGGTGGAGGAAGGGATGGTATTGCGGATACGGGAGCAAGAACACACCAGTGCGGTAGTACCCACGACGGCGATGTTGCTAACACCTTGGAAGGGCAGGTGGGAGGTGTAATAGTCCTGGAAGACGCCGAAGGAGAAGCCGAATCCTGGATGCCATGGCATGTGAATTCATGATGTACTACTTTCTGGGAAAGGGAGCTTATACAAGGAAAGGGGTAAAAGTAAAACAAAGTAAAGAAAAGGGGAAGAAGAAAAGAAAGAAAAAGAGAAGAAGGAAAAGAAAATGCGGAAGAAGAAGAAAGAAAAATGAAAATACAAGACACAGAGTGCTTAAAAGCATAAAAAACAAAGAAGAGAACAAAAACGACGGGAAGCACTTACCCCAAACCAAGGCTTCCACGGCCCAGCAGCCAGCTAGAAAGAGCCACGCATCCTTGCCCGTGTCGGTTGGAGGCAGCGAGAACTCATTCACTGTTTGGGTATTTGCGTTGTCGTTGTTAGCCTGGCCGTTGTTGGTGCCTTCGATGGTCGTGACCCTGGCACCTTGCAGCTGCCCCACCGAGATGTGCGTACCCATCTCAATCGCAGCGGAGCTCATGGCGGCGTATGTAAAACTGTTGCGGGCTCAGAGGAAAGGAGTTGTTCAGTTGAGTGGAAACAGTAGTACAACGTGCGTCTCGATTCTCGAGTGAGGTTGTAGCATGCTGGGGTAGTAATCATAAATACCTTATACACAAGGTAGTATGCTCAGGTGCTCTGCGCGCCCTTCCGGTGATCTGATAGATGTGGCGGGTGGGGCTCGATATCTCCGGCCACCAGAGCTGCAGCCGGCAGCAGCCTGCAGGCTGCCTTCCAAAAATCAGGTTGTACCTATTGTACACAGGGAGGCTTTATTATCCCTTCGCCCATCATTTACCTCCTTGCTGTGGGCGTCTGTGGAACAAAGGGTGTTTGGGACCGGGGATTCTTAATGGTACTATCCCCGGCGCGCTGTGGACCTTGTTGGTGATACAGAAAGCACCTCGGGAGCCGCAGATACATTGTGTGCATGATCGATCAGTCGCTAAGAAAGAGGTCGCACAGGCGGACTCTTAGGTTGGGTGGAATATTAATGTTGGGATGTGCTATCGACTTGCTGTTAAGCCTCGCCTAGAATTCGCCTATTGCACAACCTCCCTGAGGTGGTCACTGCCAACAAATGCCGGAACGCAGAGAGGATGTGCTGCTCAAGCTGGTCACGTCTGCCTGGGCGCGGAACGCCCTCGTCCACTTTCTTGACTCTGTCGACGACGAGGAGGAGGATGAGAACGGGTTTGGGTTGTTCTTTCTGTCGTTTGATGCGCGCATGGCGTCAGATAGGGAGTATCGAGTGTTTTGTCGGTCTGGGGACGACGCGGTTTGTGCCATTAGTCAGTACCGCTGATACCGGGCCTGGCGGTTTCAGGGGGGTGGGGAGGCGGCGCATGAGAGGGTCGTGAGAAGGGTGCGGGAGGCGGCCGAGGAGGTGAGGGGCCTGATTCTGGCGGAGGTGGCTAAGGGAGTAACGAAGGAGAAGGAACATGCGTTGTTGCTGGAGCAGGGGTTTTTCTTTGATTTGTTCTACGACGAGGAGACGGATGCCTGTTCGCTCGTCGAACTCAACACGTTTGGGGTGAGGAGCGCCTGCGGGTCGTGTCTGTTCCAGTGGGTGGAGGGTCGGGAGGTGCTGTACGGGGAAGAGGAGGCTCAGTTTCGTGTGTCGGTGGATATGGGCCCGGGCCCCGGGGCGGCAGCATGGGGACCAGACGACAACCGTGAGCGTTTCGCGGTTGGGCATAATGAGGGGCCCAATGACTCGGGGTCGTTCGATTTTCGAGGAACGGATTAACGGGGATTTCTACAAGACATTCAGGTGAATTCCTCGAGAGGATCAGTGTCTGCGATGTTCAATGCGAATATACTACTTATTACTAACTGCGGTTGATATCCTTTCTTTAGAAGAGGTAGGTCGCTAATCAAGCGCCACTTAAGTTGAAGGCGTGCGGAGAGACTTCTTAAGCCGGATATATTCGAAGGAGATCGTCCAGGTGGTCATTAAGTTTGCTAACCCACTCCTCACCGCCACCCCCTCCCACGCCACTGCACAACCCCCGTCGGCACCATGGACACAGCAACGAGCATAGCGGCCGCAATACCGGCCGTAGCCCCGAACCCAACCCTGTTAATCATCTCGGGGAACCAGAAGGGCCCGATAAACCCCAGATCTGGCGCACAAAGTTGATAAACACGCCGACGGAAGCGGCGTCATCGCGGTAGCAGTCGACGGCATAGGTGGTCATGACGGTGGTGACGATCTGGTTGCCGCCCGCGGCGAGGCCCATACTGATGTCGGGCGTGATGTTCCAGGTGTGGCCCGCGGCGCCGATCTGGACCAGATACGCGACCACCCCGGAGATGGTCAGTAGGAAGCCTGGGTAGGCGAGCCAGAGGCGGAACTCGGGCTGCGGTGCTTTTGGATTCATATTCATCCCCTGGTCCTCGTCCTGGTCCTGGGCTGTTGTCTCGCTGTTTCTATGGCTACTACTAGTACTACTAGAAGTAGTAGTAGTAGCGTTGGTTCCCTGTTGGAGGAGGTGCTTTTCGTAGCGGCGCCACATCCACCAATCGCTCAGAAACCCACCGATTTGCTCGCCGACCAGGGAGCCGACGATGATGGCGATGTTCTACAGGCCGACCGCCTACGGGTCGAGCCCGAAGTTCTCGGGGAAGAGGGACCCGGTCTCGACGGACATCATGATGTTGGCCTACAAGAACACCATGGCGTATGCGGCCGTGGGTATCACCACGCACCGCCGGCGGAAGAAGGTCAGCGGTTTGACGAAGTCCCAGGCCCGGAATGGGGTCGGGTCCAGACGGCGGAAGGAGAGCAGGCTGCGGCTGGGTTCGGATGAGGAGGGCGGTGGCGACATGGAGGGTGTCGGGCCGCGCAGGTACAGGGTTTTGCGGCCGAGGAGGAAGTAGAGGATGAATTGCACACCGTTGGTCTGGGTAGGGAATGTTAGTATCATGGTCAGTCACTGAGAGAAAAGGGGAGAGTCTCAAAAATAATAAAAGAGAGGAAAGGAAAAAAAGGGGGAAACTCACGATGGCTAGAATCCAGTAGATCCACCGGTACCCTACCCGGACCGCCACAAACCCAAAGATAAAGGGAGCCATGGGCACGCCCAGGGTGACCATAATGGTCCAGATGCCCATGCAGCGAGCCCGCTCCTTCTTAAAGAAGGTCTCGGTCACGACATCGCTCCCAATTGCCGAGGCGGGCGAGATGAAGAAGGCCGTGATGGCGCGGCAGAGCGCCATGGTGGCGTACGACGGACTCACGGCACATCCGACGTTGCCGACCAGGCTGCAGACGAGCGACAACAAGAAGACGGGCCGGCGGCCGAAGCGCTGCGACAGCGGGCGCCAGAACAGCGGCGGGCTGCCGAGGATGGCGATCTGCAGCGACAGCATGTACGAAGCCCGGTGGATCGACACGCCCAGGTCGGCCGCCATCTCGGCGAACACGGACTGCACGGCCGCCGCGGTGAAGGTGGCCATCATGGCGTGGAAGGCGATCATGGCCAGGTTGAGCAGCTTCTTGCTTTTTGGCCAGTTGTACGGGTCGCCGTCGCTCATGTCCGGCACTGGCTCGAGGTCTAGCGTGCCGTGCCGGTGCAGGAGATACTCCCGATGCGCCTCGGTCAGGCCCCGAGTCCTGTTCCTGCGTGTGTCAGCTAGCAGCACTAGGTACTATAAGACGAAAGCTGAGAGTGATGGGTTTTATAAACGCACAATGTACTCGACATTTTGCGAGTTCGTCGCCTCCAACTCCTCCTTTGCCATCGTGATGCCGCCGTTGGGTGTTGAGACCACTGGCAACAGACTGGGACACCGGCTGCTCCAGGCCTTTTCCAGTAAAACCAGTTGTGTGTTTGTAAGAGAAGCAATGTGACAAAACTCAACAGGGCCACCGGGCCAGGACTTTCTTTTAACCCAACCCCAGACTGATCACCCCCTCTCCGCACTGCTCCCCGGACACTTCCCCATATCCACGCGTCCAGGGACCTGTGGGTTAGTACCTTACTAATCCCACCTGTACATACTAAGACCTTGTTGTCTCGGAGATCTGGAGCACGGGAAGCGCCGCCCGTCGGAGGTCCAAACAATTTTGGTGTCCCAACCGGACCGATGAGCCAAGGAGAAACAAGCAATTGCCAAGCGAGGCCCTGCAGAGCCTCTGTCTAACATCTGCCGTGGTGGGATCCGGTGGGGGCGGATCTAATGTATTGCAGTAGCCCGGTGCGGCGGTGGGGGCTCATCTTGGGAATGGCAGCAGTCTGGAACAGGGCACCGGGGAGTTGTTGGAGGTTGGCGATGGCTGCGCAACTCGGCGAGTCAGGAAGGAGATTGGTGTCAGTGTGTCCAGGGGGTGCTTTCCTCTGAGGAACCACAACACCGGGGCAGACCCGGAGATGCGCTTTGCCGCACCACTAATACGCAGGAAGCCCGGCTGTGGCCATCGGCAAGTCGTAACAGCAACGAGCAAGAACAAAAGGAAGCAGATTAGTACTAGTAGCATTTAGGTACAGGTGTGTGTGTATGACAGTATTGACAACCCAATCAGAAAAAGCGGGGAGTAACACTCTTCCCGAGTAGTAAAAAGAAAGAAGAAAAAAAGGAAAAGGAAATATCCAGTACTACTACTACTAGTAGTAGTCGTACTAGTAATTACATACTAGTAGGATTAAACGGCCTCACCAACCCCGGCGACATGACAGGACTCATCCCGCCGAGATTCGGCGTCCTACTAATCGCCCTCCTGATCTCGGCATCATCCTCCTCCTTCTCATCCAGATCAATACTCGGCAACTTGACCGCGCGATCCAGCGCGACGGGCAAATCGCGATGCCGCCCGCGGAGCATGACCAGAATCAGCACGAACTTGGACCCGGCCCGCCACCCGCCGCTGAAGGAGTAAGCCGCGGTCGGCAGGCCCACGCTGACGCCGTTGTTGGCGTAGGCCGACACGATCTCGAACAGGATGTTGAACAGGCTGTAGGCGGCCGGGTCGGCGAGCGTGTGCGACGTCTCGATGATGGTGATGAGGAAGAAGGCCAGCGCGATCCACCACACGTCGTGCGACAGCTGGCTGCGCACGTGGTGCGACACCAGGTCTTGCGGGCCCGTGGGTGCTTGTTCGACGGTTACGACGGATACGGTGCTGCTGCTGCTGCTGCTGCTGACAATCCCCGTGTCGGGGGTACTGGACTGGGCCGTGGTGGTGCCCGGTCGCGGAGTGGGGAGGCTGACCTTCTTCAGGGGCCGCCGCGGGTGCACGGGGGCCACGCCCACGCCCTGGAAGCCGGTCATGCGCCGCTGGAGTTGTCTGCCGATGATTGCCGTGCTCTCTTTGCCGATGCCCACGATCTTGTCGAGCCCGCGCCGGGAGGCCATGGAGATGCTGGACAGGCGAGAGGCCTGCGAGGTGGCGGACATGGGCGTCTGCGGCATGGTTTGCTGCATGGCAGAGGCCGGGTTCGGGGAGAGGAACAGCCCGCCGGCGGCGAGGGGGGCGGCTTTCTTTTCTTGGTTGCTGTTGTCGGTGCTGCTGGCGGTGGCGGCGGCGGCGCTCTCCTCGGGCTCGTCGCCGGCGTAGATGCCCAGCGACCGCTCCTCGTACACGTTGGACCCGCGCACCGTGATCGAGGTCGGGTAGGCCGAGGCGTACATCTTGACCAGCCACAGCACCTGCAGACCGAAGTACACGGCCGAGATGGGCACCACGGTGAAGCCGCCGGATAGGAGGGCTGCACGGGATTTGGGGTTAGCCTTTGCCCTAAATAATCAAGCTCGTGCAAGAAGAGAGTTGGGGCTAATCCTTGAACTTACACACAGTCTGGAACAGGCCGTCCACGACCCGCGGGCCCGGCGGGATGCTCTCGATGACGCTGTTGCCGATGTTGAGCAGGTAGAACATGGCCCAGTCGACCACCAGGAACCCGCCCAGCCAGATGGTTAACATCCAGGTCGGCCGGGCGGGGAACATGTTGATGTAGACGCGGCGCGGGTACTGCAGAATGAAGTCGAAGGTCTCCTTCCACACGGCGTAGTTGTCGTCCTTTGTGCTGAACTTGAGCAGCTTGGACAGCACCCAGAAGATGAACCGCAGAAAGATGGGCGACGCCTGGCTGCCCGCCAGGATCAGCACCGCCGTGACGAGCACCACGAAGTAGTAGCCCGACTGGAAGGCCGTCATGCCGGCGTCCAGCAGCGTCATGCCGCCGTTCGTAAACGCCGACACGGCCAGGAAAATGCCGGCCCACCACGGGTTCTGCGCGTTCACAGCAGCGATCTCGGGCGAGCGCACCGCGATCCAGGCCCCCAGCGCCACGGCCCCGAGCAGCGGCCACAGCACGTAGTACATGGCCACCGTCACCACCAGCACCTCGATCGCCCGGTACTCGACCCCACCCAGGTACTCGCGCTCCTTCAGCGTCAGGTTAAAGAACTCGCCGTTGCGCCCGACGTGCTTGCGCTTCTCCTCGAGGAAGTTGCGGAGCGCAATGCCTCCCATGTTGTTGTCATTGTTAGGATTGTTGTTGTTGTTGTCCGTCTTGCTGCGCGGCGGCTCCACGAAAGCGATGCTCCGATGGCCCGGCGTCTGGGGCAGAGCGCGGCCTTCCTGGATCGGAGCGAGGCCGGCCTCGAGTTCGCGGTCGTCGGTGAGGATCTGCGGCGGCGCCGTGGCGCGCGCAAGAAGCTGCGGCTGTTGCGGCGGCTCGTGGATGCGCGTGCCCACGCCCGGCAGCTCGTCGTCGCTCTTGGCCTTGCTCCGCGACCGCAGCCGTGCCAGCGCCAGCAGGTCTGCGATGCCCGACGACAGCCCCAGCGACGATTTGGACCCTGCGGCCCGCAGCTTGCGCTCGCGCTCGGCCCGGACGATGGCCCGAAACCGCTTCTCAAACACGTGCCGCCGGAAGAGCACGGTCCAGAGCGAGATCAGCACCGGGTGGCCGAGCAGCATGGCGAGAAACAGCACGACCTGCTGGCCGGTCGACATCTGGCTGACGTTCACCGTGTTCAACCCCGTCGACGTCAGCGCCGACATGCTCAGGTACAGGCTGTCGAGGAAGCCGATCTCCACGCTGGCCGACGACCCCGTGCCCCAGAACACCAGCGCGAAGAAGAGGCAGGACAGGATGAAGTAGGCGTAGTGCACCGTGATGAAGTTGACCGGCGGCAGGTACGGCCGGATCTTGCGCGCCCACTCGCCCACGCGGCCCTCCGAGTGCCGCGCGCGGAGGGCGTCGATCCGCGAGTGTATCGTGTCTATCCACTTCATCCCCGTTTTTTTCTGTTCTTAATTTCGGAGACCGTAACTAGCGACCGCGGAAAGGAAGGTACTACTAGTAGTAGTACTCGCGTAGCTTCAGTTCAGTCGACCGCAAGGTGAGGCCCTCTCTCTCACTTTAAATATCGCCCAGGCCGCGCCGCAGCATACGGCACTGCAAAAGGTCTCGACCGGGCACTTATTCTAGAACCTTACGCGCCAAGTTTAGCTCTCCCCGTTGCAGGGGAGTCCAGAACCGAGGGGCTGGTGACTGGTCAAGGACAGGGAGTGTGCCCGGAGCAAAAGCTGCCAAACCAATTGTCAACATGGTGCTGAGCCGCAATACCTTAGACTAAGGGTCTGACTGGAAAGATCTGAGAAGTGCGAGGGTGTTTGGTCTTGTCGGCAGTCTGGTGCTGTGCGTTGCACTTCTGTGGCGCGGGTTGGTGTCGAAAAGCCATGGTGAAACGCTTCGCCTCGGCGGTGTTGGGCACCGTGGCACAGCATCGCCCTCAAAGCCTGTTGGGTCGAGAGCCTGCTGACTGGATTGATTAATTCAAGTTGCCTTTTTCTGATGGATTGTGCCTGTGAGGAAGCGGCGTGAAGCCTTATCGATGTGTTTTGCGTGCAGCGCTTTTCATGTATCCTGGAAGAGTTGAGGCTCGGTCGATTCAGTTGAGAATCAAATCTGATGGTGGCGCCAGCAGTCTCACATGAGCACACTGCTCGCACTTCAGGGCTTTTAGAGCCCTTCGAGCCTTCGGCAGTTGCAGTGCACTGAGTCTTCCCTCAACTATTGCTCATTCAAAATTTTGAGACGTCCGGGCCTCCTGCGCTTCGACACCAGAGTCTGGATGAATTTACGGAGATGGAGATCATTTGATCTTGCATTGGTTACTAGTATACGAGACAGGTAAGCTATACAAACCTCGAATTATTATATTAAATGTCATGTGCACTAGCTCTCCTCCGCCCGCTCAAGCAGACCACAACCGCGCCCGACGGCTGTTCCCCTTGCCCTTCCCGCGACCTGTCTTGTTGGTCAACGCCTCGACCACACCGTCATACGCAGGGTGAGTGGTGAAGTCGTCGAACCAAAGCAGCGGGGCGCCCTGGCCGGGGAAGGTGTAGGGCACCCAGCTGAAAGGGTCGTAGAAGTCCCAGATGGTGACGCCGATGCAGCCGCGGACCTGGACGCATGCGCCGACCGCCTAGGGAGAGGGTATCATGTTAATATCAATTCATAAATGGAGACGGAGAGGAGAAACAAACTCACGTTCTTGTAGGATTCCTTCTGCAGAGCGAGGTTCTCAGCCGTGGCGGGCATCGTGACGCGCACGTCGAGCTCCGTGAGGGCGACCTCGACGCCGAGCTGGGTGAAGGTCGAGATGGCGTCGATGTGCTGGTCGAGGGTCGGATGGCGCTCTGCCGTCAGGTGCGCCTGCAGGCCGACGCCGTCGATGCGGATGCCTTCCTTGCGCAGCATCTTGACGATGTTGGCGGCCCCCGCCGTCTTGCCGCTAGGCGACTCGAGGTTGTAGTCGTTGTAGTACAGCTTGGCGTGCCGGTCGACTTCGGCGGCTGTCTTGAAGGCCAGCTTGATGTACTCCTCGCCCAGTACCTTGTAGAAGACAGACTCGCGGTACGTGCCGTCCTCGTTGAGCGCCTCGTTGACCACGTCCCAGGCGTAGCACTGGCCCTTCCAGTGTCCCATCACGTGCGTGATGTGGTCGACGATCACCTGGCGCAGCTCGTCGGCTGTCCACTCGGTCGTCTCGACCCAGGGTGCCAGCTGGCTGTGCCACACCAGCGCGTGACACCGTAGGTAGTAGCCGTGCTTCTTCGCCAGGGACGTCACGATCTCGCCCTCGGTGAAGTTATACCCGCCGCGCGTGGGCTCGCTGAAGAGCCACTGTAGGAAGGTCAGCATGGAATACGAAATATAAATCAATGGAGTGTACTGCACCTTCTGGCCGTTGGTCGGCGTCGTCTGGCCGAACTCGCCCGACTTCCACATGATCTGGTCGTACTGCGCGTAAGCAGCCTCGTAGCCGGCACGCTCCCGCTGGCCGGGCGAGTCGGTGGCCGCCCCGAAGTACTTGAGACCGGCCTGCTTGGCGAGGATATTGAGACCCTTCTTGCACGGTTTACCCTTGTCGGCCATCCCCATGGGCAGGGAGGCCAGGAAGAGCAGCGAGGAGGCGAGATGCATCTTGGACGGCTGTGTGCGGTATGCCTTAAGGATCAGGGGAGGGGTGCCGGTCTGCGAGAAAAGCGCGGCTACTAGCAGGTGGCCGGGACTGGTTATTTATATTTTATCATCACACGCGGCTCGTCCGCGGCGGCGGTCCTCACTCCCATCTCCCCGGATCTGCGCCAATAGTCCCGGGGTGTTGTGGTTGATGTTACCTCGCCCCAAGCGGGATGCGACCTAGCCTCCATATTTCGAAGTCTGGACGCGGGGCCGGAGATGGATCTCTGCTGATCCAGACCGGCCCGCCAACCGGGCTTGTCGAGGGTTGCAGTTGCTAGACCGACTTCTTGGTTCGCTGCAGGGGGGCTCATTCCCTAGGGCGCGAGATGCAATTCAGCCGATATGAAGTGTGGCCCACGGCCAAGTCGCGTAGGCCATGCCGCCATATTCTCAGAGCTTCCAACCGAGCGGTGTTGGCCGGGTAAATGGACCACGGCTATTTTGCCGAGTAGGACGCTAAGCCGCGAGGACAACACGGCTTGGCGGACGCCGGGCAACTTGACGGGAGTTGCGTACAAGACCATAGGCCACGCACTTACGATGAGGCAAGCTGCTGCTACGGTCTTCATTTATCTACGCAGCTGCAGCCTGATATTGTGCTGCAGGTACGCTTTTGCCAGGCATGTCTCGTACAACCCTACATGGCTGCTAGTAGGATGTCGTCTTCTGTCCACGATGCTCATTTCGCGCACAAGAGGTTGAAGAGAGTTTCTCTCTCGTTGAGTCGTTGCCGTCAAGTTCCGCCTTGGCAGCAGCGGGGAGTGCGGAGAATGCGGGGAAGGGCCACCCATAAGTTGGAGAATGCTTGTCCGTGACTCTTGTTGCTGTGATGTACTACTGTACATTTGTATTTTACATATATTGGGTATTGAATATTGTATTTGCATGTAAATATCGTCGTACAGAAAAATAGAGGTTTTGAGTGTCTCATAGTGCTTTTCACTGGTGGTTTTGGTCTTCTTCAGAGCCACGGCATCTATTATGAGACATTACATTACGAACTACGATGGGCATTCACAGCGCCTTGAATTGCACTCAAAAAGTGTGGGGTTGATGTGTTCCGCCCATGATGTCACATTCAATTCATGGTGCAGCTTTACGGAGTAATGGCCGGCGTCGTGAAGCCGCAACTGGGTGGTTGAGAATGTGCATAGCAAACAGACGAGCGGGTTGTAAATATGCCGTGGTTGCAGTGAGTAGAGCATCAGTTGGGTCTTAACGACCAAAGAGCTACCGACTTGTCCTATGATTCAGATCATAACTGAAGATACCTACCTGACGTATGTATTGTATCAGGGTTAGGGCTAAGAACAGTGCATGACATCATCCCGCTTGTAGTTGGCAGTGATGTCATGCATGCCTGCTCAGGTCTGCAACTCCAAGGAGTCCAGAGTGGAATCATGAACGTCATGCTTCATTTTTCACATGCGAGCGAGTCCAAGGAAGGAGCGGTCTTTGTGTTCCCCGAATTCCCATAAGTAATCCTGCCAGAAATAAACACTGGAAGCTTTCAACTACCAAATATCCCCCATACGACCAATTGGCTTCCGCATCTTCGCACTACCAAAACAAACATCATCGGACATCTTCCAATTCACTCCCTCGCAATGTTCTCCGCTCGATTCCCAACCGGAGTAGCTCCTAGAGCGGCTCGCAATGCCCAGGCCATCCGCACACCACGGTCTCAGCGCCGTTTCCAGTCCACCCAGACCAGCGGAACAAGCTCAAATCACTTCATGTCAGGTGTCGCTGGCGGAGTGGCGGGCGCAGGCCTGCTGTACGGCATCTACCTCATGACGCCCGCCGGGAAAGCAGCCCGCAAGGTCAATGCAGCAGCGAAGGAGATCGACAACAGATACCAGCAGGTGGCCGCCACGATAAAGGACAAGACGCCGACAACGGACGAAGCGGTCGACAAGCTCAGGCAGTTCTGCTACTCGTACGTGGCGTGGGTTCCCGGCGGCCGTCAGTATGTCGACAGCGCCTTCAACGACCTTGAAGCGGTCCGGAAAGAGCACAGCGACGAGGTGGACAAGATCGTCTCGGAGACATACAAGGAATTTCAGGATGTTGCGAAAAGCGGTTTGAGTTTCGAGTCGATGACCAAGGCATACGATGCGCTCGCGAACCTGGCAGGGAAGGTCGCCAGTCTTAGCGGCAGCGCAGCCGACCAGCTCCTCGAACGCCACCCGCAATTAAACGACAAGGTCGGCGAGCCCATCAGGCAGCTCAAGCAGATGGGCAAGGATTACGGCCCGGAGGCCAGGAAGCTGGTAGACGAGACATGGAACCAGGTCAACGACGCCCTGTCTAGCGGATTCTCGGTCGAGACCGCGGATAAGGTGCGGAAGCTTGTCGAGGAGCGGACCGAGCAGGTCCGTAAGATCGGCGATGATCTGTGGGACAAGGGGTTGGAGCAGGCGAAGCCATACCTCGACAAGAACCCGCGGGTCAAGGAGTTGATCACGGAAAACCAGGAGGCCCTCAAGCAAGGGAATATGATGGCCTTGTTCGGGCAGCTTAAGAAGCTCGGAGAGGGCGGCGATACGGGCAAGCTTGAGGACTACGTCAAGCAGGCCGTCGACAAGGCCAAGTCAACCGGCGCCAAGGCGGTGGGTGGAAGCAGCAGCTTCGCAGCGCTCGCCAAGGTCTTTGGAACGTCTTCGGACGAGGCAGGCCGCATGATCCAGGAAAATGTCGGGTTGTTGACCGAGGTGGCGAACAAGCATGCATCGGAGGGCAAGGCGCTGCTGGAGGAGACCAGGGACGACCTCAAGAAGCTATTGGAGGAAAAGGCGAATAAGGCACGGAAGATCGCAGACAAGGCGAAGAGTGGGCAGTAATTGTGAGACTGTGCTCGTCTGTACATTACTATAGCATTCTAGAGTAGCCCTGGGCATTTAAACGTTAGCACTGCATTTCCATATTGCAAACAAGAGATGGCAGTCGATAAGAACGGTTGTCAATGTTGCAGAAACTTAAGCAATTCCATCTCCAACTCCAACAGGAGGATTTGATTATTCCGAATGGAACCTGCCCCGCACCAGCCCGGACTGCTCCGGACCTACCCGGCTCCACTAGCTCCGTGGACCCCGCATCACCCGTGTCTCGATTCCACAACTCCTCTTTGAACGAGCCGCAGTGCCAAGCTTCTAGAAGCAGCCGTCATGACGACAGGCTGAGACCGGAACCCAAATGTCTCATGCTTTCCAAGACCTCGAATGATTCCTGGGATCCAGTTCCACAATAGCACTCAATAAACGTATCCTTACCTCCATTCCACAACATTTGCGCCAGCTTCCAAACGCAAACCAAGGCTCAAAGGCCCTCACACGGTACCTTCCGTTTGGTGCCAGCAACCCTGATGTCCAGAAGCAGCCCCCACCGAGCTAAAATGGACCAGCGACATCTTGGGACCGAGCAGCCCCACCTCACCCCTGGCGACACCGAGGGGTACCTCGTGGCCGCGCTCGAAGACATCGTCGCCAACTACCCCCCACGCAGCCGGTACGCCCACGAGGCGCTGCACGGGCTCTGGAGCGGGCCGACCGGCGTTGCCCACCTACTGCTGCAGGTCTCTTCGCGCCGTCCCGATCTGACCATCAGCGGCAAGCCGGTCGACCACTGGGCGCGCCGGTACCTCGTCCCCGGCTCGCGCGGCCACAACCTCCGTCTCGGCTCCCACGGCTGCGGCATCAGCGATGAGAAGCTAGCCTACGAAGCCGTGCGCAGCGTCGTGTCCCAGGACCTGGCCGATGTCCGCCAGTTCATCTCCTCCGTGTCCCAGGTCATCGAGGTCGAGGAGTATCCGGATGAGATGCTCTATGGCCGCGCGGGGACGCTCTACCTGCTGCACATGGTTCGGCACGCGGTGCCCGGCAGCAACGAGCTGGTTGACCCAGCCATCGCCGAGATCTCCAACACCATCCTGAACCGCGGCCCGCGCTGGCGCTGGCACGGCCGCCGCTACCTGGGCGCCGTGCACGGCGACATCGGCATCGTCACTCAGCTCGTCCTCACGTCCCCCTCGCTGGCCTCGCGCGTGCAGCCCATCCTCGACCGGCTGCTCAGCATGCAGCTGCCCGACGGCAACTGGCCCAGCTCGGAGGAGAGCGGGCCCAGCAATGGGAAGGGGCTCGTCCAGTTCTGCCACGGCGCGCCGGGCTTCGTGCTGTCGCTACTTGCGCTGCGCCCACATTTCCCCGATTTGCGCGACCGCATCGACGCCGCCATCAAGAGGGCACGGCAGTGCATCTGGACGCAGGGGCTTCTTAAGAAGGAGCCGAGTTTGTGTCATGGGATCTTTGGGAACGCCTTGTACGTGTTGTCCATCGTATTAGCTTTCGCGCCGGTATGTATGTTGTTTGGCCACTGACCGGGTTTGAATAGGGCATTGGCTCCAGGGCCGGAACGGGAGCATTTCCTGGCTATCGCCACACCCGAGAACGTCGGGCGCATGAAGAGCGCCGACTCGAGCTTGTTTGAGCGTGCCGATTATGGGCGCTCGTACTCGACAACCACCAGCTACGCGCCCTCGGCCGCCTGGGCCTGGCTGGTCGCTAGGCAGGAGGAGCCCAGCATGTTGTCGTATACCGATATTTAAGTCGTCGATCGTCGATGGATTCTTTTCTTCGCATTTTCGGGACGTGGAGGGAGCGCTGGTTTCTTGATGAAGGGTGCAAAAGTAGTAGTCGTAATACAATCAATGCTTTCCATAAGTAGCGAGCGACGATAAAAGAACTAATTTGACTAAACACTAGTTAAACAACCGTCAGATTTGGTCAACTGCTAAGTAACAGTGGCCCTGAATTCATCATATGTGTAATTCTTTAACCAAATGGTCATTAAGCAATGGATGTGCTGTCAGCTTATCAAGCATGCATATATGATGACTTCTTCGGGTGTTGCTGTTGGTCAACACCGCCTAAGCTAGGCAGATAGACGTCTTATGCAAGCTTCCATCAAGTTACTGCAGTTGCTAGGTGCGCAAGGCTTAGGGATCGCGCCCCTCGGATTGAGCATCAATGTGTAAGTCCGAGGCTGGACTTAGCTGCGTTCCGTGAGCGTTGAGTCGCGTTTCAAAGAGCAGTCCCGGAGTCGATCCTCGAACAAAGGCTAGCGCAAGGGGATCAGCCATCACATTTATGGAGATACCTCCGGTCAGTGATGGCCCTGGGATTGCCCATATGCTACAGCGAGTTAGAAATCGTAAATTGGCCGCATTTACACTACCATACCGACTAGTACTTAGTCGTAGCAGTGGTTATATAGTAGCTTTTCAAGGCTGTAACGTATGGATTTCGGACTAATGATCTCGTCATGAACCATTCAACGAACCAAAGTGAAGCAAGTGGCCAGTACAGTAGTATGTTAATGCCTACCGTAGCTAGCTAGCACAGAGCCGTCTGTAGTGGACTTAATTGATATTATTTAAGTCAGCCTTTTTCCCTTTTTATCTCTTCTCGTCCTTGTCTCATAAAGCTCTGTGATTCTGATGGCAAACAACAGCAAGGGATGCCTAGCCTCGGGCCAGCCTGGATAAGGCGTCGCGATGGAGTCCGGGCTTCTCAATCATGCCTCGCTCGGACAATGTGTAACAACAGCGGATAATGCAGGTACCAACATAACTAACTGTATCCGTCTGTGCCCATCACTTCCGAACTTCAATTCACAGCGTGCTCGCTTTAAAATTCTACCTGATTGTTACGTCCAAGTTGTTGTCGGCAATATGCGAGCATACGATACTCGTTACCTAATACTCGCCCATTTAAGATCCGATCTGTCACAGAGTGCGAACACTAGGTCGACGAAACCCGCCCCTAGCTTAACATCGGTGACTCGCTTCAAAAAACGGAACCAGTCTGTCCTACACAGTACATCGATTTGCGCTTTCTGTTCCTTCGGACCTTGCCGTCCATCTGTATTGCGACGCGAGGTTGTATCGGGAGATGTCGACAGAACTGAACCCCACATACCTTCCTGACCTGGCTCCACTCCTCCTAAGACCGCGGAAAGCTCGCGTTTTGTCACGTGCGACGGGCCCGCCAAGACCAAGGCAACGACCCAAAACGGTCAGGCAGTTGCCCCGGCGATTGGCTGCTGGCCCAGGCAGCAGCATTCTGCACCGAGCCTGCAGCTCGCACACAGCTCGGCGGGTGGGATTTGGCGCGACTTCAATAGGCACCGAAATAACCAGTCGCGATTTGCCCGAGTGCGAGTCGTGATGGCTCCAAGTCGCAAAATGTCAGGATCTTGCTGTCGCCGGGGCCATCTCTAGCGGCAGATTTGCTCCTTGCAATCGTTCGGAGCCTGGACGGCTTTTGCCCTTTTCCTCCTGCCGTCGCCCATTTCTGCAAAGTGGTGCACTCTCGCCGGAAACACACCGAGACTGACAGGACAAACCCCTCAACAAGAGCATCTCAAAACCCACTGCGTAGCGACAACGCAGCAGTTGAAAGCGGTTAGGTGGTCTCAAACCCGCAGCTGAACGGGGCGGGCCCTTACTCACCACCAGCACCGAACGCCCCACTTACCCCCTCCGGCCGGCGCAACAACGAATATGTGCTGATACTCCCGTGTTCGCCGAGTGTACTTGCTTCGACGGCACCGTGACCGCCCGGCGCACGGGGTGGCTAGACTCCCTGGAAATTGAACCACACTGACTCTCGTTGCCGCCAAATCCCTCTGCCATGGACTCGTTCATCCCCATGGGCGGCGTCCAGCTGCCGTCGGTCGGGCGCCGGCTGAGCAGGCTGTACAATGACACCAAGAAGTCGTCCGACTTCGTCAAGGAACCCGTCCATCATGCCATTGCCGAGGCCGACCCGGAGATCAAGTCGCTGCACCGCAAGCTGCGTATCCAGAAGGACCGTCTTGTCAGCTGGGGCTTGGAGTGGTCGGACCCGAGCAACCAGTCGGCGGAGGTGTTGATCGACTCGTCGCTTTCCAAGGCCGGCCTCAGCGAGGTCGTGGGCAGTATCATGTCCACCATCAAGGACATCCTCGCCGAGGCCGAACCGCTCTGGAACAGCTCTCGTCGCCTTGCCGGTGAGCGGGAGGAGCCGCCGAAAAGGGGCGAGAAGATCCGGATGGTCGTCTGGGACAAGAACAGGTTCGAAGACCTCATCCGCGACCTGACGACCTCGATCGACACTCTGTACGACCTCTCAAGGACTAGGTCATCGTACGCCCAGCCCTCAGCCGCCGTCCGGGAGAGACTCTCCAGGCCGTCACCGGCTGCCGAGGATCTGCGGCCGTTCGAATCATCCAGGATACAGACACCAAAGCAGATCGACCCCGCGTCTCTCACCAACCTGCGGTCCATGCAGGCCGAGCCCATGACGGAACGTGCCGAGCAGGAGCGTCGGGAGATCGTCTTCATGAGCAGGCAAGCCTACGCGGAGCTCACGCAGACCGCGGGCGGGCGGCAACCACACGCCCCGCTGCTCCTCGAGTACGCCACTTTCGACTCCATCTACTCCATGACCGGCATCTCGCCGCCCATGACGCGCTTCGAGAAGCTATCGGCCGGCCTGCAGTCCGAGCCACAGCGGTCGCCAGGGTCCTGGACGGGCTTGCCTCGCCTGCTGGGTTACTTCGAAGACTTCCAGAACTCCCGGTTCGGGCTCGTCTACCAGTTTCCACGCATGTTCAACCCTGTCACCTACGAGCACCTCACCCAGAACCCCCTCTACAATCTGTGCTCCCTTGCCGACCTCCTTGCGCGCCCCGACTTTGAGCCCACGCTGGAGGCCAAATACCGGCTCGCGGCCAATCTTGCCAACACCGTCTTCGACATGCACGCCAGGGGCATCACCCACGGCAACCTAGTCAGCGAGAACATCTCGTTTTGCAATGCCGTGGGCACCGATCCCGAAGTCAGCGGCATCACGCAGGGCGAAGTCGACATCAGGCGGCCCCTGATCTCTTCCTTTGATCTGTTCTCAGACCCACAGCTGCAGGAGGCTCCGAGACCTTTCTCTTTGTACAAGCACCCCCTTGATCCCCGAAACAGCGTACATTCGCCTCTGGCCAACAATGCGGACTCCAAGACTTTTGATCTCTACTCCCTCGCCATGATCCTCTTGTCCATTGGGCTCTGGACCAAGCTCGAGAATCTCGTGCCCAGCATGGAATCTCCGACGCTGCCCGAATCTATTCTGAAGCAGCTCGCCAACCGCTGCACCACGCTCTACGCGAAGGCCGTTGAAACCTGCTGGAACGCCGTGGACCAGGAAATGAGTGGCGCCCACACCACCGAGGAGGTTGTCTACCGCGTGCAGTTTAAGGCAAGCCGCTATCTCGAGGCCTGCTGCATTCTGGATAGCGTCAGTGCTTTGGAGGAGCGGCTCCGCGATGATCTCGGTGAGCCTCGGCCCGCGCCGCAACCCACAACGACAGCAGGCCCGTCAGAGGGATCCCAGCCCGAGCAATCAGAGGCTGCGACGGCCGTGCCGGCGCGGAGCCAGTCAATGCGAAGCGACCTAGTTTCACCCGCAACCCCTTCCCAGGAGGCCGATGTTCAGGGTAAGTCAATCCAAGCGATAACAACGTGGTTAGACCAGCGGCAGCTGAAGTCCCCAATAGCATCTACGGCCCGGGATGTCGAGGCATCCGCCAAACCGTCCAAGAAAATGCGGCTCTATCCGCACATCCCACTGTCCCCCGAGATCGTCGAGAAGTGGGACACGGTCTTCATGCCGCAGATCAACAGCGCCCTGCGGCATTTCTACCGCAAGAACCCCGAGTCGGTCGAGATCTCGCTGGAGTCGATCGGCGAGTCACCGCATAAAACGAGGCCCACGGTCTTGGTGGTCTGCACCTCGGTGCAGAAGGTCAAGGCGATCTTGAAGAAGAAGCTAGGCAACAACCTCTTCGACGGGACAGCGGGCGTCGGCCTGAAGGTCTGCCAGGGCCGTGTTCTCCGGTCGCGCAAGGAGCCCGCCAGCCGCAGCATGGCCAAGTCGGCCGATGACGGCCGCGAGGAGGTCGTGGCTGCGAATCCGGACTACCAAGAGCGACCGAAAAACGGGGCGAGCATCGGAGCGTGGATCGGCGACCGGCATCTGCCTCCGGTGAGTCTCGGCGGGCTCATCATGGTGGATGACCGGCAGTACGGGATGACGGTGCACCACATGCTGGATGACCCAGACCAGGTGGTTGCGGCGGGAAACGAGGGCGCCCCGAGGAGCATGGCGCGGGGCGTGCCAGACCTCGCGGCGTGGTATGCCCAGCAACAGCAGCAGAGCGAGTCGGATCCCGATAGCAGCGGCACCGAGGACTACGCTTGCGAGTTCACCGATTCAGACTCGGACACGCTATCCGAGTCAGCCATCACGAGCGACTACTCGGAGGAGGAGGAAGAGGAGGACGAGGACGAGCAGTACACGGAGCCCGGCGACATCCCGGGTATCGAACCGGGGTGCGGGGACGGGTACATCATCACGCAGCCCGCCCTGGACGACGTGCCCGACGGCTTCTACCCGTCCGCCGAGACGCAGGACGAAGACCATCTCGACACGTACACGGTCGGCGAGGTGTACGCATCCAGCGGGATCAGGCGGCGCACGGAAAACGGCCTGCTGCATGAGATCGACTGGGCCCTGTTCGAGTTCAGCGAGGACCGGCTGCCGGAGGGCAACCTCATCCCACACGTCGGCCCGTCATCAGCATCGTTTAAGTCGCGCAGATTCTCATGGGAGGACAGGCATAATAGCGACACGGCCGACGAAGAAGCCACCGTCATCCACCCGACCTCGGTCGTCCCCTCCTCCAGTCTCGCCGGCCTCGAGGTCCAGTGCATGGCCCGCACCAGCGGCTTCCAGACCGGCCTGATCCTGCCCGCCGTCGCCTCGGTCAAGATCTACGGCCGGACGTCGCCGAGCCAGATCTATCAGGTCTCCGGCATCACCACACAATCACCACACACGCACACGCACACCCATCCCAGTCCTAACAGCAAACGAACCTATAATCTGCCCATGGGCATCCCAGGCGATAGCGGCGCCTGGGTGGTCGACCGCGAGGAGGGCGCCGTGTGCGGGCACATCCTGGCGTGGAGCGAGCGCAAGCGGGTGGCCTACATCTGCCCGATGGACGTGCTGCTGCTCGACATCGCCGAGACGCTCGAGGCAAGCGAGATTCGCCTGCCCGGCGGGGAGGTCATCTTCTCGCGGAGGCAACCCTTCACTACTGGTCCAAATATTGCTACTATGGGGGGGAAGATGGGCGTGGCGAGGACGTCGACGCAGTCTACCGCCAGAACTGCGCGAACCAGCCGGTTTTCTACCACTACCACTACTAGTATTTCTGAATATACTGCTGCAGGCGGTGGTGGCTTTGGTGGTTTCGGGTCGGATGAAGAAGGGCATAATGACGGGGACGATGACGAGGCGCCTGGTCTGGTGTCGGAGCTGATGAAACGGAGGAGGTCGAGTACGCGGCGATCGCAGCTGACGCAGAGGGGGTCGTACCGCGGGAGCCGGAATATGGCCGCGGCTGCGGAGAAGGATGAAGATGGGGACGGCTCTTGCGACGAGGCGGTTGAGGTGGAGTTGCCGCAGGAGTTAAAGGAGCTGCAGCTGTCGGAGCGGGATGTGTCGATGGGGAGGAGGCGGTGGGGGTTTGCTTGATACCATACCAACTTACTTGCATGATGATATCCAAACTGCATAGCAATATGAAAGGGGCATTACGAGCCATCTGTCGAATGGGTTTCTCCTCAGTGCTTCCGAACTCAAAACACCCCCCATCAGCTCTGCACACATATCACACAAGAGGATTATGATGACCCAACAGTTTCTAGAAAACGCTAAATATTGCCGTACCTTGCAATAGAGTTTAACCAGAGAGACAACAGAGCCGCGATCTGTAAGAGAGGGTATATGTTGAAGTAATGCTACAAAAAACACAAACCGAAAAAGCAAATAAGGAACAAAAGAGAGTCCCAAAGATACAATTTGCGTTAAGCCTCCCATCCCACCCCGGCCTAGTTGTTGCCGTCTCACCCTTTTTTTCCCTTTTTTTTCTTTTTTTTTTTTTTTGCTGAATCCGGATCATCATCTCTTCCACTTGCTTGCTTCGTCCTTCCCTCCCCATAGTAGGTAGGTAGAAGAGCCCATAGTAAGGTCAGAGTTAGAGCTCATCCTTGCTACCATCCGACCCCGCGGCAGCATCCTTCACCACGTCAGTGGCATCACTAGCAGCGCTGGCAATCCTGTCGCCGACGCTGCGGGCCGCCTCGCCGGCCTGGTTCGCCGCCGCGACGACCGTCGCCTGCGCCGCGCCGGCCGCGCTCGACGCCGACGACACACCCGTGACATACGCGGCGCTCAGCCGCGACATGACACTCTCCGAGAAGGTGGGCTCCTTGCCGACCAGCAGCTCCGACACGATGCTGCTGGCGGCGGCGTACCGCTTCGCCAACTCGTCCGACCCGGCCGCGGCGGCGCTGGTGGCTGCTGCCGCGCCCTCGCCCGCGGCCGAGGTTGCCGACGAGGCGTACTCGCTCGCCGCGCTGTAGATGCTCTCGTACCACGGCGTCGGCGTGGGCGCGCCGTATACTTGCGTGCTGATCCGGGACACCACGGCGTCCCAGCTCTCGGCGACCTTGTCACCCGCGGCAGCGACGTTTTGGCTGGCCACGGATGCGGCAGACGAGGCGCCGGCGCTGGCAGCCGACACGGCAGAGGCGGCGCCGTCGCTGACGGCTGACACAGCCGACTCCGCCGAGTCGCTGGCAGCAGAGGCAATGGAGGAAGCAGCCCCGGCCATATCGGTTGGGGTGGGCGTGGCGGTCACGGAGCTCAGGGCCGAGCTCGCTGCGGCGAGGAACTCGGAGTACCGGGCGTGAGCTAACCCGACACCGGCGTAGTAGTTGTGTCGCGCATTGTCGAGCAGCTTACTGACGTGCTCTGACGGGGTCGTCGGACTCGGCGTCGCCAGGCCAATGGCGATCTTGGCGCTCTCATACTGCTCCTCTGCCCAGGCGCGACCCTGCTGCAGGCGCTCGGCTGCGACAGACTCGATTTGTGACCACTCGACGCTTGGCATTTGAGGCGTAGGGATGGTAGTAGGTAAGATGCGACGGGTGGCCGTCGTCTTGCCGTACATCTGGTCAGATGCGGCCCCAAGAGCGTCGTCGAGTCGGGCGCTTGCCGAAGCCATGGCCTTGCTGTATGCGGACGTGACCGACGCGAGAAGCTGCTCGTGGGCTGGTTTCGGCGTGCCCTTGATCTGAGCAGAGACGATGGACAACGCCTGCGAATACTGCTCGTTTGCTCTCGACATGGCTGCCGAGTAAGCCGACTTCAGGTCTTTCCGCATTGATTCCATTGCCTCGGAAACATCCAGAGTATCTTCGTCCTCGTCCTCGTCCAAAATAGGCTTGCGGCTGGGCACGGATTGCGCGGCGGCCCCGAAGAGCGCTGGCTTGACAGAAGCAGTTTCGGAAGCAGGTAGCCCGGCACTCCCAGACTCGGTATTCTCTTCATCCTGAGAATCCTTCACGGGTAGATGAACCGGGACGGCTTTGTCCTCTTGCTCTTTTATTGCTTCCGTAACGTTGCCAACGGCATTAAGGGTCTCGAACATCATGCTTGAGGCAGGTTCGGGGCCCGGTGCTTCGCCCTCAGCGTCGGGGTTCGCCTCCGAAGTGGGCTCCACAACGCTGGAGATCTCTTCCGAAGCAGCGGCAACATACTCAACTTCCGGGTCGGTAGTATCCTTAGCACCGGCCGGGTCGGTCGGGCTGGTCTCTGAATCCTCGAGGGCTGCGGCGGCTTCAGACGGTTCATTGGGACTGCTCTCTGAAGCCGCTTCGCTTCGTTGCTGCTCCTCGCGTGATCTAAGGACAGACTCGGTGGCTTTAACGGCGGCTTCAGACGCAAAGCTGGCACCCCCGCTGGCTGCCCCCGCGGCAAGGCTGGCGCCTTCGCCGATGGCATCCACCACTGCGTCCTTGGCCTGCTGGACGGATTCTCCGACCGCTTCGGCAGCACTTGCCGCCGCCAGCTTGGTGGCCTCAGCAGCCTCAGCGGCCTGCTGCATCAGTGTGCTGTCAAACTCGTCGCTATCGTCGCCGGCAACGAGCTTCCAGTGCGCGACCTGCTTAAGACGAGCGAGTTCCTTTGCAGTGGACGCAGCGACCTTCATCGCTTCATCTTCAATATCAGCCGCGGAAGCCTGGGCAGCCTCAAGGCTGGGGTGGGTGACGACATGGTTCTCAAGGTCGCCCTTCCACTCGTCGAAGCGGCTCTTGAGGAGGTGATACTTGGCCCAGTCCTTGTAGGTCACGCCATCCATCCAAGCCCACTTCATCCCGATCTTCTGGAGCGCCAAGTCGCGGATGTTCTCGAGGATGGCGAAGTGGGTCTCCGCCGCTTTCGTGATGGCGGTCTGCATCTCGGCCTCGTAGGTCTCGCGCCACTTGCGCACAGCCTGTGCCTTGTCCTTGACCGCCATACCGGTACGCCGGACGGCGTTCGCAATCTGCTTTTCGCCTTCCTCGGCAGTCGCAGCGCCTTTGTTCACAGCGCCGATAATCTCCAAGATGGCGCGACGAAGTGACACGAGCTCTGAGACGGCAGAGCCTTGCAACTGCTCAAGATGCGACTTGCCGGTGGCCTTGGCATTGCGGCGGATCATTCTCTTGGCGATCTCCTGAACGCGCTCGTCGATCTCTGCCGCGCCCTCGTCGGCGGCCTTGGCATACCTCTCCTGCCAGTCTCGGAGATCAGCTGCTACGATCTCGCGCGCACTGCGCCGCGTCGGGTCTTCTTCCTCGAGTTTCTCGTCGACCTCTGGTGGCGGGATGGGCTCCATCGTTGCCCTCGTCCGAGCCGCGTCGGTAGTGGCTGCCTTCTTTTCGTCCTGGACGGCACTGGCGGACGGGGTCGCCGAGGAGCTAGAGGTGACAGAGACCGAAACGGCAGGCTTGGCGAACGACGAAGTGGTCTCGGTCGTCGCACTTGGCGAAGCATCCATCAGCGGCTTCGGAACCGACTTCTTGCCTGAGCTATAGCGGCCCAGGCGCTTCCCGATCTTGACGAGCTGGGGCTCAACGTTCTCCATGTAGATGGCCCTGAGCTGCGGCCCCACCGTACCGTCGACGAAGGCATACGTCTTGTTCCACGCCCAGAAGACTGTCGGCACCACGGTGCGGCTCGCAAAGGCAGACGTTGCCCGATAACCCTCCAGCAGGTGCGGTTCCACGAATTGGTACGCGGGCAGCAGCGTCTCGTGGTAGGTCTGGAGGATGTTGGTCCGTGCGATATCGTAGTACGGACCGAACGCGGTCGAGACGCGGTGGACGTGCGGAGCTAGCCTCTCATCGTACTGTGCTCCGATGAGGTCTCGGTACTTCTCGACCTGAGGCTGGACATTCTTCTCCCACTGCGCCTTGCCGAGGGCCTGCACCTTCCGCACACTCGGCTCGCCAACTCGTTTCGCATAACCCCACCCTGGCGTGATGATCTTCTGGTCGAGGGCGTCATAGTACGGCCGCGCCGCCTCGATATAGGGTGCCGCATAGGCGTCATAATAAGGCTCGACATGCGGTGCTACGGTGTGTTTAAGTTGGAAGTAGGGTTTGCAGATGCGCGGGGACGTTTCATCGCAGGCTTCAAGCGAGGCAGGGCATCGAACGAGAATCGTAAATATGGAGTACCAGGTAAGCAGCCTAGGACTGTCAGCATGCGATTCCGCGTATTGGGGGAAGGCGCGAAGTTGAGCTTACCGGGCGACGATGCCGAAGATTCGGGCGAGGACTCCGGGGCCCCTGTAACCAGGACTCTTATTGGGATACACGGCACGGTTACCAAGGGGCAATTTTGCGGTGCCCTTGCCGTTGAGGCCATTGATGCCATTCAGGCCGTTGACGCCGTTGACGCCGTTGGCCTTCAGGCCCTTCAGCGTGCTCGTCGGGCCGCCCATGACGCCGCGTGCTTCAGCGCCAGGCTGAGGACCGCTGCAGTAGATCGAGCCAATGTCGTCGAATAAGGACACGGTTGCGCAGGTTTCCCAACAATGTAAGATGGCCGCAGGCCGCTCGCTGGCCAGAAGCGCGTTGCGATGAGGCAGCTGCGCTCGGTATCGTCGGCTAAAAAGCTCAGACGGTGAGACTCCTTATCGTGTGATGTTCAGTTGCTGGGAGGCTTATCGCAGAGCCAGAGAGGGAAGGAAGGAGCCGACCTGGAGAAACCCTCGGAAAACCGAAGCAATGGGAAACGATGCAACTCAGATGGATGAAGACAGACGAAGAAAGGTGATATGCCGCCAGAAAGAGCTTTTGGCAGACATATTTTGGCTGCTCTCCCTGGCTTTGTGCTGGGAACTTGACAACGTCAATCACGTCCAGGACCTTGGTGTGGGTTGGCATTTTGGTCTTGGCGATGCATGATGCATCCATCTCATGCTAGGGTGGGGCAGCCATGGACGTCATTGAGACCGTTTTCATGAACAGAACTTCCACCACAAAGTGAATCCAATCGCCTGCCCCAAGACTGGAATTGCTGTGTGTACATACTTCGTACATTTCCGGTCAAACGAAAACAATCTTTCCCTATATGATATCTTTTCTTTGTGTCATTGCCAGCATCAGGACTTACCTTGGGCCCTAGCTTCCAGGAATGTTGCCCTGCTGATAGGAGCTTCATGAACGCCCAGATGCGTTTCAAAACGGCACCTCTGCAACCTTGCAGTCTCCTGGGCCCAAACCTAACACTCCAACAAACTTGAAAGCTGCATAATGCGTAGAGGTATTGGATGCCACGGTAGTAGTATATGCACCTGGGCTCACTGACCTAGTTTACCTGTCTCCCGCCGGGTTAACAACATCTATAATCCACCACTGGCAAGCTCAAGGTGCTACATATACATGTTCCTATACTGTACTCTAGGTGCAAGTGGAAGTGCCTACCGCATAGGTACTTTGTTGGAGTCTTGTATATCAGAACTCTCCCGACATATGCAAATCTCTCTCTTTCCTGGACCTGCACCGTCCACCACTCTCCTGTTGTCAATCTAGGTGACTTGCTGATTGACTTTCACCGATCGTGCAAGTTTGTGAAGTCATCCGAGTCCTCTTTGCGGAGGCACGGGAGGGTATGAGTGGGGCCCTCTCACTCTTCGATGGCCTCCCCGCTTTTCTGATTGGATCCTTGCTCAACTCTGCGGTTACGGTTTTGGGGCCTGGAACAACTTGCCACTGGGCTCTTTTATTCCAGACACATTAAATTATCCTGTCGTGCATTGCTTGGCTGTCACGAGTTGCTCCGCCCGAACAACAGTTGTTCTCATTCCCACGCACCGCCGGAATCAGTGTCTATCTGCGAAGCCCTCACAAGTGCTTTCGTGGTGCTGTTGCTCTTCCCGCTTCCCACCCTCCGTTCCCTCCGTTCGACTCAGGCTGCTCAGCCAGAAAACAAGCCCCACACTGCTGCGGACTCGATTTCTTTGCTGATGAGGTAACATCTCCGACAGCTTCGACGTCAATGGCGTAAGCCAGCCCCTTCGCTCGACGACCCAACCCATCATGGCCGACTTCCAACCCGATCCCTTTCCGGTCGCGGACCCGGTCCGCTTCCCCAACACGCGACGCCGCGCGTCTGGCTCGGCCATGAACGGCTCGACGTCCCGCTCAGGTCCGGCCGACATGCCATTGGCCTCGGAACCAGACACCTGCCGCATATGCAGGGGCGAGGGCTCGCCCGACGAGCCGCTCTTCTACCCATGCAAATGCAGCGGCAGCATCAAGTACGTGCACCAGGACTGCCTGATGGAGTGGCTGTCACACTCGCAAAAGAAGCACTGCGAGCTGTGCAAGACATCCTTCCGCTTCACCAAGCTCTACGATCCGAACATGCCCAAAGCCCTGCCGCCTCACATCTTCCTCCGGCACACGACTAAGTACCTGATCCGGAACATACTCGTCTGGCTGAGGGCCGCGTTGGTGGTGAGCGTGTGGCTGGGCTGGCTGCCGTATCTGATGCGCTCCGTCTGGTCGTTCCTGTTCTGGATCAGCGACGAGGGGCTCGGCAGCCGGCCAGCCGCCTTCGGACCGAGCGGATCAACCGCTGACGGGATCGGCGTGCTGTCCGGCACCAACGTGTGCCCCTCAAGCCCGCTCTTCGCGGCGACCACGACCGTCGCGACAATCGGGGGCGTCCTGGACAGCCTTCCGCCAGAGTCGGCCAAGCTCGTGCGTGGCTTGTACGGCATCAACCTAACCTCGAGCGACCCCATTTACTCCACCATCCTGCGGCTCCTGTTCGGCACCGTCGGTTTGACCGAGAAGCCTGGCGCCGTGGCCGCGAATGCCAGCCAGGCGCTCACCAGGCTGGCGTCGAACTCGACGATCCCGACCCGCCCCTCGCTGTTTAGTGAGGTTGACTTCCTCCGAAACCTTACCAGGCATCCCTCCATCAACCGCGTCGTCATCGCCGTCTTAGAGGGCCAATTCATCACCGTGCTAGTCATAGTAAGCTTCATCCTCATCATCTTGGTCCGGGACTACGTTGTGCAACAGCAGCCCGAGATCAACATGCGCGCCGCCTTTGCCGCCATCCAAGACCAGCCACAGCCACAGCCGCAGCCAGCTCCGGCACAAGCAGGCCCGGCTGAGGAAAGACCGGCGGAAGCAGTCCCGGAGCCGGCTGAAGCAGAAATAGCCGAAGAAGCCGAAGAGGGGTCCCAGTACGAAGGATTGGCGGCTGAATACGATACGGACGATGAAGCGAGCGAGCCAGAAGACCTGGGTAACCCCTCGGCTTCGTACTACCGCGAACTGGAGCCCATCGCTGGCGAGTCCTCGACAGCAGCGGGCCGCCACAGTCAGGAACGAGAGGCAGACCTGAGGCAGCAGATCGCGCAGGAAATCGATAGAAGAGCGACGGAGCGCTTGACAGACGATGCTAGGTCAACGGTCAATGAGTATCTCGACATCTATCGCGAGGCAGGCGGCGATCCGGCGCAGATCCTTGAGATCGCGAGAGAGCGGCGCTTGGAAGAAAGGCTGGATTACTGGATGCGGCTGACCAGGTCGATGATGATCCGACAGCAGCAGGCCGAGGCTGCTGAGGACCAGGCAGGAACTGCGGCAGGGCCTTCGGACACAGCATTCGCGGGCGAGGAATGGGAACAGCGCGGGATCTTCGAGGATAGTGCCGAGCCGGCGGCGGCCGCGGTGGAGGATATGATATTCGTCGATTCGTCGTCTGGGCCATCCGGCTTTGCAGACCATGGAGAAGATGGCTCCATCTCACAGGGAAAAGGAAAGGCCAAGCTTGACGAGGTTGAGGCGGCCGAGAGCTTCCCCGTTCCCGGCCCCCTGCGGCCGAGGGCGAACACGGATGGCCCTCAGATCAGCGGTGGAATTAACCCATTGGCCAATAACAGCTGGTCATTCACCGACCTTCCACCCCCGGGATGGGAAGAACCCGCGGCGAGCGGTGATTCAGTGACTCCGAAGTACAATACAGCTACTACACAGACTGACGAACCGTGGGATGGCTCGTATGGTTCCCAAGCTACAGACCGGGCCGAGGCGGGAACAGACGTCCCGGACGGACCCGTCCAGGGCCCCCTCCAGGCGCACGAGATTGGCCCTGTCCACGCGGAAGCGCCGCCCCGCCGCGAGCCGGCGGGCCTTGCTGACAGGATCGCCGACTTCATGTGGCGCGACGTGGACAACATCGGGCCCAACAACCTAGGTCCCGTCAACTTCTTCTGGGACTTCCCGGAAATCCCCGCTGACGAAGACGACCACGAGAACGTTCCGGGCAACCAGGCAGAAGGAGACCACGAAGCCGCCGAGGCGGCGGCGGCGGCGGCAGCGTTGGACGCGGAGGCCATCGAGGACGCCGAAGACATCGAAGGCATCCTCGAGCTCCTCGGTATGCGCGGCCCGATTGTGGCCCTGTTTCAGAACGCCATATTCTGCGCCTTCCTCGTGTCCATCACCATCTTTCTCGGCATCTTTGCGCCATACAATCTGGGCCGTGTCGCCATCTGGGCGGTGGCAAACCCTATGCAACTCGTACGGATGCAGTTCAGCGCGTTCAAGTTCATCCAGGACTGCGGCGTGCTCGTATTAGGCGTCACATCGTCAACGGTATCAGAATCTATCCATGCCCTGGGCCGCGTCTTGGGGCTGGCATCTGTTGCCAACTATACGCGGGTATTCTCGAACGCGTCTTGGGACATGGCCGCCAGCGCAGCAAACAGGATCGCCGGCGGCTTCGCTGAACTGCCGCCTATCTTCCCGTCGGACGTGCGCAACTTCTCTGTCATCAGCCACGAGGCACTGCACACGATCAAGGCCCACGTCGCCACGGGGTGTTCAATGCTATTCGGCGTTCTTGTGTCTCTGTCCGGCGGTGAGTTCATCGCCAAGTCTAGCGAGGCCCTCGCCGCGGCCGCCAGCGTCGTAGCGTTAGCGTGGGGCGCTTTGAAGGCCTTCTCGACGGCCATCATCAACCCGAGCTCTTGGGTCATCAACCTCGGCGTGCCAGAGCCCACGGGCACCATCAACGCGGAGCTTGCCTACTGGGGCGGCATGGACAGGTTCTGGGCGATCCTGTCGGGCTACGTGACCTTGTCCCTCGTGGCGGGCCTTTACCTGCGTCGCGGGATCCCCTTCTCCAACAACCAGGCGGCGCAGCAGTGGGAGGCGTCCCTCATCGACGGACTCAAGCAGGCCAGCGGGGTCATGAAGGTCATCCTGATCATCAGCATCGAGATGCTTGTGTTCCCGCTGTACTGCGGCATGCTGCTCGACCTCGCGACGCTTCCGCTGTTTGAGGACACGACGCTCAAATCACGGCTGGTCTTCGCCGTCAACTACCCCGTCACCTCCGTGTTCGTCCACTGGTTCGTCGGCACCGCCTACATGTTCCACTTTGCGCTCTTCGTGTCCATGTGCCGCAAGGTTTTCCGCAAGGGCGTCCTGTACTTCATCCGCGACCCGGACGACCCGGAGTTCCATCCCGTCCGCGACGTGCTCGAGCGCAGGGTGACGACCCAGCTGCGCAAGATCGCCTTCTCGGCCCTCGTCTACGGCGCCCTGGTCATAGTCTGCCTCGGCGGCGTCGTCTGGGGCTTGTCGCTGATCCTGCCGAGCGTCTTGCCCATCCACTACTCGTCCAACGAGCCCGTCCTCGAGTTCCCCGTCGACTTGCTATTCTACAATTTCGTCATGCCCCTGGCGGTCCGGTTCTTCCGGCCGAGCGACGGCCTGCACGCCATGTACACATGGTGGTTCATGAGGTGTGCGCGCGCTCTGCGCCTGACATGGTTCCTCTTCGGACGTCGCGAAGTCGACGAGGAGGGCCGGCTCGTGCTGAAGCCCGACTCGCCCGACCGTAACCTGCCGTTCTGGAGGCGGTGGTTCCTCGAGATCAATGTAGAGGACCCGGATTCCCCCGTGGTCGTGGCGCGGTCGTGGCGCGAGATCTTACTGAGCCGCACAAACAAGCCGCCCCTGCTCACTGGGAAGAAAGAGCCTGGAACGGGATCCAACCGCAACTTGAAGCAGCTCCTGATTGTATCCGGGCAGATCAAACCAGATGGACGGTGGGTCCGCGCCCCCGCTTCCGACCAGGTCAGGATTCCCAGGGGCGCGAAGGTCTTTCTCCAAGTGAGCGGAAAGAATAAGCGACTTGACGGGCTTCCGGACGAGCCGGAGACGGACATCTACTCGACCAAGCAGTACGAGCAGGTCTACCTGCCGCCGCACTTCCGCGCCCGCATCTTCCTCTTCATCCTGTTTATCTGGCTCTTTGCCGCCGTCACGGGCGTCGGCATCACCATCGTGCCGCTGGCCTTTGGCCGGTGGATGTTCCGGCAGCTGATCCCGGCCGACATCCGCACCAACGATGTGTACGCCTTCAGCATTGGGATTCACATTCTCGGCTCGGCAGCGTACGCCGTCTTCCACGCAAGGTCTATCTACGACTCTCTGAAGCGGGTGGTGAAATCTGTGGAGAGCGCTCTCCGGCACGGCGCCGTCCAGCTCGTTGTGGGCTGTGTCTTGCGCGCCACACGGGTGGTCTACACGTACTTCTTCGTCCTGGTAGTCTTCCCGCTACTCGCCGCGTCGCTGCTGGAACTCTACGCGCTGGTCCCGCTCCACGAGATGCGGTACAGCGCCCTGCTCCGGCCGGGCGCCGCAGAGTCACTGGCTGCATCGGGGGGCGTCAACAAGGAGCTGAACCCGGCGCACACGATCCGCATCGTGCAGACGTGGACCATCGGCCTGCTCTTCCTGCGCCTAGGCCTGCGCATCGTCAACACCTGGTTCGAAGGGTCGCACGTCGCGAACGCGACCCGAGCGGTGGTCCGCCACGGCTGGCTGAGGCCGGACGTCTCCATCTTCACCCGCGCGTTTGTGATCCCGGGGCTGGCCGTCTGGCTGACGGCCGTGACGGCGCCCATGCTGCTCGCCCGGGCGATGGTGGCCGACGGCGCGGTTGAGGCGCTCATGCACGAGTTCGGTGCCCCTCTGATCGGGAAGGTGCCCGACCAGACCCTGTACGACGCCTACCTGGTGCTGGTGCACCGCCTGAGCTTTCCGGCCATGACGCTGCTGTGCTTCCTGGGGTGCGCCGTGTGGAGCGCCGTGGGCGTGTTCCGCGGCTGGCAGGTGCGCATCCGCGACGAGGCGTACCTGATTGGCGAGCGGCTCCACAACTTTGGCGGATCGGCGAATACTAGTGGTGGTGGTGGGCAACGGTGGAGAGCGGGTGGGACGCGGATATAAAACTGGAAGGGCTTTGAGAAATTGAGAATAGAGAGTTTTGTTTTGCCTTGTCTTGCGTTGTGTGTCGAGACGTATTTATCTTTTTGGGTCTGAGCGTTCGCCCTTCATGCCGATCCTCCTCTCTCTCTCTCTCTGTTTCTGTCTCTCTCCCTTCCTTTTCTCAATCATACTGATTGGCGTTATATGGGCAAGGGGGGTTGAGCAAGGGTGGGCAAGGGGGCAAAGGCGTACACGTGTACTGAGTGGTTGGTTGGATGGTGGCTAACTATTGCGCGTTGAAACTTGGGGGGGCTGGCTTTGTTTGAAAGCATATGTGTCTTGCTTTGCTACCGATCGATCGATGTATGTTTTAATGTCTTGAATAGGTACCAGGTAGTAACCATTACGCAAAAACAATGGAGGCAACTCCGGTACACTAGCGGGCCGCCCTCTCAACTACCGCACGCTAAGACTAAGGGTGTGCACAGACAGCCCTACCACACTGCATATCAAAAGATAGGATACCGAACGAGTCAGGTTCGAGTGGGGTGGAAGAAGCAACTGAGGTGGACAACAAAGCCACGCAAGCCTTTCCAGATCTCATTCCAGATCGACAAAGTACCGCCAGGCTTGGCTACTCCACTGGCTTCAGACGAGATAGGTATCACTGCGACATGTCTCCAGGTGAAATGTGATGGGGTTGTTGGGCTTGGCGGTGCTTCACAACTTCCCAAGTTCTAGAAGCAAAGCCCCGGTCTCGTCGCTTTTTCGGGGGCCCCTGTTAGGGATTGAGAAAGATAAGATCTTTTGTTTTGTCTATTTCTGGAAGGTGAGTGCGTTATCTCTTTTTTTTTTTTCAGAGAGTTGCATTCGTTGCGGCTCCTGTTGATCAAGGGACAAAAATAGACAAGGACAAAACATCAGCGGTTTCTCTTGGCAAACAACTCAAAACAATGTCTGTAAAAAAATAATAATAATAATAAAAAGAGGTAGGTGTTGGGCTATAGTTGATCGGGCATACCTACCTACTATAGTATTACTCGGGCTTTTGGGCCTCACCGTATGTTGTGTGCGTGTGTGTGGTAAGGATCAGCACGTTCAGTAGGAAGAATTTGGATCTAAATGACGGGGGATGAGAATAGGGGGCTAGGATATCTGATTGCACTTTGAAGTCGTCAGAGTCTTGGCTTCGGCTTCCCAGAAGATCTTGCATTGATGGACTTGGGTGTGAGATAAGATACCTAGTCTTAAGGTTTTTTTTTTTTTTTTTTTTTTTTTTTCGCTACATACAACAACTCTCCTTGATAGAGAGAGTGGGTACGGTACGTAGTATCACAAGGACATGGTTTGGCTGAGGCGAAAGCAAACCTGAATCATGAAGACGGTGGATCTCTCCGCAGCGACGGTGATCTCGCCACTTATCTCAACATCCCTCTGAAACGGCATGGTGGAGAGCACCGCAGAGCACTTTGTTGGAGATGCCAGTATGGGGGGTCGGTGAAGTTGTCTGGACTGTTTCTCGGGCGGGAATATTGCCGGAGACTGGAGAGGAGACTGTCAATCAAGGTTCTTGACTTATTTTGATTTACTGATATAATCTCGCCTCCCTTCGTTGATCCTCTCGGTGATCTCCTGTGGACTCGGCTGTGCCCTGCGCTATCGTTTGATTTTTTCGGATATTGCTCTGTTTTTATATTTCCGTTTTCCTTCCTCCCAGTCCACTCAACCGCTTAGACTGCTGGTCAGTTTATCCTACGACTCTACCTCCCTAATAGGACACCATGCCAGCACCGCTGCCGGTCAGCTCCGAGTCTGGACGCCACGCCGTCCCGGTGTCCCCCAACCCATTCACTGACGGGGACAACCGCACGCCATTCAACAAGTACAAGTACAAGTACTCGAACAATTCCACTCCCGCCGAGGAGACAGACGCCTACTTCTCGTCCGGGCGGTCCTCGACCGTCTACGATGGTGAGCGCGACAACCACCTCGAGGACCTCGAGAAGAGCCTGCCCATCCACACGATCCCCTCGCTCCGCCTCGATGCGGTGCACTCGGCTGGACATGGCCACCGCCACCACCACCACAATCACACCCACCAGAGACAAAAGGACTACGACGACGACGACAACGACGGCAAGAACCTCTCCGAAGTAAACCTCACCACCGTCCATAACAACCACCATGGAGACGAGGACGACGACGACCACCACGACCCCCCTTCCTCCCCCACAGCAGGAGGAGGAAAAAAGCTGCCCCTCCGCCAACGACTCCGCCACTTCACCTGGGCATGGTACACACTGACCATGTCAACGGGGGGTCTCGCCCTGCTGATCGCCGCCCAACCGCACCAGTTCCCCGGACTGCGACAGATCGGGCTGGCCGTGTACATCATCAACATCCTGCTCTTCAGCCTGGTGACCTCGGCCATGGCCACGCGCTTTCTCCTGTTCCGCGGCGCCCTCCTGGCGTCGGTCACGCACCCGCGCGAGGGCCTCTTCTTCCCGACGTTTTTCTTATCTATCGCCACGCTGATCACGGGGACGCAGCGCTACTGCGTGGGCTCTTCTGTTGTCTCATCAGTAGATGATCCCACTGGTGGTGGTATGGGTCAGCCGCCGCTAGTGGTGATGATACGGGTTGCGTTCTGGACCTACCTGGCCGTGACGACGCTCCTGGCCATCGGGCAGTACAGCTACGTCTTCGCGGCGCATAGCTACGGCCTGCAGACCATGATGCCGACCTGGATCCTGCCCATCTTCCCCGTGATGCTGTCGGGCACCATCGCCAGCGTGATCTCGGAGACCCAACCAAAACAGGAGGCCGTGGAGATTGTGGTGGCCGGCCTGACCTGCCAGGGGCTGGGCATCGCCGTGGCCTTCATGATGTACGCGCACATGGTGGGGCGGCTGATGCAGTCCGGCTTGCCGCACCGCGAGCACCGGACCGGCCTGTTCATGTGCGTGGGCCCGCCGGCCTTCACGGCGCTGGCGTTCATCGGGCTGTCCGGTGGGCTGCCCGAGAACTTTGACCACGACCTGGACGGCGTGCTGGACGGGGCCGTGGTCGAGACCATGGGCGTGGTCGGGGCCGGCTTCCTGTGGGCGCTCAGCTTCTGGTGGTTCGGCATTGCCGTGCTGGCCGTGGTGCAGAGCCCGCCGAAGCACTTCCATCTCGGCTGGTGGGCCGGCGTCTTCCCCAACACGGGCTTCACGCTGGCCACCATCTCGCTCGGCAACGCCTTCCAGAGCGACGGCGTGCTGTGGTTTGCCACGGCCATGTCGGTGCTGCTGCTGCTGGCCTACTGCTTCGTGCTGTACCACCACGTGCGCGCCGTGATTGTGCAGGACATCATGTACCCCGGCCGCGACGAGGATGTGGAGGATCACTAGAGCGTGGTTTTCCTTTTATATTTTTTTTTATTTTTATTTTTTTTTTTTGGAGAGGCGGTGCATTAGAGCGGAATGGTAATAGATCTTTGGGCTAGAAAGATTTAAAAGGGGAGGTTACTAGGTACTTGCTACCTGTAGACGGGCCACGGTTCTAGCTTGTCTAACACATCCGACCATCTACCTATCTGATAAAGATATGATAAGTCTAGTAGTAACTACTAGTAGCCGCCAATGTTCGGTCAATGCCCTCCACTCCAGACTGCGCGGACGCTCTGTGGGTTATGAAACACATCCTCCGCATCCCATATCTGTTTCAGCGCCTGCAGCTGCGGCAGGTTGGTGCCCCAATAGTGCCGCTGCGCATCGGACAGCGCAGGATCCACGTATCCCGGGTATGTCCCCTCTGCGGCCGGAGAAGCGCCCAGGATCTGAACATGGAGTTGGTCGACGAAGGTCTTGGCCCTCTGGTCGAGGTACAGGCCCGCCATGTAAGACTGGTAGTACAGCACCTTGTCCCGGTGGGCAAAGGCCGTGGCATTCATGGCCACGTCTGCCACGGCGCCGCCCGACGCGTCGAAGATGACGAACCAGAGGTCGGCGCCCATGTGCTGGTCGTCCACCCACTCGAACAAGGCACGCACCCTGTCCGGCGTCGGCAGGTCCTCCCGCCGGAAGGCGAGGCTCTTGGAGCGGAAGTGGATGGGGATGTCGGACAGGGCCAGCGCCTGCTTCTCGGCGACGTGGGTCAGGGACCCGAGCCAGTCCGAGATGGTGATGGAAGGCTGCGATCCCATCGCCTGGGAGAGCCTGGCGGGAATGCCCGTGGCCCGGAACTCGGCCTCGGTGCCGTGGAAGGTGCCGGTGATGAGGGCGCCCAGGGGCATCATCGTGTACAGCGACGCGAACCGCCGGTCGAGAGCCGGGTCCGCCACTAGGTCCTGCCACGCCGAGTAGGAGCTCGCCATCGTGGCCTGACTGCCGATTGCGATCGTGTAGTCGTACTGGACAATGGTGGCTGGCTCAGGATTCGTCCGGAACACGAATTCGGTGATGATGCCGAACCCAGAAGCGGCGCCCTTCAGCGCCTGGTTACGAGAACATACATGTCAGCATTGAGGACCCAGAGTGCGTTTATCATGATTCATACGTACCCAAAAAAGATCCGGATTCCTCTCGTCGCTCGCCCGCTCAATCCTCCCGTCGGCCGTCACGACCTCCACCTCGACAACATGATCCAAGCAGGACCCCCACATGCGCGAGCTGGGGCCGAGTCCTCCCTGAAAATCGCATCGTATCGCGGCCAATGTCAGCTTCTACATTTAGACGGACGTCAAGCGAGAAAAAAAAAGAAAAAAAAAAAAAAAAGGGCATCAGAATCATCACCCACAATCGTGGCATGCCCGCCGATGCCAATGCCCGGAGACACGCCCATGGCAATGGCCCGCCCGCCCGCATCATGCAGCTTGTGCGCCACGTCCTTGAGGTGCGTTCCCGCGCCGACCGTGGCCAGCCACGTCGTGTTGTCCACGCTGAACTGCTGGAAGTTGACCAGGTCGATCGACACCGCCCCGTCCACGCCGCCGAGTCCGTGGTTGCTGGGAAAATCCGACCATCAGTACCTTTCCTATTCAAACTGATACCGTGATACATGATTGATAACATACCCGTATGAATGACCCCCCGACCTGGCCTGCACCTTGACGCCGTAGGCCGCAGCGCACTGCACGACGCCCGCTACGTCCTCGGCCGTCTGCGGACGCACCACGGCCGCCGGCGTGACTTGGATCTCGAGGTTGTACGGCTTGACCCAGGCTGCCTGGTACACCGGGCTATCCGGAAATCCGGCGAATCTAGTCCTGCCGTTGCTGAGTGCTTCGATGCAATCTCGGAGGCTATCTCCCGTGTGAGTGGAGAATGTGTTGCCCATTGTTGAAGAGGTTGAATGAGAGACTGATGAGGGCAACAGGAGGCTGCTGTTGTTGGAGGGCGAGAGGACTGCTTGGGTTGGGTTGGGTTGCGTGGCATTGAGAATCGGGACTAAGAGGAACAAACCGTGGAAAAGGCAGAATTGAAGTTGAGCAACGATCCGGGGCAGGAGGACGTACCGAGGGCTCTGCTTCCCTCATCATTGGAGCCGGGACCTTGTTACCTTGGTCGTTACAACCTTCCATACTGGTCGAGCTTGCATCTCCCCTGGCAAGAGAGACTGAAGCACACGGCAGGGAGCTTCGAAGTCGAACCATTTCCACCTAGGCATGGCACGAGAAAAGTCATACCTTCCGCGTAAAAGCTGTTAGACAATCAACTATACTAAAGAACTATAGAACCAAAGAAAGGGCCTTCCCGTCCTGTCCATGATGTCCAACCTATCAGGCCATTTCAGGCGGTACGGAACATCCAGTGCTCCTTCTCAAAATATGCCTACCAAGCTGATACCATTCAACACTGTCAACCGCATCAAAATCCAATCCGTCCAGCAAAAAGAAACCCCTCAGCGTCGAAACTGATCACAGGCCTGGCGCAGTCATCGGCGATCCCGATCAGAAGTCCCGTCCGGGGCCTCCAATTCCACCAAGTGCCAATCCTCCTCTCAATGATCGTCGGTGGACCAGGTCCTCCGGTGGGAGCACGCCGCCGACTGGTTTTGGTCGACGGCAGGGGCGGACGGCTCCAAAGCAGGCGACAACTGCCCATCGCTCCCCCCGGCGCACCGCACATCCGTGTCGTAATCGCCGTAGATGCGCCGCCCCAGGTCCGGCTCGAACTGGCTGATGTCCAGGGGCCGGATGCCATCACCGGTGGGGAGCCACGGGTCGCGAGCGGCCTCGAACATGGCGCGCATGCGCTGCACCTTCTCCTCGGACCGCGGCACCGCGTCGAACGGGAACTGCACGGGCTTGGCGATCAGCAGCGGCGTGTAGTCGAGCCAGTGGACGGGCTTCTCCTTGTTGGTCTCCGGGTCGATCTGCTTGCGGATGTCGAACGCCCACGCCAGCCCGCCCATGGTCAGGAACAGGTCTTGCTCCACGACGGGCACGCCCTGGCAGGTCCGGCGGCCGAAGCCGAACTGCGAGAAGCCCGCCAGGTTAGGATAGTGCGTCAGCGGCTCGCGGTAGGTCGGGTAGTCTGGGTTGAGCCAGCGGTCCGGGTTGAACTCGTCCGGTTGCGGGTAGGTTGACTCGTCGCGCGTGATGGCCCTGGGTTGTTTTTAATTCAGGTTAGCGTTTTGTCACACTACACTGCAGTTCCATGAGATCATAACATACCACTCCAGCGCGTGGATCGTGGCACCGGCTGGGACAAAGTATCCGTCGTAGACGTCGTCCGTTTCGACGGCATGGGGGATCCCTGCATGTTTCTATCAGTACTTCGTTCGGTTTGTACTGTCAAGGGAAATAAAACATACCCGTCGGCACAGGCGGCCGCCACCGGATCACCTCCTTGACCACGGCCCTCAACAACGGCAGGTTCTCGCGGTCCTCCCACTGCGGACACCTGCCCTGCAGCACGCGGTCGATCTCGTCTTGCAGCTTGCGCTGCCACTTCGGGTAGTGGCACATAGCCAGCAGGTAGCTCTGGATCGGGCTGCCGATGGTGAGGGCCCCGGCGATGGCCATGAGGCCGACCACGTGCATGGCCTCGTCCTGCTCCCCCCACTTCGTCCGCTCCCGCTCGTCCGGGCTCTGCTTGCTCTCGAGGAAGGTCCGGATGAAGCTCGGCAGCGGCCAGCCCTCGCGAATGCTCTCTGCGGCAAAGCCGACGTTGGCGCGGAACGCCCGGTCCTCGAGCTCGTGCCGCCGCGCTTCCTTCTTCTTCCACGGGCTGAGCGCCGCGGGGACATGGCGGAGGAAGCCGATCAGGTTGGGCAGCGCGCCTGACGGGCTGATCGTCTCGAGCAGGCCGAACGTGGTGTGGCGCAGGATCTGGCTGGGGCGCGGCGTGCCCCACGAGAGGCGCGAGATGGTCCGGCTGGTGAACTGCTCAATCCATTCGAGGTACTGGCTTGCGTCGTGGTACATCAGGTACAGAAAGCGGTCACGCTCGCGGGTCGGGTACGAGTGGAGAGAATCGAGGGCGCTGACGTGCATCAGATGGTTACAGAGTTTCCGCTGACGCTTCCATGTGTCTTGTGTCTGGGATGAGCATTCGGGGAACTAGATGCGACGGTTGAGAAGGGAAGAACGCAAACGTACCGGTCCGTCCCAGGAGGGCGAGGTAGTCACCGCTGGTGCGGTTGTCAGGCAGGCCCGGTATCAAAGGCCGGTCCGAGTAGATCGCCGCTCGCTTGGAGAGAAGGTCGTGGGCAACCTTCTCCGACGAGATCCAGACGTGCACCGAGCCGAAGATCTTCGACTGGTAGATGGGCCCATACTTCTTGCCCCATTCGTAGAATTTGAGCCACGGCGCCTTGGCCGGGACGTCGTGGACGCGACCGATGTAGGGAAGGCCTAGAAGGTGTCAATAGCTTGACGGTGTGTGAAGCCATAGACGAACGGATGGAAGCTCACCCCAAGGCCCTGGCAGCGGCCGCACACCCGGTGGCAACCTCCGCTGCTCAAGATATCGCTGTACTGCCAGGAGAGTCGCGCTGATGATGATGAGGATTAACAATAATGTGAGCATCCTGAAAGTTGGTCGTTCAGAATCAAAAGGAATGACGAGAAACGACAGGGTCAAAACGCAGGTGGACGTTGTGTGGAAGAAACGAAACGGTGAAGGAGGCGAGATGGACAAGTCACGGGAAAACTGTGGGTTATCCGGCAGGCGCCATGGGTCTAGGCATCATACGCTCAGGTGGCGGACGTCCGAGGGCATGGAAGCTGCGAGGCGCTGAGAAGACCACTGTGGAATCCCCCAACAGCCCGCGGCTTCCTGGGCGGCTTTTGCTCCGAGCCCGCGGCATGCCAGGTCGCAGGCATCAATGAGCCCCTCATCGTCTGATGTTGGTCTCTCTTGCTTGCACCCGCTCGCCGCTCGGACTCCCCTTCACTGAACTGCGCCTCTTCTGGAATCGATGACGTCGGTGAACTGCGGGATAGCTGGAAGCCGTGGCTTCACGGATCCGGGACGGTCTGCACGACAAACCATCCAAAAACTGACGTTGGCATTGTTATCGGCCTGTTACTGTACGCGTCGTCAGTTTACCATCGTGAGACCGAGCCCTCGTCGGAGGCTGCCCGCTTGGCTCCTCTCACGACCAAGAACACCACGCAGACATGTGACGCGCATGGTGGCATCAACGAGAACAGTCTTGACGTTAGTGCTCCACACAAAACACCCGACGGCGGTGCACACAGTCAGCAAACGGACGACCCAGGCGGTACAATAGCGAGTCACACCTCCCAACAAAAGGCCTTGGGTTGGTATAACCGCTGCGGAGGAGTAACAGTCCGAATTTCCCGTCTGCAGGCGCTGGTGGCGTCTTTGGACCCGTGCTGGGCAGGATATTGATCACAGTGGTAAAACGGAATATATTCGTACGTTGTTCGGTACTGTGAGGCTTTCGGTGGCCGAGCCGGGCCCGGCATCAAGTGCGGGGCCGCCGGTGCCCCATGTAGTCCGTACTGTGCAACGTTAGACAATTGAAGCGGCCGAGAAAGCTCAACACTGGACGATTTCGCAGCGCAAATCGGAACTGAGAGGAATACGGGAGCAACCCCCCTGTCGACCTGATCTATTCTTGTCGGAGAAGCGCAGGCGTTTGCGCCAGTATCTAGCCATCAGCTACCCACTCAAACATCCCGATTTTACATGCTACAACTGTCAGCATTATGTAATTCAAGCCACAGAGCCGGGATCACTTACCGTTCAACAGGACTCAACCCCAACAAACGCATGCCATTCCCTAGCACAGTATGCGCGGCATCGTAGAGCGCCATACGTGCCTTCATCAGCTCCCGCTCGCTGCCCACAACCTGGAGGTGGTCATAGCTGCTGCTCAGGGCGTGCGTCATCTTGAACAAGTAGGTCAACACCGTCGTTGGCTCCAACGTCCTGAGCGTGTTTTGGACAGTATCGGGCCACTGGGCAAGCAGGCGGACAATGTTGATAGCATGCGTCTCCGTGAGGAGAGATAGATCGGCACTAGCCAGGTCCTCGTCGCTGAGCCCTGCGCGGCGGCGGATCGAGGACACACGCGCGTGCGCGTATTGCAGGTACGGGCCGGTATCACCCTCGAACGACGTCATCGCGTCCATGTTGAAGGTGTAGTTGTTGATCCTATCCCACCGGTTAGCCTTGTTCACCTGTCCAGTTCTCGAGAAGGTGGAGGAGAGACATGCCTCTTGCCTGTCATGTCCTGTACCATGACACTGCTGATGCCGAGTGTGTCGGCCGTCGCCTCTGGGTTAGCGACCTGGTTGTACTTGTCCTCGTTCTTCCTCATGGTCTCGTGCATCTTGTCGGCGACATCGCGCAGGATGTCGTCGAGGAACTTGACGGTGCCCTTGCGCGTGCTCATGCCCAGCACCAGACCGAAGTTAATGTGCTGGCACTTGGCGGCAATCTCCTTGTGCCCCAGCAGCTCGATGATCTTGAACAGTTGCCTCAGATGGAGGTCCTGGGCCGATGCTACGACGTAGATCATCTGGTCGAACTTGTACTTCTCGTGCCGGCTAAGCAGCTCGCTGATGTCGCGAGTCAGGTACAAGGCAGTGCCGTCCCGTTTCCTGACGATGGGCTTCTCGAGGCGCTTGCCCTCCTTGCCCGGCACAAGCTCCGAGAAATCGACAATCATGGCGCCCTTGTCCTCCTTGCAGATACCCTTCTCCTCCATCTCCTTGCCAATCTTTTCCATCGCCTCCTCGGATACTTGGCTTTCACCGCTGTACTCGTCGAACCTGATGTTGAGACGAGCGTACGTTTGCTGGTAGCGGGTGATGCTCAGATCGCGGAACCGCTTCCACTGGGCCAAAGCCGCAGGATCCCTATCCGTCATTTTCTTGAAGTACCGGCGGGCCTGCTCGTCCAGGCTGTTCGCCTCCAACTCGGTCACGTCCTCGCCGTCCTGTTTCCGCTTCTCGATCTGCTCCTTCTCGGCCGTCATCTCGCTGTTGATGCGCACGTAGAGTTGGAACAGGTGGTTGATAGGGTCCTTGTTGAGCGCCTCCTCGTCGCCGTATTTCTCGAATGCCAGAGCCAGGAGACCGTACTGCTTGCCCCAGTCGCCGAGATAGTTTATCCTGATCACCTCCCACCCGGCACGCTCGTAGAGATTCGCCAGGAAACCACCAATGATTGTGCTGCGCAGGTGACCGGCATGGAATGGCTTCGCGATATTCGGCGAGCTGAACTCGACAATGATGCGCTTCTTGCCCTTGCTGGGGCCCTTGGGGTCCCTCATCCCGTGGAACTTGTTGCTGCCGAAGTCAGCCGCGTAGTGCTGGATCATCGGGATGACGCTCTGGACAATTGGGGCGCCCTTGACGTAGAAGGCCAGGAAGTAGTTGATCGCCGTCGGCTTCTCGAACAGGGGGTCATTTTCGGGAAACTAAGGTATGGCCAAAGTCGTTAGAAGCTGGATACATGATGCGGCGTGCAGCTCTTCACCTTCTCAGCCCATTGCTTGGCCAGCTCGTCAGGCTTCTGCCCCTTGATCCGGAGCGCAGGCGCGGCTAAGATGAGGTCACCCTTTTCGAGGCTCTGCGTCCATGACAGGGCCGGGTAGATGATCTTGTGGTCCACCCCTGTGATCTCGGCGAGGACGTTGGAGAGGTGGGCGCGGTAGAAATCGAACGGGTTGAGCTCAGGGTAGCAGTTGGTGTACTTCTCGGCGATGGCTTCGAGGCTCATGCCGTCGACCCTCTGCACAAGCCGGTCGATCGGGCTCGGTGTACTCATGGTCGCAATTGTGCGAGTCTGGCAGAAGCGTGCGTTTTGCGTGCGATTCAAGACGGCCCGGCCGTGTGGGATGAAAACGTTAAAGGAGGGGTTCCAGAGGTGGGGGAGAAAGCGAGAACGTCGAGTCCTGGTGAATGACCTGGTCGCTAATAAAAGGGATGACCCAAAAGAAGAGAACAAGTGAGGGTAAGCTATCGGGTTAAGCGTCATGGAGAGGCTTGCCCCGCCAGGAATTTCTTCTTTTTAGCAACGCAATTCCTTTGAGAACTTCACCGGCAGCCGCCGCTGGAATCACTGTTGTTGACTCACAGAAGCAACCCAACCAAAACTTCGAAAAGTGTCCCACAATTGTTGATATCGACCAATCAGACGTCCAGAGAAGAGACAGGGGTGAGATGGGTGCGATGGCGGGGTAACGATGATGCGGCGCAGAAGTCGGAACCCCCTGACGCCGGCGCCGAAGTCACTTATATCGTGGCGCATGGACACAAGACAGTACTCCTCGATATCCTCTGGTGAACATGGGAGTCTCAGGTCGATAGATAGGACTAAAAGCTATACTCCTCGACAAACAGATGTATCCCCTGGGCCCCTGTCCCCTTGTGCACCGCTCGCTCGTCCGACAGAGCAGCGACACAATTCCGCACCCTGGAAGCCAACGATGGCCCGCCGCAGACAACCACACTGGTCTCCCCACCGGTTGCTTCGACAGCCTCCCGGATGAACGCCTCGACATCTGGCCGTACGGACGAGTGGAACACATGGGAATCGGTGCTCGTATGGCTCTCCCTCCGTGAACTCACAGGCGCGGTTTGCTCCACATCGCCTTGTAACCCCGCCGTAGCCTTCTCGCCCGCCTGCTTTCCGAGATTGCTTCCCGATGATGAAGCAGAAACAGCATTCACCGTCTCAATCCTGGTACCGGTGCGGCCCAGATCCTTGGTGAAGTCCGTTGGGCACTGGGTGACGGCGATGTGCACGCGGAGCTCAATGCCGACCTCTGTCGCACGCTCAATCAGCTCGTGGAGCCGCGAGACGTAGAAGTCGATCTCCTCCCCTTGCTTCGCTGCAAGCTGGAAGTCCACTCGCTTCACACATCTGGCCGTTCCTGACTGCAATAGGCCCTCCAGAATGGGAAGCGTGAATGAGGCGCCAGTTGACGCCGAGATGAGGACGATGGTTTCGTATATATCTAACCGGGGCGGCAAGCCATACGGTCCCGAAACGAAAACGGTCAGTTGCTCTGTTTTCCCACCTTTCGCGGCAAAGTCATGGAGTCGCCGAGAGAACCCGTTGTGCTTGCGGACGACAAGCTGGATGCTGTTGCAGATGCACGTGTCTGGCAGTTGATGAGCGCAAGCGATCGTGTATGGGTGTGCCTCCGCCAGACCGATCCGGGGCGCCCACAGGTAAAGATGCTGGCCAGGCCGCCACTTAAAGTGTACGTCCTTGATCGTCATCACGGTGATAGAGCCGCCCACAGCCCTCACCTGAGCCTGGTGCCCGATACGCTGACCCCCTTTACACCTCGACTTATCCGGGAAGAACTTGATGTTCTGCCAAAGAAGCAAGGCGATGCGACAGGCGCGGTCGAAGCACAGGGCGGCGATGGCGAACCAGACGTTGTACCGTGCGCTGGCCGGGACGTGGACGTATATCAGCCACAGAAAGATTATGGCGCTGAGGATATGCTGGAGAACGAAAAGCTCGTAGGCCATCCGTCTGAAAGGGGCAAGGCCTGACACCAGGGTCCAGAGAAGGATCGCCCAGGCACCGAACCCGTACTTGACCATGGGCATCATCTGCAGTTCATACTCGACGAAGTCGGAGCGCACCCAGTCATCGTAGAAGTGCCATCCGTGAACTGAAGCCGTCACGAACATGGTACGTCCAACCCATCGGTGCAGCCAGTTGAGTCGTTCGTGACTCGTCCCAACCAGGAAGCCCACGATATTGCACTTGGATGCAAGCAAGTATAGGAGCGGCACCTGTGTAACCGTGACCCAGGCGTTCCGATAGCCGACGCGCTCCCAATGAAGGAGATCGTCGATTATTACGTTGTTCGAGGTCATCATGTAGATGATGATGATCCAGTAAGTCAGCAGGGCAATGATCCGCCCCAGCGGTGGCGGCGTCAGCCATGAGAACCCTCTGACGGATATGTAGACCTGAGGATGGCTGGCCTCACGGACGATGGCTGTGAAGGTGGCCCATAGCTCCAAAAAGGGATCGCTCGGTTTCGTGGGGAACTCGAGCGAGTTCGCATCTCTTCTTCGTAGCCTGATACAAGGTTAGCAACGACTTCGTCTTCTCTTGTCACCCGACGTCTTTAACCAGGACACTGACCGCCTTTGCACCTTGTAGAAGTTGACCGCACGGATGACTACCAGCGCTCCCACGAATCCAGCGATAGTGTACCAGTAACGGTGGGCCAAGTCGGCATTGACCGATGACCACATATTCGATCCATGGTCCATGCCCTCCATCTTCGCGGATTTGGTGACTGCCAGGCAGTCTTCCAGTCCCCGCTGCGATTCTTGGAGACCTGACTTGGCCAACCTGCGCGCTGACCGCGCCTGCCGTGTTACAGCTCCCTTTCGGACAAACACTCCAAGAGGGTTGCGCACAGCACCGCCCGACGTCCAGAAGTCGATATGAAGTGAACTGCCCGTCACCTGTGTCGCCGTTGCCTCGTACTCCGCGTTCGAGAAACCACTGCGTCAGCTTTCGTGAGCAGTTGCGGCGCGGCGCAACGCTACCCCGTTCTCTAAATTATTGGAGATCAAAGGCAGACAAACACCTCAAAACGAGATATAAGCGTAGTATTCCACTTGGGACGGATCAAACTTCGCCGTGCAATTTCGATTCGCTTTGCAGCCGGCCTCCATGTATGCTCCGGGTCGCGGCAGTGGATAAAGCAGACGATCCGATGATATAAGTTTCACCCCGGGAAGGTTAAATGCCAGTCAGCAGCTCAGGTCTGGACTTCGGCAGCGGTCCGTTCACCACCCCGCTCTGACAAAGTGCTCTCACAGTCTCGTTACTCGAATCCACAGGTGTGGCACACATGTTTCCGGGAATGGAGGAGTTAACTCCAACTCTGCAATGCGACAACCGTGCCTCTTGGTTGAAGATGCGAGAGCAGGTTGTGAGTGGTTGGAGTGCGCCAGAGGTCTGGGCAAACAATTTGCTCAAAACCCCTCGCTCGCGGGAACGATACCGGATGCGGTTATGTGGCTAACAACGCCAGGGCCTCGCCGCAGGAGTGACGCCATGACTCTGTCAGCTCGTACAATACATACCTACATCGGCCACTCTGATAGAGTGTTCTAGGACAGTACATTCCGAGAAATGGATATGTAGTATTAATAACTTGAAGATTATACTCGGTCGGCCGAATGACAATCGACTGCCTTTTGCGTGATCATTCTGAGATATCGGAACGTTGAAGTCTCAAGCCCTTTGGCCTTGGCGAGGAAAGCTTGGCGTTGCTTGCCGCGGGATGTGGTGGGGCGCCATCAAGGTTGTTGCGGGGTGCATGGGAAGCAACCGTTATCTCCGAAACAAAGCGTTCTCCCGCCCTACCGCTCTGCCTATGGCGCGCTCCGTCTGGTCCTTCCTGGCACCTTGTCCGTACCTGTGAATCCTTTCTGCAGTTTATCAGTCTCGTGTTCCCCTTGTTTCGACATCCAACGATTTCGCTCCTACTTCTGCTTTTAAAACTACAGGACGCAGAACATCCGCATTGGATAAAGCAACACTACCGTACCTAATTCTTACAACGGACCCGTTACATCTTACGCTCTTTGTCTCACCATGGCGACGCTTCGCTCTCTCGTCACCACGCTGTGCTTCCTCTCGGCAGCAAACGCGCACTTTACGCTCACGCAACCACCATCGCTCGAGGGCGACAGCTTCAACGAGGGCGCTGAGGACAACGCGCCTTGCGGTGGAGGGACGCCCGACTTGTCCTCGAACACAATAACGGATTTCCACGTCGATGGAGAGCCGGTTCAGGTCTTCCTGTCACATCCGCAAGCCAAATATCTGTTCCGCGGCACTCTCGACTCGAAGGCGTCCGGGAACTGGACGCAGCTGTTCCCGATCGTACAGCAGAGTGGACGCGGCAACTTCTGCGAACCGGCCGTCACCGCGCCGAGCGGATGGGTTGGGAAGAAGGGCTTCGTCGGGGTCGCGTGCAATGCGCCAGACGGAATGCTGTACCAGGTGGGTCGCACTTGAATTTGAGAAGGCGCAGTTTCCCATTGCTAACTATGACGCGTACAGTGCGCGGCCGTCAACTTCGTCTCGGGCTCCAGCACTTCGACCTGCACCAATGGAAGCTCTGTGAGCGCGAGTATCGACACGGACGCCGCCCTCGCTGCCCTCGTAGGCGATTCCAGCTCGACAGGCGGCCCGAGCTCAACGTCCCCCAACCCCGCGGCCACTTCATCCCACAATGCAGCTCCTTCGTTGCTAACGCATGCTACCGGTCTCCCGATCGGGAGCATGGCGGTGACCGTAGTCATGCTCCTCTTAGGTGCGGCACTTTTGTGAGCACCTTCCCGCGCATCGAGTGGTTTTGCGGGACCGTCAACCCCGCGTTGTGCTAGGACAATGCAGAAACAGAACGCCTTGATGGGGAAATCAGTCTGGGAACGACTACCAGCAAAGCGAGACAATCACAAGTTCACAACGTCTACTCTTTCAGGCCTAATGCCGAAAACTTGCCTCGGTATGGAGCCGAAGTCGAGGTCGAGAACTCATAGAAACGCTGACTCGAGAAGTCAAACGCTGCGGGCTGTTTGGGGGATCATCACCTGGTCTTGGATGGTCACCTGCTTGTACAATACGTCATCATCTGTCTCTCTGGGCCTGAGGACAATCGCACTACATCCGATTACAACGAAGGGCGAGATGGGAGAGGCCGTCGGTCTGGATATAGCGATATAGCTATGGTTCTAGGCATGTAGATACTAATGCGAAGCAAATCATGCTTTGAAATACCCCTCACCTACTAGGAGGCTTCAGAACTTATAGTCATAATACGCCATCTTCTACGCTGCCTATTTGCAGAAGACATAGTTCACTATACAATGGACACTTGAAGCATATGGACGATGTCTAGGCTGAATAAAGGATCCTTCGAGTGAGATTACGCCTACTCATAGACGCGCAACCCTGCCGTCATGGGTTTACATGTGACTTGGCTGCCGATGTAGCCGATGCCTCGAAACATCTTCAAGCTATGAATCCTGCGCAGTCTTATTATCATCTATCCTCTCTTTGGTATCAACGAGTCCTACAGCTTACGCTCAGCCATGATGCCTTCTCCAGCACGAGCGACATCGCAGCAGTTGAGGATGCCCTAATTACTACTTCTACTGGTAGGTGGTAGGCATTCGTGGTAAAATATAAGGCTACTGACCACACTCCAGTTGCGACGAGCAATCGGGGTCATTGATTTTATCAATTCGATCGGCGACTACTGGTAGCAACAACCTTGCAACAATGAAGTTTCCACTGCCATGGCGCTGGAAACTAAGGACTACTCATCAGCCGTTGACTCATCATGTGTTCCTATGAATACCTTATTGGACAAACTTCCGCCGTCCTCACGGTAGGATTCCACACCTGTATGTCCTCACTGAATCCGTCGTTCCGATTGGGTGTGGCCGGCGTACCTCGGAGTCAAAATTCCAGGTTGGCCTCTCCGGCGTCACAAACGAGGCGAAATCCGCAGACCACATAAGGCAGCCAGGATGAAAGGCTGCCCGTTTGTTCTGAGAGATGTATTCTGGCGCATGGCTATAAAGGGGAGTGGAGTGCGATTACCGCTGAGCCGGGCCTCCCCATCCCAAACTCAAAGATCATTGTTCGCACTCTCACCACTCCATCCACTTCTCATCGAACGAGGTACTCAATCGGTGCCAGCGGCCGAAGAACCACCATTTTAATGCCCTCTCCATCTTTCACCGGGACCAATCCTTCCACCAACACAACCACTGACCTTTCGCACCAATTGCAAGGCGTCACCCTAGGCAACAACAACAACAATCCCCTCTCCGAAGTCAACTCCAACTTCAATGAGAATGAGAATGAGAACGAGAACGATACCCCCACCACATACACATACACCGAAAGACCAACCCAGCAATGGGATCCCACAATCGACGCCATCTGCAGCGTAATACGCACCGCCTTCCCCTCCAGCCCGCACAACCCCGTCACCACCACCACCACCACCCGCCCCGACTTCCAGTCCTACTGGCACGGCGTGTTCACACAACTCATATCCACCGTCGCCGCGGACGCAACCATCCCTCAACACCTAACCTCCCCGCCGGTGAAAGACTTCGAGATCAAGGTCTTTGACAGGGGCCACGTCGGTGGGTGTCCGTGCTGTCTCCCGGACGTGGAAGCCAACATCCTCTTAGAGAACGAGGATGGGGTGACAAAGGTTGATTTTGTGAGGGGGGTGAGGGATTATTTGTTTGCGGGGGATACTACTAGTAGTACTAGTAGTAATACTGTGCCGTTGGTGAATACGGAGGATGTGGAGATAGAGATGGAGACGGCGCTTGTGTATAGCGCGCAGTGGATGAATCCGTTTCTGAATCATCGGGGCGTGCCGGAGGTGTTTTTGTATTGTTGTTCGGCGGGGCGGATGGAGGAGATTTTGAAGGAGGAAGAGGAGGAGGAACGAGATGGGGAGAAGAAGATGGAGGATGAGATGCCGAAGGGCAGGCCGAGGACTAGGAGAGCTTGAGGACAGGGGTAGAAGATACGGAAAGATACTGTAACTCACCTTGGATGCTGATTCTCTCCTCTTTACTATTAGTAGGTTGGTAGTATTGACCTACCTTCGAGAAGAATGGCACGGAAATAGTGCGAAGGTTCCGAGTTTTCCACGTCATCCCATTTTCTTTCAACTTGGTTCCTGAATAAACGCTAAAGCATAGGGTATCATCACCCAATCGCCGGCCTGCGGAGAGTTTTCCTGACATATAAAAGCGTAATCATAAACACCAACACCAACCAAATAAACAACGCAACACAAAACCAAACAGTCATTCCATCGTGTCCCATGAAGCCCAAACCAGCACCAATGTACCGAAACGGCCGGAATCAGGACGTGCTGCCGGTGCTGCCGGTACTGCCCCGTCTCCCATCCTGCCCCGCCCGCGCAGAGCGCAGCCGCTCAAGCCCCGCATTGAGCGCGTTATCCAGCGCTAACCTGAGGCCGGACACCCAGGGGCTGTGTGGTTGTGGTTGTTGCTGCTGGTGATGAGGCTGACGGGCGGGGGATGGGTCGCGGGTGTTGGGCAGCGAAGGGTAGTGGTGGTGGACGCGGGTGAGGCGCTCCATGTCCTCGAGCATCATGTGGTAGTACTCTTCGTCTTCCATTTTTTGCGGGGTTTGGGAGACAAGATTTGGTTGTGCTGCTGGATGGTACTAATTAGTGTAATTAGCATGTGTTGGTTCAGTGGGTAATTGAGATACATAGAGATGGGGAACGTACCCAGGGGCCGAATGAGTTCCGTCCTTTTTCCGATGTTCAATTAGCAAATGGTGAAAATGCTCGGTGAGTGTCAAGTTTCTTGGATTTGAAGATGTTCAGCTGTGATGGCGATGGGCGGGATGAAGCAAGGAGCAAGCACGACGCCTTTTATGCATTTTGTCGGTGACAGGAGAGCAATTCATGGCACCACATCGTATCGTGAAGCTGAATGAACCTGAATGATCGAGGTGCCATTGGCGTTGAACCCCGAAGTGGAAGTCAGGAGACGGAGAGTGTCGGGTCGCCATATCGGATGATGTAGGAGCAATTGCTCGGCCCTGTTAGCTGACAGATCATGCGAGGAAAGCATGCCAGTTCCACTCGAAGATAGCGCTTCAAAGCTGCGCTGCTGATAACTGGGTGAACTCGCCTTGGCATAAGAGTTTTTGAAACCTTAATTCTTAGACGCGACAGCGAACCCAACGCAAGGAAGTCAGTGAGGGGCAGCGCTTGTCTCGTGAGTTGCGAGACGTTTTCCAGCAAACCAGAAAGGATGGGCACCTCTTTCCTCAAAGCCTGAGTTTCAAACACCAACTCGGAGATATGCACAACGACCATTTCAATCACACACACACACAGCGCGGGAGTTAAACGATTTATTCAACTAGTTACAAATGAAGTTTACAACCCGTTTTTTGGAGACCACCACCGCGAGACGCCAGCAGACATCAGCGCATCCAAGACATCATGACTTGTCCTTCCTAGCACTCCTTTTTTCAATCATCCACTCTTCCGCTCTTTTAAGCCAGGAGCTTCAGGAGGGTGCCGAGCAGGCCGCCGACAAGCGAGCAGGTGTTGGTGATGACGGAGAGGCAGGCGTGGATCTTGACGACAATGTCGGCAAGGTCGACGTGGACGTCGACCTTGAGGTCGGCAATGATGGCCAGGACGGCCTTGACGACGACGTTGCCGATCTGGGCGATGATGTTGAAGCAGGCCTTGAGCTCGGCGCCGACGGCAATGAGAATCTCTGTGTTTTGAAATTTGGTAAGCGTGCATTCTTTTTTTGACAAGTTATCTCTAAGTTGGGAATGGTTCGTCACATACCAGCCTTGAGAGCGAGGATGGCCTTGAGGCAGACCTCAACCTCGGCGACGAGAGCCTGGATCTGGGCAACCAGCTTCAGGACAACCTCGAGATCGGCGGCGGCAATGGCATCGACATCGACAGTGAGGCCGTTGAGCTTGACCTCGGCGTCAAGGAGAACCTTGAGGTCGGCGTTGAGCTCGACAATGACCTTGAGCAGGGCATCAACGTCGATGTCGACCTCGGCGATGATCTTGGCGATCAAGTCGAGCTGGGCCTTGACCTTGGCCTCCACCTCGACAACGACGTCGACGACGGCGCCAACGACAACAGTGAGACCGCAGTCTCCGTCGCAGTCGGACCCGGAGCCGCCACCGTGGCTCGGGACACTGGTGGCGGTGGCGGTCGCCACGGCGCTGGTGATGGTGGTGCAGGGCGTGGACACGCTGGGGAGGCTGGGCAGGCTGACGGAGGGGAGCTTGCCGCCGTCCTGGCACGGGCACGGGGCCGCGGAGGGAGTGGGCAGGGTGCGAGCTTCCTGGGCTGGGGCAGCAATGGCGGAGCCAACCGCGAAGGCGGCCAGAGCGGTGCTGAAGAACTTCATTGTGCTAGTGTTTGGTTGGGTAGAAAACGAGTGTTGGTTCGTCTGAAAAGAGTGACTAAGGTCTGAAATATTAGGTAGGTAATAGGGTATAGTGGTGAAACGATTGGCACGCTGAGAAGTTGCAGCTGAGGATGAGAGAGGAAAGGGAAGGCCATCGAGAGGGCGATCTCGTCCTATTAATACTCATGTCTCGTGATGGAGCTGTTCTGCTCATCACGAGTCCACGACCCTGTCCTCGGGCTCCCCGTCGGCCAGAGCTTGGATGGTGATGGCCGCCAAACATTTCCCCGCTGGCCGGGGCCGGTGTGCATGGTTACGGCAAAGCCTCTCGCATACGTTACGGCACAAACAAGTGCATGCCAGGACTCCGCTCTCTCTTAGCCCAGGGGCATGGTGTTGATTGCAGATCCCAATAGCCTCGGCCAAGACCTCCACAGTCGGCCGTGATCACCAGCCCTATGGCTCAATCCGGCAATGGTAGAGATGAGCCGCCGAACTCCACTGCTTCAGTTAAGGCAGATTGTCTCACCATCTCGTTAGTCTGTTTGCTGGTGCGGCGACCTGATAAACTCAGCCTCCAAGCCACAGTCGTATCATGGAGTCATCAGGGACAAGCTGTGAGGGAGAAGAAATGGGCCTCCCGGGCTTCTTCCACGTGTGGTGTTCACTAACTACCGGTATGTGGTTGCATTACTGTGTACACTAGTGTAGTGTAGCTTCCTAGTCGTATTTGTGCAGCGCAGATCTCGTGGAGATCATTCTGGGTCCAGAACGCAGTGCGCGCAGTGGAGTCTGACCATCAGATGAAACCATGGGATGTACGGAATGAACATCGCTGTCATGTTGGTACGGCTCCCTGAACGATGCTCCAATATCGCAAGCCAGGTCCCAATCTGCCTGGTCCAACACGAACTGTTGCCCGTCGCTGCAATTACACGTTTGTTGTGCAGCGCCCTAGATCCGATTACGAGCGAAGTTTGCTGCGACCGTTATCAGGGTCTACATCCCCTTGCAGCCACAAAATAACGGCCTGCAGGAGCGCTCGGACAGCACCTACAGGAAAACGCAGGACCGTACAGTACTAATGCAGGGCGTTGTGTTCTTTGCATGCAGGTGGTTACACTAGGCTATGACTCGCTGAGTAGCTCCCTTGACAACGCCGTCGAACCTGTCTCCTGGGCACCCGCCCTTTTTCGAAGGGATAACATTCAGGTATCGAAATTTGTGAGCGGTGAGGTGAGCCTTGATCCCCTCCAGCCGTCTGCGGTCGGCAATGGACCCTGATAGATGGTGGGTACCGTAACAGCGTTACCGATCCAGGGTAAATTTCACAGTATATTACGGTATGTGTAACGGAACACTGTCCGAACGAATGCCGGCCGGCTATCCGTTACACTAGCTTCTGATCCCCCAGACCCTCGATCCGTAGGATCCGGCCGGCAGCTGAGTGCCGTTCCCCGTCAGTGGATCCCCCATCCTCTCAGCTTCCTGTTCCTGTGAATGCCATCCACCTATGGAATACTCGGAATGTAACAGAAACAAAAAGCTGCCCTTGTCGATCGGAGAAGATCCTCCTTCCCGTCCACTACAACTGTATCGCTGCACAGCTGAGATGAGATGAATGTCAATGAATATGAACAAGAAATGCACAACCATCATAAGATTGTGCCAATGAATGCACTCAGGTCATGTCAGTCTCGGGCCCAAACAAGCCGCCTGCCCAAACGGCTGAGCGGAAAAGTGTCGATCCCTTCTCCAAACTCCAACAAATGAAATCTCCCTGCCCGGGATTTACCGGTGGCCGGACTCGCCCCTTTTCTTCTCAGCGTAACTAACTATAGCGTAACTAACTACACTAGATAGTAACTAGCAGAGGCCAATGGAGACAGGCTTGCACTGGCCTTGTTGACCGCGCGGTACTTATTAGCCTCATTTCACTGAACCACGGATCATTCCGTCCGGTTCTTCCCAAGGGTTCCAACTGTCTGGATCGTATCTCCTGAACAGGATGCGGCGGAACATAACAATCCTTGGATATCGACGCCTATTACCCCATGATAGTTAACTCTCATTTTGCAGCCATCTTCACCCGCAGATCCGAATCCAACTTCTACATAGTATCATATTATGCCTTCGTTTTATTTCGCCCCATCTCGTGTACAAATATTATATGTCAGATCCCATTCAGCTCGCATCACCTACCCCCCCTGGCTTCTCCCGAGCCCACAACCAAGTTTGCCCCACCATCTGCATCTCGTAGTTTTACCTGAGTTGATCAACATGAATCCGCTCCTCCCGGCCCATGTCCATGCCCTTTCCCCTTATCCTTATGCTTATCCACATCTGCCCCCCTCGGCATGTACCTCCCCCACCTCACCTTCTTCGTACCTGGCGAGTCAAGGTACTCGATCGCAAACGGCACCGTCTCGGTGGCATCATACTCGCCGGCCTTTTCGGCGTTGCCAAAGATGCGCAGCGCCTTCGCTGCAAGCTTGTACTGCCCGGCGGGCGCGTAGCTCCCGTCGTCCATCTCGCCGTCCCAGACGAACTCGAACGTGCCGCGCGGATTCCACTGGATGGGCGAACCCTCGGGCTGACCGAGCGTCTTGGTATCCAGGACTTTCTTTGCACCGGTGCAGTTGCTGAGAGGGATGACGTCGATGCGCACGAGCGGGGAGCCTAGGGAGAGCGTGACGACAAACTTGGGCTGCTCGGTCCGGTTGGCGTAGGACGTGTCGTTGCCGAAGCCCGGCGGCGGGAGGACGAAGACCTCGTTGGCTTTGACGGGCGTGTTCTCGTCGTCGCTGGCCCGGGCGAGCAGCGTGTTGCTGGCGTCGAGCACCACGTGTGAGTGCATGCTGCCTGCGACGCCCAGGTAAGGGAGCGAGAGGGCCGAGCCGTCCGAGCCGTTGATGGCGATGTAGCCGGAGTAGACGGGCAGGCGCTTCGTGTCGAGGCCCTTTGGTGCGGTGGCCGTCACGGTGATGATCTTGCGGTGGCCCGCCGGGATTGTGACCTTGTTGGGCGCGAACGAGAGAGTCGCAAAGTCGGCCGTCAGTTCGTTGGGGAAGGCGGCGGGTGTGATGGAGCTGTCATCCGCGAAGGTGTAGGCAGTAGCCGCACCGATGTTACTCAGCTCGTAGGTGACTTCAGTCTTGCCCGTGTTAGAGATGCTGAAGTTCTGCACCTTGTTGAAGTGGTCTGTGTCGTTGAACGATAGGCTCGACACACTGAGGAGGGTCGTGGCATGCGCTGCATCCCAAGCCTGAAGCAAGCCGCCGCCCTGCTGCGGGACCGGCGCGAGGAACGGGAGAGACTGTCCGTTCAGCCGGAACAGGTTTGGATGTGCCGTAGACGACAGAATGCTTTCAAGTTCCTTGGGGTCCTTGATGCCGCGGACGTTCATCAGCAGGGCGTAGATGGCAGCCGCAATCGGGCAGGCCATCGACGTCCCGGAGAGCACGCCATACGAGCCCAGAGCACGGGGGTACGTGGACAGGATCATGCCTCCCGGAGTCGAGAATTGAGGCTTGACTTCAACCTCCCAGGTGGGACCCCAGCTGGTGTAGTCGCTCAGGAAGCCCCCAGTGGCCGTATTGTTCACGTAAGAGAGGAACTTGCCGGCCGTCTTCGGGTCCGGCATGTTGACCACTACCTTCTCGCCAGCTTCCAGGGCGCCGATCCACGATGCGCCTTGCTCGGCCGTGACCATGGCCACGCCTTTTATGCCTTCCACGGCTGCCGAGACGCTGGCCGTGCCGACCGCGTTGTTGTAGAACATGACGTACTTCGCACCCTTCGCGGCCGCGTTGGTTACCTTCTGTACGAAGGTGCAGCTGCCGCGGCGGACCAGGACGATGTAGCCGGAAAGATCCGGGGTCGAGTCCGGATACGGGTCGCATCCATTCGCCGGATCGGTCGTGTTGAAGTTGACGGCCCACAGAGGGAGGCTGACATCTGCCCAGTCTGCCGGCTCGCCAGGGGTGAAGCCGAAGAACTCGGTGCTGCCGTTGACCGAGAAGGAGCCGTTGCTGAGCAGCGAGGGGGTCATGCTGTTGTCGACCGAGGCAATTGCCGTGACCTTCTTACCGTTGGCAGCAGTCGACGCATAAAAGATGCCGGCGGCGCCGTCATTACCGGCCGAAACCACGCAGGGGACGCCCATCTCCACGATCCGCGACACGACCACGGCCCAAGGATCCTCGCCCCAGCCGGACGGCCCGCCAATCGAGGCCGTGATGATGTCGCTGCCATCCTCGTAGGCCATGTTGTACGCAGCGATCAGGACATCGTTGGGGGTGTCGCCATCGCAGCCAAAGACGCGATACGAGCCCACAGTGACGTCCGAGGCGGCTCCAATGATGCCGTACGGGTTGTTGGTCTGCGCCGCGATGATGCCGGCGACATGCGTGCCGTGGCCCTGGCAGTCGAGCGGATCCGGGTCCGGCTTGGGTGTGTTGGAGCCGTTGAAATCATCACCGACGAGATCGGAACCATACGAGACCAAGCAGCCGGGTCCGAAGCAGCCGCCTAGAGCCGGGTGAAGGTAGTCTGTCTGTCTCAGCGTCAGTAACACCTCTGTCATGCTCGCTTGTCTGCAAACAGGCGCCACTTACACCGGTGTCGATGATGCCAATCTTGATACCCTTCCCCGTGATCCCCGCGTCCCTGAACTTGTTCACCTGTGTCATCAGATGCGGCGAGAAGGTGTCATTGCCCTCCTCCCGCTTGGCAATGAGCTCCTGGACGGCATCGCCCGTGGAATGCACGACGTGGTGGGGCACCGGGTACCGTCGCACAGGAAAGACGCGCTTGACCGTTGGCATGCTGGCCACCTTGGCCGCCATGCTCTCAGCATCCTTGACGTCCTTGAACTGGATGGAGGCACCCTTAAACAACTTGAAGCGCAGGTCCTTACGGAGCGACGCTTTCCCTCCGAGAGTATTAACGAGTGCGTTTGAGTCCTGGAAGGGGGTTAGCCTCGGCCGTCAAAGAGTATCCGGGCCAGAGTCAACAAGCTCACCTGATCCTCGGCATACTCCACAACGTACGCCCCGGGGACGACGGGCGGCGTGTCGGGGGCGACAGCCCGGGCGACGGACGTGGCCGCCAGGAGCACGGCGGCTAAGTCCAAGCGCACCATGATGCAGGAGGCGATCTGTCCAAGGAGAGGAAGCGTCGAAGCGAGTGACCGGGACCGACGCGCAGCTGGCGAGAGAAGGAACAGCACTCAACACTGGAGGTTGCGGACCTGTATCCCTCCCTCGGACAAGACCGCATGGGTGACCGAGCTGGTGGCATGGTGGCACTTATATAACCAGGCATGCACCCGGCATGCCGCGACGTGCTTGTCGTGTTTCCTCAGGGGTAATGCATTGTCTCTCGCTTCCCCGCGCAGGAACGTCAAGGCGAGGTTGCGGCCGAATTTACCCAAATTCTTATCGCCCGCTCAATTGGCCGACCTCATTGGGCAAGAGGCAGAGGTTCGTCCCGCGACACCCGCTGCGGTCTTGCTCGAGAAGGCAGGTCGGCCATGTCGCAAGCGTGGAATGCTACCCCCGATACGGCATGAGATCTCGCGCCAAGCTGTTATTAAATTGTACCACCGTGAACCGCGGGGATTGTCTGGGAACAGCAACTGCATCCGGGCGGAGAAAACAACGCGGTACAACGAACCATGATTTGCAAAGCGGGTGATGCACTTTGGACGATCCGAATCAGGCTGACCATGGCGGGGCCGGGTTTTTGCTCCTTCAGAAGCGATTCAGGGCCCTCGCGGCTCGAACGGAACAGAAGACGACGTCGCGATCGATGATCATCAATCGGAGAACAGCGGTGGCTTCAACTTCTGCCTGACTGCTAGCGAGCCTCTGCCGGCATCCGCGCGGTCGGGTCCCAGTGCCGCTTCAGGCAAGTGAAAACACAAGCTTCGCGAGGGAGGCGTGCCAACCCCTGCCTTCCACGCGCTGTGAATCGCCGGCCTCCGCGACCTCGATGCATTTGGAGCCTGAACGGACTTGGAAGGAGACCAGGAGACAGACAAACCACTCACGTTTCTCCCGGCGCCAAGCATTGTTCCTGCAGCAAGCCGGCTCCGTCCCGGACAGACCTCCTCGCTCCCCGCTTAACCCTGGGCCCCTGTCATCCGTCCATGCAGTTATCATGGTTTGATATCAGCCGATGCATACTCCGTACACGCAGCCAGGACACCGCTGGAGATTCGGCGCCCGGAGGTGTTGGACTGATGCGAGTAGTTCTCAACTGCCCGAGGATAGCTCCTCATTGTCTTGTTGGTGCAATGCCTCCATACCGTTTGTGTGCATCCTTCTCGACCATCGCAGTCCCCAACGCGGTGGGTTCGGGTGTGATTCGCCCGCGTGGCGGTAGATAGTACGTAGTGGGGCCGTTTGTTATCAAGGCGGGCCAAGTGTGCCGACGCCGGCCGGATAATTCCATCTTGCGTCCCTTTAGGCTTTGACCGATTGTTGCTGTCACTCGGGCTGTCGGGCAGAGCATTCATGGCTCCATGGCTCCACAGTTGTGCTGGAGGGGCTGGCGGATACGAATACTTTACTGTGTAGATCCCATCATTGAGTAGTTACTCCCTGTCACAAGGACACCTTTACACACTGTAGGCATGGGTAGGTTGATAGCACCGAGTTGAGCAAGCCAAAGCTGTCACAATCAGGTCTGGTCGTGACACGCAGGTTTCAGTAGTTTGCGGCCGGATGAAATCTCAAACTTTGCTCTAGGTTAAGTTTCGAGGCGGAGATCGGAGACCGACCGCATTGGAGTCGATGTGCGGAGGAGCTGAGGTTTGGAGAAATGGAAAACTTGAAGGAGAATGCCAAGAGGCCGAAGGGAAAGGTGGGGTTACCCCAGAAGTGGCGCCCTTGAACCAATCAACAGTCGTCTGATTTGTAACTACGGAGTGTTCTGGTTCGTGAGCTTCCGTTGCTCTCCAGCAGAATAAAACTTTCGTGTCTTTCGAACTGATCGGTGAATTGTTGTCGTCGCCTTGTGGTGAGAGCTCGCATTGCCCAGAGTTTTGAAGCAATTCGCTGATCTTCAGCTCCAGTTACCAGTATCAGTCCACAATCATGATCTGCCGAGCTTGCTTGCGTGCCAGAGCCGCCCTTATTCCAACGAATGTCCGTCCCGCCGAACAAGATCTGCTTCGGGCGGCTCCAAGACGGCTACTTTCAACAGTCCGCCCGTGCCAATCTCAACCCCGCGTAAAAGCTGTGTATCCTTCGCCTCAGCTCTCGCAATGCCTCCGACAGACTTCCAGCGACAGACTCTTCTCTACTTCGGCTGCCTCGTCATCTGCCTCGGCGCAACCACAAGATGCGGCCTCCCCCTCTAGCGGCGCGCTACAAAAGCCGAGCTTCCTGTCCGAGGGCGAATCACTGGTCTGGGATAGGCTGGCCGCCGAGTTCGAACCTACACAGCTGGTGGTGCAGGACATATCTGGCGGGTGTGGGTCTATGTACGGCATTGAGATTAGCTCTGAGCGGTTCCGCGGCTTGACCATGCTCAGGCAGCAGCGGCTTGTCAACGCTGCGCTAGGGGACCTCATGAAGGACTGGCACGGCGTTCAGCTGAAGACGAGGGTGCCGTGAAGCGAAGGGTAATGGCTGGCTTATCCCCCCCCTCTAGTCTCTTCATCGCATTAGGAACGGAGTCTGGCGTCCTGTAGAAAGGGGCTTGAGAGGCAGCTTGTCAAGTCGATCAGCTATTTGCAGGTCGTTAGTCACTAATGTTGCTGTTTCACGTCCTACAGCTAAGAGGACAATGCAACGTACTTTACTCCCGCCGAACGGTGCTCGCGTTACCTTGTCCACAGCGGGACAGGAAACGCGTGACGTATCTCTCAGCTGCATCTCCTGATGCTTGGTATACAGAGATAGAACACGGCATACTCCGTACCCCTCTGGAGCAGCAAAAGAACTGATGTCAGAGTGTACGTACCAGGCTGAGATGGCCGTGCCCCTGACGTGCAGGAGAGCAGAGCCGCGGCTTTGTACCCGCATACTTTGACTGTTTGCCGTCGCAGTGCTCCTCACTATGCAGCAATAGTCATATCTTCATGGTGCAAGCTCAACTTGAATTTGAGAGACGGCCACTGAAGCGGCAACCAATGATAATTCTCAACCGCACACCATCACCTATACGTGTGCGACCTGAGCTGCGGCTGCCTTGCTGCCCAAAATCGCCAACAACATAGACCTTGCGACCCATTCCTTCCCCCCATATCTTCTTCGTCGACCCGAATCTCACTGGACAGTTAGTCTACGATGGCCTCGCCACTGAGCGTCGGCGACTGTATCGCCATTATCGGAGTGATCGTCAAGTGTGTTGACGCAGTTTGTGGTTCATCTGATGACGCAAAGGCTCTGGAGGGCTTGAAAGGCGACCTTGCCCACATGCGGGAGTCGCTAGAGGAACTCTTGTCTCCATCGTCTGCTTGGTGCTCGGCATCCCATGCCACGCTAGGCAGGCTCAACAGCACGATCGATCGATGCCGCGACGCACTTAGAGAACTCGCAACACTGACGGAGAAATACGGGCCTCGAAAATCCCGGTTTGCCACCTTTTACAGCCAGATTACTTGGGCAATCTCTGGCAAAACCAAAGTCGCGCCCATCCAGTGCCGAATTCAGAACCTCACGGCCGCTCTTTTGCTCATACAAGGCGACATCATCAGGTTGCGCTGCTTCCACTTTGTCAACTAGTAGCAGTGGCCTCTAACCGGCCGTTCCTATCTTCTACAGGCAAACCATTGACGACCTGGGTGCGTCCGGGGAACGAGGCAACCGCCGCCTTGCTCGTCAACTACACCAAAGCAAAGAGGAGGTCAAATACCACATATACGCCGCGATAGACGAGCCGTGGGACCAGAAACCTATTCGATTTCAAGATGCTATGGGAAGGCGCTTTCCAGTGCCGCTGGAGATCTGTCGCCGTTTCTCAGTTCGTACTCGCATACTGACACCTTCGTGCCTCCTCAAATTGAAGAAGGGTTCCCATAAAGTACTAATACTGACTACGCACCCCGCCAGGACTTTCTGGAGTTTCTCGCGTTCAGTTTCAAGGGGCACGACCTGCTGCCTTTTGTCGCGCACAAGAACATCTGGCTGTTCACTCCCAGCGAGAATGGCTCTCGCTGGTGGTATCTCATCCATGAGGGTGACTGGGCTGCGGCTGCGCGTCCAGGAGTGAAGTTGGGCATGTCGATCTTCCGCGAACATGTGTGGCAGCCACCCAACATGTACTCTTCCATCAGCCTTTCCCGACCGATTCCACCTTGGAGCACGCTTCCCGAGAATCTCGAATTCCGCTGGTGGTAGGTCGGATAAGGGTTTTTTTTCACCCAATGGTGCGTCGGCAAGCAAACACGCTGCCCACACTGACATTGCGTTTTAGGTCTCAACCACCCCTTTCAGGCCCCATCTCTATGGAGGAGCCTAGACGTGACCCGACCATAGATCCCATCTCGGATAAGTCGGGCCCGGATCAGGGGCGGGACCCTTTGTGTGAAGGCCCAGCTGTCGGTATGGAGAGCGAGACAATCGGGAGGCCAACGAGCAAAGTCGGCTTGGACCCCCGAGTACACCAGGCATTCCTTAGGTGCCTACGTGTAGAGGACCTGAACCCATATCAGTTCTGCCTTGCCTGCGACAAGCAGATCGTCGGTGCGGCCTACTGCTCCAAATCCTGCAAGCTATCAAATTGGTCGATTACGGGAAAACACCATGATCAAAACCCACGTCTGTCGCGGACCTTAGACACTAGGAACGAGAATGACGACAATCCCCGCGCTGAGAGCGAAGGTGACTTCGACAGGAACTTCGATGTGGACAGCGACCTCGGCTTGGGCTGGGACTCCGACTTTGAGTGCGAGTTTGACTGGAGGGAGTTCTGTGACGGCAGCGATACCGGTGATTGGCCACGGGGTTGAGGTTCAACAGTTGGCTTGCCACGACAATAGAGGACAGTATAGTATATCACAGCTTCCATGCCCGTTAAAGCGGCGCAGTGCTTGACATTTACGCACGCCACGATACTCTTCATATCCTCTATCCCCATCGAGAATTCAATCTCAAAAAGTTCGTGATGCGTTTAGAACTCAGAGTGACACCAGTTGCGGGCGCTTTGGACATCTCTTGGTATAACACGTAAAGCTAACCATAGAATAAACGCCTAATAAACGTCGGCTTATAGTTGATGTAATGGTACTTATGCGTTTAACCCTACAGCATGGCGCTGAAGCACTCCGACCGTCTGACGCGTATCACCATTTACAAATCAGTCAACGAAGTCGTGTCTGAATGCTGAGAATCACTACAATACTTCCTCCCACTCTTTCCACTCTTTCCACGTCCCAATCATTACTTTGTACAGACCTCACCCTTCTGTCTGATAGCTTTGGTCTACTCTAATCCATCTTTACTGTCTGCGGCGAGGCTCGACTCAGACCCTCGACGATCTCAACTCCCATGTCATAGATCATAAGGATCGAAGGGAAAACAAGCCATGCACCACTGAAAACAAGATCAGCATAAGACTGCCCAACCCCTGTGGATAAGAACGGAGAACTCACTTCGGAATGATCCAAAGGAAGACTAGGTCCCAAAGCTTGTTGTGGCCGATATTGTCGAAGTCCGAGAAATACTCATTAAGCCCTATAGACTCACTCAGTTAGTCTTCCTGAACCACAGAGAGCGAGCGTGCAACAATCCAGGAACCCGGAGGAAGGCAGAAAAGAAAAAGAAAAAGAAAACTCACAATACAGCACCGTCTTGCTGACAGTCATAACCGCAGCGCTAAACCCAAGCACAACCGCCACACCCCCAGCCTTCCCGCTAACCGCCTTTCTACTGCTCCGGCCACCAGACACCACCCACCCCTCCCTGCCGTGGCGATACCACACCCACAGATAGGCCAGATACAGCAGCGACTCGACGGCGTTCATGACGCTCTGCCCGGCCGCGAACCCGTTGCGCAGGCGCCACTGCTTGAAGCCGTACATGTGGTCGACCTCGCCGTACAGCTTGTACGGCGCCCACAGCGGCCAGTGCAGCGACCCACCGGGCATCGTGTGCGGCCGCAGCAGCATGTAGCCCGTGTCCCACGCGACGAGCGGCAGGGAGACGGCGAGCCAGAGGAGCACGCCTGTCGTGGGCGTGTGCGACCAGCCTGCTCCCCCCGCTGGTCCGGCGGTGGTGGTGGTCGGGGCGGTTTTACTACTCGCTGGCGGTGGCATGATACCTATCGTGACAGATCGGTTCTGAGATGGTGTGTGCTTAGGGGAAGGGACTGGGGAAATTCGGAAAAGCTGGTTTTTGTAGTACTGGAAGTTCGGAGGTCCTGATGTCTTCAATGAGGATGGGGTTGCTTCAGAACTTATAGCTTTTATTTTCCTCGGACGGTTGTGGTTCGGTGGCGCCTCTCTTTTGATCCAACACGGAAAGCTTCTTGGGTTGGGTGACATTGATGTCCTGCGGGGTCGTTTATTAACCCCGGCCTCCCGGCTGAGGAACTTTCAAGTTTCAACCAGCCTTTCTTGGCTAGCAGATCGTCAAAAGTTCACTGCATGAATCAGCGAACGTTCACTGCCCATTCGAAATGCGCGTACTACTAATACTCATCCCGGATGTCGAGTCCCGCAGTGAGTTTGGGGTAAGGGTAAACATGCTCTTATTACACCAGACATTGATCTGCGATGCCCTGGACACAGAACAGAGACAACTACTCAGTGTATGGTGGATATTGGCATGACTTAGACTTCCGTACAGACTATACCTATAACTACATCTTCAGGTCATCGAGGAAAGAGAGTATACTGTACCTTAGATACCTTAGGTACTGTACCTTTGGTACTCAAAAGTCAGAGGGCGTTTGGTATGGGGGAAGGGCCACCAGGGTTAGGGCTCCTTGAGTGGCCCAGAATCGCAGGCGCGTCAGCGCGTTCGCTCCCTGAGCTTTGCAGCTTCTGCAACTTTCCAAATTCTCGGCACTAGAGCCGTGTAAGGAGGATGGCAGCCCTGACTCCATACACATACATTCAATGCCCCTGTTCGGACTCGTCGATGTTCGGGCGGCCGTCGGGCCCCAATTCGCCGACAGGCGCTGAAGGCGACGAGGACGACCGCACCTTCGACCCTCGCGCCCCGCGGTCCAACTACAGCCTCTACCCGCTCGAGTACCTGCTCTACTGCGAAGACTGCCACCAGATCCGATGTCCGCGCTGTGTCTCGGAGGAGATCGTCACATACTACTGCCCAAACTGCCTGTTCGAGGTGCCCAGCAGCACGATCAAAAGCGAGGGAAACAGGTCGGTTGCTTCGCGTCGCATTGGTTAACCCAAGACTCCCGCTGACTAGACGGCTGCCCAAACTCAGATGCACCCGCAGCTGCTTCCAATGTCCCGTATGTATTGGCCCGCTTGCCGTGACGACCATCGAGACGAAGCCCGACCCGGGCCTGCTGGCTGCCACCGACAACACGGCCGCACCACACTCCGGACCGTACGCCCTGACCTGCTCCTACTGCAACTGGAGCTCGACCGAGGTCGGCATCAAGTTTGATAAGCCGAACAGCATACATGCTCAGTTGGCGAAGCTGCGCAATGGGGGAACCACCAGGCTGACGGCCAAGGAGCGGAAGGAACGGCGTAAGGATCCGTCCTACCGGTCCCAAGCCGCCATAGCAGCAGGAGCGACAGCAATAGCAGGGAGCGAGGGAGGAGGCGGCCCCGAAAGTGGAGAGAAGCTGGACTTAGAAACGCAGTTTGCAAACCTCAAGTCCTTCTACCAGCGGCAGCTCGCGGACCCAAACTCGGCCGACACCGGGCTGGCGTCGCTGAGCGACCTGGGCTTCTCCTCGCCGGCCTCGCTCTCCCGCATCATGAGCATCTACACTGGCGGCAGCTTGCAGGATAAGAAGGCCAAGTCACGGGTAGGCGCCATGCGGGAAGCGCTCGAGAGCGACGAAGGGCTGCAAGTCGCCGACCTGGACGAGTCGACGGGCATCGAGAAGCTCCAGGCCGACGGCCACGAGGGCACCGCGTCGACCACGCAACTCCTCGACCAGATCCCCCACCTCGGCGAAGCGCACCTTCACGGCCGCGGCCGCTTCGTGTCCGAACTCCGCCCGATTCCCTACTTGCTCCGCACCAAGCGCTCCAAGCGCTGCCCCGTGTGCCGCCACATCATCAGCAAGCCCGAGGCCAAGATCCAGACCACGCGCTTCCGCATCCGCCTCGTCGCGGGCAGCTACATCCCCAGCATCGCCATCCGCCCGCTATCCCTCTCCTCCGGCTCCTCCTCCGGGAGTAACGTACCAGGCGCGCTGCTCGAGCCGCTGAAGCCGACGCATTACCTCCTCACCTTCCGCAACCCCATCTTCGAAACCATCAAGGTCACGCTCGGCGCACCGGCCACGACGCCGGGCCGCTTCCCCAGCAAGGTGACGGTGCTGTGCCCCGAGTTCGAGATCGACGCCAACACGGACGTGTGGGACGAGGCGCTCAAGGACAACGGCGGCAGCAGCAACGTCGGAGAGCGGGGAGAGAGGCGGCGATCATCGCGGCGCGGGCAGCAGCAACAGCAGCAGCCAACCGCCGAGGATAGTAGCGGTAGTGGTAATGGTCATAATAATGCCCAGAATCAGCTGGAGGTGGGCAAGATCTGGGAGCGCGGAAGGAATTGGGTCAGCATCGTTGTCGAGGTCGTTCCTGCGTCGCTTAAGATTGATGATGATATTAAAAGTGCTGGGGATAATAGTAGTACTAGTAGTAAAGTGTTGAGGGAGGATGAGGATGTGCTGGAAATACCCATGTTTGTCAGAGTGGAGTGGGAGAGCGACCCCGGGGGCGATGAGGTTGCTGTTGCTGCCAGGGATGCGAGTACTGGTAGGGAGAAGCGGGAGCTGGCGTATTGGTGTGTGCTTGGCCTTGGGAGGATTCGGCGGTGATAAAATTATCCTACGCTTTGCAGGCAGTTGAATGATATGATACCCTGGGACCGATTTGTATCACGAAAGCAAGGTTTGCCTTGAATGGCTTATATTGCTCTATTATAGTTGTACTGTACAACACAGACATAGGTATCATAGGCGACAACAGCACCTCCATGACTACCTATCTAGGGTGGAACGTTCATGCGCCGAACTGCTCATCATAGTTGGTCAGGCAGAACCGGTAGCGGATGTCGTTCTTGTGCAGCCTGGTCATGACATTCGCCAGGTTCTTCTCGTTGATCGGTACCTCCTCGACCCACGTGTGAATCCCCTTGTCGGCGGCCAGCTGCAGCATCTCGAGGGTCTCCCTGCGGCTTCCGAGATGGGAGCTGCCAAAGAAGCAGCCGTTGGCGAGGAAGGTCTGGTTGCGCACCTGGATGCCGTCGCCCTCGGGCAGGCCGACGCTGACCCACTTGGCGTGCACGTCGAGCAGGCTGAGGTAGGCGTCGAGGTCGAAGCCGTCGAAGCTGTTGGCCGTGTTGACGATCAGGTCGAAGGTCATGACGTGCGGCTCGTTCCAGCCCTTGTCCGACGTGGCCAGGAACCCGTCGGCGCCCAGCTTGCGCGCGTCCTCCTCCTTGGCGTGCGACCGGCTGATCACCCACACCTCCGCCCCGAGAGCCTTGGCGAACAGCACCCCCAGGTGCCCGATACCGCCCAGGCCCACGATGCCCACCTTCTTGCCCGGCCCGCAGCCGTTCCTCACGAGGGGCGAGTAGGCCGTCAGCCCGGCGCAGAGCATCGGTGCCGCGGCGGTGCTGGGGAGGGCGTCGGGGATGGGAAAGACCCTAGAGTTACACGCGAAAGTGTCAGCAGCTCCTCCATTGGGCCCTAGATGCGATGAGCGGGTTGGGTTGTGCGCACCAGTGCTCGTGTGTCCGCACATGTGACGAGTAGCCACCCTGTGAGACGATGCCCGTATCCGGCCAAACGGCACCGTATGTGTCGAGCTGTTTCCTGCAGTATGTCTCGTTGTCGTTCTTGCACTGGCGGCAGTCCAGGCACGAATAGCTCTGCGCGCCGACGCCCACACGCTGGCCCGGCTTGACCAGCGTCACCTTAGGCCCGACCCGGATAGCTGTCCCAACGATCTCTTGAGGACGAGTGTCAGCATACGAATCCGTTGAGCTGAATCCCAAGGGGCTTGTTTTGAGAGCTCTGTGTAAACCCTACCGTGTCCAACAGCCAGGGGGTAGTGCTGCTCGCCCCAACCGCCGCTGATGGTGTGAAGATCGCTGGCGCAAACACCGCAGCACTCGATCTTGATGTCGACATCGTAGTCACCGAACGGCTTAGGCTGGAACTGGTTCTTGTGGAACTCAAGCCAGGTCTCCGCTCCGTGGACCTGGAATCCAGTGAACTTCTCAGGGACAGACATGGCGGCGCAGACAGGAGAGTGGCACGAGGTTGAGATGTGAGGGTCAAATTCGGCCGACACAACGTGAGATTCACCCGGAGCAGTGAGCGGCAAGTTCCAGGAAGAATGAGATAGGACGCGAACTGCGTCATTAAGCATTCACTTGGGCGCGCCCTGTTTTAAAGGAGCGTCCCCCTCCTCAACCAGGCCTTAGTAGGATGGGGCAACATGCGGCGCCCCCCCACCTCCATGTTGGAGAACTGGGGCATCTATCAGTTTATCCAGCAGGCCGAAAACTGGTAAATTTGCACAGCTGCTGTTTCCGTCGTGAGGAGGAACCTTCGACGACGCTCCCCTCGCCCGTCAACCCCGCCATCCCCCGCCACAGGGAGGGCGAGGGGCTAATAAGCTGCGGATCTGGGGAGAGCTTGTGGGTTTTGTTTAGTCCGCCGAATTTCCCACAAATCAGAGAGAGGCTGCTATCGTGGCATGGGATCGTGCGAGTTGCATATTGCGGGGAAGAACGGCAGGCAAGCCGCGAGATTGGAACGAACAGCGACGTCAGATATATGCCTCGGCGACGTCTTGAAAATCAAGAGCATGCCAAGCGAGCTGAAGTTGAGACACGGGCGTGGGTGGCATAGCTTTGAAAACCTTCGCCAGTGGTTTGATTGGAAGAGAGTCGGTGCTGCAGTGAAGCTACAGCCGGCAATGTTCGTTGATGCATGTAAGTGTCTGTGTGCAGATGCAACCCAAGTTGTTGAGCCTTTTTTCTTCGACATTCTCCAACGGTCAACACCGATGCAGACTGCGACCAGCTCCGTCAGACCTGCTGCTTCAACACGGTGCAGGGCGCTACATGGCATACACCCGACTCGACTCATCATGGAGGGCGAAGGGAGTAGACATTGGCAGGCCAGGTGCTTCCGAGGCCGAGACAATTCGGGGCGAGACTCGGATGGCTCTGGAAGAACATTTCCAGGAATCGTGGGTGCCCGCGACTTGCCAGGGAGTGAGTGAAGACTGCCACCAAACTCAGAGGCATCAATCACCCTACAACGGGCGGCATGGTCGAGAACTCGCCTCTGCAGGGAGGATCGGCCGTCATCAGCCAGATCCCCGGCCCTTCAAGCAGCTTTCCCCGACTTCTTGGTCTTCGCGCCAAACCCAACACCAGCCAGGAAGGCAGTCCGCATTGATGCACCAAGATAAACAAAGCCAATGTTCCCCCAGTCAATGGCATTCCACTCGGACACCCTCCAGTAGATCTGGGGACCGAGCACTCCGACCGTGTAGAGATGGCCCAAGTCTGCGACAAGCAGGCAGAAGAGCATCGTCTTCCAGACGCGCAAGTCAGAGGTCGACCGTAGGATCAGCGCCTCACTGAGCGCAAATGCAAAGTAGAGGTTGGCAAGCTGCGACATGGCGATCGAGGTCCCGAGGGGAATGGGCGACGGCGCAGAGGCAGCATGGGTGAGGTCGAGGTATGTCCGCTGGTCGAAGAAGGCGTAGTAGGCACCAACGGCGGTAGCGATCGGCTCGATGAGCAGGAAGAACAGGCGGTAGGGTAGAGGGAGCGTAAGCCCAACCGTTCCGACCGTTGGGGTCGTGGACGTTGTCGTCTGCTTGTCACTGGCCATTGCTTCTGTCGGGTCGGATGAAGGAGACGACTTGTTGATTTGGGTGCTTGCTGCGTACCGGCGGTCAGGAGATGGCCCACGCGTTCGCGAGAATGGCCAGAGCTCCGGGCCGCAGCTTGCGCCCCACATTTGGCCGACTAGCACCGCCTTCCACATTTCGACCGCTGACCCACTCAAATTTCGAGGGCTGCAAACCCTAGCCTCTCATTTCGAGTTTTGCCTTTTCCCGCCGACCTCTCAACCTCCGAAAAAAAAAGAGTCGAAGATCATCCAACGGTATCGTCGACAACCGCCAACATGAGCTCGCCGTCCCTCAACAAGATCGCGGCCAACAGCCCGAGTCGCCAGAACCCCTCGGAGTTGGAGCAGGCCATTGCCGGCGCTCTGTACGATCTCGAGACCAACACTGCCGACCTCAAGGCCGCCCTCCGGCCTCTGCAGTTCGTCTCGGCCCGTGAGGTGAGAACTCGCTCGTGAAGCACCGACCGCAGCGAACGTCCGCGAATCGCACCCGATATCCTGTTCCCCCGACTCTGCGAGCGCGATCGTTTCATCATCGCCGCGTGTCGGGCAGTCGTCGCATAATTTGGGAGAATTGATCACACATGGGAAGGCGGGCGAGCGGGTGGGCTGCCTCGGCCGCCGGCCCTGCTCTGCTCGACAGCCTTTGAACATCAAAACACCATACAAGCACGCGGAATAGGACGGGAGCGGTCCAAGGATTGCAATGTCATCCTGGAGCTCGCATGCTGACTTGGATCTGGAACAGATCGAAGTTGGCCACGGCAAGAAGGCAATTGTCATCTTTGTCCCCGTCCCTTCGCTGCAGGGCTTCCACCGGGTCCAGCAGCGGTAAGCTTTTCCTTTTTTTTTTTTTTTTTTGTTTGTTTGTTTTGTCCCTCCAAGTGCCACAACTAGCGATGCTAATTTATCTGCAGCCTGACCCGTGAGCTGGAGAAGAAGTTCTCGGACCGCCACGTCCTGATCCTGGCCTCGCGCCGCATTCTTCCCCGCCCCAAGCGCTCCAGCCGCTCGCGCAACACGCTCAAGCAGAAGCGTCCGCGCTCGCGCACCCTCACCGCTGTGCATGATGCCATCCTGACCGACCTCGTCTACCCCGTCGAGATTGTCGGCAAGCGCCTCCGCACCAAGGAGGACGGCTCCAAGACCCTCAAGGTCATCCTCGACGAGAAGGAGCGTGGCGGCGTCGACTACAGGTTGGACACCTACTCGGAGGTCTACAGGCGCCTCACCGGCCGTGGCGTCGTCTTCGAGTTCCCTCAGACCACCGCCGCCGACTACTAGGCGGGAGTAACAAGGGCTTGTTTTTGTGGGCTGGCGCACCGAGGGTCAGATTTGGGTTTGGTATTCGGGTTCGGGTCTGATGCGCGACGCATTCAGTGGGCATCCAAAAGGGACGGCGTTCAGTAGCTTGTTTTTAATGCAAGCTTGATCTTCCACCAGCACCCCGTCCCCACAATACAAGCTGCTTCTCTGCCGTCTGGATGTGCCGTGTTCCACGCAGCAATACAATACTTGCTGATCAGAATGTTTATTGCTTGGTTTTCTATGTTGATTTCTCACGCCTATGTCACAACCGGACTTCATGGCTCGGGTGCTTCTCCCCAGCCCACTCCAGTATCCTCGCCCAGATTTCGGCACTGTCGTCCGGCCGCTCCATAGCCCTCTCAAAATACGCCAGGCCGACTTTATCGTCCGGATCGATGCCAAACCACCGCGTGGCGTCGCGTATCCTCAGCTTGGCGCACTGCGCATCCTTTTCGGGATGCCCCTGAAACGTCAGGATGGCGTTATTATGGCTCAGAAAGCACTGGTTCCCGACCAGCAGCTCGTAGAACCCCCTCGGGGGCGACGCCACGGCGCGGCGGTGGTGCTGCTGTAGCAGGAGCACCCCGCTGCCGCTGCTCGGTCGCGAAAAGAAGCGCCGGCCCGCGGGGGTCAACTTCGCTTCTGTCACGCCCAGCTATGTGTAGTAAGTAGCCTCTTGATTAGCTGCCCGGCCATGTGCGTGTTTCCCCTCTCAGAGGTAAGCGGTAAAACAAACACACATACCTCGGGCGTCTCCATATCCACAATCTCGCCGCCAAACAGCAGCGAGATGGTCTGGTGGCCCCAGCAGATGCCGCAGATCTTCTTGCGCGGGTGGTGCGCCACCACGTCCAGGATGAACTGGTGCACGCGCAGGATCCACGGGTGCCGCTTCCGCGGGTCGGCGTTGCTCCCGCCGACGACGATCAGGTCGAATGCCGCCGGGTCCGGGAAGTCGTCCGCCTGCTCGGCCGGGTAGAAGAAGGAGAGCACGGGGGCCACGGGGACGGGCTCGGCGGCGTGGTTGTCGTTGTGGTCGTTGTCATTGTTGTTGCCGTTGTCGTTGTTGTTGTTGTCGCGGGCCGTGACGGCGCCGATGCACCGGATGTACGAGTCCCGGATCTGGTTGATGAAGGGCGAGCGGTATGAGTTTAGTAGGATGGCGATCCGAAGGGGACTACTCGCCGGACTAGCCCGGCTGGGAGGGAGGTTGTTGGGGGTTGGGTTCATGTTGAATGAACCGTTTCGACCGGCATGTACGCGGGTCTTTGGGCACTGTTGAAGTCCAGAGGGCCTCGATGAGGGCGGAGCTCTAACTATATGAATGCCCGGGCCGAACCTGGAACGGCTGAACCTCTGTTTCGGGGCTACCTTGGCTCCTTGTGCATCAGCTGATCTCGTTGTGCTCCCAGTCAAAGTCCAGGGTCAGGTCCCGTCTGAGACATGACATCACAAGGGTCGATCTTGGCCCTGGAAGTTGACTCTGAATCACTACCAGTAATTTCTGTGTACGTGCGCGGAGACGAGTGAGGAAAGCATAGTTGCAGAGAGCAACGTTATTTCGCTCTCCTTTGAAAAGGAAACGAACTCTGGAGAGATACCTGTCCACGAGCTACTCGGTCAAACTTGCGACTCTTGAAGGCCCTTGTCATGGCCAAGCTGAGGCTTGCCGAGGCGGGCTGAGCAGGCCAACATCTAAGGGGCAGGGCTCCACATCAGTACCTACCGCTACCACATCCCATTGGCTCGCGGGTTCTCAACCATGCAGCCTTCTTCGGCAGTTAGGTACTCACAAGTCCACCGATGAGCTTAGAGTACTAACCCATACGCGTCTCTTCCATCAGAGTAAACAAGCGCGACCCTAATGATACACGCTCTATCTAACAAGATCCCGCCACCCCGCTTCAGAGGACGTCAACTTGTCAAGTCCATCCCGGGGAATTAGTGTAAGTTTAGTACCATCGGAATCGGACTCTTCCACAATCCACACCGTGAGTCCGTGACACGTCCTTCACCATCCAGAACTCCTCGGTCACCCTTTCATAGCCTTCATGGACGATATTTCGTTGCGTCGCTGGATCGTCAGTCTGCTTCATGACGATGCTACCGGCTTGGGGACCCGTGACCTCCGTAACATGATTATGGCTGCTGACCATGGCCGTGTTGATGTTTGCTCTCCTGCTAGTGCCAGTTCAATTTCGTCTATATCCCTCAATGGTCTTAATCAAGTTATAGGTCTCCTCTTTGAGCGCCGCCGTCGTCGTCCGTCGAGTTCATGGACAAAGTCGTTTTGATAGAGTAGTACCTGATTGTTATTGAGCAGTCATTGGGCTAGATAAGCTCTCGCTCGGTAGTCGTGCTGAGGACTTGTAACATGATCATAGCGAGCGCTTGATTCATTGCTTGGCGGGGAAACTGAAGTCCAGGGCCGCTGCCACAGGTCTGGTATACGCCGCATTCAAGTGGAGGTTGGATCTCGTGGCGTTTCTCCTAGGTACCTAAGTAGATTAAGACATGAAAAAGGTCATTGCTTTGTCGCAGGCAGAATCATACATGCACTAACGCGTAGAGAACATACAAGACCGGAAGTCATTTGCTAAAGGGTTGGTACTACTGGTAGTTAGATGTCCGTTTTAGGCACGTCGACTGCAATGTACCTTAATTAGATTTCGGTTTATCACTTTTAGCTTTATTTGTTGGGGCATGTGTCAATGGTAAGAAAAGGTGGTTTGGAGACCTTTCTTGTGCTTCTATACGGTCTGCGCAGAGCTGGACTGGATTTCTCCAGCTCCAGGCTCCAGCCAACAAACACGGCAGGATCTGAGACCGGGACTCGCCAAACAGACAGTCTGGGATAAAGTCGGATACTAATAACGACCTTGATGGGCATGTCAGAGACACTATAAGAAGACCATTTCTCTTCTCTATCTATCTGTAGTTATCATCAGCACCGTCTTCCAAAGTTCCACATCCGGAATCACTATCAGCTTCACCTTTTGCCTCATCCGTCTTCAGTACCAACCACTTCAACCATGAGCCAGAACAGCAGAACCCCTAAGAAGCCAATTGCGGATCCGGCGTCGGCTCCCAAGTCTACCGGGGTCAACAAATCCAAGCGCGGTTCTACTTCTAAGCCGCCTCCTGGCCCGTGTCCATTGCAGGTCATAGTGGAATGGGACCAAATCAGTCCTAATCCTGATAATGCTGAGAAGGAAAAGGTGGAGGCCGCATTCGAGGCGGAGTTGCGCCAGCTGGGAATCAACGGGGGAGTCATCAAATCAGGGGTTATCGGGTATGTTCGAGACTAATACCTACCTATATATTATAGTAACCCTTGATTCCTTCTTGAAGAAAGGGGACCACTTCCTACTTCCCTACCTACCTAATCTTCTCGAGTACTGACTTCGGATCTCTCTCTACTAGCTCCAGTGTCCTAGGCCATGTGAAAACGTGGAGGCTGGACACCTACGTGGCGCTTACCCCTACGATTATAACAGAAGACTATCGGATTGGCCGTGGGCAGGCCTGGCTCATGAGAATGCAGCTCCATTATGATCTTTCCACTAAGAAGGTTAAGGGGGCGTCAATTCCTCTCGGTCCAAACGGCGGTCTGAAAATCCGCTAATTGAATGCGACCTTCCCTGGTGTCGTTATCTCGCGTGTGGTCTCGCTTTTGGATCTCCAGTGTGTACGGGGTGGTTGTGGTTGTTGATAGAACAGTTACTAGTAGTAGTTGATTAGGTAGGACCGGGGAATTCGCAGGTCGAACCCGCAAATTGGAGGAGTCGTCGTTATAGTTCTGAGATCAGATTGATCTGTTACACATTGCACCCAAAGTTGAGTAGTAGTAAGGTAGTAGCCTTAGGACTTTCTCAGTACTAGTATTTTATACGGTCAAATATCATGTCCAGCAAAACAGGCGAACAACTGACCCCTCGGCAAGCACTGTCTATGACAGGTTTGTGCCATAAATAAGGTCGGCAACCTCCATCTGGACCTTCTCGGGCCTGCAGCAAACGGGATAGCGGCATAGATGTCCACCTCTTCTGCTCCATTGCGATCTCGGCCAGGTCGTGCTTCGCCGTAATCGATTCGTCGGCGAGCATCCGTTGGCTCATCCTTCCAAGGTCAGCCAGCTCAGGGGCCGGCATGTCCATCTCACTAGGTATTTATTTAGCATTGAAGATCCCCCAAGCAGAGTTCTTCTAAAGTCATACTCATTCCCGTCCTCATTACCCGTCCTTGTCCCTGCCCTGTGTACCGTAGTAGGCCTTGTTCTGTGCTTTGTCCTGTTCGACGTGCTTCCGCGTTTTTCTCTTTTGCTTCTTTGATCCGTGGCAGCGCGAAGCGGGGCTCTTCAAGTCGTGGCGCGCTTCTTCCATAACGTCGCGGTGCGGTGTACGGCTTGCAATGCCGATTTTCTATCTCCTGCAGGGCTCGGAAGAGGACGAAGGTCGAGGATGACGATGGTGGCGATGCTGCTCCTCAGGAGAAGAAGCCCGCTTGTGTTTGATCACATGGGTTCCTGCTCGGAGAGCTCATCCGTACTCTCGTAGTTAACCTATGCTAGGCTGATGTTGATCACGACGAAGCCGTGTTTTGTGAGTTTCGTGCGCTGGCGTCGTTGGCACCGCTGGAGGTTCGAGATCGGCCGGTCTATATAGAGTGTTCGAGCCTCGCTTCATCACACTCATGTCGAGAGTCCTGATGCTTAGTCGAAGCTGCGCGTATGGTCCGCCGGATTATTTTGGCGGCCATCAGGCTTCGGTCAGAAGTCCCGGGACGCACCTAGTTGTATACATGTTAACTCTGCACGTGTTGCACGTCGGCGATATTCATCATGTAGGTGTGGCCATCCAAGCATCCACCATGACGGTCTTGATGCTTGAGCCCCTCCAACTTTGTGATGTGGTTGTCCAATCTTTTCAGCATGGCGCATCCGGCAAAGCGACATTTCGTCACCGTCACCTTTGCGCTGGACCTTCCAAGGAACACAAGTCGGAACTGGTTGTAGAGATACAAAGGTAGATTTGCAGAAGATGGTCGGCCTAGGACGCTGCTGCTATCGGGTGAAGTATTTTCGGAGCGAGCATCGGTGGATTTCCCGGAGACGCTTTAGAGTTTGGGTCGTGTAGGCACTGCTTGTAAGGAGATGCTCCATTCGATCCGGCTACCGCGGGAGTTGCGGCGAGGTCAAGGCCGCGCTCGATCACCTCAACGGCAATATTCTGGAGCAGATGCTCCATCCCGGCATCACTTTGTGTCGAGTGTCAGAAAATTGTCGAGAAGCTCGATGGACTCGGCGTACTACTTACTCAATTTCTCCAACCTCTTCAAATGCCTTGGTCAAGCCAAAGCGGATGATACTCAGGAGCGAGCTAGAAGCTGGTTAGTGCTTAGTAGTTGCTTTCATGCTTAGGTAGTCGCCAAGGGGTTGCTTACAGCTCCAAAGTGCTCTCCATGGCAGAAGCCTCCTAGCTGTGCAGCGGCGCCTGGAAGCAGTCGACCGCCTTGTCGTACTCCCTTCAGCGCCGTAGAAGAGCATGCCCAAGCCGAGCTGCACGTCCGGGTCCATGTGGTCGCCATCCGGTGGGCGAGGCGGGCCGCGGCAAAAGAGAGGTCGGTCACGCTCGCCTATGGAGTTGGGCACGGTCTGCGAAGCCCATATCGGCGGCCGAGGAGAGCTTGGTTGGGGCGATGATCTGGGGGTACACCTGCGTGAAGCCGGCGTTTTGGTTGGCTGTTTGGATGGGTGAGTTGAGTGGAGGTGGTTGTTAGTAGGGTTGGTATGGTGACATTGGTTGTACCGGAGTAGCTTCCTGTCCTCTAAATTATGGATTCTAGTGTGCTGTCCCGTTCTCCTTAGCCCAACTAGACTCTGTCTGGCCTATGGGACTTGTTTGGCCGGGTGGGCGTTGGGCAGGCGTAGGGGACTGCGAACATGGGAAACGTTGGACGGTTCTTTGGCGACTCGTCGTGGTATGCAGTAGTATGCAGCGCTCCGTGACATTTTCTGCGGCTGAGATCTTGACGCTGCTGACGTATGAACGGGGTGGAGCGGAAGCAAGAGAGGTGGCTGGCCGCTGGCCCGGACCGAGGGAGGCATACTCACGCAGGCCACACACGCTGCCTGCGTCGCGTAGTAGCTTGCTGACCAGACGGAACAGTTTTGATCTGGAGGACTGTTCCGGGTGGAAGTTCCGGGGGGGACGGTGGCCGGACGGTTCCGTGATAGCGGCAACTCAAAGAAAAAAATGATATATAGATAGTTTGAAGTTCAAGGTCCATGGTTGACCATATGGCCTTGCTGTGCACCCTCGGTGAATGTCCTTGGAGTTCGTCCCGTACTAGCTCTGCTGTAGATCCTCGCCAGCTCCGTGGTAAAGCGAATTATCCCTGAGCAGCTAAGGAGGTGTGAAGAGAGGGTTCTAGAATGGATCGGATGCAGGACAATGTGTGAGAGGTAGGAGAGCAAGAGGGGTGGAGACGTATAGAAGTTGGCACATATATATCGTACATACCTGCACAGAGATGGAGATAATCCACCAGCGTCGCCCTCGTCTCAGATGACTCTGACTCTTACTAGGCAGGTAACACAGACCATATTCACGACTGACTTAACCGTACCATGCACATTACAGTTCCCTCCGAATGCAGACCTGCTTGTCGTGACTCACGATATGGACCACTCTCCTGGCAAGGGTGTCCAAGGGAAGCATCATGTCATTGCAAGCCCGTCTACCTCTCCGGTCATGGATTATATTGTTCATGGGATAATAGAGAGATCGCCTGGCATGCAACTACATGGCACCGTCGCTTTTCACGATGCAGCAAAAACTACCTGACATTGTAAGCCACTATGAGTACTCCGTCAAAATGGCTTCCGAGTTTACAGAGGAGAGTGGCTTGACTGGCCAGGAGAGTGTCTGCTACCTACCACATAGATAGTTTGCACAATGCCATCAGGGTGTAGGACAGTCACTAGTGAGGTGGCAACAAACTAGCAACGGTGCTTGTGTGGGAGCGATCGTGAGTGTTGGACTATGTCGTAGTATTTGGTAGCGCTGGGCGAGGATGCCAACAAACCAATCGCTGAATCATGACGTCCAAGAGCCAGACGTGAGACTGGTTACCCCATCTTTTTCTGACGGTGGCAGGGAGGCTAGACTAAGGTACTCGGCGCTCGGCAGCGATCCCTGGGTGGCCCACTAGGCGAGCTGACGGGGTCGTTGACTTACCACCGTTAGGTGTAGGAGGTTACCTAGCGAGCCTAGAGGTATGTATCCGTATGATCTGTACAGCTACACGAATTGCTCTGCGTAGTAGCAAGATGATAGAAGGAGTCGAGAGGGGATACCAGTAATCCTGCTTGCTACCAGGATCATCATGTAGCCCCTATCCCATGCATGATGGCCGTCTGCGCTTACCTGACGTGCCTGGACGATGGGCGTCCCAAAGATTTGGTTCAGCAAGGAGGAGGGCGGTGAGAGGATGAGCTCCTGCCTCTTACAGGATCATCAACAACGGTACGAGTGGTCGATGATAAGTCTGAAGGATGGTCGTCGGAGGCTCGAAACGGGGCCGAGAGCGGCATCGGCGTCTGAGTGGATCCACGGTGGCAATGTGTTCCGGCCGCCAAGGGCGGCGGCGCTTGCGCTAATGTGTCAAGAAGGGAAATGTCGGCAATGGTTGCAACTGGCTCGAGGAGTAACGTTAGAGGACCGCAAATGACTCGAGAACCACATCAGATAATTCCCGGCCGTCATTGCGGCAGCGACGTGTCACCTGTGAAATCGCACTTTGCAGGCACCCGGTCCCCGATCCGAGGACGGACGGGCCGTTGCACTGCAGTCTCTGTATGTTCGATCTTGTGTGCCCCTTCACGCCCTTCTGCTGTACCGGTCGAGGAGCAACTTGTGCTTCCCAAGGCAAGAAAGATCATCAGTCTGCTGGGGAGGACGTTCGCAGTGGTTCGGTCTCGACTCTCGAGCCTGCCGTCCTTGCCGACAACGGGGAAGGCTGTCCGCCACCACGGCGGTCAATCAATCCAGAATGCGGGGCGCGGACGATCAAGAAAACCGACGAATGGGTCTGGAGCATTGGGAAGACCCTTGGACCCTGATCGGCCATAAAGGTACATACCTTTCGACATCTGTGGCATGTTTTGTAGCAAGTAGCAACAAACAACCATCCATCTATCCGGTTTGGTGCGCGGGACACTCGGATGTAGGCAAACCGATGAGATGAAGGGATGTTGTGTTTTGGCTGGCCACGCGGCTCTCGAGCCAGTACCGCACATGTGCTGCCTTGACTGCATAGCGAGCAGAAGAAGGCTTCGAAGCCGTGAAGTGTGAACCTTTCGCCACCCTCCACTTCGCTGCCGTTGGAGCCAATGGAGTCGAGCTTTCGGTGACTGATTGCCTGGAGATCTGCAGCTTGTACATGTTATTAATATCCCCCATTCCAGGTCCCGTGACCGCGCACCCGCGCCCGCCTTGGCCGACGACTGCGCATAACGGCTAGTGTAGAAACAGAAAAAAGCGCGCAGCAAAGAATGACACTTTGTTCTCGTGTTCCCGACTGTGTATACGTCAAAACGGCCAATTGCAACGCTGGTGGCTGCTGAGTCGAAAGGTGGGGTAGTCCCGAGTCAGCAAAGGCGATCAGGGGGTGGATAGGATAACGTGGCGGTGCATTGTCGGCCACGCCGTCTTCAGAAGTGTCGATGATATGAAGACTTCGAAAGCCGGTTGGTGCATGACCCTCGGGGGGTTAACAAACTGACCGACGATTGAGACGACGCCTTCTCAGCGGCTTCCTACCGGGAGGATTGGGAGCGCGGCGAGCGCGGGCCCGAGAAATATTACCTTGCTTATCTAAAAGTCGGAAAAAAGAAAGGAGATCCCTTCGTAGGGAGGGAGCATCCCCGAGAAGGGTTGCATGCGATGTAAGGAGAAGAGCTTCGCTGGTTCCGATTATATCATTCGCTGAGGAAGCACAAACTTGGACACCGAATGGGAGCAACCTTCCACAAAAGCATCGAGAATCGAGTCATCGCGATACCGAGCGGTCTGCACAACCATACACAGTGCTAGCACGTTGCTTGGTGTGTGACCCTGGAGGCTGAAGGGACTGGCCGTCAAAGGTGGGCTGGTCGATGTGGGGCTCCTCTTCAGCAACTTGTGGGGGTCCCTGGGCCACTGGTCTGCAGATGGTTCGCCTTGCTGTGCTTCGATTGGAAATTGCTTCCGTTGCTGTCGAAAACCGCAAACACATTCTCACATCCTGGAGAGTTTCGAGTCTTCGTTCCAGAACCTGCATGGTAACGGCACACAAGGGATTTACTGATACTGAGAGCGCCCATCCACTCAAATTCCGGACGACGTCCATACTGTGTGCGGGTGTGGATGGAAGGAAGGCATCACTTCTCCGTTTCAACGTGCCGCAAGGTTCTCACCAAGCCCCAGTTCGAGTTGCCCTGGACCCCAGTCAGCCCCACTCGGCTTGCGCGAGCCACCCCCCGGCCCCAGACAGTGCAATTGCGACAAGCCTCCCCACGATGAGATTTCGAAGCACGAAGTTCCCGAATGCCGCTCAGAGTCGCCACAGTCAACCTGCAGAATCTGAGGAAACGAAACGGAGATGTGTTTGAGCAAGCGTGGATCCGCTACGCTGGGCTGCTCGTTGCGAAAAGGCGCTTGAACTGCGTGGTCATCTGCCTGGAGATCAAGCATGGATGCGGTCTGGGCTTGGCCGTCCCGCGATGCGCCTCGCCATCCAGTCAGCTGCAGTGAAGGCGAGGCTGGGCTTCTGGCTGACATGGACATCGGGTTATATTGGGACCGTCTAGTTATACATAGGCCGCCGCGCCCCCAAGGAGACTGCCTCGTCGACTTCCTCTTCCATCGGAACGACGCGGTGTGTCCCTGACGCCGTACCGTACCTGTTCTTTGTACTGTGAGTGCCGTTTGCCCGTTCCTGCGTCTCGAGCCAGCTTCCAGCCTGTTGTGGTGTGCCTATCAGGGACAGAAGAACCCTTCGGGGTCCCCTTTCCGCCACCGCTCAGGCCGAGCCGGACCAACGCTAGCACGCGATCATTATTCGCCTTTGTCTGGGATCATCCCGGTGACCAGTCTTGCTTATGCTGTCCTCCGTTAGATAATAAATACATCGGAACCTAAGTCCTGTCCTCCACTCGAACTTTTGTAAGTCTCACGGCTCTCTAAACGCTCGCTCCTCGACCTGACAGTCCCAGAGACGGTCCTTGGGCAACCTACTCACCGCCCTTTCCTTTGGGACTCGCACCACTCTTTTAACACCCGAGAGCGTTGTTCGCCGTTGCCCACCATGCACGGCTACTCGTCGTCCTCCGACTCAGACGACGACTACTACAACTACCGCAAGCACAAGGGGGCCGCCCCTGCACCGGCCAACTCGAACGATGCGAACAAGAAGAAGAAGAAGCGGAGGCTGCCGCCGCAGCACAGCATCAACCGCATCTGGAAGCGCTTCAGCAAGAAGCGGTTCGACAAGGCGCTAGCGGTTCTGCCCTTCGACCCAGTCCTGCCGCCGACCATCTCCGATCGTTCCAACGAGCTGCTGAGCGCCGGCTACGAGCGCGCCGCGGAAGAATGCCGGCGCAAAGTACGCAAGATCATACAAGAGTGCAGGAGAGTGAACATGCGGTACCGAGATCCGGGTTGGGATATTGTAAGTGTGCCCCTCTGCCGCTGTGCGGTCTGCATGCGCTCGGCTGCATGACGGGCCACAGCACGCTCCAGTCACGGGGCCGTCCTGCGTTCGCCAGAAACAACCACTAATACAGTGCCACTGTACAGGACTGGGACCTTAAGATGGAAAAGGGTCATTGTCTCAACAGCCTCGGCCGCACCAAGTTCGATCTGAGCATGTCGACCCTGATGAACCCGAATGCCGTTGTTCCCAAGGCGGTGAAGCGGGTCCACGAGATCTTCGAGAAGCCCACCTTCATGGCCAACGTCAGCGGCTCCGACGTCAAGCAGGGCAGCCTCGGCGACTGCTGGCTGATGGCCAGTCTTTCCGGCCTGGCCAATGTGAAGGACGGCATCCAGCGGATATGCGTTGAGTACGACACCCGGATCGGTATCTACGGCTTTGTCTTCTACCGGGACGGAGAGTGGATCTACTCGATCGTCGATGACAAGCTCTACCTGAAATCGCCATGCTGGGACTCGCCGAGCATGCAGCGCGATCTGTTGCAGCAGATCGACCGTGAAGACGTGGAGCGCGTATACCGCAAGACATATCAGACGGGCTCCAAGGCGCTGTTCTTTGCCCAGTGCAAGGACCAGAACGAGACGTGGGTGCCGCTCATCGAGAAGGCCTACGCTAAGGCGCACGGCGACTATGCGTCGTTGGCGGGAGGCTGGATCGGCGAGGGTCTCGAAGACCTCTCTGGCGGTGTCACGACGGAGCTCCTCGCTTCCGATATCCTCGACTTGGATGGCTTCTGGGAGAACGAGCTCAGCAAGGTCAACGAAGAGTTCCTGTTTGGCTGCAGTACCGGTCTCCTCGACGGCGGCTACGGAGATCGTGACGGAATCGAGGAAGGCCATGCCTATGTCGTCATGGAGGCGCGGACGCTGAAGAACGGCACCCGGCTCGTCAAGCTGCGGAACCCCTGGGGCAAGACGAAGAAAGGCATCTGGGAAGGTGCCTGGTCTGACGGCTCCAAGGAGTGGACGACCGAAGTGCAAGAGGAGCTTGGCCACCAGTTCGGCAGTGACAGCGTCTTCTGGATCTCGTACGAGGACCTCCTGCGCAAGTACCAGCACTTTGACCGCACTCGTCTGTTCCGCGACCCGGAGTGGCGCTGCTGCCAGCGGTGGGTCGGCGTGGACGTGCCGTGGAAGCCGGTGTACCATGAGATGTTCCACATCAAGCTGACGCGCGAGTCGCCGTTAGTTATCGTGCTCAGCCAGCTGGACAACCGGTACTTCAAGGGCCTCCACGGGCAATACTCATTCCGCCTCCAGTTCCGGATCCACGAGCAGGACCGGCCCGACCCCGAGGACTACATCGTCCGCAGCCACGGCAACTACCTCATGGACCGGTCCGTGTCGATCGAGCTGCCGGCCATGCTCCCGGGTACCTACAGCGTCTTCGTCAGCGTGGCCGGCGAGCGCAACACTGACGTGCCCAGCATCGAGGACGTCGTCAAGCGTGAGTGCAAGGGCCGGACCGAGAACGAGAAGCTCGCCCAGGTCGGATACGCGTACGATCTCGCCCACAGCAAGGCCGCCGCCCACCTCGCCGCGGTGAAGCAGGCGCGCAAGAAGGCCGACCAAAAGAAGGCCAGCGACGCCCGCAAGAAGGAGCGGCACCGTCTGTGGGAGAAGCGTCACCTCAACCGCCAGATCACCAAGAAGCAGGGCCGCAAGAACAACCAGAAGCTCGAGGCCAAGCAGGCAGCGCGCGAGGAGAAGCGGCGCAAGGCTGAGGAGCTGAAGCCTAAGGATCAGGGTGTACAGACGGAAGACCTCCCCAAGGAGGAGAAGAAGGACGAGAAGCCTGCCGAGACCAAGGAGGAACCCAAGGAGCAATCCAAGGACGTCAAGGCGTCTGAGGAAACGGCGAAGACCGAAGACAAGCCTTCTGAGGACAAGCCGGCCGACGACAAGAATGATTCCGACAAGAAGGAGGCTGAGGCCGAACCCAAGAAGGAAGATTCCCCCCAGGACGCTGACAAGAACGAGGACGACTCATCGGCTGACAATACGCCTATCCCGACTCCTGCCGAGACACCCACCATGGAGGCTGTTTCGCAGCTTGCCCAGGCCGGCAGTCAGGTCGCTAGCTCGGCTGGCGAGAGCGAGGGCAAGAAGGACCAGCCCAAGGATGCCTCGGCTACTGAAGAGAAGACCCAGGAGACGGCGAATGACAAGCCCGAAGACAGGCCTGAGGAGAAGGTTGCTGAGAAGCCCGAGGACAAGGCTGCCGAGAAGCCTGAGGAGAAGCCCGAGGTTTCCTCCGGCAGCTCCGACTCATCCGGCAGCCCCAGCCCGACTCCCAAGACCGACACCTCCTCCACCGCACCAAGCACAGATGACAAAGACAAGGAGAAGGTGCCCGTACCACCGTCGACCGACGACGCCAAGGTGTCAGGAGGTCCGCCACCACCCCCTCCTCCTGCTAGCAAACCCTCGCCTCCACCCCCAGCAGCCAAGAAGCCGCCCAACATGTACGTGACATCCGACGGCGAATCCAGCGCGTCGCCGATCGACGACTGGGAGGAGCTGTACAGCAGCGACGATATGTCGCGCAAGCCGCGCATGGCAGCGCCTCCTCCCGCCAACACGGCCGCGGTAAGCAAGTACCGCGACGACACCGACGACGAGAACGAGCCGGACCCGTGGAACGCTATCTGCGTGGTCGGCTTGCGGGTGTATTCCAAGGACGAGGACCTCGACCTGCATGTTGTCATGGAGGGCGGCGAGCTGGAGGAGGGCGGGATGGGCGAGAAGGGCGGGGTGGATCTGGATAATGCGCAGGCTAATGCCGGTGGGGCGCGGAAGAAGCAGGAGGAGGAGGGGGAGGGGGAGGAGGTGTATGAGGGTGATAGTGAGGTTGATAAGAAGGGGAAGAAGAATAAGAAGAAGAAGAAGGACGAGGAGAAGAGTGATTCTGAGGGGGACAAGGAAGAGACTAAAGAAGAAGAGAAGACCGAAGACGAGAAGAAGAAGAAAGAGGACAAGACGGAGGGTGGACTGGCGCCGAGCCCGGCCGTCGTTGTGCCACCTGGCAAAGGCGACGAGGAGTATGAGACGGCGTTGGAATACGAGACGGCTGCCGAGTGATACTCGACGCTGGGACCAGCAGCATCTACTACTGATGAGATCTGACGACACTTTGGAATACCCCGGCATATAATGCATCTAGAATGCTTTGCGCGCAGACAGAGGATAGAGGGAGTGGGAGTACGACAGCATGAGGATGGAAGTTTTAATGTCTTTTCTGCTTTTCTGGGTACTTGGTTGGGAGGTTATATATACGGATCACAGTTCCGCTCGGTTGGCATGTAACTGTATAGCACGTTCTTCTCTTGTTGGTATAGTCGGGCTTGTTTACAAAGCGCGGCATTGAATGTCCCCAATAAAACTGCCTGGATATCATCAACCTCCCTGTTATACATCCCGCTCTCCAATATTGTGAAAAGAGGTTTGCTTCATATTTCATCCTCGCCGTAGCTGTGTCGCTAACCCGAGAGACCAAGATCATGCCATTCCCAACCAATCCATCCACCTGAACTGACTGTGTTCAAAGGGAAAAGCGAACCCAGAAATTCCGACCCAAACGCCCCCGTGTTCCCCAACCCCTGAACGACTTCCAACCGCGGAATAAAACAGAGATTGGCTCAGTTCGTCTTCTTCCCGCCGCCAGCACCACCATTCAGCGCAACAGCCGGCCGGCGCCCCTCAGCCTGCGGCTGCGCAATGAAGCGCTTATACGCATAGAACCCGGCGGCGGCGACACCCAGGAGTGCAGCATTACCTAGGTAGTTATGTCCCGGTTAGCCCCCAGTTTCCTTCCTTCCCTGGACAAAATAATGACAAAAAGGGGAAAAGAAAGAAAAAAAGGAAGGAAGGAGAGAACGTACCAACAACAAACCGACCAACCCCTTCCACAAAGTCGATGGCTCCCTTGCCGAGGTCGCCAAACATGGCCAGCACGCCGGCCACCAGGCCCCAGAGCCCGGCCACAAAGGAGTGCACGAGCGCGTAGGCGGTGCCGACCACGCTGTTGAGCAGCTCGCCGAAGGACTTGACCAGGTCGATGACCGCGTTTGCGAGGCCCATTGTGTTCTCTTTCTTTTTCTTCTCTTTCTTTTACTGAATAGTGTCTACTTATCGGTAGTAGGGTAGGTTGGTACCGTGTGCGGTTTTTGGTGGATAAAGTTCTTTGAGTGGGATGTCTCTGGATTGAGTAATATGGTTAGTAATTGTGGCTAGAGAGTGATTTGGTTGCCGGATGGCTGTGGTGATGCTTTATAATTAAAGGTGGTTTAGGTTGCCAGTGTGTGTAAGTCTGGGTGTTGACGTCGGTGGTGGACATGACGTCAACCCCCCCTTCCACCCACCCAACAACAATAAAGACCTGAGATCGACAATGGCCCTGCTGGGCACGGGACTGCTGCTAGAAAACAAAACAATGTGTGGCGCCGGAAGGGTCGCTGATGATGATGCGGAGAATCAAGTTCAGTGGAAGGGCGATGACGTCGGGGATCCCAAACTGGGCACTCTACTACACCACCCCTACACTACTACACAGCACGTCTCGTCCAACAACAGATACAAGCAAATACGAAGCGGGGATGAGGCTGCCGCACACACAAAGGGGTATCTCCATTACGATTACTAGTACTAGTAAAATGGTAACATATCGTCGTCGGGGGCGAGACTAGATCTCGCCGGCCGAACGGTCCACTTCCTTCCCTTTGCCCTTTGGCGATGCAGGGGCTGCCGGCGCAGGTTCCGCTTCTGGTGCCGGCGCAGAGTCGTGCGCGTGTGTCTGGGTCTGCTGCTCCGGCGGCTGCTCGTCGGACAGTGCGGACACAGCGACAGAAGCCCGGTTGGAAGTGGCCGCCGGCTCGGGAGGCGAGATCGGTCGGCCGAGCTGCGTGCTCAGCGCCGGGAGCTGGGGCGTAAAGGAGCGGAAGGAACCTTCGCTTGCGCCCTGTGCCGCTGTCTGGGGCTCTGCTGTCTCGAGCCCCTCTTGCCTTTCCTGGATGACCGGCAGATTCCCCGGCGGCAGCACCGGAGCTCTCGCTGCACTGCCGTTCTGCGCTGCCGCCGTGTTCTCCGTCATCTGGGCTGGCTGCTGCATGGTCTCCTCTTGCGCCGACTCCGCGTCGCCCCCCTCTACCTCCTTCCCCTCTGCTTTCTTGCGGCGGAGACGGATACAGACGAGGATGCCCAGGATCACGGCAACAAGGAACAGAACGCCAAACGAGACGCCGACGCCGATGGCCACCTGCTGCCAGTGCTCGAGCCCCATATCGGTCGAGTTCGAGCTTCCATACCCCGATCCGTAGCGAGAGCCCGAGCCGCTGCCGCCGCTGGAAGACCGGCAATAGCTGCTGGTGCAGAAAGCTGATGCAGACGGAACAGTGGCCGCGTACGTCTCGAAGGCCACAATGGTCGGTGACGGCTTCTCGGAGCCGCTGGGGAATTTGACTGGCGCGACCGCGATTTCTTTGTTGGCGAGGTCAAAAACGAGGTAGGTGCGGCGGAGCAGCGAGCTTCCGAGGTTGTAGTAGTTGTACGATGAGCTGCTGGAGGACGAGCTGCTGGAGGACGAGCTGCTTCTCGAATAGTATTTATTGATGCCGAAGAGGCATGTGTTGGTCCCATTCAGATACCTGGTGGTCCGCGTACCCCACTTCAAAGCCGTAACGGGCACCACGAGATCGGCCGTTTCGACGTGTAGCTGTGGCCCGCCGCTGCCGCCGAGCTCAAAGACGAATTTGGCCGAGTTGGTGGTGTCGCATGGGATGGTATAGTATTCCAGCGTGCTGTTGAACGTGGCACCGGCCGTTTCGGCGATCCCGTCCGCAAGCAGCTCGGGCAGCCACGAAAACACCTCGCCCGGGCCGAAGTTCACGTCGACGGGGAAGTCATTGGACCGAATGGACGGCATCGCGGCTCCCGCGGCGTCAGTGCCGTTGATAGTGTTGATCGTTGTACTGAACCCGTAAAGTGAAGAATAGGACGAGTCGTACGCGTCAAGCCGCACCAGGTCGCCGGTGAATCTCGACTTGTCAATGGCGCCAAACAGAAGGCCGCCGGACGTGCCCTGAGCATCGTCGAGCCAGATACTGTAGGCCGGGCTCGCAATCTTGCCGGACGAGACGATGCGGTCCATGAAGTTCGGGTACTCCGGGCTGGAGCTGTAGCTGTAGTAACTCCCAGAATCGTTGTACCCGAGCCCGAGGACGCCGATCCAGCGAGAGGCAGACGAGGCGACCCCTAGCGGGTAGTCGTCCAACTCGACATTCCCCACCACCAGCTTGTCGGTCACGTTTGTGCCCGACGCGTATGTGCCGTCACTGTAGCCGGCGGTGAAGGAATCGTACCGCGCGTTCGCGCGCAGGTACGTGGACGACAGCGACTTGTTGTAGCTGCCCCATTTGCACTCGGGATCGGGAATGTTGTAGGAGTCGGGATCGAACTCATCACCATCGTCGTAGCTGCTGCCGTAGGCGCGGCGATAGTACCACTCGGGCGAGCACTCTAGTGTGTTTGCGTCGGGCACCCATGTGTCGCCTGTCGAGGGCGAGATGAGCAGCGACAGCTTCTGCGCCGGGGTGCCGACCAAGACGTTGACGACATAGGCATATTGCGATGAGGTAAGGCTGATCTGATCCGAAGAGGCGCGTGCAGAGAGTTTGGGGCCGGCTGGAATGTTGCTGTGCTGGGAGAAAGGGAGGAGCAGGTGCTGGGCAGCGGCGGTCGAGACACCGAGAATGCAGATCGCGACCGTGGACAAGCGAGTGTGGAGCGCCATCTTCGTTCACGGGCAGGCGCGGAAAGCGAGTGTGGAGATTGGATAAAGATCGGACGTCGATGCTAACTCGACATGATACAACGACTGTTGATATGTGCAAAAAAGAGCGGCGGCAAGAAGCCAGGAAAATACCCAAGAAGAACTGGACACGAGACGCAGAGGAGTCACTCGATCATATTCTGGACTTGACCCTTTGGTGCCTGGACGTTGGCGCTATTTTCTCCTGCCAAGCACCCAAGCAACCAATTCCTGGTGGGGCGAAGGCTGGCCGCTAGCCCCATGCAGCGGGCATCCGAGATTAACCTTTATTAAGCTTGACGGCCGGCGGCCACCTTCCGAGTTCAGACTATCCAAAGGTATCGGGGCAAGAAAGGTGAGACTGCGAAAAAAGATCGAGATATGGTAAACAAAGCTAAAACCTCTCTATCCTCCGTCGGATCTCCAGTCTCTGTAAAGAGTTGGAGAAACTAGGCTTCTTGTGAGGCCTGCTTTTATTAGCACTCATATAGCGGAGCATGCGAGGAACTTGTGTAAACCCGTACCGAGCCAATCGCCACCTCAACTCTGGCGAGACGAATATTAACAGAGAAGGAGACCAAAACGAACGACACGGACATTGCGCTTTTGCAACCCTGACTCAAACTCAGCGGATCAAACACTCGGGACAGGTGAAAAAGTCTGCTGTCGCTCCTGAGTCCTGTGGCCCGGTAAGCTTTGGTGTTACATTGCGCTCAAGATGCGGAGAGAGTTAGGGTAAACGGTCGTGTGGATGAATTGACGACAACATACTGCCTTGTAATCCTATATAACAACTCTTACTATAGTGGTTGCCATACGAAAGGAAAGGAAGATGTCAGCAACTTACAACACATTCATTCTGCTCGAACAGCCCAGATGAACTCGGCTCTGCTCGGCCAGGTCACCGAGATCGAGATTATCCCCACCTACCCAAAGGGGAAGGTGGGTCAATCCTTCTAGCGGTCAGTGCCCTGGATCGCCCAACCTGGACCTGACCGCGCCATGCCCCTCATCCAACGGCCAACACCTCAAAGCAGGTCGCGACGATGCAATCTGGTATCTCAGGTGAGCAGTCACCGCCTAGTCTTCTCGTTACTCCCGCAACCAGGCACAGTTTCTGACCATTTCCGGCCAAATAGCCTCGCAGGAGCTGGTCTCCCAATTCAACACGCTCCTGGGGTCCGACCGACACTTCGGCCTGCTAGCGACGATCGAATCCGAGCAGCTGCAGCCGCTCAAGCTGCTCACGCCAGCCTCGCCGGGCGGCTCTTTCGCGTCCAACGTCGAGTCGCTGCTGCGGCCGGAGATCAAGCCGGATGAGCCGCTGTACGTGATCCTGCGGCGGTACGCGTCGGCGCCGGCGCTGGTGGCGGTGACGTACGTGCCGGACACGGCCAAGGTGCGGCAGAAGATGCTGTTCGCGTCGACGCGCCTAACGCTGGTGCGCGAGCTGGGGAGCGAGCACTTCCGCGACACCTTCTTCGCCACCATGTCCGACGAGCTGAGCCCCGCCGGGTTCGAGAAGCACGACGCCCACGCCGCGCTCGAGGCCCCGCTCACCGAGGAGGAGAGGAGTCTGGGCGAGGTGCGGCGCGCCGAGATGGAAGCCGGCATGGGCACGGCCACGCGCGAGATCCATCTCAGTTCGCATATGAAGACGCCGATTGCGGATGATGCGCTGGAGGCGCTGAAGGAGCTGGCTGCGGAGGGGAGGTCGTTGGTCATGCTGGTGAGTGGTGATCGTTTTGGTTTTACATGTGGCGCCCTTTTATGACTCGATGCTCACAAAATTGATTGTTTAGAAAATCAACCCCGAATCCGAGTCGATCGAGCTCGTCCCCGACCAGTCGGCCCCGTCGTCCATCCCGGAACTGGTGCAAACCATATCGCCCTCCGAGCCGCGCTTCACCTTCTACCGGTTCACGCACACGCACGACGGCAGCGAGAGCAGCCCGCTGCTCTTCTTCTACACCTGTCCCAGCAGCTTCAGCACCAAGGCCATCAAATTTCGCATGATGTACCCGCTGATGAAGCGGGCCGTGCTCAGCCTTGCCGAGAAGGAGGCGGGCCTGCAGCCGCAGAAGAAATTTGAGGTGGAGGACGCCAGTGAAATCACCGAGCAGGGCGTGATGGAGGAATTGCACCCCAAGACCGAGGTGAAGAGGGGGTTCAACCGGCCCAAGCGGCCCGGTCGGTAACTTGGGCAATAGCATAGCGAATGATATTTCTGCGCATAGAAAGCGACGGAACCCAAGCCTTTACACAGGTCAGGGGTTGCCAATAAGCTTGGTTCTGAGGAATTGCTTAGCCTCGGACGTCTTTAAGACACTGAAAGAGACCCAACGTTATGACTTCCCAACATTGCCACACTGAGTTCCGAGCATGTACCGACTGGGCTGACAGCACGGCCTAGCAATTAAGGCACTTGTACGACATCGACCCCAAATATACGTGGTCCGGCTAGAGGTTTCTAATTAATATTGCATCTCCGGTAGCCCTCCAAACTATTTGCTATCTGCGAGTCTTTTTTTGTCTATATTAGATATATTTCTACCTAACCAGTGTTCTCGCTGTTCTGGTCTTTCAATTCAGGCATATTAGCTGATACTCATACGTAGCTGCGAAATCCCTCAATGTCCCATTCACGTCGCGGCCGCGTCATCAATGTCCACCGACCGCGTTTATACGGGAACGCTATGGCGGTGTGATGGGCCGGTGCGTCATAGGACGTCGAAGACATGCTCCTTCCTCCACGACGGTATTATTCGTGGATGGGGCCGTACACAGTCACTTTTCGCTCGACTCGTCTCTGACGCGGTCGGCTTCGCTCATCGGCCTGGGTGTTGCCTGTTGGATCTGCTGCTTAATAGCTAGCTGGCGCGCTGGTGACATGCTGTTCATGGCCATCATGTTCTGGAGCTGCTGGGCTATCTTGCACCTGCTGACAAGGTCCCAACCGATGGTGCTCTTAGCGCGAGCCGGATATGTGTCCCTTTGTGAGCTACGTCAAATCAAATACGAGACGATATTGACGCCTCCGGGTCCTCTTCGCTAATTGTCGAGTCACCATCATTATCTTCATCTTCGTGTTCTCCTCCTCGATATGCTCATCGAGCTCCTTTAGCCCTGTGCTGTCTTTTTTTCTTTTTCTTTGGCCTGCTTTCGGAGTTTATTCCACCGCATTAGGCGACGTCGAAGTGGCGTCACGCCGGGGTTTTCTCTCGAGAAGCGCCACGAGGAGCCAGAGCATTGGTTTAACGCAGTTCATGTATCGAACGACTGGATGATATGGCTTCACCTTCACCCTTACCCGTGGTGCTTTGCTACCGCTATGCCGCCTTCTACGGCGCCTTTGAGGCATCTCAGGCCCCGGCTCGTTCCTGGCAGATTCCTGAACATCCGACCGAGGATATCAAGGAGCAGCCGGGCGGGAATGAGGATGAGGAGGAGCCTCAATCTTCCGCGACTTCCAGGAGATCACTCAGGGCCATCTTACGGCGTCGCTTGTGGATATTGCGCGATGACGACGAGGTCATGCGCTCCCGGTCACACATGACCTCGTCCTCAGCGGAACCCAATTTCCTTGATGTGCTGCGGGGAGAGGGCACGGGAGCAATCGACGAGAAAGGCGTCGATCATTGACAGGTACGACTCGCTCGTGAGCACGCACCCTGGCGGGGCCATCGCCACCATCCTCGGGAGACCGACGAAGGGGCGTAGGAGGGCGAAGGGGACGGTGTGCAGAGGACGGGTCGCTTCGTCGACCGCGACGTCGCAGTTACCCATCCGCCGCCGTTCGAACCCCGTCGCGCTCGCCAGGAGGTTTTGAGATCCCGCCTCCCTCAAAGGTCGAGTCGCGACGGGTATACGTCGAAGGGTGTCCGGGTACTCCACCGGCGAAGTATGACGCCCGACTTGCCACGGCCGTCCAGGCAACAGACGCTTCCGATGACACCAGTACAGCCTGCAAGGTGAACCCCTTGGCGCATACTCTTTCAACCAGAACTCTACCCGCCGTCGCCGCGACATATAAGCAGTACTCTACTGTCTGTCGCGACTTTTCGGATCGCGAGAAGCCATTGGGCGCAAATAGCGGCCGTGGGAGGCAGGGGTTGCCGCAGACCTCTGGCAGCGGGAGTATACCGGCGATATGGAGGAGGTGAGTCATACCGGTCATTCAAGCTCGACGGCAATGGCAACCCATCATGCCGTCACATGTTCCTGCTTGCCTCCCAACGAGGCTCCTTGTCTTCAACGATATCCTACCGGCGCTGCCCCGTCCCCGGGTTCAACCCAGGCGACCGGCATCCCGCACCCGCCCTAGGTCATGGAGTTATCATAGAGTTCGTCTCAGTGTTCGGACTTCCCTACCCTTCGCCGCCACGACGTCGGTGCAAGAGAGGGGCGCGACGGGGTTGCTCTCCCCCGAGGCTTTCCCTATAGCCTAGAGCCTATTATACCACCCCTTGGCCGGCGCATACTCTTCCGCGCCGCCATGATCACCGCACAGCCGCGGCCGGCTTCGCGGCCCTGCCCCGTAGCGGGACCCGGTACGTCTCCGCAGACGAGCTGCGTCGGGTGTGCCCGCGATGCTCGGCATTCGTCGGCGCCACCGGCGGATATCGAATCACGCCGACGGCACGTTGTCTTCGACGGGCCCGAGTACGAGACCACCCTTGTGGAGGTGGAATGCCCTTTTGACTCCGATCTGTTCGGCGACACAACGGTGCTATGTGAGGAACTGGAAATTGCCATTTTGAAGAACTCGGCAAGAAACCACAGACAGTGGGACTGTCACTTATCGGAATTACGACGAGCGGTGTGCGACATCGCCCTCGGAAAAGCCCTTACGACGAGACCCACGTCGGCACTCCCTACCGCGGGGGCCATGAGGACGACAGGAGACGACGAAGAATGCCTGTTGGCTATAGCGTAGCCGCGGTCTCGTCTGTGAAATCTTCAAGCTAGACTTCGAGCTGGCAACGACGTCGGTGGTCTGTCTGTTTTCGGTGTCGTCATCGGCGGCTGGGACCGCAACGTAACGGAGGATGATCGTTGCGAACGAGTCAACGCCTTCGGGCAGATACACTCCGTCGTCGGAGTATGTAGGCTTCTGTGGAGTCGGCAAGCTCAAAATCAGCACAATCGCCTACTTTACATTGGTGTTGCAAGGCGTTCGCCTCACTCGCCACCATGACCTATACGGATGGTGCCGTGCTTTCAAAGCTGTCAGCTGCCTCAATGGAGTCAGAGCTGCCCAGTCATGAGCATCAACCGCTTGGCAACACCCCGTGGCGATTCCCCTGTGGAGCACATGGAAGCTTCTGTACCAGCTTCCTCCCTCGTGGCATGGGTACTCACGCAATCTCCGGCGTCAACAATGGGGCCGGGGCGGAATTCACCTTCGCCAAACTGCAGGGAGAGAGCATAGAATTCTCGATTGATTGGAGGAATCTTGCCCTTAACAGACTCAGCAAATTTCTTGGGAGGGAAGGGGACTGGTGGCGGGTCGACCGAGAGGCTTCGCAGGCCGCCTAGGAGCTCCGAGCTCTAGTTCCGATTTGGTGATGACAGCCGTCGCGGACAAGACGGTCTCAACTAAGTGGCGATGCTGGGTCCATATCGTTATTGTTGCTGCCCTTGGTCGCTGTCTCATTCTTGTCGACAGATATTTGACAAGGCTTTTTCTGGCTTGTGACCTCGGCAGACATGTTGACAAGCAGTGCTGTCTTGCCGGCGATGTTGACCGGCATTCCGGGCTTTGACCCCGCCGCGAAGCCCGCCGACACGGAAGCTCCTCATCCGCCGTGCAGACAGCTATCCTAGGTCGACTCGTCGAGTCATGTGCCAGGCAAGCACGCCGCATTACGACGCGACGGGGTTTTGTTTTGGCATGCGGACGGCCCCCCCGAGGGCCCCGATCGGATAATCGTGTTGGGCGTTGAGAACATGAAAGAGACTCTGATTAGATATTCCGGGCGCTGGGGCCATGTCGATGAGGTCTCCAGTCCCGCTTCCTCTGGATGATTCCCCTGCGTCTGCGGACCCGGATGCTCCTTTTTCCACCCAGTCCAGTTCCTGATATAGGCCTCCCACTCTCCGACGCTCGGCTGTCCTGCGACACTTGCTCGCCTCTCCCGTCTAGTTTGTTCGGGAGGCCCGTTGAACATGTTCATCATGCCGACGGGCGTGTAGCAGCTGAGAGGTCTGGAGCGAGGATGCTAGTTGGTCTTCTTCTTTCTCCCCGGCACCGGAGAGAATCTAGCGTCGAATTGGTCAAGATAGCATATATTTGAGTGTACGTGGACTGGCGTCACTCATTATACTATAATTCTTCGACATGGGAGAACAACTGGTGCTTACAACAGCCCCGGAGCTTCAAGGTTGTGAAGAGTAGTTGATGGATGGTAAGAGTCCGGCGGCGAGGGGTGGACTGTCCGCCGCGTCGGGGAGAAAAGAGGTGGGCACCGACTGTCGGGTTCACATCGTCGCCGCCAACAAAGAAGCTACTACCATGGAGAACAACCCACCGCCGGTTTCAAGCAGCCTCAGCATCAGTGCGGTTTCCTCGTGCGAGAGCAGCCTCCTGGCAGGACATTTGTCGGCTCTTCTGCTGGCCCCCCTTGGCGAACATCTAGCACGTCTTGAAGTCGCTGTGGAATAATACGGTGACCTTGCCGCTCCGCTCCGCCACGGGGAGAGTGCAGCCTCGAGATCATCTAAGCATGCCGCGACGGCATTGCTCCAGGAAGCATTCCTCACGCAGTTGCCCTCCGATAGTGGAGATGGGAGTGCATTTCCACCAGCAAGCTGCGACCGCGACATTGAGCGGGGCCATTATTATGGGGATTGCTGCGACGGCAGTGCTCAAGGAGCGGCGGTGGGTGGTAGTGGTCGGATAGCGTTCTGACCGGCTGTTACGTGGGGTGTCATGTTCGTGGCGATATGGCTTCGCCATGCTATCGACATGGCGAAGCCGTTGCCGTGCAATGGACTCCTTGGAGGATGCCAGTGGCTACACAATCCACCCCTCCCCCTATTGCTCTAAACGAGCTCATAGCGCTGGGGCCACGGAGTGGGGGGAATTAATGGTGGCCGAGTTGGGACGACGGGAGTGGGCACAACGAGCTGGACACCCAGTACGTGACTTAACGCACTCGGTACATACCTCCTGCGGCACCCTAGGATGGCAGGACCGTGCTTCGGTTCTCCGTGTAACGTTCCGCCCACGCGTGTCAGGTCTGCCAACATTGACTATCACGAAGCCGAGGCTCCCGTCGGTCTACCCGCGGAGGCGGCAATCCCACGGTAGGTCTGGATGTCACTGGGGAAAGCCCCGCCGCGACGGCGTGGTCCGAGCCTGCGTCGACGACGTTCCCCGGAAACGTAGGCGGCGGCGGCGGAGGGAGGCCCGCGTGATCAGGTCGTCGGACATCCGCCGCGGCGGGTTAATCTTCAGTACTCCTGGAACACGGAGCGACGAGGGAAAGGCCCACGGACGATCACTAACTTCTACCTCATCGCCGAGATGGATACACTTCCTTGCTGGCCTTCTGGCCTCTCGGACACGACCGTGGCCAACTGCGAAAGCTCAAGCAAGGCCGTCCGCACCTCCACCCGGGGACGTATCGCTGTAAGCGACTTCGACTCACCCCAGGTAGCCGACAACTTCTTGGCTGCCATCGGCTTCCAAAGCCGACCCCAAGCTGATAACGAAAACGAGAACGGATGGAGAACAGCAACTCCATCGCGCAAGCGTCATTCTCAGGGCCAGAGGCCAGTGAGGACCGCCTAGCGGCCGCAGCCTGTCCTGTATAATCACTGGGACGCGCTGCGGATCGAAAGGGGGATCTTGGATCCCTCCACTGAGTCCACTCACCCACTGGCCACTATACCACCAGGGCTATCGACCCCGCGTCCCGGTGTCGAACACCGGTAAAGACGACGGAGGCTAGGAAGGATGGTCACCAGCAGCGGACCTCAGCAGTGCGGATCTCGGCTTGTAGTCCGGCATCCCGGGTATAGGCCCTGGGCCGCACGCTTAGACCGTCGCGGCGAGGTGAAGGGAGAAGCGGTTCACGACTTTGTGCGGCCAAAGGGCGTAGGCATAAAGCCTGGGGGTGAAAGCGGAAAAATGGCGGACGGAAACGGCGACGTAGGGAATGCCGACCGGCGTTTGACAATGCCTATAACCAAAAGCCCCAAAAGGCCCCGATTGGTTCCAACCACCCCAACATAAGGGAAGCCAAAAAGAACGGCACCTTCACACGTAAACTAAGCGAACACTACGAACACATGGATCCCAAGATAAATGTGCCGGTTGCAGGGGCCGAGATGACATCGACATGTACATCGTCCATTAGAGAGCTACAATGCCTACAACCGTGTATGCGGCTTGTCCACGTCGCCTCCTCTCTGCATCTAGAAAAAGGCAAATGACTGGCATGTGTTTATATAGGTAGCCTTCGTCACTGGCTCACCTGAGAAGCTAAGAAAGAGGCGTTTTGATGTGCGACATTCCAAGAATAACAGCGAGGGAGGGCAGAAAAGAATGGCACCGTCACCCACAAAATCATGGCAGTATTTTCCAAGGTATTTACCTGTCCTCAATCAGCTCTTCATCAAACGGAGAAACGTCAAACGTGTCGCCCAGCTCTCGGGAACTAAAGTGGTCCAGTGACGGACAGGACAGCAGCCCCTGTCGACAACACATGCTCCCAGTCCACTTCATTTGTCTTGAGCGTGTCATTCAATTTCCACAACTTGTCCAATAACCCACCGCTAATATACCTAACTTAAACGTCACTACCCTTTCACTGAAACAATCAGCAGTCACTGTAGCTGCTACTACTACCGCGGTATCACACTATACAGTACTACCACACACAAAATCTCATCTCCCCACCGAAACATGCCTCTCCTCCAACATCCGCAACGCAGCAACCCTCTTCTCGGCCAACAGCGCGAGCGTCTCGGCCTTCACCTTGCCGCCCTCCCTCCTGGCCGTCAGCAGCTGGGCGCTCTTGAGCAGGTTCTTGATCTCGCGCCCGTTGAGCGGCAGCGCCGCGAAGCGGTCGGCGACGTCCCGGGGCGTGACGTCGAACTTGTCGGCTCCGCCAAAGTGCTCCAGGAAGTTGTGCCACACCTGCGTGCGCGTGGCCGCGTCCAGGTCGTGGTACGGCAGGAACAGGTCGACGCGCGACTGGAAGGCGTGGTCGATCCGCGAGAAGCGGTTGGTGGTGAGGAAGAGGATGCCTTGGTAGTATTCTAGTTTGGTGAGGAAGACTGTGGAGAGGTGGGGTGTGTTAGTAGGGGTGCCACAAGTGGAGAAGGAGAAGGTGGCGAGGGAACGTACTCGAGACTAGCTCGTTGCGCGTCAGACTGTCGTCGAGGCGGGCGCCTAGGAAGACGTCGGCCTCGTCCAGGAGCAGCATGGCGTTCCACATCCGGCAGAGCTCGAGCGCGTGGTCTAGCGCCGGCTCGACCACCTCCGGGCTGGTGCCCAGCATTCCGGCGCTCACGAGGTACAGGGGCACGCGGGCTTTCTCGGCCACTAGGTATGAGGCAGGTGCTTTAGTTTCTTTCCGGAACCATTGCGAAGAGGGTGTGACGGGGTGCGCTTACCTGCCTCGGCGGTGTAGGTCTTGCCAACGCCGGGCGGGCCAAACATGAGGATGATGAGGCCGCGGCCTGGATGTGTGATTCGAATTAGCATTTCCATCCCTCACCCCTTTGCATGTGGGTGTGGGCAGTTGCAATGAATAAAACACTCACCTTTGTCAGGCACGAAATCGTCAATGACCTCGTTGGACCGGCTCTTGCTCTGGACAAAGTCCCAGGCCAGCTCCTTTTCGCCGCCGGGCAGGACCAGGTTGTCATAGGCCTTGTCGTTCCACACGACCTCGCCCAGCTTGTCGATGAGGAAGCGACCTAGAACAGTACCATGTCAGTGTCGATGATTTAAAAGCCCTACAAAGCGGGAGTACAGTGCATACCCCAAGTCTTGGCCTTGAGATCAAACCCGATCAGCCACGGGGTCGTCAGGAGGCAATGCTCATCAGACAGCTCCGTCAAGTCCTCGACCCGCTCGCTGGCCGCGGGGTTGTTGGCCACGGCAGACATGTCGTTGGCGTTGGCATTGTCGTCGCCATCGCCATACTCGGAAGCCGCGTCCCCGTCGTCGCCGGCGGCCGCCGTTTCATTCGTCGTGGTGGTGGTGGTGGAGGTGGTGCAGCCCAACGAGCCCATCTCCGGCTTGACCAGGTTGTTGCTCTTGTAGTAGGCGTAGGTGTCGATGACGACCCTGCCGGACATCTAAGTAACAAACTATGTGTTAACGAACTGAGCAGTCCATCCTACCAAACAACGTCTTTCACTCACAGGCTGCTGCAAATTAGACTCGGTCAAGATCTTGACACCCTCATAGCTCAGAAAATGATAGCCCCTCAACTCCTGAAACCGGCGGCCGCGCGCCATCATGGCCTCTCTGATCTCCTCCGGCTTCTCGGCAAAAGACAGAGGATAGGCCGGGAACGAGGTGACGCGGCGCAGGCCCGAGTAGAGCGGGATCCGGACCTCGGTGGTCCGCAGGCCGCAGCGCTCGCCGTCCCAGTCGACATACTCCAGCGTGATGATCCAGCAGCGGCGACGTTGCGACTTGTGATACTTGACCACGCGGCAGATGGTGTCGACCCCGTAGAACTTGGTCAGGACCTGCTCGCCCGGCGGGTAGATCTGCCACAGCATGTCGTACCGGATCGTGCCCGTGTCTCGCGTGCTCGTGAGGTCCTCGATGGACCCGGCCAGGATGGGCTGCAGGAAGTCGACCAGCTGGTCCACGGCGGCCTTCTTCTTGTTCTTTCCCTCCTCGGTGTCATTGTCATTGTCATTGTCATCGTCACCCTCCTCCGACTGGCTCCGGATCTGGCGGTGCAAAGCCAGGATGCGGTCCCAGCGGTGCACCAGCGGCTTGTAGGGCGGCGAGAAGGTCCAGCCCTCGAGGTCCAGGTCCAGGTCCTGGTACCTGGCGAGCGCCTCGGCCAGGAAGGCGCGCATGTGCGGGCAGTGGACGTTGAACGACACGGTCACCCACTCCTTGTCGCTGTTGAAGGCGTGCCGCTGCACGATTGGCACCGCGCGCACCTCGGCCTCGAGCGCGTTCTGCTCGTCCTGGTGCGTCGCGAACTTGGACCAGCGCGACGGGCAGCACTCGTAGTGACAGTCGTGTCGGTAGAGCTTCTGGACGCCGCTGCCGTCCACTTGCTCCGGCTCGGGCTCGGGCTCGAGCTCGTTCTCCTCGACTGTTGCGGGTTTAGCGGGTTCGTCGTCCTTTACGTCCGCAGATGGCTTGACCTCGGGTTCAGCGGTGTCTGCACCGTCGTCCGCTGGCGTTGGCGTGTTTTCCGTCTCGCCGTCCATGGCCGAGGGTTTGTCGTCAGCAGCTGAAGCCGCGGACTCGTCGACGGACACGATGACCTCGGTGTCTGAGTCCGGGGGAGTTCCGGTGATAACAGCCATGGTGGTTGATTTGAGCTGAAAGAGGATGGATGACGTTCAAGAGGTGTGTGTATATGATGGCTGGTAATGATGTCTTGAAAGCGAGGAGATGATCTTGTATTGCTGGTATCTCAAGTCTGAAATGATCATGGGCTTTATAGACAGAAGCCACATGACTGTATTCCCAGATAAGGCCTCCTACAAGGCAACCAGTAACCCAGCTCGGGCATCAAAGCGGCCGCAGGAACTTGTGCCAACTGCATGGCTCTCGATGCAGTGAATGTTGCTGGCAAATGAGGAGCGGCTTGGTGGTGCTGCTGCCTGTGCCTGCCTAGCGTTGGGAGGCAGCTCATGCAGCTTGCTTCCTGCGTGCAGCCGTGCACTGCATCTTGAGTGGATTCATCACCACATCGTGAATGTTCACTGACCAGACTAATGATCACGCTAAGTTGGCTAAGTCCTTCTGGGGCAGTCGAGACAAAAAGTTGCCTCTCAAAGCTGCCTCTCAAGATTTTCTGCAAAGTTACCGCAGCTCGGTCGTCGAACCCATTTCCGAAATCCACCATGCACCAGTTGCTAGACTCGCAGGTAACAGTGGAGAGAGGACTGGGCTGACTCGGTGATGGCATTTCACGGGAACTAAAGATGCAGAGACACAGATAGGAAGGAACCTGAAGAAGGAATATAAGACTTGTGTGAGTGGGAAAAAGTGAAGATGCGAAAAATGCCAAAAAGATCTCTCCCGCCGGGAATTGAACCCGGGTCTCGAGCGATGTCAGTGTTAGGTGACAAGCTCACATACTGACCACTATACTACGGAAGATTTACAGGTGTGGGCACCTGCCGTAGTTCGCTGGTTGCTGCAGGGGTGGGGAGCATTAGCCTATATGGAAGTCTCGCGTATCTCACAATAGCCATTCCGCAGCTCGACCGACCATTCTACCCGGATTAAGCCTCAAAACACCCGAGTCTGACATTGAGTTCGATGCCGATGGTCTCATCACCTTATCAGAGAGATATTGAGCCGCAAACACCGTTCGATGTTGTCCGGCCAGTCTCCAGCATTCCATCCTCCCTGCAGACAGCACCTCTCCTATTGCCTTCCATACATCACATCGCACCACATCACATTATTCATACGTCAATGACAGTTAAGACAAAACCTCAACTGGCAAACGTCACCATCCCATTAGCATCACCCTGCTGCCCACCAACCCCTCAACTAGTTGCCATAAGCGCAATGTGTTTCAGTTCACTAGTACAAATCACAATGTCAGCTTCGATGGATCCAAATTTCACCTGTAGACAAAAGAAAACGTGGTCACCCACTTCGAAACCTGCTCGCCAACCTTCACCGGCGGATACTGCACCTCCTCACCCTCATCCCTCCCCAAATCAAACTGCTCCGCCCTCAGCGCACGCGCCTTCTCCGCCAGCGCCGGAATCGGCGCCAGGTCATAGTCGGACGACAGATGCCAGAAGAAGGTCGACGAGATGCGGACGAGCGGCCGGTCGGGGAACTCTTTCCTCCGGTCGGCCATCACCGCAACCGTCCGGTCGTTGACCACGACCTCGTGGTACCCGGCCTTGATGAGCCCACCCGTGATGTACTCGAGCTGCTTGCCCGCCTGCACCAGCAGGTAGTTGCCGCGCGGGATCTTGACGGGGATGCGCTTGCCCGTGTTGCGCGCCCAGATGTGCAGGCCCGGGTAGCGCGAGCGGCCGTGGATGGTGAGGAAGTTGAGGTCGGTGTGGAAGCCGGCCAGGATGGTGTCCTTGGCGCCGTACTTGTTGAGGTCGGATGCCGTGGGCGCTAGCAGGTGTGGGCTGTGAAGGGGGGGGTTAGTCGTACCTAGATGGAACTGTAGGCAAGGGAAGGAGGGGTGGTGGTTGGCATTAATCATACCCGTATCGGCCTGCGTCTTTGAATGTGTCGGCCGGGAGCCCAAGGCCAACGGCGGCCATCTGAGTGAGCCCTTCCACGCTGTTCGTCTGGTTAGATTTCCCGTTTTAAACCAAACCAGGATCAATCAATCATCCAAGCAAAAAGATTAATCACTGACGCATTCTTCATCGACGTCCCCCACTGGTTCATTACCGGCCCCCAGCGCGGCTTGATATGCGGCGCATCGGGCGTGATATTGTCGGCATTCAGGCCCGGGAACTGGGTCTCGTACGGCGGCTGCTCGACCATGCGCCAGAAGAAGCGGCACTTGGGGTCGGGCTGGTGGGCCGAGATGTCGAGCGGGCGCTCCGAGGGGGCCAGGCGCTCGATGACGCGCAGGCACGGCTCGTCGACGGCGCACTTGGGCTTCTCGGTGTTCTCGAGCGTCACGCCGATCTGGTAGGCCAGCTCGGGCCGCTCGTCGCGCTTGAGGTCGGCCTCGGGCTGCGCGAAGTAGTCCTCGAGCAGGTCCAAGAACGTGTCGTTGTCCTGCTCCGACACGCGCGAGTCGTGCAGCACCAGCGCGCCGTACGTGATGAGCGCCGACGCCGCCTTGGCGCACTCGGCCTGCACCTCGGCCGAGTCGCGCGCCTGGTGGAGGAAGATGTCCAGGTCGATGACCGGGAGGTCCATCGAGAGTTCCGGGGAAGCCATTTTGAGAGTACTCAGTACACTCTAGGTACACTCAGGGCAAGATCAAACCGTCAATAATTCAGTTGCTCCCGTGAATGCGTGCTCGAGCTCAGATGTTCGGAGGATACCAGCTATGTAAATCGCTGCCTCTATCTCTGGAGTGGAACACTGGTCGTAGCGATCGGTAAAATCCTCGTGGTGAACTCCTAATGAGGAAGGTCTCCGGAACGCTTGAAGCACCTTTCACATTGAGTGGGGGTTTCCACCACCTGACCAGCCCGCTAGTCGCCGATTGCCGAGAGGGTCAAGGGTATTCCGCGGCAAGCCGAATGCAGCCGTGTTAGCATCAGTTTTCTCCCTTTTATATCGAGACTTGAAGCGAAATTTTGCTCAACCTGAAAGGGGCTCAGGGGTAATTAATACTATCTGTTCAAGGGGAAAGCATTCTATTATGAGCACCACTATCCGTTATAGCACCAATACTGCGCAGAGGGTCCGTGGTAGCCATATCCACTATCGAATCCAAGCCTTCGCAAACAAGCCATGAGCCCCCAGCAACAAAAAGTCTCTCCCGCCGGGAATTGAACCCGGGTCTCGAGCGTCGCCGGCGATGACAAGCTCACATACTGACCACTATACTACGGAAGACTTGCTGGTGTGGACACCAGCCGTAGTGGATCGGGTACAGGGGGCAGTCGGGGCTGAACCTTATCAGGGAGACCATTGTGAGTCATTTCTTGGAAAACAACAACTAGACGGGACCATAGAGAGGGCATATAGTGCTCAAATCTTTTGGTATGGCCTTCGTCGTTTGGGGTTCTTGACCCGTATAATATCCTGTCGACTTGAAGGAACCTGCCGCTGTCTAGGTAGAAGGTAGATAAAGTCGACCCATCAAAGATATCCGCTGCTCCTCACAAGAGTCAGCTATGTATGTGTATGTGGTGAACAAGTCACGCCATGATAAATCCCAAAGGAGCAACTCAGGTGTTGCACACCTCAAGTCCCTTTCCCAAAAGGTCATCATCTCATGGTCTCAGGGTACTTACCTTAGTTAAATCATGCACCAAGGAGAGATTCCGAGAAACATAACATACCGACTGAGACTACTCTGTAATCCGTGCCCACCAATAAGTAAGGTACCTTAACTAGGTAGGTAGTCTTCAGGTAACCTCTCCCCCCTTTTCCGCCCCTAGCTTCCCTCCCACAACCACTCGCATCCCCTAGGGCCCCTACCCCTCCCTCTCTACTACTTATAACGGAAAGGTACCGTATTCAATAGTGATGAATAAACTGCACAACATGCCTAACCCCCATCCAAGCCTCCTCAGCCGTCCCCAGAATCTGGTCCTCCGGCAGCCGGAACCCTCCCTCCCGCACGCCACCGTTGCCCAGCCCGGGCCGCAGCTCGACGGTATACGCGTACTCGGCGCCGAGCACCTCGAACGCGTAGTCCGCGCTGTCCCCGGAGGTCGGATACAGCAGCTCACACGCCGCACCGGCCCGGTACTGCGTGCCGTGCACTTTGCGCATGGCGTCGGCGAGCTCGCCGGCGAGCCAGGAGGTTGCGGAGAAGGGCGGGAGGTGTTTCGTGCAGGGGTATCCGTATGCTGTTTTGGTTTTTCAAAAACCGAATCGTGTATGATTAGTTACTGTTTCGTACGAAGGGTTGGAACTGGGGTAATAAGGAAGGACGAAAAAGTAATACGATGCATAACCAACTGTCCAAACGAATGCCAGTCAATAAACAGCCGGACGCCCTGCCGCTCCTTGATGGTCTGCAGCTCGGTGGCGAGCGCCATGGTCTCGGGCGCGTCGAACGCCTTCGTGCCGCGGTAGGTGCCGTGGCAGGGCGATGTCGAGGCGCCGCCGCCGGCCTTGCGGTCGTGCCTGTTGTTGTTGTTGTTGTCCCAGTGCACGTCCCAGTTGCGGTTGAGGTCACGGCCGATGCAGGACGTGCCGGGCTCGGGCTGGCGGTTCTTGCGCCACATGCGGTTTCTGTTCTGAGTGTACACGAAGCCTGTGTGTGTATGTGCCCATCATTCCAATGGAGAAGTCAGTCCGGGGCTTTGCCGCAAGTAGGACAAGGAGGATAGGGACTCGGGAGCGGGGTGGTGTACCGTCGGGATTGGCCACGGGGACAATGTAGAAGTCGAAACTGTTCAGCGCGTACTTGATATCCTTGTCCACGTCGTAGTTCCGGAGCAGGCTGTATGCGATGTACTCGGTGACCATGCCGGTGATCCACTCCCGCGCGTGGATGGTGCCGAGGAAGACAATGGCGGGCTTCTTGCCTGGTCCAGACTTTCCGAAGAGGTGGATGCCTGAGATGTTCCTCTTTTCAAAGGACTTGCCGGCACTGAACAGTCGCGTCAAAGGAGGGTATTCCTCCGAGAGGCGGTGCAGATAGTCCACATGGGCTTGGTAGTCGTGGTATTTGCGGAACCAGGATAGTGAGTCGAGGGCTGTGTGCTGGTCAACTTGGCAATGAAAAAGAGACAATGAAAACCGCTTGCAGGTATGGACGGCATGAGAAAGCAACTTCTGCTTACATTCGTTCAGGGCGAGATTCTCCGGGAATTCGATGACTTCGTGTTTGGGGGACTGGGGGGCTGATAATGATAAATTCCGGTTTATGAAGGGAAGAAGTGAAATGGGGAGCTTCATATTGAATTGTTGTTCATGCAGGAATCAAGGTGGTGATGTGAATTGCAAGGGACGATCTCGGAAGGGAACGCCTAGTTGGCTGGCTAATACCTGCTGCTAGTAGTCGTGCCTTCTTTTTTGAATTCTGCATCAACAACTTCACATTGGGGAAGGGTTGCCCCTGGCCGAGCGAGTACTGCAACCAACTAAAGACAATATGGAATGTGCACCATATCCGAATGAACTTTTTCAAGGCCCTGAGCCTTTGATACTCTCTCCACCTGGGTCCGCCGAAACGCTTACTGCACACCGAGAAAATGGCGAAGATAAAATCCGAGACCAGTTCCATGAATATGCCCATATACAAGGGCAAACACCGAGTGGGGTAATATATATCAAGACAGGAAAAGATCAGCCCATCTGCAGCCAAATACACCACCGGTAATTAAAAATAAAACTGCTGCTGTGGTGGCTGGCCCGGCGGAGGGTGCGCGAGGAAGTCAAAGTTCATCGAATCCAACCCGGTGTTGAAAGGATCAGGCGACTCTACGAACGTTCGTGGTCAGCCACGGTCACAAATTGCGGCGGTCTAACAGTTTTCTTACCCCAGAAGATTGAATCGTACAGATCCATCGGCGACATGTAGCTGGCCGGGTCGAACCCAGCCATGTCCGGAAGCTGCTGCGGAACCCCAGAGCCAATCGGCAGCTGGGAGAATGGGATGCTGCTCGAGCATCAATTAACATATCGCTCCACGCTTGATGACTCTGGACTCTGGACAACATACCCAGCTGAATAGTCGGGCCCGGACCCGCCGCCCTGCTGCTGCAGCTCCGTCATGGCCAGCGCTGCGTTCTGGTGCGGATCCAGGATGGAGCCAGCTCGAGAGTCCTGGCTGCCGGTTGCGCCGCTTGGAAGGAAGCCGGCCGGCTGCATCGGGTGCAGCGGCGTGCGTGTGCCCGAGGCGGGGCCGGATATGCTGCCCTCCCGCTTGACCGAGGGCGCAACGACCGATCCGTGATCGTAGATGTTCTTGAGCGCCTCTAGCGCCCGAGACAGCGGGCCGGACAGCTCGATGTCGAGATCCGTCTTGCGGATATGAGGCTGAGGCGAGGTCTGCTCCTTCGCCGCGGTTGCTGACAACGCCGAGATGAGATCTCCTTGCAGCTGACGGACCTCTGGGTCGGCTTTCGTCTCGCCCAGGATTCCCAGAAGGACTGCTGACGACAGCCCGTGGTAGGTGAAAGCCCAAGAGCGGGTTGGGATAACGGAGAGCTGATGCATCGCGAGGAACATTCGGACTGTCTCGGTCAGGTTTTGCTTGCATCTGTCCGCAAGGGTCCTCTTCTGCGGCGGATCGAGGTGGTTGCTGTCGCGTCGCATCAACGCAGGCCGGCAGCAGACCGATACGATGAAGGAAGTGTGCAGCCGTATCGCGAAATGCTGCAGCCGGTCCAGGGCGGACTTGCACGCCTCCTTGCTGCGCAGTTGGCCCAGCAACTTGTCGCGGACGTTCTCGACGGCCTTGCAGTTGTCGAGAATCTGCGCGTAGGTGGCATTTGCAATGGCGTCGGGGTTCAGTCTCTGCGAGATGATCTGGCAGAGGTGGTACATGGCTTCCAGATATGCCCAACCGTCGGTGTTGGCGGTTGGCGAAAGTGGTATGGGACAGCATGGGATGTTGGTCATTGGGGAGCTAAGGTAGATGTGGTCAGCTTCCAACTATTACCTCACTTAGGCGGCTCTAGGACTCACCGGTCGAATGACAAGGACGTGAGCGTATCATGCCAAACACAAGTCCACCTATCACGATGGGTGTCAGCATAGGCCATAGCAGGCTTGCCGGAGCCTGACATACCATAACTTCCTTCTCGCGGTCTCCTTTTTCGTGGCATCGGGCGTTTGCCGGCCATCGAGTGGCTGTGCGCGGTGAAGACCGAGCGATTGGGCTAGCCTGCATGTGAGCCCAAGCAACGCCCACGAAGCTTCAGCCTTCATGTCGTTGAGCAGCACAAAGCTCGTCATAAGCAGAGCTTGTATGGAGTCCAGATTGGGCCTGGGCAGTTAGCAACTGGCGCAAGAAATCCACAAGAAATCACACACCTCAGCAAGAAGTTCCCTACTCTCAGGAAATGGAACGAGATCTGAATGTACTTCTGCGAGTCCCTCGTCCGGACGTGGAATGGCGCGTCGTGATACTGCGAGCCGACAGCGAGCACGGCGAAGAGAATGGACAGCCAGGATGCCGAGACGGGTTTGGTCGTCTTGGTCGATGCCCTGGCGTTCTTTGCGCGGTCCTCAAGATAGACCATAAGCCGGGACTCGAGGTCATCGATGTCCATGACAAAACCCCAGAACGGCTGGGGTATCTCCTTGTAGGTTCGAAAGAGCCTGGGGCAATTGGTGAGTATGACAAACCCCGAAATCAAACCAGACAATCAGACCAAGGTCAGATGCATACTTCATGACCTCCCTGTCGGATGGCAGCTCGGATGCAATGTCCGTAGTCAGCCTATCCATATGGCGTGAGGACATCAGCGGGAAGGGCGCCGAGTTGTCCAGGCCGAGTAGGGAGCGCATGTCGGAGCGGATGCCGCTGCCCTGCTGGGCCTCGCTGGCGGCTGTCTGTTCTCTGAGCAGGGCCGGTATGCTGTTTTGACCCACATATCGCGTGGTCTCGGTATTGTCGGGCTCTGATGAGAGAGGCAGGTAAGAAGCCGCAGAGATAAAACGCAACAGAGTTCAGATCGGATCACTCACCGTATGCGCTTATGGCGGCCTCGTTGCTCTGACTTCGGACTCCTGGCTCATCTGGTGATCGTGCTCTCTTCTTCCCCGGCGTTGAGTGCTCCGACGTGTTGGAGATGCTCTTTCCAGCGGCAGTTCTGTTCGGTTTGTAGGAGCAGAGTTGAGGATGTTCCCTCTTGACGCAGTTCTCACAGGGGCTCTTGTTGTCGCACTTGACCTTCCTCTGTCTGCATGGCCAACAAGCGGTGCCTAGCACATAGATGAGACACCGTGTAAGCAAGCCATCTGCATTTCCAGGTTTGGATCTGGGATGCTTGATAAAATGGAACGCAATGATTCCTCCTTCGGGCTGTACTCAAGCGCACTTGACCCCGTACTGGGGGGGATAGTTCGAAGCTTGGAAGCGGGAGAGAAGATCCGCTTACCGTAGCGCACCTTGCGGTGGGAGTGGATGATGCGGTTGGCCTCCTCGGGCGTGAGATCCTCGAGGCTGGGACTTTCTTGTGTTTCTGACATTGGTGCGAGGGCTTGTGGCCCCGATAAGGGAACGGGGAGGTGGATGGGTAGGGCCGTTGAGGGCTGCCGGAATGGGAACCCGAACGAGGGCCGAAGCGCAGCCCCCGTTGGAGAAGTGGGGGCCGCGGGGCACGCGCAGGAGGATTGTTCTACGATTGAGATGTCGAATGATTGCGCTGGCCTCTGCTCGTTGTCGTGGCGAGACTTTGCCGCAGGAGGAAGGCCGGGAGATGAATACCGATGCAAATCCGAGACGTCGTTATCGAGGTGAGAAGAAGCCGAGCACATCTCGGATCGGGTGAGAATGGGTGTGGAGAAATTCGGGATTTGCGGCAGTTCAAGGATTTTAGGGTTGGGGCGGCCCCACGATAAATGGCTAGCTCCCCCGCCCGTGCGTGCCCGTGGGCCTTAATCAGCATCCGCAACCTGCTTCTCAAGGATATGAAGCATTGCCCCTTTGCTCGTCAATCAACATTGGCGTCCGTCGGCGAAGACACAGCTTTTCAACTCTTTGGAATGGCTCCTGCCAATGATGTCATCGAGGATATCAGTCGAGAACCCGAATCTTGCGGTCCAGTTTGCGGGAAGACCACAGTGCCCACATGTGCCCTTACTCACCGCGGCGACGAGATCGGACATGAACTCCGATTCGTGTGACCTAGAATGGCCATCGCCTTTAGAGTGAGTGATTGGAAGCTGACAGATCATGCAACTGCTGGATGGATGGGATGAGTCCGCGCATCCAAGCCAAAACAATGGGTGTGTGCGGCCGTACTACCTCAACACCAAGGCGAGGGTATCTCCAAGCTTGCTTTGTGGCATACCAAGGTTCTTTCAGCTCCTGAACCGGTGATAGTTATCCTCCATTCTGATTGGCCTGTTGGCCTGCAGCGAGGCCAACATTGGCTGCAGGTGGTGAGGCCTGCCGCCGACGATGCGAAAGTTGCAGGTTTCGCACGCGGTGAATGGAGCACAACTAAACTTTAGCTCCCGCTGCGAACCGCTGCAACCGCCCGTGGCTTGGCAGGGTTCCCGAATTGAACTATAAAAACATCATTGCTCTGTCGGTACCATACTTCTCCATCAACCGACTATCATTAGTTCATGGCCAGCAGGCAATTGAACCTGCCCTCACATATTAACTTCGCCAAAGGAACCGAGTCAATCTCGTCTCCTGAGAAGAAAGCCAATGGGGTTCCCAGTCGCGGCGTTGCCGTCCACGCCGGCGAAGCGCAACAGCGATGTCGAGGTTGAAAGCGTGATCCGCAAGCTAAACGATGACTACGGGCTTGGCATTGAAGTACCCGACCTCAGCTTTTCGCCTGCTCGGCGAAAGGAACTCGCTGAGCAGAACGAGGAGTATGCACGATGGTATCGGATTTGGCGTGGCATACACTTTCTCTATCACCAACGCGACGACAGCCTGCAATTGGCGCTCGAGAGCTTCTTCAACGAGGCAAAAGCTGCCAGTCTCCGCTGGGTGCCCAAGCCTCGTGCGGATCCCAACACGCTGCCGTCGTCGAGAGTGCCTCCCAAGGCGCGGACTCCGGGGCAGCAGTGGAGTCTGCAGAGTATTCTGATCGAGGTTATCGACAGCTTCAGGCCGCAAGCAACGTCGGTGCCAGCGCTGTTGCTTCCGCGACCCGGCGGCGGCCCTGCCACAAATCCCCGGGTCGCGTATGAGAGCGACTCAAGCAGTACGCTCCCGGACTCTCCGGCATCTACCGCATCAAAGCGGTCGTTCGGCGGCGACTCCGACCAAGACTTCAAGCGGATGAGGAGCAGACACTACATACACGCCCGCGACCCGTCTCCCTCCCCAACTGTTTTGACATCGGCGCTTGACAATGTCCCCTCTCGGCGCCGACTTGGCCATCCGCCAGTGGGTTTGTCGCCAGAGCGACGCCAGCAAGATGCTGTGAGTCGCAGTTCTACGGATACGCCCGGTAGCAGCAGGGGTTCAAACCTCTTTAGTACGCGTAATGGGCAGCAGTCGAATTCAATCACGACTAATGGAGGGGGAATGGGGCAGCAGAGTCGCTCGTCGAACATAGTAGTTCCCAGGCCAGCGCTGCCCACTTCCCCCTCGTCTGGGTCATTCACCACGGCTCGGGGCTCTGTTGTTTTGAATCCGCCTGCCTTTCCTCAGCCTGCTCGGCAGTCCCGTGCATCGCCGTCTTCCGATGCTACAGTGGACAAGTCGCTGGAGCGACTGGTCTTTGACCGGACCAGTGATATCAGCAGCCCCCCGATCAACACTGAACTTCAAGCGAGACTGCAGAATATCTGGCGTGAGTGAATGAAACCCTGGCCAGCGTCCGGACTTTAGTGATGCATGGGTTCTTTCTCTGACATCTGTGCAGCCAAGTTCCCGCGGTGGCTCCATGATGCGCCTCTTGCCGTCGCCTGGGAGATCACCCGCGTCTGCCTCCATTGCAATGTTGATCTTGAGGATAACCTGTTACAGTACAACGCGCAGTGGGCGACTTCAGACATATCTAGCATCTGGCGGTCCCTGAGCCAGCTCGACGTCTTTCGGGGCAAGTCGTTCCCCGAGCGGCCCTCCGCCGAGGCCTTCGCAGCAGCCTTGACCGGGAGCTTTGAGTGCCGGGGACGAGCGGTAGTCCTGGCTGCCACACTGCAATTTAACGAGAATAAAACAGGCCCCCTGTTCTTGCTGAACATGCAGCCACTGCACCTGGAAGACAGCTGCAGGCTGACCAGGCGATTTGGCGCGGATCGCTTCCTCGAAATCCTCGTCTCGTCGCCGACCGCAGCTGCCGTTGTGAAGGCTGTGAAGGACGAGGGAGTGGACCAAGTTATCCGATGGCTGAGCCAGACACGGCATTCCCTGGTTGGACGGCAGTGGCAGGCATACTACACCAAGGACGCAGGGTACAGGAAACCAGCAAAGGATGTCCGCCTTGGACCAGACGCCAAACCCGTCTGCATGGAGAGGGTGCACTTCTTCGCCGAGAGCGGGCACAACTTCCGACGTGCGCCCCTGCGACGGGGATCCGAGTTGCCGCTGGAGACCGCATCCCAGCGGCGGACCGAGATCCGGGTGAGCGAGATGCTCGACTGGCTGCTGCAGTTGGAGCGGAACGAGGCCCAGCCTCACCTCAAGCTCTTCTCGCGCATCCAGCTGGGCTTGAGCAAGACCACCCCGACCGTGACGTTTGAGCCGCATCAGATCCGCCACCATGACAAAGACATCCTCTCGCCCATCGGGAAGGAGATGAACGACGGTATCGGGCGCATGTCCCGCAGTGTCGCGAGGAAGATCCGAGATGCGCTCGGCCTGATCGACATCCCATCCGCCATCCAGGGCCGCATGGGCTCTGCGAAGGGGATGTGGTTGATGGACGTAGCCGACACGGGTGACGAGGACTGGATAGAGACGTACCCATCCCAGCGGAAGTGGAAGTGCGACTACGCCGACCCCTTCCACCGGACGCTTGATGTCCGTGAATACTCCAAGCAACTCGTGCCGGCGGGCCTCAATCTCCAGTTCCTACCCGTTCTGGAAGATAGGGCGCGGGACAAGAAACAGATGAGGCAGGCGATCGCTGATCGCCTGATGAACGATCTGGAACAGCAGTTCGAAAGCCAGAAAACGGCTTTGATGCAGCCCCTCTTGTTCCGGCAGTGGGTCAACGAGAACTCCAATAACCGGGGTCCGCGCGTGAGCCATGGCCAAGTGCCCTTCCTAGGCGGCTTGCCGGAAAGTCAGGAAGAGATCCTTAGCTTTCTATTGAACAGCGGGTTCGACAGGAGACAGAAGTACGTGCAGGACCTGGCCTGGAAGCTGCAGCTGCAGCGGTGCGAGACCCTCCGCACCAAGCTGAACATCAAAGTCGGCCGGTCGGCCTACATTCTCATGGTGGTCGACTTCTGGGACGTGTTGGAGGAGGGCGAGGTGCATCTCGGCTTCTCGTCCAACTTCCGAGACATGGCGACCGGGGAGTCATTCACGCTGCTGGCGGACTGCGACGTTCTGGTCGCCCGCTCGCCCGCGCACTTCCCCAGCGACGTGCAGAAGGTCAGGGCCGTGTTCAAGTCGGAGCTGCATGCCCTCAAGGACGTGATTGTCTTCTCGGCCAAGGGCGATGTTCCGCTTGCGGACAAGCTGTCTGGAGGTGACTACGACGGAGACAAGGCCTGGGTGTGTTGGGATCCGAGCATTGTCGAGAACTTCGTCAATACCGACGTGCCGCCGGCGCCCGATGCGGTCCTCGATCTATACCTCGGCAAGGACAAGACGACGTTTGGGGACCTGGTCCACCACACCGGGCAGACCGGCCATCAGGGTCGCCACGCTGCTGTGTACGACATGGTCAATAAGAGCTTCCAGTTCGCCATGCAGCGCGACTTCCTGGGCATCTGCACCAACTACAAGGAGCGGCTCTGTTACCACCGCAACAACGTCAACGACGACGCCGCCCTGCTTCTCAGCAGTCTCGTGGGGAAGCTGGTCGACGCGTCCAAGCAGGGCATCATCTTCAACGCCGCCAACTGGGAGCAGATGCGGCGCGAGCAGTTCGGCGGGCAGATGTGGTTCGACGAGCCAGCATACAAGTGCGAGTACTGGGACGGGCGTGGTCAGCCCCAACACATCATTGACCATCTAAAGTTTACCGTCGCAAAGCCCACGATTGACGACCAACTAGAGTCTCTTCATCTGGTGATGAAAGCCAGCAGCCAGGCTTCATCTATCTCCCTTTCCGCCACCACCACCACCACCTCTTTCTCCTCCCAACCCAACAACGACGAGGACGCAGCGCACTACTGGGACCCCGACCTGGTCATCTACTACGAAGAATTCAAGAAACTCACCGGTCAATCCCGCTCCTTCCGCGCCGTCCTAGACTCCCTACAAACCGCCATAGGGCAAGTACAGCAGGACTGGACGAAGGCCATGGCCAAGACCGGCAAGGCCGAGCCGACCTACCCGGAGAAAGTCCGACAGCTCTACGAGAAGTGGTGCGCCATCGAGCCCCGCGCCGTCGGCCGCGCCGGCTCCAACAGGCTCGACGCTAAGTCCGCCGCCTTGCTGGAGCAGTCGTACCTCCCCGGCGCGGCGGCCGGCACCGGCTTCTGGGCGCTGCTCCGCGCGAGCACCGCCTTCAAGATGTTGCACAAGCGCGCGTCCAAGTTTGTGTGGCAGATGGCTGGGGCGCAGCTGGCGTTTATCAAGGCGCAGATGACTGCTGGTGGTGGGGCGAATAATGGGAAAGGAGGGGGAGGGGGAGGGGGAGGGGGAAAAGGGGGAAGCGAGGGCGTGCCGTTGCTCATCACGCCGCTCATGTATGCGGGGCTGATGCCCGATGGCCGGTTCGTGAAGCAGTATATTGCGGGGTTGGATGGGGAGGCGTCGTTTCATGACTTTGACCCTAATGATGAGGGAGAGGGGCAGGGTGATGGTGGTGGTGATGATGATGAGTGACGAACCGAGGGGCTCGGAGTTACTGGGGTCTTGCCTTTTTGCCTTTCTTTGGTTTCCTTTCTGTCAAATGGGCGGCGGTGGTTTCAGGTTGCTAAGTCAAGCCGGGGTTTTTCGTTTATTCTCGCTTTTTTTGGTCATTTTCGGCGGCATAGCAGGCGATAGGTATCAAGGGCTCGGGTGCCTGGATCTTAATCACGTAGCGTTGATCTCTTCATAGATTGACATGGCGAGAGGCTACCATACCAGTTCAGTCATTTACTAATTCTACGATTTCCGATGAGTGGCTTGTTCCTCTATTGGTAGCGCATGATATGGTGTTTGTAGAGTGGTTGGGCCTTTGTGCGGTGGTTCTTTGCTGGTTGTGACCGATACGTTCAATCGCCATGACCACTACCCTCAGTGTCCACGTTCGTCCTTTGCTCATGTCTGATCCGGTATGCAGGATTGGACAGCGTCTTCTCCTCTCCTCTAGTTCATCTAAACCGGATATGCAAGGACAGGCAGACTGGCGCCAAAGCAACTGCCGATCCAACCGAACTGTCACCACCGGAGGACCTTCACTAGTGTCGGGTCCATCTGAACTGCCATCACACCCTATTCCGCAACTTCCATCGTGCCTGTGGTTCTTGGCTTCTTGGCACCTGTATTATCCCCTCATAAACCCATGGTGTCGCGTCCAAAGCAGACCTCATAATGGCAGGGTTATTAACAATGTTCTTTGAATTACAAACCCCGGCTATTCTCCTCCTATCAACTCCCAGATTTGGATTGGTGCCCGGTGCCCGCAGGCGGACGGCCGACCCAGACCAAATGCAACCTTCTCATCTTCTCCCCCAGCGGTTGAATAAGGTTATAAGTGCCCACAGCGGGTAATTGTATGCGTGTAGCGTGGTATCACTGAACAGTACCATGTGATGCTGGATTGGTGATGCTTTGTCAAGCTCCGTACGTTCTGTTCTCATCAGGATGATCATGTCAGAAGCGGAAGGTCGGGTAGCAGGGGCCATACGTGCCCTAGTCAACCATTACACCCCTACTGTGTATATACTTCAGAGCTTAGTAATTAGGTAGGTCGTATCGTACCTTGCTATCTGCTTAATGGGCAAAAGAACATGCAGGCTTCCAGTACTACTACCTCTTCTCGTTAAAGGGGCCAGCAGAAAGGGCGGCTTGGCATCCCGGCAGCTCTGTTGCCTTCTTCTTCGGCAACTCTCCGAGCCAGCGTTAGGCTCCGCTTAGGTTGATTACCTCCCACCCCTTTCGGATGAGATCCGGTGTCTGCCTCCGGTCTTGGTGGGACTTGCGTAACGGTCGTGGAGTAAAGGTCGTCTAAGGATGGTCTAAACCGAGCTGGTCTACTTTATCATCCGCGTTTATCATGATACTAGGTTCTTAGAGTTTAGCCTGACGGAGGGGGTTAACCGGTCTAGTTCAAAAGACCATCCGTCCCTCGCATCTCCATCTCTCCTTTGTGCTGCAACTCTTGTGAACACCGCATATCTCGCCAGCATGAGATTCTTCCCCAAGGCCGGGCAAAGCGGTGCTCTGGGCACGCTCCTGTCTCTCGCCCTCCTAACCCAAAGTCATTTTGCCACGGCGCAGACCGCACCCAAGGATGGCGCCGTGTACGACTACATTGTGGTGGGAAGCGGGCCGGGCGGCGCCGTGCTGGCCGTCAACCTCGCCAAGGCAGGCTACTCAGTGCTGATCCTCGAAGCGGGCGATGACAACCCGGGCCAGGGCTTCGGGCGGTACACGCCCACCGTAACATGGGATTTCTACGTCAAGCACTACCCGGAGGGCGACCCCCGCGACAACCAGTACAGCCATCTGACCTGGCTAACCCCCGACGGCAAATACTGGGTTGGCCAGAGCGGCGCGCCTGCCGGATCCAAACTCCTGGGCGTCTACTACCCGCGCGGCGCCACCCTCGGAGGCTCGTCAATGATCAACGCCATGGTCTGCTGGCTGCCGAGCGACAGCGACTGGGACTACCACGCCGCCGTCACGGGCGACGACAGCTGGCGGGCCGAGAACATGCACAAGATCTTCACCAAGATCGAGAAGAACAACTACCTGACCCGCGGAACGGCCAACCACGGCTTCGACGGCTTCTTCCAGACGCAGATGGGCGCCATGACGCAGTCGAAGCAGCAGGGGCCGCTGCAGGGCAACAAGGTCATGGCCGCGTACGCGCAGGATTGGAACCTGACCACCGGCGGCGGTGGCGGGGCCGGCATGTCCATGGCCAACCTGCTGATCCGCGACCCCAACGAGATCTCCCCGTCGCGCGACCGCACCTCCAGCATCTACGGGCTGGTCAACCACCAGTACGCCAACGGCAACCGCTACTCGGCGCGCGACTACATCCAGGACGCCGTGCGCGCGGGAACAACAGCCGCCAATCTGACCGTCTCGCTGACCTCGCTGGCGACCAAAGTCCTGTTCGACATTTCTACTCCTGGCTCCTCCTCCTCCTCCTCCAAATGTTCCTCCGGCGGCAGCACCCCGCGCGCCACAGGCGTGGAATTCCTCTTCGGCAAATCCCTCTACAAAGGCGACTCGCGCAGCCGCGCCACCACCAACCCACCACGCAAACTGACCGCGCTGGCCCGGCGCGAGGTCATCCTCTCGGGAGGCGCCTTCAACTCGCCGCAGCTGCTGCAACTCTCGGGGATCGGCAACGCAACCGAGCTGTCTAAACTCAACATTTCTGTCATAAAGGACCTGCCCGGCGTGGGCCGCGGCCTGATGGACAACCAGGAGATGCCCATCGTCGGGACGGGCCAGGGCGGGAGCGGCATGGCCGGCGTGGCCATGTACACCACCAAGAGCACCGCTGCGCGAGGAGGAGGAGGCGGGGAGGAGAGGGAGAGGGATATGTTCCTCATGGGCGGGCAGGGCTTCCTGTTCCGGGGGTTCTGGCCCGATAATCCGGTGCGAGTGCCCGCTGAGCCGCGGCAGCCTGTTTATGGCGTGAGTATGGTGAAAGGGCGGAGCAGGAATGATAAAGGATGGGTGAGGATCCGGTCGGCGGATCCGACGGAGACGCCCGAGATCAACTTCAACCATTATGCGGCCGGAGAGGAGTATGATTTGCAGGCGATGAAGGACACGGTCGCGTGGATCCGGCGGGTGTATGCGCGCGTGGGCATCACCACCGTCGAGCCGCCGTGTGTGAGCGGGGTGGATGCCGAGGGGTATTGTGGCAGGGAGGATGAGGAGTGGATTTACAAGCAGACTTTTGGGCATCACCCGACATCGAGCAACAAGATTGGGGGCGACGGCGATCCCATGGCGGTGCTTGATTCCAAGTTCCGGGTTAGGGGTGTTGCTGGGCTGCGCGTGGTCGATGCGAGCGCGTTTGCGCGGATCCCGGGTGTGTTTCCGGCCGTAGCGACGTTTATGATTTCGCAGAAAGCGAGCGATGATATGTTGGCTGAGTTGAGGAATGGGACGGCGTTGAAGCCGTGCTGAGGGGGAGGGGATGAGTTTTGATCGAGATTTGCTTTGTTGGGCTGCTTGCAGTTTGGTGTGGCACCTTATCAGGTGCAATGAGGAGCGTGCTCAGTCATCGAAGGCCGTGTGGTGTAGTGGTAGCATACTTGCTTTGGGTTGCCAAACTTGCAAGTGGTCCCAGGTTCAAGCCCTGGCTCGGCCCTGAATTTTTCTCCCCTTTTTTTCGCGTCACAATATCGCGGCATAGATGCCCTTTTTTATTTTATTTTTCAGTTTGTTTCTTATAGTATCACGTTCGTATTCATTCCGCGCTTCAAGGTAGGGACTATCGGCCGAACTTAGTAAGATTATTTCCAAAAGCGAAGCAATGCAGGGAGAGGACAGAAGAATGAGAACATCCCGAGTCCAACTACTCCGTACTTACATAGCAAACCACCCTCAACCAGACAATCTGAAGAATGCGCACTCGGCGTTGGCTTCGGCATCGCATATGTGGTTCTTGAATACCGTCCGGGCATTACCTGGTGCATCAGAGGTTAGGACTTAGCAGACATCTACTAAGGGACAATGTTGAAGCAATTGAGTGCTTACATGAACCCTATCCTCATCTAGGCAGTATATGTTGCCACTACCCCCCGTAACAAGCTTTGCCATGCTATCTATGACCATACTATGATGTTAGTGGTAGTTCGGGCATAGGGCACCTTGCTCTCTTTATGGGATTGGGCATTTTCCTCCCTGTGGCTAAAGAATCTTTGACCTTGGAGGTTAAACACATCAATTTTCACTTGAAGGCAACCATTTCATCAAGTCACCGAGCTCTTTTTTTCAAACCCTTCACCCTGCTAGCTGAAATCCACCAAGTTATCAAACACCAAACACCTCGTTCGCCGCGGCCGTCAGCGCCTGCGCAGCAACGCGATACAGCAGCGGCCCAACACTGACCCGCGCTGCACCCAGTCTGGCGAGATCCGCACTAGTCAGCGCCTTGCTCTGCACCTGCGACGCTTTCCTCGGGTTGAGATTCACCCTCCCCTCCAACGCATCCACCACACGCTTCAGATCCTCCTCCCGCACATCCTTGTCCAACGGCCAGAACACAAACACCGTCGTCGCCCCAGCCTCAAGGTACCTCTTCCCCCTCCGAATCGACTCATCCAACTCACCACCCACCAAAAAGCTATCCGACCTCGCATTAACCACAAAATCCGGCACGCCAACTTCCCTCGCGACCTCCAAGGCCCTCTTCACCCGCTCAACCGCCTCCTCCTCGCCCACCATCCGCCCATCCTCATGATGCGAATCCTCCAAATTCACACCCACAGCCCCCAACTCGACAATAACCCTCCGAACAGTCTCAGCCAGCCGATCACCATACCCGTCCTGGATGTCCACAGTAAAGGGCAAGCCAAACTCGTGCGCCACGGCCGCGATGGGCGCCAGCAGACGCAGGTTCTGGTCCAGCGTCAGCTGCTCGTCTTCGATGCCGATCGTCTTGGCGAGCGCGTAGCTCGCCGAGGCGAGGGCGCGGCATTGCGGGAGCGAGGCGACGATTCGTGCCGAAGTGGCGTCGTGCACGTTGGCGAGCACCAGGGGTGTGCCGGGCACGTGGAGGGCTTTGAAGGCCTTTGCGCGGGCCGCCAGGGTTGGGAGGGTTGGGGTCGTCATCGTGGGGGGGAGGGGGGGGGTTTGAACTTCAAAGGGGAGTATAGTGATGGGGGTGGATGAGGGAGATTTACTGGGTTCGGATAGGCAGATGAGACGAGGATTTTGCGTTTGAGACGAGTAGAGTAAACTCCGTTGAGACATGGGAAAATTAGGTGATGGGGTGGTTTAGGTTCGGCTCCTTGGCTTTATACCTGGCGAGTTCGCGGCGGAAGTCCGAAGGAAACCCGTCTTCAGCCGACGCCGGCCGGAGTCCGCGTGCTCTGCTTACCCGATTGAACGCTCCGCTTTCGGTGATTTTTGAAGCGAGTCCTGCATGTGCAAGGTACCTAATATTTCTGTTGTTGACTCATTGACGGAAGGCATTGGGTGGTCCGCATAGGAAGACGGATCACTCGCATGCCCAGAGTGTAACCTTGTGTTACCCCTTTTAGCTGAACGAAGCTCGCATTCCTAATAGCGTTGTCTGCTGACGAAGATCCCACAATACCTTGGTCGGCCATGGGGACTGCGGCTAGTCTTTTACGAGGCGTATCATTCAAGAAGACTTTAATAGCTCAGAGACACACCAACTCAGTGAACAAGGTTGCCAAAGGTAGTATTCGTGGTCTAGCGCAGCAGGATAGAAATCCAATAACGTATCTTATAAGCGAGCGGGACATATAAGCGAGCGGGACATATAAGCGAGCGGGACATATAAGCGAGCGGGACACTAAGTTCTTGGCACGACACGTCCTTCTTCATCCACCTCCAACAACGCGTTTTTCCTACAACCAAAGATGTCTTCCACTTCAAAGGAAGCTAGGGTAACCTTGGCCCTCAAAGCTCTTGAAAATGATACGAAACTAAGCCTCCGAGCCGCGGCCAAGCTCTATAACGTGCCAGTTTCAACCCTCGGCTACCGACGTACCGGCCGGCCTATACGACGCGATCTTCCAGCCAACTCACAGAAGCTTACCGATCTAGAAGAGAAGGCTATAGTCTAGTATATAACTGAGCTATCTGAGCGAGCTTTTCCACCAAGGCTACGTGGTATAGAAGATATGGCCAACCAAGTGCTATGCGTACGTAATACGCCCCCTGTTGGCAAGCTCTGGGCTTATAACTTCGTTAAACGCCAGCCCGCTCTCCGTACGCGTTGGTCACGTCGATACGACTACCAGAGAGCCAAGTGCAAGGACCCAGAGGTTATTGGCGAGTGGTTCGCGCTCGTACAGAATGTTAAGGCCAAGTATGGCATTGTGGATGACGATATCTATAACTTCGACGAGACTGGGTTTATAATGGGTATCATCTTCCCAGGCATAGTAGTTACGACCTCTGATAGCCGTAGCAAGGCAAAGCTAGCCCAGCCTGGTAACCGCAAGTGGGCTACGGTAATCCAGGGAGTCAATGCCCTCGGCTGGGCTATCCCACCCTTTATTATCTTGGCCGCGCAATACCATCTCGCCAACTGGTATTAAGAGTACAACCTCCCGGCCGACTGGCGTATCGCGACCACCGAGAACGGCTGGACCACCAATGCCGTAGGCCTCGATTGGATCAAGCACTTTAACTTCCATATAGCACCCTATATAAAGGGCAAATATCGGTTATTGATCATCGACGGCTATAAGAGCCACTATTCGACCGAATTCGAGCTCTATTGCCAGGAGCATTACATCATCATACTCTATATGCCTCCGCATTCCTCCCACCTCCTCCAGCCACTCGATATTGGCTGCTTTAGGCCGCTAAAGCAGGCGTACGGTCGCCAGGTCGAGGACTTGATACATATGTATATCAACTACATAAGCAAGCTCGAGTTCCTCTACGCCTTCCGCAAGGCCTTCTTCGCCTCTATAACAGAGAAGAATATATAGGGTAGCTTTATAGGTGCTGGCCTTATGCCGTACAATCTAGAGAGGGTACTTTCTAAGCTGGATATCAAGCTTCGTATACTAATACCCCTAACCTTACAGCCTAGCACTGCATAGTCTTAGGTCTTCCAGATACCATATAACTCCCGGGAAGCTAATGCACAGTCTATACTTATCAAGACTTGTATTGCCAACCATCAAAATAACTCCCTAACCTCGATGTTGGCTGCTGTGGACCAGTTGGCCAAGGGTATAATGGCTGTAATGCACCAGATGGCTCTTCTTTGCGCCGAGGTCTCTTTACTCCGCAAGGCCAACGAGGCACTCAGCAAGCGCCGGAGAGCCAAAAGAACACGCGTACAGCTTGGAGGATCGCTTGCAGTACAAGATGCAAAGGATCTACTGGACTAGAAGGCCGTGGTTGGGGAGATAGCGCAAGAAAAGGAGCCGGATAGTGGTGGTGCAGGGGGGGCTCGTACAAAGGTTCGGTGCTGTGGTGTGTGCGGCAAGCCTGGCCATAATGCCCGTACGTGCCAGGAGGTTGTAGAAGGGTCTGATTCAGCTGTTTCTGATGTAATTGTAGTTGGTTAATGGTCTTATTGTATTGCAATTGAGGATGGTTGTTGTAGAGTGGTGGAGAGTGTCCCGCTCGCTTATATGTCCCGCTCGCTTATAAGATACGTTACATGAAGCAAGGAAAATGGCTTCAACACAGAAAATAAAGGAAAAAATAACTCCAAGTAATGCAACACCCGCTCCAGCAGTACTTGTACATGACTCCAGATGATGTTGGCACAGTACAAAGTGTTACAGTAGCATGCTCATCCCCAAACGCCTCCCCATTCCCCAACCCAAGCGAGCTCAAGCAGCCAAAGCCGCGAGCACACAGCCTGGGATGCCCCTTCCCTGAACGATATACTTTCAAACCCTAGGTGTGCCGGACCATCAAAGAGGGCCAGTCCGATCGCAGCACGCAGCCGCATAGCCGGCCGAGATCCAGGGGCAGTCGGGGATCTCATGTGGCGGACCTGCTACGAGCCGTCATGGCCCAGCACAACCCAGGGGTCGACGCCGCCCTCCTCTTCCACCGCTTCCTCCAGCATGCCTGGTACTCCCACCGCTGGCGCCTTCTCGTTCGTCCCATTACATCCGTCGACGATTGCCCATGCCGATGCATCGTCATTTCCAGCACAATCAGAGAGCTGAGAAACATAGGCCGAATCAAGAAAATCCTCCGCTGACGCGGCTGAAGCGGCGTCGTCAGCCAGCTCGTAAATGGGCGTCAACATCGGGGGCTCATGCACGATGGATGCAGCAGCAGCCCGAAGATCCGCCGCTTCTTCTCGCTGAAAACCCGACATCAACCAGCCAGCCAACGCCTCATCTTTTGTAAACGCCCCAAACGCCAAATCCACAGAGCAAAGCGAAACGAAACCCGATTCGGCTCGCCTAGCCCGCTTGCGCGGCCGCACACGAACCGAATAAGCCGGCTCTCCCGCGCAGTCCCGAACAATGCGATCCAGCGAGAACCCGGCCCCGCGCTCATACTCGTTGTCGTAGAGCAAGCCCATGCAATAGAGGTCCGCAATCTCCCTCGCCTCTTCATCCCCTCCCCTGCTTTGGTGCTCCGCCATCTCATTGGGACTCAGTAGGTGCTCGTCATAGGAGTCATGATGATGACGAGAGTGTCTCGACTTGGCCGTCCGCTCATCGCGGAACGCGTCCTGTCTCTCCAGCGACGGGGGGCGGCCCCGCCTCGGGGAGACGGAGGTACTACTCCTCCTCCTCCTCCTCCTGCCACTGCTGCTGCTGCTGGACTGGGACCATTGCGGCTCGGTGAAGCTCAAGGTGTTGGTGTTGTTGTCGCTGGGTAGTTGCACGTCCGATCGCGCCAGCGCATAGCCCTCGGCTGCATCGCAGTTCCAGAGTTGCTGGGATCTCGCCCGGCGGATTTGGCCCGAGGTACGTTCCTGTTGGGAGCGGGTGAGGAGACGGCGCCGTTTGCGTTGGGGGCCGTTGGCATCTTGTTGGCCGGTCCGGTTCGGAGGACGGGCGGTGCGGAGGGGCGGCCGGTTTCCCATTGGGGACTGATACGAGAACGGCTCCGAGGTGGAGTATGTTTCCGTCTCGGGCTCCAAGGCCCGCCCGGGCGCTGGCTCGGGGCGGTGAGAAGGGAACGGAGAGGAGTGTTTCCGCAAGCGGAGGCCCATGGCGGGGATTTTATCGAAAAAGGTCACCCGGGAAACTTAGTTTAGCTGGCCTTTTCTTTGTTGTTCTTCTGGTTTCTTTTCGTTCTCATCAGTTTTGGTGACTCGGTGACGCGTCAAAAAAGCACGGTTGTGCGTGCCTGCTGCTAGCGCAGATGAGAAGTGGCCGATGACCCGAATACAATGTAAAGAGGCCAGCGGGAACGGGAGACAACGACCTTGTCTTATTATACAAAGGGCGCATTCTGTCATGCATTAGCCGCGTTATTGGCCTCTTCCGCAACGGCGCTGCAGTCATTGTGAGGCGGATGCGCCGGCGAAGTCGATTGGGCAACGCTTCGAGTGGGGGTGTTGGTGGGTTGAAATCGGGCGCCATTGGTGCGTCGACGAGCTGTGAGTCACGGTCATGCTCTCGGGCGGCCCGAGGTGGTGGCAGCGCCAGGCAGTTGCTGCGCTAATGGCTTAGCGCCCCTTCCACCCCTGTCGGGTACCTCAAGGCAGATCGCGCACAACGGACCATCATCTGACCTACAAAAAGGCAGTCATTGGAACTTTGCGAACCTGTCGCTGATTGAGGCCTCACGTTACGCAAAGCCGCGTTTTCACTAATGGGTGAGGACAGTGGCCATGTTAGGTGGAAGGACCGCCAAGGACCGTTGGTTGGCATGTGCCACCCACTGGGGTGAGCTCAGGTACGATTTCTTCCATGTGGTCTAGGTTGGAACGCTTCAAAACGTCCATCAGTCAACCGACCTAGAACAATGAACATTTATCATCACTTGGGCCTGGGGCGCCTACTTTTTGTTCGATCAATCAATTCATCATATCATCTATCCAAGCACCGGTCCTTTTCTGTAGTACCTGGCTGGACGGGCGCTGGGTGGAGTCCATCCCAGAAACTTCAAGCAACACCTGAGTTACACCTCATCTTTGCCATCAGCCAGGCAGAGCAATCGTCGCCACGACCACCTGGACGCCCACCGACTGGCCTATACCAATCGCCCTTTTCTTATTTCATAGGTCTCGCCACAGTCTTACACTCAGCTTCATGTTTAAACAACCTAGGAAATCCAAGGTCCCAGCTTGCCTAGGAGTCTCAGTCTGAAACCGGTCTGCCCAGGGCCGCAGGCTACGCCGGCACATAGCCCGGGCATTCTTTTGGCAATCTTAACAAAGGTGCAGCTAAGCCTTATGAGCCTGTAACCAGTAGTACCAGCCTCGACCAATCTCGTCGTCAACCTTGGCTGCAAATCTGATCCTCCCGGCTTGTGGTTCCGACCGATTGGGTCCCCAATCGTCCGGAGAGTCGGAGATTAGCTCGGTCCACGGCGGTGCCCGTTTTATCGTGGCAATCGCGACTATGCTAAAAAAAGAAAAAAAAAAAAAAGAAAACCTCCGTATCTACCGCCCGACTCACCGACTTTGGTGGTACTATCAGGGTCTGGCTGAGCCGGCCGTCGTCCTCACCGTAAGTTGTAACTATCGGCAGACGGTGGGCGAACGAGACGCATGGGGATGGGTAAGGCCGGAGGCGCCCACAAAAGACTTGACAGGCGCGGGGGAGGAGCCGAGATACCCCGAGAGAAATGGGAATCGTATATAGGAGTCGCGAGTACCTGGAAGAAGGGCCGATGCCAATGTGAAGGGAGCGGGATCCGCCGCAACCAGGGGGCACTATGAATGTGAATCTCAGACTCCAGTAATGCACCGCGGTTGGCTAAGTCAGAGCAGCTCAGTAGATGACGTAGTAGGGAAATAGAAGGCGATTATACCAGTATAAGGTATCCTAGGTCAGGTAGGTTTCTGGTAGGTATCTGTTTCTACAGATCACCCGGTTCGACTTATACAACGCACTTTTTTGATACTAATACTTAGTTGAGAACTTGAGCGTGCTAAACCAGAGCCATTACTTGAGTAGCGCCTTGAGCTGCCGTCTTGAGTTGTAAACAATGTCCCGGCATCGGTGCAATGCTATAGAAGTAAGAACAAGGTTGTGTCCAAGTCGATTGACCCCACTATCGTGGACATGTTACAAGAGTGACAAGATTAGCATCCAAGGCCGCCATCCCTCACGCTCGATCTCTATCCTTTGTTAACACTAGCTCGAAGAGTTGCTACTAAGGAATGAGTTGACTGTTTCAGCAGTGCGTCATACATTGGTTGTCATTGTCATCCATCAATCAACTACCAATTTCATTTGGGTGCCGAGTTCTGATTTCCTGGTTCTCTCGGGTCTGCCCTGAAACCTGGTCGGCGTGGATAACTTAGTAGTTCAAAAATACTCTATACATCCGTGCCAGCGTCACTGGCGAGATGTCTCTACTCTCCACCGCATCCTTTTCAATCCTCGTAGATCCTCTATGTTTCACATATGTGTAGTCGTTCCATATTCCTTTGAAGGGGCAGTTGTGATCGCTGATTCGTCTCTGGGCCACGGACCCAAATCCCATGCAAAATCTTGCCTTTCGCACAACTGCAATTGATGACTCAGCGAGCACGAACCAGCGCCTCGCCCGAAGTTTTGCCGGCCAAAAACCCGTTCGCGTTCCCAGAGTGGGGCCGGCTCCGTAACAACTCTGAACGGCGCCGGCGACGGAGGCCGGAAGGCGTCGCCCAATCTACTTGGTTCACAGCCTATCCGGTCCCTCAGCTCGCACCCCGCGCAATCGCGATGGCGATATATTTTAGGCGCTAGGATCCTGTTTCTGGTTCGGGGACCCGAACCAACTATGCCCAACCCCCGAGCCTCGATATACTAGCGTTGCTAATCTTACTAGCCTAGCTCGCTTATAACCTTTATCTATATTATTCGTAGATAGAAGGCTAAAGACTAATAAGGTAGATTTCCTACTGCCTATCAATAGCGTTGCCCACTCTACTATTCTCATACTATTTCCCCTCCTCAATTCGGCAAGCCTTATAATAGCCTAAGCGATATAGATAGACACCTTAGATTTGGATATCAGTTATAATTCGCTTCGCGATCTTCTACAATGTCTGTAACTTAGTAATACTGACTATATCGATATCTCCTAAAAGGAGAGCTTCCTTAATGAGCCTCTTTTCCTACTTATATATACTGACTTCTAGGCGATTTAATATTAGTGCCTCTATATAATAAATAGCTGGAAAGACATCCGCCCTTATTCTCTTTACGTTAAAGCTAGAGCCTGGCTAGATAGTATATTACTTTCTAATATATACTGCTGCTAGATATTAATTGATATATTTCTATAGATAGCTTATTAAGTGCCTTATATAACTGTATTATAAGCTATTTAGGACCTATTTTTAAAAATAACTACTAGATAGCTATTATAAGAACTAATCTTACTACTACAGCCTTTATACCGATAGTAGTATACTGAGATAAGACGCTCTTTAACGAGCTATATAATATAATCGTTATATAGGACGAAGATACCTCTATTAAGGTATCGGAAACATAAATTATAAAGTTCTAGAAATGAAGAGATATTGCTAAGTGTGACGGCAAGTGCGGCCTGCAGGGTGCTTGCCGTCAGGGAAGATATAATCCACCGAGTCGCAAGTATGAGGGACTTGCGATTCCGATATCCTTTTCGGAAGGTGTGCATAGCCGAGTGGGTTAGGTTTATGCTCCACCGTCACAGGCCTCTATAACCTCTAATGATTCTAAGGGTTTGCTAACTTCTACCAATGATTTATCAAGGACTTTTCATCTATTTGCCACCTGCTAAATAATCTCTTGAAAAAGAATACTATATAGAAATGGTTATATATATATATATATATATATAATGAAGTATTCGAAGCGCTTAAGATAGCTTTCGTCACTATATTAGTCTTTGCTATATTCGATTACAGCTGTAAGATAGTATTAGAAACTAATACCTCAAACTAAGCGTTAGGATGTATACTCTTATAAATTGACAATAAAGGTATACTATGACTTATCGTATACTTCTCAGCGAAATATAGCGCTATAGAATATAATTACGAAATTTACGATAAGGAACTCCTTATAATTGTTAAGTGCCTAGAAGAATGGCGACCAGAACTCTAGGGAACCTAGGAGCTATTCGATATCCTTACAGACTTTAAAAACCTAGAATACTTTACCACGATAAAAGCGCTCAATCAATAAGAAACAATCAGCGCCGCGGTGGACGACCGGGCCCCCGAGGAGTTGGGTGAGAAGTTGAATTGCAACGGCCTGACCGGCCTCGATACGATGTGTTACTGACCTCGACGCAGCCGCTCGAGAACGACCGCTGGCGGACACCCAAGTCGCGCTACGCGTCCAACTCGACGTACATCTCCGAGGACCCCCGGCTGCGGCCCGAGTACTTCGATTCGGACCTGGTCATCGACGAGAACATCAAGCAGCAGCTGCTCGACGGCGGCATGGACGACCGGCTGGCGACGCACTTTGCACACCTCTTCATCCGCGACCCCATCGTCATCTTCTCCGAGGACCTCAAGGAGCTGGACCTGACCAAGACGGACCACTTCGAAAACATCCGAAGCACCAACTGGCAGCACATGCGGTTCAAGCCGCCGGCGGCCGACAACAGCATCGGGTGGTGGGTCGAGTTCCGGCCGATGGAGATCCAGATCACCGACCCTGAGAACGCCGCCTTCGCCGTCTTTCATCGTGCTCATCACGCGCGTCATTCTCAGCTACAACCTCAACTTCTACATCACCATCAAGAAGGTCGACGAGAACATGCAGACGGCCCACGCCCGCGCCCACCCCCTCCCTTCTCAACCACCCCGGCAGGACGAAGACGAAGAGGACGGGGACTTCTTTCCCGGCCTCATCCCCCTCGCCGAGAGCTACCTCGACTCGGTCAATGTCGACGTCGCCACCCGCTGCCGCCTCGCTACCTACCTCGAACAACAGACGCCGGCCAGGAGGAAAGCTGTGGCACAGCGCTTCCGTGTTTTAGCATCCGGGATCCGTCGGGTATCAGATGCAATATTCAGATGACAGAGGTCCAACAACAGACGCCGGCCAGGAGGAAAGTTGTGGCACAGCGCTTCCGTGTTTTAGCATTCGGGATCCGTCGGGTATCAGATGCAATATTCAGATGACAAAGGCCCAGCAACAGACGCCGGCCAGGAAAGTTGTGGCACAGCGCTTTCGTGTTTTAGCATCCGGGATCCGTCTGGTATCAAATACAATGTTCAGACAACAGAGGCCGAACAACAGACCGGGTAAGCTGGTGCCCGCGGGCCAGCCAGCCACGCCAGCCACCCCACCACCTCCCAGATGGAGGCAACTCCAAGAGGACTCCTGGACAGTTGGCGCAAGTTTTGAGTAGCCCAAGGAGCTCGAAGCAAAGTCTCGGCAAATTTGAGCCACCCGGCCTCATGGCCAACGCATGTTTCATACTGCGCCAATTTGTCGTGAAGCGAGGCGGTTTCTGCGAACCTACCCTGCCACAAAGGCCAACAGGAGTTCAACACGACGAGGCTCAGTGAGAAGATCTAAGAATAACATCTCGCCGAGCAGATGGGCGAGCTGGTGAGGGTGAAATAAGGATAAATAAGAACGGGAAGAGCAGCCTTCAACTCATCTTATCCTCATAGTATTCACTTCAAACTCATCAGCTTCTCTTACTCGAATCCTCTCGACAATATACAAGCCGGCCTTACAAACCACCCTCTCCATTTTCAGTTTCAATACCTACCCAGCGTACCCACCATGTGTACCGAGCGTACCATCGTGTGCCGTCTCACCGGGAAACAGAAGACTAAGTTTCAGACGTGCAGAGACAAGTAAGAAGACAGATAAATATTTCTCTTTCCCTCTCCTTTCTTACTCTCTCTCTACTTCTTACTCTCTCCACCCCCCGAACACCGTTTCCCTGACCCCATCACCATCCTCTCGGCGTTCCCCGCTGTCACCATGAACTGCGGCGGGTGGGGAGGGAATCAAGCCGTCATCAAACCATATCTAACACCATTCTCCCGCTCACAGGGCGGCCTACGGCGCCTGCGGCGGCGTCCGCAAGCCTAAGCCAAATTCTTGCGACGGCTGCAGCTGCCTGAGCAGCACCGACAGAATTATACATCCCCAGAGAAACGCGGCCGACACGGTCTTCTACAAGCGGTGCCGAGATGGCAAGTATGTGAGCCTCCTGGGCGAGGTCCTGCGCTGAACCAAGGGCCTCTATGGCCCTGGGCTCGTATTAGGGGGTGGTGGCTCGGGGCAGGCACGGTTTGGAGCCTTTGTTGATCGTTTGGGTTGTGTCGCGGCCACAGGAGGTGGCTGACAGGTGGCTGCCGAGCTCCAGGATGAGCTTGGTATCACTTGATGGGGCATGTGAGGATTTCCGATGTATTGAGTACGCTGGTTCGTCTACTTTCATTGGTTACAGGAGTTCTGCATTGTATGCTGTTACCTCCTACTCTATGCGCTCCCGAGCTCTCATCTATAGTGTGATGCAGTCGTTGCGGGAGAGGGTATCTTTTTCCTGATTTCAGTGGGCACTGCGATCCTTATATGGTAATTAACAGGTGCGAGCACCGCCCAAAGCACACGCACACCACCACCTTACTTCTGGTCAGAGTACCTGCGTGCCGGTGGTATATGGATCTTGGGGAGGAACGTGGGTCCTACGACCTTGGTCTTCATAGACGCGGAACGGCCTTAATAGGCACGGCAACGGCCTAGGAGCACCTACGGCCCTCTGGTCTGAGCAAGTAGGAAAAGACGGCGTAGAGTTGCGTGCCTAGGACCTGATTGAACAGGACCCGCGGTCTTCATGTATCTTTAGGATTGAAAAAGGGGTCCACGTCAGCTTGGCGGCGGGGCAGGTGACCCGCTTTGGGTGTGTTCGTCCTACTCGTGGCGCCCCCCCGCCCCCCCCACCTGCCCCGCTTTTCTTCGGACCAGCCAACGAACCGACCAGGCAGGTTGGTGGTGGACAGCCATACGGCCAGATCACCCTAATGGCCACCTTTTTCGACCTCTTCAACAAAACCACCATTTTTGAAACTCACACTCGAATTCAACGACCAACAAGATGGAGGCTCGTATCCAAGATGCCGTCGAATACATTGCTGAAAATCCGGATGCCCCAGTGGCTGCAGGTGCCCGAGAATTCGTCGTCCCGCGGGGCCGCCTGCGCCGCCGCCTCGCCGGCACTGGGCCCAGAACTGGCCGCCCACCAACGCATACCAAGTTGTCAGCTCCCGAAGAGGTCGCATTGTGCCGATATATTGATTGGCTTGACAATATCAACCTTGCGGTATGGCCAGCCTTCGTTACCGACGCAGCGAACCATATCTTGCGTTCGCGGGCCAGCCGGGCTGAGCAGGACCACCCACCAGTTGTTTGCCAGAAATGGACCTCCCGGTTCATCAAGCGCCATGGATACTTCAAGCAGTGGCAAGGGAAGCTCAACGCCAACCGCCAGAAGGCTGAACAGCCTGCTATTGTTGCTGAATACTTTGACAAGCTCCTGGCCGTCCTTAGGGATAAGGGGGTTAATCCTGAAGATATCTGGAACATAGATAAGACTGGCTTTCGCGTTGGGATAGGAAAGGACCAACTTATCATTACTAAACGTAAGCGGGCACACTACTTTGGCATCGCGGAGAACTGAGAGTCGGCAATAGCCATTGAAGCTATCTCTGCTGGAGGGAGGATGATCTCAGCCTTTATCATCTTGGCTTGCCAAGTCCACATGTCGCAATGGTACGAGTAACCCGAATTAGACCCTAAGATAGCGATCATTACGTCGGCAAGTGGCTACGGCACTTTGAAGAGCAGCCATTGAAGCACTGCCACGCAAAGGAGCTTGACATCCTGATCCGCGACGGCCTAGTCAATATCACGAAGATCGAGTTCCTTATTGTTATCCAGCAAGCCCGCAAGCAAGCCTTCAAAGAAGCCACCATCCGAGCTGCATTACATATGCGGCCAAGGAAGCCCGGAAATGGAGGTTGACTGGCCGGCTGGGCCCTGCCGAGGTTGTTGAAGAAGTGGGAAAGATACGGCTACTACGTAGAGGGCTGTAGATGGCTGGGACGTTGGCATCGCCAAGGGGTCAAAAAGGTGGCCATTAGGGTGATCTGGCCGTATGGCTGTCCACCACCCAACCTGCCTGGCGGTTCGTTGGCTGGTCCGAAAGCGGGGCAGGTGGGGGGTGGGGGGGCACGAGTAATTCCCAAGAGCCCGTCCCGTCCCGTCTCTGGCCTTCTCCCTCCCGCTTCGACTTCAACTCATCGGGCCAGAGTAAGAACCTAAACTCCTACCAGGTTTTTCTGCTTCCCTGTCAAGCAGATGGCAGCGCTGACAGGGCTGCCGGGCAGCCACTCTCTCCCGCCCTCGATGTTACAATGCGCAAAGATGACTGTGCCCTCGATAATTCACACTTGGACTTTGCAGGTTTGAGCCTGTGTCACCACCACGCGTCTTTGGACCTTCCGCTTGCCAGTGATGGCCATACAACGCGCTCCGATATCACGCCGTCAGATACTGTTGGAAGCCAGTGGAGCAGCACTTCCCTGAACCCCCTAACCCCTGATGCCCGCGCCAGCCAGTTCAACTCGTTCAAGTCAAGCAACCGGGACAGAGAACATGGCCAATTCCGGCCCAGTCAATCAACTTGTCCAAACCTATTAAATCGAGCCCAATTCACCGTGCCCTACGGAGAGCCAATATTCGTTAAACCCACACAAACTCTAACGCATGATAAGGATAACAGGGCTGCGGGATAATTGCAATAACGAGGGCGGCACCGTCGCCAAGGCAGGGCTTTTAACGGGGAGCTTCGTACCAGTACGCTAACTGGTCCAGTAACTGGCCCATGGCGATCCGTGATGCAGTTAACCGCCAAAACCAAATTCCGAGGCCAGGTATAGTACGTTGGTTAAAAAAGGATTGGGGGGGTCGAAAATGCTTGTCGGGTCTTGTGCAGGGGACACCGATCTCTGAGTCACAAGCACTTCCCCCTCTACGGAATACGTTCCTCAACCCCGCGCCAATCCCCAAACCCGAGCCCAGAGAGAGGCGCTGGACATTCTCACTTACCGCAAGCCTGCAGCAAAAACAACAAAAGACCCTCCGAAATGTCAACGCTGACGCTGGACGGCCTGGCAGCCTTGCTCTCTAGGATTGGAGCTGGCCCGATTCCTTCCATCGCCGGAGAACCTCCAGTGGCACACCCTCTCCATCGACCCATCGACATTTACCGGGCCTTCGTTGCGGATGTCCTGGCCCGACTCGCAGGTTGTGAGACGCATGTGGCATACGAGTCGCTCCAGATTCCCGGCACCCCAGCGAACGGGGACTTGGTGTTGCCAGTGCCTCGTCTGCGCATCAAGGGCAAGAAGCCCGCCGAACAATGCGCCGAGCTTGCGACTGCGTTTCCAGACAACCACCCGCTCTTCCAGAAACCCGTTGCCGCCGGCATCCACCTCCCTTTCTTCTTCACTCCGTTGTCCCTCCCGCGGCTCGTCCTTCCCTACATCTTCCAGCGCCAACAATCCTACGGCAATGATCCCGACGTCGGACTGCGCAACCATGCGGCCCCGGACCAGGGTCGCAAGAAGGTCATAGTGGAGTTCAGTTCCCCCAACATCGCCAAGGAATTCCATGCCGGACACCTCCGGAGCACCATCATCGGCGCCTTCATTGCCAACCTCTACGAGACGATGGGCTGGGACGTGGTCAAAGTGAATTACTTGGGCGACTGGGGAAAGCAGTTTGGCCTGTTGGCCGTCGGATGGCAACGTTTTGGATCCGAGGAGGAGCTGGCCCGTGAGCCGCTCAAGCACCTCCTCGACGTCTACGCGAGGATCAACGCAGTCTTCAAGCCAGAGCAAGAAGAAAGCAAAAAGGCCCGGGACGAGGGCCGTGACACAGCCGAGATCGAATCTCGGGGCTTGTTCGCGGAGCGCAATGCCTTCTTCAGCCGTATGGAGGCCGGCGACCAGGAGGCCATGGCACTGTGGCGCCGCTTCCGCGACATCAGCATCGACCGCTACATTGCAACCTACGGCCGGCTCAACATCGACTTTGACGAGTACTCTGGCGAATCTCAAGTCAACAAGGCCACTATTGAGCGGGTTGAGTCTGTTCTTCGAGAGAAAGGTATCTATGAACAGAACAAGGGCTCTTGGGTTATCGACTTCGAAAAGCACGGCTCCAAAGGCCTTGGTCTAGCCGTTGTCCGCGGTCGCACTGGTACTACGACCTACCTCCTCCGCGATGTCGCCGCTATCCTCGACCGCGCGGAGAAGTATGCCTTCGACAAGATGATCTACGTCGTCTCGACCGAACAAGACCTGTACTTCCGCCGCGTTTTCCGCACCGTTGAGCTCATGGGCCGCCCCGACCTCGCCGCACGCCTGCAACACGTGAATTTCGGCAAGGTCATGGGAATGTCCTCGCGTCTCGGGAATGTGCAGCTGCTGGGCGATATCCTGGACCAGTCGCGCGAGGCGATGCATGAGGTCATGCGCCGCAACGAGGTCAAGTACTCCCAAGTGGAAGACCCGGACGCCGTGGCGGAGAAGGTTGGCATCTCGGCGGTCATGGTCCAGGACATGTCCGGCAAGCGCATCAACAACTACCCCTTTGACATCGGCCGCATGACGTCCTTTGAGGGCGACACGGGCCCGTATCTACAGTACTGCCACGCGCGGCTCAACTCGATTCTGCGCAAGGCCGGCCTCACCAGACAAGACCTCGTCGACCATCTCGAGAACCATCCCGACAGCTTGGACGCGGATGTTCTCGGGGACAAGCCCCACGCGGCCGACCTGCTCCGGCTGATGGCGCAGTACCCGGACGTGACGGCCATGGCGCTCAAGACGCTGGAGCCGTCGACCATTCTGACGTACTTGTTCCGTTTGGCGCACCAGCTCTCGTCGTGTTATGACGTCCTGCAGGTTGTGGGCGCCGAAGGTGGCATGGACGTGGTGCGTGCGCGGGCGGCGCTGTATGAGGGGGCGAGGCAGGTGCTGGAGAGAGGGATGCGGTTGTTGGGGTTGAATCCCGTTGAGAGGTAAGATGTCTTTCTTGTTTCTTTGTGCCATTTACTGTGCTGTTATCGAGATTGTTGGGCGTAACTAACCGTTTCTCGCCAGGATGTGATATCCTTCGACTTGGGATAGCGGGATGGACTGCTTGGTGGCATTGGGCACGCACAACGGAGAGTATGGATCAGACAGGCCGCATAGCGCCCGGGAGAACGGTTGAGAACCAAGCAATTTCGGGAGAAGGCTGCATTCCATCTGACATCGACTTCAACCGCGCCGTGGTCCCAAACATGGCCGTGTTGAAGCTTATTATTGTTCGAGAGCACTCGCAGCTCCCTCGTAAAATGCTCAAGAAAGACGGCAGGGATTCCTCTGAGACCGTTATGGCTCACGGATTTTGTAACGTCTTGTTTCTTGGTGCCTGTCGTTTTTTTAGAACCTGTTTATTCGGGTTTTATTTCCCTCGAGAGCATTATAGATGGCAATCTACGGGTTACAATACGAGTCCGGTCTCCCCCTTTTGTTGGCGCGTTACTTTTAACGAGAACCAGAGTCGCAACTCCGAGGACTTGCCTCAACTTCGACGATCTCAGTATTAGTTTTATATGGCAAGAGCACAAATAACTAGATTGGTGAGTTTACCCAAAGCTTTTCTTAATTCGCTGGCCTTTTAGATTTTTGGAAGGCGTTGTTTGCCCGTTCAACTCGAGATATTGGCTAAGGATCGCCACTCTTCAGGCGCCGTGCCTACGAATAACCCAGATCGGGAGGAAGTATATAACCGGGGACGGGAATCGCACTTGGTTTCGTCCTGGGGCTGTCATTAGGATAGTGTTATAGAACGACGTTGATCCCGAGGAGACAAGCACGGAGATTCAACTTGTATGTTCTCTCACCTGCAATATTGTTTACCTCCGGAGAGGGGCGGGGGGGGGGAGGTTAATGACTTCACACTTCTGGGAGAAGTTTGAGTGATCATGCCTCAGCTCCCTGGCGGACGGGACGATCTGAGATTGTTATGCAGGAGCAGACCGACAACTGTTTCATGTGGTCATGAGAGGGAGCGTCTCTGCCTATAGGAACGAAGTGCCGCTTGCGTTGTGAGTGTCGTACCGGTTGCTTAGCAGTCTCTCCAAAACCTCCATCCGAAAAACCTCGCCGACACCTGTACACAACAAACAAAAACAATCCCCTCTTACGCCACCAGCCCGGCGCCATGTTACACCCACCTCTCTCCTCCCCGTCATCCTCCCCGAGATACACATCCCCATCAGCATTGTAACCTCCCTCCCACCCCAAACACTCACGGACACGCCCATACAACAGTAACCCAAGCCAAGGCATGGATCCCCCGCCCGGAATAGGGGGTCCTTCCCCGATCGCCCAGCACGGGAAGGGAGGGCATGCAAGATCGAAGATCTGGGGTGACACAAGGTAGGGGGAGGGAACTCGGACATGAAGAGCAAGCAGGCATAGACAGGGTATAGACGGGTGAGGAAGAAGGCGGCCACGTCACTGGGCTGTAAATTGCCTTGCTTGCTTTGGCCTCGGCCAGTGACGAGTGGATATTGATGTCTTGCTTGGTCTTTGGTGTTTTCGGGGGCCGGAAGGGAGGTGGGTGGCGTGTTTGGTGGGGATTTTTGTGGGGGAGGAGGAGTGGGAGGGGGGGGGGGGGGTGGGGGGGGGGTTGGGATGGAGGAGATGGATTAGACGGGGAGGGAGGGGAGAGGGGTTGGGGGATGAGTTGGGCTTAATAGATTAGGGGTTTTTATTGTTGTTTTGAGAGGCGAGGAGGGAGTTATGTGTGGCATATATTGGATAGATGGGATGGGACACCCCTTGTGGTGTCACTTGCATAGATAGATCTGATACCCGATGAAGATGGACAGACGGAACAGGTTAATATTAGAAACAAGGTCAATTTCTTATCACATTAACCACAGCAGCCACTGATTCGTGAGTTGTTGCCCTCCTCTCTTCCCAGCAAGCCACGCCACCAACCAGCCACGCCAAAGCAACCACCGCCCTGCCATGCTTCATCTCCGCCTCCCAAACCGAAACTTGAGCTCGTCATTGCTCCCGTCGCTCTCCTTCTCACTCGCCGGCGCCCGGAACCCCCTCCTTGGTCTCTTGGCCGCCCGCTCCTGCGCCGCCGAGTCCGCTGCTGGCGCGGCCCGCTTGTTGCCAGACGACACTGCCTGGCTCTACGTCTGCGTCTGCGTCTGCGTCTGTGTCTGGGTCTGGGTCCGCGCACCGCGCTGCGAGTTGGCCTTCTCGGCTGCTTTGGCGGTGCGGCTGCGGGAGGGTTCCGTCTCGGGTATAATGCTGCCGCTGTCGGGTTGTAGCGCGCTGGCTTCGTCTTCCTCCTCTTTTTCTTCGTCGCTGCTGTCGAGGGCGAGCACCGTGCGGCGCATCGCAAGTTTTGCCTTAGCGCTTGCAGGCTTTCCGTATGACGACGACTGTTGGAGTTGGGTGGTTTGCGTCTGCGACGTTCGCAGCTGCTGCGGCTGCTGCTGTCCACGTCTTCGAGCCAGTAGTCGTCGCCGATGCCGTCCTCCTTGGGCTTGACCTCTTCAAGGGAGATGATAATGCGCGACGCGGCGCGGCGGCCGGCCTGCTCGCCCTGCGCGCGGAAGCGCTTAAAGTTCTTGCGCCCGTTCCACCGCGGATCCCAGCGCCCGTCGGCAATGTCCTGCTCCCGGCTGCGAGCGTGCGCGGTGCCGGCGGCAGGCACGCGTACCTCAAACTCTACGACGATGTGCAGCGCCCGAATCGCCGCGTAGTCGATCCCGTCGTCGGGCAGCTCCTCGAGTTCCTTGCGCTTGGCCCGCGGCGGGAGCCTCGGCTTCTTCCCGCTGCCGGCGGGTGAGCCCCAGGATGTCGTCCTCGACCTTAATCTTCTTGCCCTTACCCCTCGCTGCCTAGCCTCGCTTCGGCCTCCCCTCTAGTGCATCCGAGTCCATTTCTACGTCCTCGTCTGGTTGCGGCGTTGGCTCCGGCTCGAGCGGTGGCGGCACGGCTGGTTGTCCAGACTCGATATGCCAGCGCTTGGCTACTACTGCCGTCTGGGAATCGCAGCCATCAACGCTAGCGTATCGTGCTCCGGTGGCGGGGAATGCGCGCGCTTCCGCGATGTCCGGCCCACAGGACAGGTCTCGGGGACCTCCTCCTCGGGAGGAAAACTCGATTCGCGATACTGGGACACGAACATGCTGTCTTGCGACGCCCCGGCATCTGCGGATGTGTGAGTATCTCAACCGGCGGCGTCTCCACCAACAGTGTCTCTGTAGCGGGTTCCTCTGCATCATCAAAGTCGAAACCCTGGAATCGGCGTCGACTAGCTCTCCGACCCCTCCCCGCGCGAGGCGCGGGCGCGGATTCTTGTTCTTCGGGGGCTTGATGTCGGTCGATGTCCATGCGGTCGTCTCCCTGCGGTATGGCCGGTACAGGTTGGCTCGCCTCCTCGAGGGGCCGGCGCGGCATCGAGGCATTGCCGGCAAGGATGGCCTCGAGGAACTCGCGCTGGTCGATCGGCCGATAATCAAGGCGCTGGGCAAAGGAGGCGAGGAACTAGACGAACCAGTCCGAGTCTTACCTTTCGGCAAGTACCGGACAACGACCACTCCCTTGCCCTCGCTGCCATCCTCGAACGAGCCTAGTCCCTTCTCCCCAGCAACCCCCTTGACGTATCGAATGAAGTCGTCGGTGCGCAACGACCTCCTTAAGCAGAGCCTTGCCTTTTCCCGATATGATGGCGGGGAACAAGTTCTCATACTGCTTCTTATAGAATACGATTATATATCCGTCAAATACTTCCTATCTCCGATCATCGAGGGCGTACGCTTCTAGTAGCTGATCTCCAGGCTCCTCGCTACGTGGCGGTAGGTAGTCGAGGGCATTTGGCCACGAGGCTTCAAAGTTGTCTTCTAGCGCGCTGGGTGCGCCGTCGACGGCGTCGTCTAGGACAGTCGTTGCCTCCACGATATAGTGTATAAAGCTATCGGTGACAACGTATTTGCCGTTAATCAAGGCCTAGAGACCTCTAGACGTGTTGCGTTTCTTGGAGACGACGTAGGTGGTCTCGCTCGGGTAGTCAGCCGAGTATTTGATGTCGAGCTGTTCTAGGGTGTCGCGAAGCCTCTTCCAGGGGTCCGCGCGGAGCTCTTTAGCAGTGAAGGAGAAGCTGAGGACGACGGGGTGCCATCGTACTCTGCGCAAAGCCAAGATAAGTCAAGGGTGACGCCAAGTTGGGCGGACCGGAGCTAGAGACCTACCGAACGAGTTTCGGGCACATGCCCAGCTTCACTTCGTTCTCATCCTCTGAGAGTGTTTTCTTTTGCCCGCGTATTTGTTTCACCATTCACGAGTGTCCCATTCTTCGAGTCGAGGTCTTCGATGGTCAGTGGATCGCGAGCGGAGATTGCGCTGCGCGCTGTTAGCAAGTCGTATTCCGTAGCGCAGTAGGTTACTAGAACAAACGTACACCGCTGCCCTTCGCAACATTGTCGACTTGTATCGTAATATACTTCCTAGAGATAGTCTTATCCGAGATTACAAGCTGGCCGGCTATGGAGGAGATCGAGGCTTAGGATTCATGCGCAGTGCGTGTCAGGTACGAAGACATACGTTCGGCGGCAGTGCGCCCAAAGAGGTAGAGCTCCCTAGGCGTAGCCAGAGCTTCTGGCCTGCGTTGCGCTGTCAGTATATTGCACGGGTCGAGCAGCTTATCGCCGAGGCTGCCTGAAACACGACGCACCGTCAAACAAATCACTCTCAAGCAACTACATGGCTCCCGTGTCGAGTCAATTGCAGCGAGTCAAACATCGAACGCGCAACAGGGTCTATAAACCTAGGGCGCGCTACTACGGGGAAGGTGGTGGCAAGGCTCGGCGCAAGGAAAACGAGTGCTGAAGCCTGGCCGAAATCCAATGCCGGTTGCTAGGAAACCCTAACACACGTCATCGGAATTACGCCCTGGTACAAATATAGGAAATACAAATCGCAAGCGATTTGCCCAAAGAGCCTTGAGGAACGAAACTAGACTAGATCTAAGCTATTATAGGAAGGATAGGAAACTGAGAACTATTCTAACGATCCGGACTAGTCGTGTCTACTCCAAGTCTAGATCTTTTCTTGGAGGATGACGGCTGCGAGATGGCCACGTCGTGCTATCGGAAGTCAGGGAGGGAATTGATTCGAGTGACGGTTCAGCCGCAAGAGCGGTAGATAGAGAAGCTAGCGCGGACGGGGAGTGTGTAATGTCTTTCGCCGGCAGCAGACCAAGTCCATATCCTGTCGTCGCTAGTGTAGTTGAAGGAGAGTCTCCCAGGGAAGCTATGTTCATATTAGACGTGTTTGCAGTAGCAGATTCTAAGACGCGTGGTTTTTTTCGAGGACGTATTTGAAAGCGCTCGACCGCCCTAGCGAGCTGACCGTTTCAAAGGTGGTATTGTGTGGTCGGTGTCCACAACGCGAAGCCAAAAGCAGCAAAAACATACAGCACCGAGGATTCCCTAGTCGTCACTGCCCTGAGTACTGATCCGGCTGTCAGTAGTTTGACTAAGGGAGAGCGGACGGGATCCCGTATTTTCTACTGCATATGGCCGTATGTGCTTGACTTTGCTCGGGATGCGACTTATGAGAGAGCGGGGCAGAGGCTGGTGGTCGGTGACCACGCCAACCAGGGGCTTGGTCAGGAGAAGATACACGGGGAAAGAGGGCTACTTGTTCCATGATATTTCCAAAAGCGAGAGGCATCTTACCCACAGACCACAAGAGAAGCAGCGAGGTCTTGTGGTGGCGACGAAGGTCGATGAAACTCGACACCCAGAGAAACTCCAAACTGTCAAATACCATGTAAATAGTTAGAGGAGAGCAGCTAGTCTACCAGATCCATGTCCTCAACTGATTGTCAAGCTCGGACGTTTCAGAGTGTCTCGTAGAACATCAATGGACGGAAGATGGATCCCAATACCAACACGCGTCAAGAGCCCCCGCGGCAGCTGCAAGCCGAAAGAAAGCCAGTCGGTACGCAATCGTGCAGTTAGCGAGCCGGCCCCGAAATTGCGAAAGGTAGACGTCTCGGAAGTCCTGCAGGAGGGGCCAACACCCACTCCGGATTCAGGATCCCCATCGCAAGGTCACAATGCTCGAGGTGAAATGGCAAAATAAGAGCGCCAGCGGCGGGAACATGCCACGGCGAGGGCATGCCCCCCGCCGATACTACCATATCGTACCAACATACGGCGTGGAGAAGATCGCAAAGAACGAAACGCCAATAGGGAACCATGTTTAGAGGCACCATGCTCAACCCTTGGTGGCCCTGTTTACCATAACGACTGGCAAGCTAGGTTCGCGGCTGCGTTCGGTCCCTTGGCGGCCGCGACTTGTACATACAAGTACAGTAGTACACCAATGTACGCCGGCGGTGGCGGGGACGACGACGACGACGCCGAGGGTGACGAGTTGAACCGTCACCATCTCCTATATTTGAGACAGTTCGTTCGCTCAAGAAGTGCCGGGGAGTGTTCGCACTATACCACACACTCGTACACTTGCAAGACGGCAAGAGTTACCCATCTAATTACCCTCCAGCCACCCACCTCGTCAGACTCCCAACGACGCACTCTCAAATCCGTCCGCAGCCGAGCAGCATCACGCTACCAAACAGAATCAACAATCAAAAAGACCCAACGAAAGCCTTCGAAATGGACTACGACTCAGAGAGGGAGGATCAGCCCTGCCGCAAGGTCCTCAACGCGAGCTCTTCGGCACCCCGCTCAAGAAGCCTCCCCCGCGGCCGGCCTCGCCAAACGGGAGAAGACGCGGTGGGGGGTAGTGTGCGGGAATGGACTTCAGCCGGATAGGTAGATTATGTCGGTCGAGATGGCTGGCCACTCTCTGGATGGCGGCCGTAATCCCACTTTGCTGCTGCTCCCTAATTGAAGCGCGCTGCCGCGGCCAGCTCCGTTACTACCTTACAATACCAGCCCCTGGTTCGAGGGAGTGGTATAGTAATTATGGTTGGAGAGTGGGTGGTAGAATATGTGTGTGTATGGGCTGGCGGTTAGCACAAGCGCCGTTGTCGTTGCTGTGATACCGAAGGACGAAGTCTACCCTCGGCCAAGTTTTCCATCCCCTTGAAACCAAGGTGCCAAGGTCGTTATTGCCTTGTGGGCAATTCTGCCGAACAAATATTGATGTGATGAAGAGGTAAACAATGTGGACAAAATTGCCCAACCACGACACTTTCCCAGCCCGGCCTGGGTCTGAGCAGCGATAATCCCGAGGGAGCTAAATGTCCTCAGAACAGATCACCCGATGGATCTGGACGCATTTTGGACTATGTCGAACAAACAAAATGATACGATGGGGAGGTAAACGTTGAGAACAAAATTCCCAACTATGACGGCTTGTTCGAAATATGGGTGGGAGTTGAAAGGGGCGGGGAGGCTCTATCAAAGAATCTTGTCCAAGCGGCGTGGTTTTGGGAGTTGGACACAGCCGACTTTTCAGAGGAACAAGACGTGCTGTTGTTATTCTCACACTGGCTGTTTGATCTTGCTGATATGAATAACTTCCCTCGACGTGGAGTGCATGTGACATAGCCATCGAGGGCCGGTCCAGGCCACTCGGGATATGTGAGGAAAAGCACGTACTAGATACTAAGCTGATCACCTATTGGTTGTGCTATTGCTATAGGGCGACTCAAGCGACGGCTGTCGCGTGGTATTTATCAACAACAGCTCGCAACGCAATGTAATAGTTTAATTTATTTATTGGTGTCCTCTTGATCTATTGGGTATATTGAATATATTATCTAGTTAACTCACGAGTTCTTGTAAGTACCACGCGACTATGCCATTGTCGTCCCGACTTGGTATGCCCTAGAGAGCCATCTGCAGCCCGTATACCGTAGCCGACGACCGCTTGAGCCGGCTACCGACATATCCGACCGGCCATACTAGGACGCCGGCAATGGCCCGGCCGCTTGACTAGCTTGGTCCGGTTGTCGGTATAGCTTCGTTGCCTACCTACCCTTATACTTACTATACTATATCTCTATCCTAACTTACCTCTCTTAAGAAACTAAATACCTTACTAGCAATGTAGATTATAGAGGAGATAACGTAACTAGAGGCCGAGTACACGCGGTGGCTTTCTCTGCCGTCAGATTCTCAGGGGTGAGTTTTTGAGCAGCTTGATGCCGTGGAGTGCAATAGCGCATGCCACTCACCGGTGAACGTTTGGAATGCTAACACACGTCTTCACCCCAGCACACTCCCCAGCTTGCCTCAGGAGGTCAAGAACCAGATTTCCGCGTGCCTCGGCAACGACCGTCTCAGAAAGCTCGAGCGGGAGGCCCAGAGGAAGCTCAAGAAGAGGGCGGAGGAGGAGGAGGCCGCGCCCAGCGCCCAGCGCAGCGGCCACCGCAGGAAATAAGCCTAGCTTGCTTAGGAGAGCGAGGGGCTGGAACTCTCGACACTGGTGGAGGTAGGAGGCGGATGGCGGTGATAGAATGGAAGACCACGTGGATGGGTGTTCGTTGGCTTGCGATGCCCGCCTAGGTACCTAGGTAGGTAGGTACTTACTTGGATCTTGGAGTGGCATGAGGAGACGGGGTATAAAGGGGTATTATATGCAGGACATGTACTACTGCCTAGTTATGCGAAATATCCAAGACTGCCTTGATTTGGACCCACTCACTGCTTGTCGTTTTCTACACTTGCATGGTCCCGCCCTGAAAGTGGACGCTAGTGGATCCCGGCCCGGCACCCAGAGGGCACCAAAGAGGATCACAAGTCCACCTCGAAAGAAATAGGCAGCGACCACACGTAGCTGAAACAGGTGTGCCTTACAGCAGACCTTCCAGGATGGATACAGGGAGTGGCGGAAGGCAAGTCGAAGACTCGAAATGCATCTTGCCGGTCAGTTAGGTACCGTAGCGGGAAAACGTATGGGGCGGTAATCATAGCAGGGCCTCGGTAGGCTCTCTACCACAACAAGCCTTCCCATCACAGCTATCCTTCCCAACCTCCCTACCTCAAATGAGCACCAGAGCCAGACTAGACCTACCTTCACGATAATAAGAATATTAAGGATTCCTCGAGGAAAGAACGTTCAGATATCTTCCTGTACGAATGGCTAATTCGTAATGCTTCGTGCTTCATGTTCCTAAGTTCTTAGACTAAGGTAACTATACTTGTTCGATTCCCAAATTATAACTTTCCTTTCGCTTAACTGATCCGAGTCGTTATAATTGATTGAAAGGAAGTGTGGAAGCGAGGAATTGAACGGGGGACCTTAGGACTACGAGATTATAATTTACAAGTCTACGGCATTTACGATTACTAGTACACTATACTATAGTCACAGGGAGAAGGCACGCGTGTAAGGGTGGTGGAAGTCGCCGTCTATATTCCCTTGGCGCCGGCGAGGACGGCAGGAGCGAGCCTTACCGGGTAGGCTCTGTTCGGCTCTGTCAACCAGATTCTTAAGCCTGTTCTACGGAACAGACTGTTTTACCGTGAACAGAATAAGCATGCAGAGTAGGCTTAGTCTTACTCTATAAGACTATAGCCTAGTCAACATTATGTTGGTCCGAACAGTGTTGGTGATTTTCGACATGTTCGCTTAAACATACTGGCTTACGCCTGTTTCGGCCGGAGCAGGGACCAGCCTGCAATTTACAGACTTATGGATCCGTATAAACATCATGTTATTTGACAGGCCCCACCCTGGATGGAATTGTCAAGACGTTTCGCGCTAGGCTTCCTGCCCCCTATAGCACCCCGCTATAGGTACGGATATAGAAGTTTGAACTTTATACACCCCGACTACTACTAGGTTCAGGTTAAGGCGAAATGTATCTTGCCAATCCGGTTAATACGGATATAGAATTTTGAACTTTATACACACCGACTACTACCGGGTCTAGGTAAGTCGAAATGCATCTCGCCGGTTAGTTTGGTACCCGTGGACGCATGTAGAATATTGAACTTTATACACACCGACTAGGTAGGTTTCTAGGCAGATCGAGACCCAATAACTACAGGTACAATACAATACCCAACTAATATATAATCCGGCTCGGGGCACGCATATATCCTGCCTTTCGAACACAGACTCGCACACACACACAAACACACAGCCAGAGAACATACTACCCAAATACTCACATACACATCTCATCCCAGCCCTACTAGTCAACAACTTACTACTAGCCAACATGTCTCGATCCAGCGTCTCGCAGGGCGACTTGACCTTCCTCAGGGATACGCTTCTACAGATCAAGCAAAGAGAGGAGACGACGGCGGGAAACCTTACTCGGATGGAGGATCAACTCTCTAGGATGAACAAGAGCTGTAAGCCAGTCAATGGTGTTGAAAAGAAAAGAGAAAAAAGAAATCATCTGCTGACAGCACGGGGACTCTATTAGCCCCCGACCGACGGAACCTCGAGGTCAGGATTAACAACCTCCGACGCGAGCTTGCGGATTGGCCCCGTCACCGCGACGCCGCGATCCGGCAATGGGTTGCGCAGCATCCGCATGCTGCCATAGCGTGAGTTGAACCCCAGTTTTTGATTCAGTGGAGACGGGGGAGAGAGAGAGAGAGAGAGAGAGAGAGAGAGAGCGATTGGCTAACAAGGTGGTGTGTGTCTTCAAACTGTAGCGACATCGGCAATCTGCCTCGGGAGCTCTACGACCAGGTTGTTAGGTACCTGCCAGCCCCAGAGACGTACAGCACCACCCGTCTCAGGCAGGTCCAGAACGATGTTAAGAAGGCGAAGCGGTAAGCCTAGTTTGGGCGAACGAGGGTCTGGAACTCTCGAGACTGGCTTGAGTGATGGATTGGAAGGGAAGGCTACCTAGGTAGCTGGATCTCGGGTGGAGAGTAGGCGGGGCATAGAGGGCTATATGCAGGACATATACCTACTCTTTCTCCTACGTGCGTCCCATGTTTCCGTGCTCCAAATGGTGGCTTGTCCAATCCCCTCCGTGCTTACGGGTTCCTACAAGCGGTACTAGTAGCCCTGGACTTTCGACGGGAACCACAAACCCCTTCTCCTAATATGTGAACAACCCCAAGGGACCGGTCTGTTACCTGGAAAGGCAAGTGAAGGACGGTCTGTAGCTTTGCTTTGTGAGCACATGAAGATGTCCAGCGCAATGAGACTACTAAGTACTAGTAACTGATGAGCAAAACGAGAGGAAATAGGGTACACCGCTACCATGCCACATGCCAGAGACGTCGTCACCATTCCCCGCCTTGAACATGTACGGCACTCCTGCTTGTTCGAACGCCCAGCGGGTCCTACCTAATGCTCGAGGAAACCGCCTAGCATCATATGAGCTCTCCAAGAACTAGTAGTACCAACCCGCCTCGCCTGTGTCTCGGCGGATGTATGGTGCTGCTGCGATACCGGATCTCATAGGCTAAACTCCTGGTTATTTGGGAATTTCTGAACACGCGGTAGGCCGGGTCTGCCAGTTCTCGGGGGCCCTTGCTAGCGCGCGCGTAGTATGTGCCATGTCAGTAGGTACTAATGGTACGCTCGCTCGCGGCTCAGCCAGAGGTCTACCAGTGAGCAGCGTCACCAGCCGACCAGCGTCGTACTGGCGCCGCAGTTGTGCGTCGTCGTTCCCCTCAGACCCCACTTCGCAACCGTCCGGCGGGTATGGAGCCGCGGCCGGACTGCAGGAGACTGGAGACCTGTCAGAGCTTTAGACCCTCTGTTACGGGAAGGGAACAGGGGGACGGACGCTCATATAAGCACTAATAATAAGCAGCGCCTTTCCCCAAGGGGTTCCCTTACGGGAGCCGGTTTCCGTTCGGGGCTTTCCGCAACACCTCCTGATTGTATTGTATTATAACTCTTCTAATTCTTGCGAACTGCAGCGTACACAGTCCCAGTAGCCATTCTGAGCCTAGTCCCTGTCCAACATCCCCAGGATGGACTTCAAGTACGTTCCGGACCGATCGGGGCTGGAGGACGACTTGGCAGCGAAGTTCAGCGCAAGCCTGGCGCCCTTCCTGAACGACGTTGTGAAGACTCTGGGCATAGCTGGCCCCGATGACCCCGAAGGCGCCATGTTTGCGATCCCGCCGTCCAGCATAAGCAACGATCTGGTGGCCACCGAAAGACCCCTGTGCGCCAAGTGCTCGAACCTCAACGATGAGGCCCTCCACAGTGAAGAGGGGTTCATACACTCCCAGAGCCTGGAGGATCTCTGCGGATCTGCCCAGACTTGCGCTCTCTGCCATCTCATGCGCCTGAAGCTGTGGGAGGAAATGGTCTGGTCACGCGAGTCCTGCGACGACTCCCCACACAACGCGTGCTTTACAGATGCGCAGCTGAGCGAAGGGCTGCGGAAGTTGGCGGCCGAGCGTGGAGTCTTATGGCCAGAGGAAGCTCCTATATTTCTCAAGTCGGAGGGATCCGACTCCAGCGGCTATGAACACATCATGCTCTTTACCCTTGTCGCATTCCTCGAGCCGCGCGGCGACAGCTCGCACACCTACAAGCTTTGGTACCGAGGCTTCACCCTCGGCAAGTTGCTCCGGCATGACGACAGGGCAGAATCCGCCCGGCCGTTGCTGCCCCGAGGCGACGAACCTTCCACGCTGCAGCGCATGCGGGAGTGGCTCGAGGCTTGCGATGCAGACCTGGTTTCATGGTCAAAGAGGCTCACTGACACGAAACTTCCGACGAGAGTGTTGGATCTCCAGTCTCTCGGGAATGATCAAGACTCCGATCTTCGGCTCTTCGAGACGAAGGGCATCTCTGGAAGATACGCCACGCTGAGCTACTGTTGGGGTGGTTACCAGGGCTGCAGGACGCTGAAAGCAAACCTGGAGGAGCGATGCGCTCGAATCCGGTACAGTGAGCTTCCGGCGCTGTTCCAGCAAGCTATCACCGTCACACGCGGGCTGCGTATTCGATACCTGTGGATCGACGCGCTATGTATTGTTCAGGATGATGCCGAGGACTGGAAGTATGAGGCCGCTCGAATGGCCGACGTGTACTGGAACGGGGCTTGCAGATTGGCAGTTACCCATTGTCAGAACCCGACGGAGAGCTTCTTCCCCCCGAGAGAGGTCGTGGCTTCCGTTCGCGTTCCCAGTCTTGAAGAAAAGGAGGATCACGCCGAGGCCAGGCGGCACTCGGGCCCTGCTTCGTCGGACTGGGAGACGGAGGAAGAAGAAGATTATGGTGATGGCGGGCCTAGCTCCAGTTCCGATGCAAACAACCACGGACAACAGCCAATAATCGAGCAAGAGAACCCCAAGTCGACGCTCGACTCTTTCCAGGACCGGTTCAGCCACGCTCTAGTAGAAGTGGGCGCAAAATATGACAGCAAAAGAGAAGCAGCGCCGGAGACTCACCACAAAGTTTTCTTCTCGCTCCCGAGGAACTACGAGCGCGACGTCGACCTTGGCCATCTCAACAGCCGGGGCTGGGTGCTCCAAGAACGCCTCCTAGCACCGCGCACAATCCACTTCACCGCCGATCACATGTATTTCGAAGACCAGGATGACATCTGCGGCGAGGACTGGGTGCGCCGGCAGTTCACGTGGCGGAGCTGCATCAAAAAGAGATCCAAGTCTTCCAGGAGCATCCTGTTCCCCGAAGACAGCATCCGTGACTTCGAAGGCGGCTATGCGAACTATGCCACCTCCGGACGAGCGGCGGAGCTCCTGATGCAGCGGGCTCTCTTCGCTCAACGAAACTACAGGCATCTGTCGGACTCCTCGGATACGTGGCTCACGATCGCCGAGTCCTTCAACCGGTGCAACTTCACATATCAGACGGATAGGCTCGTGGCCATCGCCGGTCTGGTGAAGCGGAAGCAATCCACGCCCGGGTCGCAGTATGCTGGCAGTGTAAGCGGATCCACGCAGTTCCCCCTACCAACTCACGCCGCGCCATCGCTGACCTAGGTAATTGTACTCATAAAACAAACAGAGGAATTTCTTTGGGCTATGGGAGAAAACGCTCCACGTCGATCTCGCCTGGGTGGCAGCTACTACTAGGACTAGTCCTCAAAGGCTCACCCGCCTCAACAATCTAAACCTGCCAAGCTGGACGTGGATAGCATACGACGGCCCCATCACCTTCACCAAGGACCGCAGGGATCGACGGAACCCCGGAACAGTTCCGATCGCGCCCACTTCGGAAATCCGCCTGGTCCACACGGACGCGCCCGACCTACCCGACATCATCGACCCGCTCCCGCTGAAGGCCGGAGGAGTCTGTTTCAGAGTAGCCACGAGGCTTCGCAAGCTGCCGTCGACCACGACGGCAGCCCCCCAGTCTATCAACCTCCCAGCCGCCTCCTCCTCCTCCTCCTCCTGGACCTCACGCGAGCAAGTCGCGGCTGCGCTGCCCTACATCCGACTCGATCCCCACACCAGCACCATGCCTATGCTGCTGGGATATGGTAGTAGTAGTGGAGCACAGCCTGTGTTGGACCAGAACGGAAGTGTGGTGGGGATTATCGTGTTTGACGAAGGCGGCGGGTGTCCACGAGCGACAGACGATCTCTACTGCGCTCATATCTCTACTTTGAAGGATGAACGCAGGGATCAAGCGCTGTGGGAGGTGCAGGCGGATGACGGAGAGCAACGCCTCGGTGGTAGCAGTATTTCCCAGCCTCCTATTCTTGCGTATGCGCTGGTCTTGCGCAGCGTTGGCGGGGGCCGGGATGTATTCGCCCGCGTTGGGCTAGCGGAGGTTGGGTATGATTGGATTATGGCGGGGGACGAACAGGAAGTGAGTCTCCTTTGAAGGACTACTAGTACTAGGTAATTAGTAGGTATCGAACAAGTTCTCCTAGTCGTACTACTACCCGATAGTCAGTTATCTCATTTCATCTCAGACCTATTACCTTCCAAATCCTCATTTGCACCCTAATAGGTTACCCGCTAATAGGAGAGGGCGAGCCAGTCTGATGCGTGGGATCTACGATGGACGGGTCGGGATAAAGGCGTGCAGAGCTTTTTGTGTTGATCTGAACATCTTTGTGGGGGGGTAAGCTTCATCTCGGCAATAAAATGGTCACTCTATGACGTCTGAAATTACTGAAACTCGACCATCTTCTACGACGATTTCTGCTGTCAGGGATAGCCAAACCGCGTAAAACACAGTCAATGGAGGTGTGAGTGTGAGCTTGGTCATGTCGCCTGGAGCTGACCTACAATGCATTTTCATCCGACTACGTACGTAATTACATAGCAGCCAGTTGCGGCTCGGAGCAGGAATGCTGCGGGAATCCGTCCGACGTGTGGTTCGGAGGCAACGCAGCAGTTGTTGAATTAAACGCCGCTATGGTGTGTAATCAAGGTTTCGGCTCGGTACTTCGGGGCTAACTAGCGCGATAGAAGTCCGAGTCGGGCTTAATAATCCTCCCCGCAGGTCGGACCCCGACTTGCATGCAGGCTGCAGCTGCAAGTGAGACAGGACAGAGGTAGGGAGAGATGGTGTACTGATCCAGGGCGAGAGCTAGTATCATGTATATAGGAGTTGAGCACCTGCCACGGATCGTGGTTCTCAACACACCTCACTAGTACCTAGGTTCTACTCGTTCACACTCACAACAACTTGAACTTTCTCGGCCTATGCGTACCCTGACAAGACTCGGTCACCAGCTCAAAGCTAAATCCACTTCCAGGCCCAAAGTACCTACCCTAATAAAGACCCCGCCAACAACCGCTGGAATGTCCACCTCAACCGCGGGCACCAACCTCGCGGCTCTCCTGCGGGGTGCGCGAGAGACCCTTGTCCTCGAAGAGCGCGCCATTCCCTCCCCAGGACCAGACGAGATCCTGGTCCGCAACCGGGCGATCGCGCTCAACCCTATCGACTGGAAGCGACAAGCCTTCGGCATCGCCCTCCCCTCGAACAAGACCACCATCCTGGGCTCCGACGTAGCGGGCGAGGTCGTATCCGTCGGCTCCAACGTCGCCTCGTTCTCCTCCTCGTCGTTATCATTCGCACCCGGCGACCGCGTGCTGGGCTCCGCGTCGGCCATGGTGTCCGGCAACCTGGACCACGGCGCTTTCCAGCTCTATACCCTCCTCTCGTCCACCGCGGCAGCGAAAATCCCCGACGCAGTTTCTTATCCAGAGGCGGCGACGCTGCCGACGGCGATGGGCACCGCGACGATCGCGCTTTTTCATAACCTCGGCTTGCCCCTCCCTTCCACTTCCACTTCTACTTCTACTCCCACTCCGACCACTACCACCGGAGAAGCCGAAGTGAAAAAAGACGGGATCCTCGTCTGGGGCGGCGCAACCTCATGCGGCAGCGCCGCCATCCAACTCGCCCGTCTCGCCGGCCTGTCCAATATCTACGCGACAGCCAGCCCGAGACACCACGCCCTCGTACAATCCCTCGGCGCCAGCACGGTGGTGGATTACCACTCCCCCGGCACGGCCGTAGAGGACATCCTCTCCGCGGCGGGCCGGGACGGAGTCGAGATTCGCTACGCGGTAGTTAACGTAGGAGACAACGATGCCTTCGCCGCTGTCAAGCATATCCTAGAGCGTTCTTCGCAGGGGAAAGAAGGAAAGAAGATGAAAGTGGCTAGCCTGGCCCGCTGGCCGGAGGAGCAGGTTGCGAAGCCCGAGGGGGCAGAGGTTAGTTGGGTGATGGGCATGGAGGTGTGGGGTGCAAGGAAGGATTTGGCGGCGTGGTTGTTTAATCGGAATTTGACGGGGTGGTTGGAAGGGGGCCAGGTGGTGCCGCATGCGGTGAGGGTTGTGAAAGGGGGGATTGGGGGTTTGCAGACGGCGCTGGATCAGTTGAAGGCGGGTGTTAGTGGGGAGAAGTTGGTCGTTGAGGTGTAATAAGGGACAGAAAGGCAGAAGAGGAGAGAGTTGGGGTGTTTGGATCGTGTGGTGGTCTCCTTCAAGAAACTCGTGTCTCATGGGCATTCGACAGTAAAGATCTAGGCATTCACATCCTCTTTTGACTACCATTATTTAAAACTGTCACTTAAAATGACCGGCCACCCAAAGCACTATCGATCGAGGTCATAACCATAACCATACCTCTCATAACTCATCCATCTCCTCCCACAGATCCGTACCTAGGTAAGTACTCACCCCGACACAGGCTTGATCCCAGCAGTCAACTTAATATCCCTCGAACTAAACCCGACCCCAATCCCAATCTCCCCCTCGGGAATCACCCACTCCTGGCGCACAACATCCCAATAACTCAGATCGCGTCGCATGAGCGCAAACTGCACACTCTTCGCCTGGCCCGCCCTCAACCCAACCTTCTCAAACCCCCTCAACTGGCGCGGCGGGGTCGTCGTCCCCGGCACGGTATCCGGGGGCAAACTGACATACAGCTGCGGCACAGCGGCACCATCCACTTTTCCCGTGTTCCGCACCGTGACGCTCACCGTGTACAGCGTCTCCCACAGCGCCGGGTTGCCCCCCGGCTGGACGGGCTGGGCCGGCGGCAGCGCCGTAATAATACCCTTCTTGTTTGTATTACTACTACTAGTACTAGTAGCAGGCTTAGCCCGGATGTCCGACAGCGCAAAAGTCGTGTAGGACAAGCCGAAGCCGAACTCATAGCGCACGCTGAGGTTGCGCGCGTCGAAGTAGCGGTAGTCGATCTCAACCCCTTCGTCGAACCAGCTCTGCCAGTCCTCCTTGCCCGCGGTCTGCACGGCCGTGGTCGGCGGCGCGTTGTAGTCGCTCGCGCGGAGCGCGACCGTGTAGGGCAGGCGGCCCGACGGGTTGACGGCGCCGTAGAGCACGTCGACCAGCGAGTGGCCGCTCTCCTGGCCCGGGTAGTGCGCCGCCAGGATGGCGGTCACGTTGGGGTGGTCGGCGAAGGGCAGCGTGTTGATGCCCGCTGAGTGGGTGACCACGACGGTGTTGTTGCACTGCGAGGCGACCGACGAGACCACCGCGTTGCCGTGCCAGTCCGTGTCGAGCGTGGTCCGGTCGGCGGCTTCCTCGGCCCAGGACTTGAGGAAGACCAGGCAGACGTCGGGCCGCTTGGGGATCCAGAGTGTGGTGATGTCCGTGGTGGTGATCTGCGTGTTGTTCAGCCAGTGTTGTACTAGTGTCTTGTCCTGCGCTGCGCGCTCCTTGATCGCCTCGAGCGGGGTGACGAGGTAGGTGAGGCGGCCGGTGCCGGAACCGCCGCCGACTGCCAGCGTGCCGTACTCAAAGTTGACTTGGTTGTACAAGCCCGCCACGTCGTCGCCCGCATCATTGCCGAACACGGCGATCGACTTAGGTGCCTTCAGCGGCAACGCGCCCCGCTCGTTCTTCAGCAGCACGATGCCGGCGGCGCCCGCCTCGCGGATGAGCTTGGCGTGGTTGCCGCGCACGTCGCGGCTGCTCGGGCCCGTGAGGTTGAACTCGGTCAGCCAGGTGTTGCGCGGCGAGAAGGTGTTGAGGTCGGCTGTCGACGGGTCCACGGTCGGGAAGTCGCGGTCCTGGCCCAGGTCGTAGTACGGCGTCATGATGCGCACGATCATGTCGTCGACTCGCGCCGCGCCCAGCGTGCCGTTGTTGACCGCGGCCGTCACGTTCGCGCCGAAGGACGAGCGCCCCCAGCCCACGCCGTACAGGCCCAGTCCGCCGGGCATGTCCATGTCCTGGCCGGCGAGGACCGCGGGAGCGCCCGAGTGGGTGGCGCCCCAGTCGCTCATGACATAGCCCTGGAAGCCGAGCTCGGTCTTCAGCAGACCGTTCAGGATCTTGGAGTTCTGGCACCCGTACGAGCCGTTGATGCGCTGGTACGAGCACATGATGGACGCCGCCTTGGCGTGCACCGCGTTGGCAAACGGCCACAGGTAGAGCTCGTGCATGGTGCGGTCGTCGAGGTTGGACGACAGCGCCTCCTGCACAAGGTTGCCCTGCTCGTCGTACGACGGGTTGCGCTGCGTCTCCTGCTCGTTGGCGATGAAGTGCTTCGCGCATGCCTGCACGCCCTCCTTCTGCATAGCACTGATGGTCTGCTCCATGGCGACACCGGTCAGGTACGGATCCGGCGAGAAACCCTCCCAGTTACGCCCTGCATACGCCGATCGGCCAAGCGGGCCAGCAACTGGTCTGTGTGACATCCCCGGGTCGTCAGAATCCTTGCCTCTTGTAGCAAGACAGAGCACATAGACAAACAGACTGACCCAAGAAAGATGTGTGCGCCTTTGCCGCGGAACTCTTGGCCCATCGCCAGCCCGCGCTGGTACATTAGGTCGCGGTCCCACGAGGCGGCGACCGACACGCCGGCGGGGAAGACGCTGGCGTAGTCGGCAACCCGGATGGCCAGCGGCCCGTCCTGGAGACACAGGCCGGGGAAGTTGAGGCGCGGGATGGCGAGGATGTTGCCCACGCACGGGCCCGGGTAGCCCGTCACCATGTTGGCCTTCTCATCAGGCGTCAGCTGGGCCACGAAGGCCTTGGCCTTGGCCAGGGCTGCCTCCCACCCGCCGCTGCCCGTGGCATTGGCTGTGCGCATGTCAGTACTCCTACTAGTAGAAATGGGCAAGATGATTGTTTTCTTAGAAGGGCACACGTACGGGACGGATACACAGGCGGCGAATGTCCGTATTGGTCCAGGATCGTGGTGTTGACAGGTTGCACATAGCTGAAGGGAGCCTCCTGCGGCAGCGTCTGGGCCGCGGCCGACGGGGCCAGCAGCAGGGCGCAGGCCAGGGCGGAAAGTATTGTCGACGCCATGGGAGGTAGATTGACGCGGCGATGCCTCGGTAGTTTGGTGACGAGCCAAAGAACGAACTCAGGTCCCTCTTTTATACCCGTGAGATTGGTCTTCCGTCGTCAACCCTTCTCCTCCTCCAAATCGCGTCAAAACCTGGAAGCCCGCATGATTCCCTTGTTGCAACAGCGCTAGCCCCTCCGCTGGCAGCCGTTGGTAGTTGCCGACCTACCGAAGACAGTGTATGTCCTGGTTCGTAGACCCATTGGCATGCCGGCAGGTGGGCAGACTGGCAGTAGCGCCCGAGGATACGCCGCTTGGAGCTAGGGTGGGGGAGGTCTCTTCTCGATCCATGGTACCTTATATGTTCAAGGTAGTGTCCTGATCCATCCCGACGGCAACCTCCGGGAATCTGGCGTGCATGTCAAGCCCGAGGTGGCAGCTTAGTGTGAAGAATGCGGCTTGCGGGGCCAGCCCAAGAAGATCATAGAGTCCGTGTCCAGACTCTAGAGGCGAAGATATGGTGACCGGCCCCCCTCCCCTTCGTTCTCGAGAGCAGCCTGAGCTAGATGTCCCAAGGTACTCGCTGGGTAACGTGTCGTATATACGGTAGTATCTGAAAACCGGATGGTTAGACGCGGGGGATGCCCCATGCCCACCTTCCGAGTTCCGAGACTCTGGGAGTTCCCCATGGGAAAGCTCGGCGCAATTGCGGGGATGCCGCGCCGGTATTGGATGGTAGCGCGAAGACATCGGGACTCATTGCCCCGGGCCGCAGATCGGGGGAGGGAATAATAAAAATACACTCCCACCATGCACGCGAAAAGGGTGACAGAAAGCAGGCGCCACTACTCAATGCGCCGCAGGTAAACACAATCATATCTGTTCAAGAGAAAGCCATATCCAAGGAGTGAGGCTTCACAGTTTGCTTGAGCTTCAAATAACTTTCGGCGTAAGGAATGAGTCGGTCGAATTGTGGTGTGACTTGTTACTTGTTCCCCAATAGTGAAAGAAGTCTGGCGGAGTGTCCCGCTTGGAGAAACCTCGGCAATCCAAGTCTCCCCACACATTCCCACCCCCGGAGGGCCGCAATCGGGTATGCCCCACACTGGGCCACGTGCCGGCGGACAGTTCCGTCATAAACTCCCATCGTGGGAATAAATCCCGTTGGGAGCAGATGCCGGGCGGAACGCTTCCATCTCTTCGCAAGCTCCCGGCCCTTCTACGGCCTTTTTGGACTTGTAGCTCTCTTCAGTTGGCCGAGTGGAATCTAGATGAATTGCTCCCTATGCCGGCGATTCTACCACTATTTCTAACTTCTAAGTGCCCCAGATTCCCAACAGTCAGTGCACAGGCTAAACTCTAAAGGGTACTACTACTGCCCACAGTTAGTCAGCAATTTATTGTCGTTGGAGGTATCAAACCTACAGAAGGTAGTACGTTGCCTAGAAATGCTAACACAAACGCAAAAAGGTCGGTGTCGGTTAGCGTGAGCAGTCAGCGGGCCGTTATACTTTTGACCCAGCCGGGATCGACAGTTGAACAGACTGTCCCCTCGGGGACGCGGAATACATCGCCTGTGACGAAACCACAGGCAGTCCTGCCTCTGAAAGGGTTCGCCGGTCGAAGGTACTGCTGGTCGGACTATAGGTCTCAGTGAAGCCGAAAGGTTCACGACACTGCAAGTCACAATGTCTACACAATAGGTAGAGGCTATTGCTTGTATTGCTCACTAGAGAACTCCCAGAGTCCTCTAGAACGAGTGACTATATATATTCTCCTACTCCGCTATGCCTAGCTATTTACAAGGCGCGCCGGACCCTCTACTGCTATGTACAAAGGAAAAACCGTACCGTTTAGGCCGGGTGAAAACCTTCATCAAAAATAATAGGAAAGACATGGTTCCAGTGATATACGCTGCTGCAAGTAAAGAAAAAGGCCTTGGGAAGGCCTTGGGCCAACGGCTAGTAGGGTGCTAGCCCAGCTAAGCCGTGGCCACGGGTGTGGCTAGCCGGGCTCCCTGGCTTCCAGTTCCTCATCGAGAATCCGAGCGAGCCTATATTCCCCCAGCCGGCCCGAGTCCATTAGCCAACCTAGTACCTTCTTCAGAAGTCTTCGGTTCCGGTAGCCTAGGCCCTGTAAAACAAGGCTAAGGTCCCGGTGGGTGCGTATTAGTTGCCTAGGCCAAGTTCTTGGTATAGGTGGTATAGGGCACCAAACTACTAGGTGCTCCACTGTCTCCCGGCCTTCCCCGCATTCGCAATAGGGGGTAGGCTGGTTACGGGCCTTTTGTTTAAAAAGAAAGTCCCGTAGGCCTATAGCCTCCGTACGGGCCTGTACTAGTAGGGAGCTCTTGGCCTTTGTAAGGCCTTGGTGTTTCCGTAGGCCTTGGTTTGTGAAGAGGACTGTTGGTAGGCCTTCGTCGGCTAGCCTAGTTGGCTGTCCCTAGACTTGGGTATTCCACCTAGCCTCTCAGGCTCTTAATAGTGCCCAGTCTTCCTGGGTCTTAGCCAATGGTGGGCCCAAGGCCTTAGCTTGGGTATTCTATTCAGCCACTGTAGCCGAGGCCTTTTCGGCATCTGTTGGCTTTCCTAGGCTCCAGGGCCGGCGCCGTAGCGACCGGAACCTTCGTTGGAGCCTGTTGCAGGCCCCTTGGATGATTTCCTTTGGTCGGCGCCTCGGGGCCTCTAGGCCTAGCCCGGCCTATAGAGTAGGCTTATTGAGCTGGTCTTCGAAGTCGGCCAGCCTCTTATTAAGATAAAGGTCTAGAGGAGGGATCCAAGTTTCTGTCTCGAGATTCCGTATAGGGGTAGCCTTATAGGCCCCGGCTACGATGCGTAGGCTTCGGTTCTAGGCCTTTGCTAGGTCCCTGGCTAGGCCTTGTGGTGAGCCGTTGAGTGTTGTAGGCTTGTGGAAGCTAGATGCCCTATAGGCTATTGCACTGCGAATGCACTTAGTGTAGACCTCTCTGGCCCTGATTAGCCCCAGGCCCTAGGTCTTGGCTGCTATCCTTGATAGAGCAAAGTCTTGGGTTCTTAGCTTGGTAGCTATACTAGCTCCGTGGGCCTTCCAAGAAAGCCTCCAGTCAAGCCAGACCCCTAGGAACCAGGCTGAAGCCGTTGGTTTGACTATAGTATAGTTATAAGGGTGGCCGGGTTTGGCTAGTTGTAGTGGTTCAGACCACTGTTTATGGCCTTTGTTGAAGTAGATCAGCTCTGACTTGGCCCCATTGAATTCCATTCCGTAGGATCTAGCCCACTATAGGCATATAGCCCAGGCTTGTTCCAGTTGCCGGCAGTTGATATAGGGGTCCCTTCCAAAGGCTAGGATGTTGGTGTCGTCTGCGAATCCCACTAAGCTGACTAGAGGGTGCTTTTCCTTTAGTACTTTATATAGCGAGGCTATATATAGTATAAAGAGGATTGGTGATAGTGGTGATCCTTGTGGCACTCCAGCTCGGATGTCGATTTCCGGGGCAAGTTGGCCGTCGAATAGGAGTGTGGCCTTCCGGCCCGTTAGCCACGACCGTAGCCAACCTATAAGCTATTGCGGGAGCCCGAGGTCTCGGACTGTAGCCAGTAACCGGGTATGATTTACCCGGTCGAAGGCCCCTGTGAGATCTAACTGCAATAGGGAAGCCGTAGCGCGTTGTCTCCAGGCCTCTTGGATCTGGGCTACTACAAGCCGAATGGCTAGGTCTGTTGACCTATATTCCCGGTTACCCATCTGCTCGTCGGGTAATAGGCCATAGGCTTCGGCTGCCTCTGTGATTCTTTTGGTAACCACTATTTCCACTACCTTGCCAATGGTAGGAAGGAGCGAAATAGGCCTATAGCCTCCGGAGGTAAGGTAGTCAGCTGGGGTTTTACCAGGCTTTGGGAGCACTATAGCTATAGCCTCCTTTAGCCTAGCCGGCACCCATTGTAGTTCGAGGTATCTCTGGGTGAGTAGTGCGAGGATCCTGTACAACGGCCTACCACAGGCCTTCAATAGGCCTATAGGGAGGTAGTCGTTACCTGGGGCCTTCCAGGGAGCAGCCCGGGCAATAGCATCTTGTATGTTCCTGGCACTAACCACCTGGCTTATTGGGATCTTCGGTTCCCACGGCTGAGAAAAGGTGGGATCTTGGATGTTGGAGAGGTCGGCTGGCAGGCTTGGAAAGAAACGGTTGGCCAGGGCCTAGGCCTTCTGGGTATGGGTGGTATAGCCGTTGATGGCCGGGAGCCTAGGGGGGCTAGTAGGCTGGAAGCTCTTGCAACGAGCCCACCATTCTAGGCTCCAAAGGAGTGATTCGTTATGCCTGGCTTCCTGTAGGGTAGACCTCCAGGTCCTTGTTCTAGCCTGTCGTATAGCCCTTGAAAGGTCCCGGAGTCTCTGGTTTAGCTGGGCCTTATTATAGGCCGTAGGTGCGGCTTTAGCCGTATGTTCGGCCTCCCGGACCCCCTGGACTTTTTGTTGCACCTCGTTCGTCCACCAGGGGGCTTAAAATCCATTGTTAGGCTTCCTTCGGGGGGTGCTAGCGTTGGCAATCCTTGTAAGTTCTTCGACAAGCCAGTCGAATGCCTTATCTAGGCCTTCTACTGACTGGATACGGCTCTGTAGGCCCTGCGGGCCAGGGTTATCTAGCCAACAGAGGCCTGGTAAGAGGGCTGCTTCGGCCTTTACCCTCTTTTTATCCATCTTTTTCCAGGACCAACCAGGGGGGGTGGGGCTATAGGGGGGTGTTCGAGGTAGACCTCTACTACTTGGGGGTAGTGGTCAGAATCTCCCCTTTCCTTAATACCGTAGTAGGAGCAGGCAAGGTCTGTAGAGGCCCAGATTAGGTCGATAGTTGATGGGCGCCCCCGTTGCCTACCCTGTGGTTCCCTAGTTATAGTGCCTTTGGGGGTTACTAGCCTAAGGTCCCAAGAGGTGGCTAACTGGAGCAGGTTGTTAGCTTCGTTATCATAGCGTTCGTAGTAGTCCCAGGCTGGGTGTTGAAGGTTGAAGTCCCCTGTAAGTATTACTTGGCTAGAGGGTCGGG